CGGCACATCTGCCTCCTTCCTCCTCTTTCTCCCTCCTTCCAGGTGTTTTTGTAGTTCGACACTTGAAAATCTTCCCCTTTTTTTGCATGAATTTTTATCTCATTATTGTTGCTTTTGTTGTTGTTTTTACTTTGAGTTGTTGTATGGTTTTCTGTTTTGTCTTGGGCCTTGTGCCTTATGCGCCTTTGCAAATGACCTGGTGTACATCCAATGCACATCTTTTTATTAAGGTAAGGAAGGGATGAAAAAAGGTAAAAAGAAAAAGCGAGAAAGTAGGAAAGAAGGACAAAGGGAAGGAGAGGGAGAGGGAGTGGATGGACGAGTTCGATGTTCGTGTGTAAGTACTTGATTCTCTTTCTCCACTTTCTCTCTCTGTATATGCTGTGTCAGCGGTGGTCCTCCATTTCCCCCCTTTTGCAATTGAAGCGATCTCACTCCAAAAGCCCGAGCCATTATTTTTTCTCGGGCCTCGGGTCTCGGGTGTCTCACTGTGGCAACTTTCTTTGGAACAAGGAGTGTGAATGGTATTTTTTGCTTCTTCTCTCCCTTTCTCCTACCGCCTTTTCGCTCCTTCCCCTGCCTGGGATGGGACAGGTGGCGTTTGTATCTGGTCCAATCTGTCCTTGTGGGAATGAATGGGTTTGTTTGTCAATGGAGTGCGAGAAAAGAAGTTGTTTTTTGTGGTCCATAATATACATAAAAAATGATTCAATTGATATGTGCCAATTGAAGGAAAAGGATGGCCCTTGCTCTCCTATTCTTGTCTCTTCAACTTCTACTTTTGAGCCCTTTTTTTTTTGGGATGGACAGACGGTTGCGGGTTGGGAGGGATGCAAAAAAGAAATCAAGTGGGCCAATGGTGTCGCGTGTATTTTGTCCGCGTATGGTCTGCCATGCTATGCATGCATAGATAGATACACAGCAAACAAATACAATGGAAAAATTGACTTCAATTGCTCTCTCACCCTCAGATTCTCTTTTTCTCCTTTACTTTTCGTATTGTATTTTTTTTTCTATGTCGACTATTGCATAGAGTCGCATCGTGTGCAGTTTGTTGCTGTTTGTCAACAAAGGTCCTGCTTTCTTACTAACATCCCTTGTGTATTACTGTCCACACAATGCTTTCTAGCTACCTTGACGCTTGTTGTACTTACACCAATGTAAGTGCCTTTCTTGTCCTCTATTACTCTTTCCGTCTTATGAGTATTCGCCATCTTTTATGTTTGGTCATTGATCAGCTCATGCGTCCTGATCGTATGAGCTTTACGCGTCTTTGCCTTAAATTATTGATTGATCCATTCGTTCTTTTTCTTCTACGACGTCTCCACGGTGGCACTTGTCTCCAACTATGCCTTTGCTGTTCTTGTTCCTCCCCTCGTTTATATTTTCCTCCCTTCCCTTCCCATCCTTCCCCCCTTACCGACCCTTCCTCTCTGCCGGTCAAATCGCTTCGTTGTTGTTGTTTTGTTGATGTTGTTGTTGTTACTGAATACTCTGTCTTCCTTTTCCGATTCGAGTGAATCGTTTCGTCTAGATTTTTCTTGGGTCACTCGTATTCACTCCCTCAGCCCCTCCCTCTTATCCTTCTCTCACCCCTTCCTTTCTCACCTCCACTCACTTTTGGTATCAGTCCTGTGCGCATCTGTTTTGTGTTCATCATTTTTTGACCCCTTCAGCCAGCACAATGACTGGTACTCGCCCTCACTCTTTTGCTCCCCTTTTTTTCCCTTCCTTCTCTCTGTTTCCCTCTTTTTTCTTCCTTCCTTTCTCTTTTCTTTTTGGCCTCACCCCACGCCTGCACCCTCATCCTCACCCCCGTCCTCACTCGCAGTTGCACTCGTACTCACCCTCCATCCTCTCTTCCTCCTTTGACTTATCAGTGCACTCCTCTCGCTTCTTACATTCAACACTCATCCATTCCTTCGCTCATTCACTCATTCACTCTCTTTGAGTCATTCGTCTACTTCTCTCTCTGTCTGCGATTGTTCACATTCATTCGCTCTCCCTCTCATTCCACTGACACCAACACAAACACACACACATACACGCACTGTGAGTCGTCTTGCAATTTTTTTTTCTTTTATTTGAGCACCCCAAATTTTTTTCTCTGGCCACCTCGTTTTTCTCTTTCTCCTTCCCTCACCCTGCTCTGGGGGGGTTTTTTTTCCAAAGGGCGACCTGACGTGCCATTTTCTTCATTCATTCATTTCCCATGCAGCAGCAATAAGCAGCAGCAGGCAGCTGATTCACAAAAAAAAAAAAAAAAAAACGCTCAACATTCTGTGTGTACCACTCTTCTCTCTACTTCCGATTGCTACAGCCCTGATTTTTTTTCCTCCTACTTGTTACCTCTACTTTGGTTTTTTTTGCGTTGCGCCATCTATTACATTCATAACATTACATTGTTCACTGCCTTCTCAATTACGTCAATTGCACTCTATTCAATCTTTTGTTTGTCCTTTTTTTCTTTCTGTTTTCTTTCTTTTTCTTCCCTCCATCCCATCCTTCTCAAGTTTATTGCACCTCGTTGTTCTTTTCCTTTTGGTGCGGTCACCCAGTTTATTCCACGATTCCACAAGAACGTGCGCACAAGATCTGAACACGCCTGATTTTTTTTCCTTTTCATCTCTTTCTTTCCTTTCCTCTCTTCCTTCCTCATTTTTTATATTTTTTTTCCCCTCTTTTCTCTTCGCTCTTCGCCCTTCACTCTTCTAATTTCTCTCTCTCTCTCTCTCTCTCTCCACCATTGCCACACAAACGCAAACAGTCAACTATAGCACAAACACACATCCATCCAGCCATCCAACAGGAGACACTTACATATATACATACACTCACAAGAGAACCATGGCGACCGCACATTCCGTACAACGGGGATCATATCCAAAGGATCAGCAGCATCCCCTTCACCTCCACCACTCCCTCCCTCCGACACATCATCGCCATCCTCACCTTCCTCCTCTTCAACACTCCCACCCTTCTCCTCCTAACTCTCATTCCCAACCTTCCTTCCACCACACTCAACAAAAGGCGCACCAACAGGCACAACAACAACAACAACTCTACTTGCATAAACAACAAGCCTTTCGCCGTCAACAACAGCAGCCCCAGCCTCAACTCCTTTGTCGTCAGCAAGAACAACTCTCCCGCTCTGACCTTATCGAGCCCAATGAACAATACCACTACCAACACAGACAATCCCCCTACAACCCTGACTACGAATGGAGCCAAGATGAACTCGGAAGCATTAAGCGTCAGCAGTGTCTTGTACAGCAGCAACAGCAGGTAGCACACCAACAAGTACACGCGCAACAACAACAACAAAGACAACAAGCACAACAGCACGACGAAGAGAAAAAGAGGGCGATCCTGGCTCTGCAGCAGCACCAGCAGCAGCATCCGCACACACACCAGTACCACACCTCAGCCCGTACGACGTCGGAAGCACTGCAGCGCGCCCAAAAGGCTTCGTTTTATTTCACGACAACAGCCCACCAGGAACGTGGCAAGCAAACACCGAACGCTCTTTATTCCCCTCCGTCGTTATCCGCATCATCCTCGCTGCCCTCTTCAAAGGTATGTTCTTTGGTTTTATATTATCCTGTTCAGAAAAATAATAACATCATTATCATTTTCATCCCTTTTTTGTGCATTGCCAATGATCTTCCCTCTTTTCATCTCTCTCCCCCTTCCTTCCGTACCTCCTCCTCCTCCGCTGCATCCCTCCTTTTCCTATCTTCCTTCCTACCCATTGCTTTCCTTACGTTACTTTGCTCGACTCCTGTCCGTTTTTCTTTCTCCGTCCCTCATTCGCGCCTCTCCTCCTCCTCTCTCAATCCATCCATCTCGCTCTTCTTTTCGATCCTGGAGCCGACCTCTTGGAGTTTGTATTAAATTGAGAAAAGAAAGTTTTTTTTTTTTTTTTTTTTGTTGTTGTCCTTCGGCAATGCCAACCGATCCTCGCCCTCTCCGACTCAATCAACCACCACATCGACGTTTTTATCTTTTTCACCCTCGTACTCGACTTCCTTCTACTTGTCCGATCGTCCCTCCACCCCCCCTTGCTTTTCTTAATGTCCACAACATTTGCGTTTCTTGTCCCTTGTTTTTTCCAATCCCTACCCCTTTTTCCTTCTTGATCAAAGAAAGCGTCCAGACTCCGCAGTTCACCAACCCAGCCCAACCCAGCCTCATCTTTCTTTTTGATTTTGGAGATCATCCGCTCATCTGATTGAGAGCTTGTTGTCAATCCTGACTGAATTGATTGTGTCCTAAATATTCGTTTCCAGTATTGCATCATTTCACATTTGGTCCCCTCTTTTTCCCTTCCTTTTTTTTTTACCCGAAAGACCATGCCATGCGAGCTCATGCCTTGTTCGTGCACTGACCCCCCTGCCTCTGAACCTCCTCTTTTTTTTCCCTTCCCTCCTGTATCTTTACATCCTGCAATACCCTCCCTTGCACCATCCCTTAACCCTTCTCATAGGCATATCCCTATCCTCCGGTACGTGTCGGGCTCCATGCTCGCGACCCTCACCATCTCACGTACCCATCACACCACCCTCAGCACAAGCACAGCGGTAAACTTCGACGTTCTCCTCTTCAACACGAACAGCAACAACGGCAACAGCAGCAACAACAATCACAACATCCACGGTATCATTCCAACGGCCCTGTCGACGCAGACCAGTGGCACACCTCGCCTTCTCCCGTCCGTTCGTCTCATGATTGCGCTCGACTCAGCATCAGCAGCAACAGGGGTAGAGGCATGATCAATGACACCAACAAGAAACCACCATCTACATCAGTCAGTTCAGGCGCACCACCATCCACTTTATCGGCCTCACCCCAGATCACCCAACCCGCATCACACCCCACCACCACTTCTCAAACAGCCTCTGTTACTGTATCCACAGCAACCACGGGACATTCTCCTTCAGATGCTCCACAACCACGGTTCTCTTCCTCCTCATCCACTTCCACCTCCCCTTCGATTGCCTATGAACCTGTCTCACCTGACCTTGCCTTTAGTCAGCACCCGCACCACCAACAACAGCCACATCACCTCAGCTACCGTCACCACTCATCCTCACGCTCCACAGCCTCCTCTGACGCAAACCGCATCCGACGACAAGGCGACGCAACACGGTACTCTGACAGCGAAATCATGGACGAACCTCCCTCCAAGCGGTACAATCAACAGTATCACCCACAACATCGATACAGCGACGAGCCACCTTCACGTACCTCCCCACACCTCTCAATGGCACGCATGTCCATGGAAGACCGCCATCCTTCTTCAAGAGCCCATTCGCCGACACTTTCAACCAACAGTGCCCCTGAATCTTCTCTCCTCCCGTCTCTCTCCTTCACCTCGACGTCGTCTGTATCTGCAGCAGCAGCAGCAGAGTCCGCCGCCTCAGGGGCAACCGCAGTTACAACGACGACGACGGCTCTTTCCTTCTCCAAGGAGAACTCTGTCCTGTCCTTTACAAAGGGATCGACAACGGCCGAGGCCCGACAACAACGTCTTCCTTCCCAAGCTCCTTCTCAGACTCCCGCTGCAGCTGCAGCTCCTGCTTCTGCGCCTCCTGCACGAGAGCCACGGGATTCGATCCAGCTTCCATTCCGTGATTGCACACAGTCGTATACTGCGACAACGACGACAACGCCTGCGCAGACACATCAACAGCACCAATCACAAGCGCATGGCCTCATCCGGTCACCCTCTGATTACACGCATGACAGGAAGCGCGTGAAGCAAGGGATGCGGTACTCCTGCCTTGTACCCGGATGTCGTCTTCAGTTCCAGAATAAGAACCAGTTGGACAGTCATGTCTGGGTCTGTCGAGAAGTCAACAAGAACAAGATTGCTACCGGCGAGATTCCGGATGTTGTCATGACCGTGACCGGTTCTGTCAAGACCAAGAAGGAGGAAGAGGACGACGTGATGATATTCCACAACGACAGCATTAACCGCGCTCGGAGTAGTAACAAAGGCAAGTCTACTGGTAGACTTGGGGGCGTCAGTTCTGATGAAGGTGAATCTGGGGCCGGTTCGGGTGAGACAAGGGTATACCCGTGCTCGGAACCAGATTGCAAGTCCATCTACACGTCACTCGAGAGTCTGGCCCGTCATCGGTATCGACACACCAGCTTCACGACTGGAAGCAAGCTCCCCTGCACCTGGCCCGGATGCGACAAGATCCTGGCGACGACCAAAAGTCTGAAGGATCATCTTCAGATCCATGCAGAACGCGATGCTGGTATCCAGTTGGAGTGTCCTGTCCCCGGGTGTGGCAAGATCTTTGGAACACACCGCTGTTTGCGCGCACACGAGCTGCGGTGCAAGCAAGTCAAGTCTGGCGAGCGGTTGCCCTGCCCGATCGAGGGCTGCAAGGCAACCTTTGGTAGTACAGACTATGTCCGTCGCCACGTGCTTGACCACGAAAAGGGTCTGATTGGAGTCGAGTTCCGTTGCGACTACCCCGATTGTAAGTCCATCTTGGCCAACCCATTGACGTTGCAGCGACACAAGCAGCTCCACGAGGAGCAGGCTCTGGGATTTGAGTGGAAGTGTCTGGTGGACGGGTGCGGGAAGGTGTATTCAGGCAGCAAGCAGTTGACGGATCATCAGTCGAGGATCCATAAGGACCTTAGCCCTCTCTACCAGTTTGCGTGTCCTTACAACCAGTGCCGCGAGATGTTTGATTGTCAGCGCTCGGCGTACAAGCATGGGTGTCTCAACGAACGGTTGCAATCCCAACCTCCCTCCTCGTCCTCCTTTGATGCTCCAGCCGCTACTACTGCTTCTGCTAATGTTCCCTCAGCCCCATCTGTTTCATCACCACCACCATCGTCGCTGTCCCCCGTCAAAGTCCAGTCATCCCGCCCCAAGGTACAGTTCTTGCACTGTTTGCGCAGACATGATGACAAAAGACTAGGAGATAATGTTTACTAACTACAGCTTTGTATCATTCGTTTTGTACTACGTTAGATCCCTTGCACGATGGAAGGCTGCATCTGCGAATTATCAGATCAAGAGGAACTTGAGTCTCACCTGTGGATGCACAACACGTTGAAGACGCGACCACCGTATCCGTGCTTTGAGGAGGGCTGTTCCATGGTGTTTGACAACAAGCAGGATATCCTCTCTCATACGCTCACCCATTGAGTACATTACGATACCGAAACCACATCAAACAGCAACAAAAACAAAACAACACCACAACACAAATAAAATTCCCTCCACTCATCCACACAAACATACAGGCATACCATGCACAAAAAAAACGTACTGTAGATTGAAACCAAAGTGTTTGACACCATCCCATTCTTTTCACTTCTTGCTCTCAATACCACTAATCCCATCTCACTCCTACCCCCTTTCTCTCATCCCTCCTTACTCTCTACTCCTTCTTCATCCTTTTTCTTCTCTTCGCTTATGCTCCCCCCTTTTGTTTGTTAAGCAAGAAAAAAATCTTCTCCTATCCTTGAACCTTCTTTGATCTCTCCCTTCTCTCATTTCGAAGATCGTTACCTTCGCACGGAATAAAGTAAATGATTGGAGAAAAAAACAAGGATAAACATTGACGGACCGAAATGTATAGGCAAAGGCCGGTTTGACCATCAGGCTTGCCGTCTTTCCCCTCGTTTTTTTTTTTTTTTTTTTTTTTTTTTTTGCTTACTCCGTCTTCGACGTCTTTGTCATCTTCTTCCATTTATTTTCGTTCTAGTATTGAACATGAGAAGAATCTGAATGATAAAAAAGATAGAGTTTATGTTGATTCGAATGAATGCGACTCCAAATAAAAAAGATTGGGTCGATAAACTCTTTGGAACGTGCAATTGAAGCAAAGTTTTTTTTTTTTTTTGGGTTGTTTATTGGGGGTTTAAGATTGTGGCCAGCTGGGTTACAGAGTTTGGCTAGCTAGGCTGCATGGCAGGATCGTTTATTGTTGTTTTTTTTGAGAGTGTTTCTCTGCGTTCCTCTCGTTCGCTCCATGAGTGGAGACGAAACGGAAGAGAGAGAGAGAGAGATAAAAGAAAAATGGCATAATTGTCCTCTCGTTCCTTCGTGAGCAATTAGTAACCAAACAAAAAAAAATCACAACCACGAACGTGAAGGAGAAACGAAGATGCGAGAACCGAGAGAGAGAGAGAGAGAGAGAGAGAGAGGAGAGAGCGAGTCGGAAAAATGAAAAAAAAAAATGATGTTGTTGTGAGGCTCACAAACATTCCATTCCATGTGTATGCGGGATACAAGACGACGTATGGGAGGATCAACTGCAAAAGTTCAATGAAGCAAAAGAGAGGAGCAAAAGGAATGGTCCTCCCCCCCCCCCCCATGTTCCCTGCCTCACTTTTCTTCCATTTCTTTCCACCAATTCTTCCACCTTTTCCTCTCAAGTAAATTCCGTGTGAATTTTCTTTGGGTTGGTGGATAATTGAAAGCCAGCCAGCGAGCCAGCCCCTGATAAACCCTTTTCGACTTGGGGGGGGGGGTTCTTGACAATCCCTCCCTTCTTTTTTCCCACACATGGGCCAGGTAAGAGGTAAGAGGTAAGATAGGGGAGCAACGCCCACAAAAAAAATATATATAGGATTCGCGATGTTGTGTGGTTGCTCATAGAGTAGAGATACTTTATTGTACCACGTCAAAACATTCCCGCCAAAAAAAAGGGGGGACATAACTCCTCTTCCTCGTCCTACTTTCTACACTTGATCCCGGAAGTACTTCAAGAATGTACACAAAACGAAGGGGGCCTTAGATGATTTTTCTGTGATGTTTTTACAGAAGGAGAGAACAAAGGAAAAGCTTTTATTTACTTTTGAGAGAAAAGGAAAGGGAAGGGGGGGGGGGGAGGGGTATGAGAATGTAGGTGAACATCTCAGAGTGCAGAAAACACACGCTCTAAATTTAAGCAGAGATGATGACATTGCCCAAGTTATAGACCTCAAAGTCGGCAGGGTAAGCACCCTTGGTCAACTTTTGCTGCGAGGCAACAATAAGGGTATACGTGCTGGGAGCCAGGAAGACGGGCTTCTCACCAGGAACATCTTTAGGAAGAACCATTCCATGCCAATCAAAAACCGCGAGGGATAGCTCGCCCTCGCTGTCCAGGTCGGTCATACGGCCAGTGGGGAAGTGAGCAGTACCAGATTGCCCCGAGACCATGTATCCAAGGAACGCCTTGGTTGTGGGGTGGTGGACGCGGATGGTGAAGTTGGGGGTGTGGGAGGCGAAGCGGACAATGACGGTGGGGGCAGCCGTCTTGTAGTTGAAGGCGTAATTCTTGCCAGAGACTTCGGACAGCTCACCTTTCTCGTTGCGGACCGCAAGGAGAGGGAGGCCGGAGTCCTTGTCCATGATTGGGACCTTCTTGACGGAACCCTTGAGACCGATGTAAGAAACATGGACAGCGGGGGAATCCTCACGAGAGGGGGTAGCGACGACGTATCCAGAGTAAATAGGGAAATGCTTCGCATTACCAGCCTTGGGCTCCTTGAACGTGATGGTGACCTTGACAGACTTGCCAGCAGGGATCTTGACCTTGTTGGCAGAGAACTTGACGGTAGCATGGTCGGCCTCGATGATGGGCTTGGCGTGGGGCCACGAGTTGCCCTTGGAGTAAGAGTTCAGAGCATCGGCGGGAACGTGGGACAAGGTGTAGGTCTCGGTCTTCTTGCCAATGTTCTTAATGGTGATCTTCTGGACTCCTTGGAAGTTGTCAGAGTCGAGGAGGTCAAGGCGGTCAGGAGAGAGGCGGGTGGTGGTGGTCAAGGCGTTCCAGACATTGATCAAACCGGCACCCTGCTTGGCAGCAGAGACGTAGGTCTTGGAGCCCCAGTCCTTGGAGATAGTAGCAGTGTTCTTGAAGACACGGCGGATGTCGACACCGTTGGGCTTGGACTTGGTCTTCTCATAGTACAAAGCCTGGGATCCGACGTAGTAAGGGGTGGCCATGGAGGTACCCGACAAGAGGGCGTACGAACCCTTGGCACGAGGGTAGGAAGAGTAGATGTTTCCACCGGGGGCTCCAATATCGGGTTTAGAGCGGAGATCACCATCAAGACCATAGGAAGACATATCGGCGGGGGCTCCACCACCTTCAACCTTGACGCTCGAGGGATCCTTGGCCCAGGTAAGGACGTTCTTAGGGTTCTTCTTGTAGGCAGCAAGGAGAGCCTCGCCAGCACGGTTTTCGATCGAGGCCATGGGCAAACCAGGAGCACCAGCCAAGTTGGTCATGCCGAAGGGAGTGGAGGCAGCAAGGAGACCAGCAACACCGACAGTCTTGGCAACCTCACCACGTGCAACGGAGCCGCAGCGAGAGTAGTCACCAAGGACGAGGACGACCTTGCCCTTGACATCGAGGCCCTTGTAGGCGTTTGCGTCACATCCATCCTGAAGGACGCCAGCCTTGTCGAAGAGGGGGAACAAGGTGGCCGAGGCAGGGAGGCTAATGGCCTTACCCCAGGCAGATGCGAAGTTGTAGGGGTACTTGCCACCGGCATAAGAAACGGTGTAGTAGGCACCGTAGGCATTATCGAAGGAAGCGACCGAAGTGGAGGTCTCACCGAGACCAGTGTCGGAGACCATCCAAACACCCTCGGTACCGTCGTTTCCGGCAGCACCGGCGACGTTCATGCCGAAGGAAACGAGCTTGTCGGCGAGGACCGCGGTGGGGTTCTCCTTGTATGCAGATCCACCACCCAAGGACATGTTGATGATCTACTCAGAACGAAGGATGGTGTGTTTTTGGTGGCGTTAGTAAAAAAAGGGACAATTATGTACAACCCATTGACCAACGAATAAAGTAGTACTTACATCCATGCCGTCGTTGAAGGCCATCTCCATAGCAGCGAGGATGACATCGGTGTTAGTGTAACCCGAGCATCCAAAGATACGGTAGGCGCCAAAAGTAACATCAGGAGCGACACCAACCCAGGGAACAACAGGTTTAGGGCCGACCTTGATGTTAGAGGCGTTACCACCAACAATACCAGCGACGTGGGTACCGTGACCCTGGCAATCCATAGGGTCAGAGTCAGGAACAGGCACAGTGTCACCGTTATAGGCATCACCGACAAAGTCCCAACCATGCTTAACTCGGCAGCTCTTGCCATAGCGAGCGAAGCATCCCTCAGTGGCACCGGCGGCAGCGAAGGCGGGGTGCTTGTAGTCGATACCAGTATCAATGATTCCGACCTTGACACCCTTTCCGGTCAACTTGAGCTTCTTGTGGGCGGCATCAACACCGGTCATATGGTGGACAGAGTTGGCCTCATCAACCTTTCCACTGTTACTAGTGGTCTTGGGGACAGAGTAACGCTGGATGCGCCAGACGTGCTTGACACCGGGGACGGCAGCAAGTGCATCACCGTCATGGTCAGACGTGACGGTGATGGCAGCACCGTTGAAGACATCGTACTCGTTACGGACCTTGTAGTCGATGGCATGCTTCTTGAGGTTGGAGTGGGCGTTGGAACGGGAGACGCTGTCCTGGTATTGGATGATGTAGCCGTTGGGTTGGAGGTCGTACTTGGCGCCCTTGGGGATGTGGAACTTGCCTGCAGAGACCAGGGTGGCCGCTGCGAGGGCTGAAATAATAGCGAAGACCTTCATTTTTTGGTTGTATTTTGCTTGTTAGATGAGAAGGGATGGTCTGTCAAAGACTGTGAGGGGGTATGAAAGTATGAAAAGAAGAGAGGGAGGGAGGGAGGAGGGAGTGAAGGAGGATGGAGGGGCGAGGGAATGGAAAAGGAAGAGAGAGGGGTAAGGGTAAGGGTAAGGGTAAAGGGTCCTGAAAGGCAAAGAAAAAACCCCAAAAAAATGGGGACATGAAGAGTATTTATACTCCACCTAAAAGGCTTCCGTGGATTGACCGTTGAATGCAGTCAAGGGAACAACTTTGCCCAGGGGTATGAGATGGGAGAGGGGGAGAGACGATCCAGGGAGAGTAGAGCATGCATCCCCAACGGACAATGTTGAATGGGTAAACACCAGAGCGAAATTATTAAACAGCCAAGCAAGCTAACAAGACAAGTCAAGGTGAGCATCGTTGTGTGCGCTCAATTGCTCTCACATTTTTCTTAGACTCTCCCTGGTATTGTCTTTGCCAGGGAAACACAACAAACAAACAAACAAACAAACAAACAAAGAGCAGACCATCTACTGCTTTGTAGTATCTTTGCTTCATGATGTGCCACAAGGGCACAAGTCTTTTGCTTTCACTCTCTCCACTGTTTATCTCTTTTGCGTTCTCTCTATCTATCTTCCCGTTGCAGTTTTTCTTTTCGAGCATGACAACAATTGAAAGAAAAATTAGTGAAAGAAGAGCAGATGAGGAGAAGAGAAGAGAAGAGGAATGGGACAGAACCAACAGAGAAACGTGCTTCTACACAGAAGCAAGGGTAAGGAACAAGCCCGTTGATGAAATTAAATTGTGCATCAAAGACAACCAACAACAAACATAAACAAACAAACAAATAATCACCCATCATAGCAAGAAGAGTGTGCTATGGTGTCTTCCACTAGCTCAAATAGGAATAGAAACAACAACAAAAAAAAGGGTCTGGATTGCGCACTTTATTTCGCTATCCCTCGGGTTCGCGTGACTTGAGCGATCTTTTCATCGAGTCCGGGTTTCGTTTGTGCGTACCTTACCGTTGTTGATTTTCTTGTGAGCAATTTTTTCAATAAAGACATGGAGACAAGTGAACAGAAGGAAGGATCGGGAGACGGATAAATCAACGAATGGTTGACAAGAGGAGGACGAGAAGGAAAAGGAGGAAGGCGATGAAAGACGAAAAGATGAAGAAAAAGCGCCTCAGTTGAGAAGAAGGCATGAGGACTCGAAATCTCGTTCAGGGAAAGGAAGGAAACGAAATGAATAAAAAAGGGTTTGACAGGCTACAACCGTACAGGAGTATCAATGCAAGAGAACAATAAACATCATGAAAGTGCGAATGATCTGTACCCTGTTTTTGAGAGTAGCCAGAAGACCGTTTGAATGTGAAGAATAAGCGATGAATGAGTGTAGTGAGAAAGAAGTTCATCTTTCTCTCTCTTCAGGCCATTAAAACAGCACATAGTACAGAGATCGGCTCAGGAATTCCGCTTAATCACTCAGGGGTACCATTCCAGCAAAAGACCCAACTTAAAAAACACAAGTGCTACGGACCAATTGAATCGCATACCAGATAGGTGTTAGGTTTTTGAACCCGATCGTGTGTTTTTCTCTTTCCGCCACACACCTCTTCTCCCACCCACAGCGGCGTCGAGATCCTATATTCGATACCCATCAACGCTTGGCTCTCGGGAGACTCGGCAACGCCGCGGGTGCTGTAGACGCAATATATTCCCAATTTAGAAAACTGGGGCTGTGAAAACCCGTTCGCATGCATGGGAGCAAATGATTACTCACTAACGCATCCGTCGTCATGCTGTCATCCTCGTAAAAACTCGCAATTTGAAAAAATGTGCTTCTCATGCACCACTGTTGCGGCAGTTAGTCTAGTTACGTTGTCAGTCAGCTCACCAGCGCTCGTCATTAGTGTGACCCATTTCTTGATTCTCTAGGAGAAAAGGCCTTCAGGGCTCGCCAAAGGTTTGACAAGAACACACAGGAAAAAAAGTGCAAATGAAAACAATGTTTATTTGTGTACCTGTGGTTGTCTTCATCAAACGCGCTCTAAAAATGAAGAAATGGGTAGCGATACGCGCATGTCCACCCGGGCATAACAAAATGTGATGGGACACAGAGACAAGATCCATTTTTGTATGATTGCAGAACGTGTTTGATCACGTCCCTAGAAGAAGACACCATTACCATCTTTTTTTATTGAGATAGAGAGAGAGAGAGAGAGAGAGAGAGAGAGAGAGAGAGAGAGAATGTATGTAGGGTATACGTTACGAAGAGGAGGAAGGAGAGGGAGGATAGAAGCATTACTAGTGAAAACGAATGAAAAAAAGGTCGCAACATTTTTTCTTTAAGCAGAGACGTTGAAGGTGCCCAAGCCAAAGACCTCAAAGTCGGCGGGGTAAGCGCCCTTGGTCAACTTGCGCTGGGAGGCAACGTAGATCTTGTAAGAGCCAGCACCCAACTTGACAGGCTTGGAGGAGAGGTCCTCGGTCTGGAGGACAAAACCGCGCCAGTCAAAGGTGGCGGCAGAGTACTTGCCCTCGTCCTGGTTGGTCATGCGACCGGTCGCACCGAGAGCAACGTTCGAGCCCGAGACGACGTAACCCAAAAACTTGTCGGTCTTGGCATCGTGGATACGGATGGTGAAGTTGGGGGTGTGGGAGGCGAAGCGGACAATGACGGCGGGGGCAGCCGTCTTGAAGTTGAAGATAAAGTCCTCCGAGGGGATATCCTCGAGGTCGCCGTTCTGCCTGCGTACACCGGCCAAGGGGAGACCGAGATCGGTATCCATGATGGGAACGTTGCGGACCTTGCCCTTCAATCCGATGTAGGGAACATGGACAGCGGGGGAATCCTCACGAGAGGGGGTAGCGACGACGTATCCAGAGTAAATAGGGAAATGCTTCGCATTACCAGCCTTGGGTTCCGTGAAGGTGACAGTGACCTTGACAGACTTGCCAGCAGGGATCTTGACCTTGTTGGCAGAGAACTTGACGGTAGCATAGTCGGCCTCGATGATGGGCTTGGCGTGGGGCCAGGCGTTACCCTTGGAGTACGAGTTCAAAGCATCGGCGGGAACGTGGGACAAGGTGTAGGTCTCGGTCTTCTTGCCAATGTTCTTAATGGTGATCTTCTGGACACCACGGAAGTTGTCAGAATCGAGGAGGTCGAAGCGATCAGGGGAAGCATGAGTGGTAGTGGTCAAGGCGTTCCAGACGTTGATCAAACCGGCACCCTGCTTGGCGGCAGAAGCAAAGGTCTTAGACTGGAAGTTCTTAGAAATGGTGGCAGTGTTCTTGAAGACACGGCGGATGTCGACACCGTTGGGCTTGGACTTGGTCTTCTCATAGTACAAAGCCTGGGATCCGACGTAGTAAGGGGTGGCCATGGAGGTACCCGACAAGAGGGCGTACGAACCCTTGGCGCGAGGGAAAGTAGAGTAGATGTTTCCACCGGGGGCTCCAATATCGGGTTTAGAGCGGAGATCACCATCAAGACCATAGGATGACATCTCAGCGGGGGCTCCACCACCTTCAACCTTGACGCTCGAGGGATCCTTGGCCCAGGTAAGGACATTCTTGGGGTTCTTCTTGTAGGCAGCAAGGAGAGCCTCGCCAGCACGGTTTTCGATCGAGGCCATGGGCAAACCAGGAGCACCAGCCAAGTTGCTCATACCGAAGGGAGTGGTGGCAGCAAGGATACCAGCAACACCGGCAGTCTTGGCAACCTCACCACGTGCAACGGAGCCGCAGCGAGAGTAGTCACCAAGGACGAGGACGACCTTGCCCTTGACATCGAGGCCCTTGTAGGCGTTTGCGTCACATCCATCCTGAAGGACGCCAGCCTTGTCGAAGAGGGGGAACAAGGTGGCCGAGGCAGGGAGGCTAATGGCCTTACCCCAGGCAGATGCGAAGTTGTAGGGGTACTTGCCACCGGCATAAGAAACGGTGTAGTAGGCACCGTAGGCATTATCGAAGGAAGCGACCGAGGTGGAGGTCTCACCGAGACCAGTGTCGGAGACCATCCAAACACCCTCGGTACCGTCGTTTCCGGCAGCACCGGCGACGTTCATGCCGAAAGAGACAAGCTTATCGGCAAGAATCGAAGTGGGGTTCTCCTTGTATGCAGATCCACCACCCAAGGACATGTTGATAATCTATGTCGATATGAAAGAAATAGAGATTTTTGGTGGCGTTAGTAAAATTGGTCACTTATTTACAACCTTCTCTTTCATTCACGATTACAACATCCAAAGAATAAAAGAGATACTTACATCCATGCCGTCGTTGAAGGCCATCTCCATAGCAGCGAGGATGACATCGGTGCTGGTGAAGCCCTCGCATCCGAAGATACGGTAGGCACCGAAGGTGACACCAGGGGCAACACCAACCCAGGGGACGAGGGGTTTGGGGCCGGCCTTGATGTTAGAGGCGTTACCACCAACAATACCAGCGACGTGGGTACCGTGACCGCCGCAATCCATGGGATCACTATCGGGGATGGGGTTGTTGAATGAGGTGTAAGCATCACCAACAAAGTCCCAACCATACTTGACACGGCAGTTCTTGCCATAGCGAGCGAAGCATCCCTCAGTGGCACCTTCGGCAGCAAAGGCGGGGTGCTTGTAGTCGATACCAGAGTCAACAATTCCGACCTTGACACCCTTTCCGGTCAACTTGAGCTTCTTGTGTGCGGCATCAACACCGGTCATGTGGTGGAGAGAGTTCTCCTCGTCGACCTTGCCGCCACTGTTACTAGTGGTCTTGGGGAGCGAGTAGCGCTGGATGCGCCAGACGTGCTTGACACCGGGGACGGTGGCAAGGGCCTCACCATCATGGTCAGACTTGACGGTGATGGCAGCACCGTTGAAGACATCGTACTCGTTACGGACCTTGTAGTCGATGGCATGCTTCTTGAGGTTGGAGTGGGCGTTGGCACGGGAGACGTTGTCCTGGTATTGGATGATGTAACCGTGGGGCTGGAGCTCGACGGTGGCATCCTTGGGAATGTGAAACTTGCCTGCAGAGACCAGGGTGGCCGCTGCGAGAGCGGAGAGAATAGCGGTGATCTTCATTGTTTAGAGGAGTGTGCTTCTTTTGTAGGGAAAAGGTCTGTCAAAGACTGTGAGGGGGTATGAAAAGGAGGAGGGGGAGGGGCGGGGGGAGGATGGAGGAGGGGAAGGTAAGGGTGGTGTATGTGTGTAAAGAGTCCTGAATGGCTAAAGAATAAAAAAATGGGAGATGGAGAGATACTTATACGCTGGGTTGATGGCAAACGGTATTCACACGACATACACCTGTGAAATTATGAACCGTAACCAGGTCAAAGAGAGTACTCGAACTCAACTGATTCGGTTGTCCCCTCTGGCCCCTTTCCTTTTCATAACTTACCCACGAACACTACTATGATAAGAATAAAAAGGGGCGCATAGGAAGACGAAGTAGGGTCAGGATCAGTGGCAGATGGAGATGGGAAAGAGAGCTAGAGCAAAGAGACAGAGGGAAATGTGTTCACTCTCCTTCCCAACGGACAACAGAACAATATTGAAAAACAACAGGCACAGGTGAATGTAAACTGGCAGTCTATCGATCGATGGCGACATGTGTATGTACTGTATGTATGCGCGCCCAATTGCTCTCAACTTTTTTTTTCTCTTTGTCAAAGAGATAGGGGGGCGCCAGAGAGGGTGAGAGTGAAGGTGCACATCTCTGTTCTCACTTTCTCTTTTCTCATTCCCTTTTGCTCTGTACCAGGTACACAACAAAACATGGGGTTGCTCTTTCTCTCCTTTCCTCGGTTTTCCGTTTGGCTTCCGCTTCGCATTTCATTGTATCTTTGCATGGTATTAACATGAGCACAAAGGAGATACCCATTTCACCACATATACCTCTTGGCCCTTCCTTCTCTCTCGCATTCTTCCAAACTCCCTTCATTGTTGAGCAAGTCAATGACAGGAAAACTTACAAACATGACAATGGAAAAGACAAACCACTAAAACAATTAAGGAAGATGAAGACAGATATAGGAAGAAAAGGTACATCGAAATTAGTTGGGTCATAGAAAAAAAAGACGACAGCAAACAAACAAAAACAACGGCCATCTATGAAAAGACAGAATGAATGTGGCTGTATGTTGCACCGAAACTCAAAGTTCAAAGAAGAGACCAAAAGCTAGGTCTGTATTGCATGGTTTGTCCCTTCCCTTTTTTCTTTCACTTTCCTTCGGGTTCGTTGGGTTGGGTCTACTTGCGCCCCGCCTTTGTTTTTCACTCATTCCCTCTCCCTTTAACTTTTTTTGTTGTGAGCAAATTTCGGCGAGAGAAGAGAGAGGAAGAAGAGTCGACCAGGGACAGGGACATTGAGAGAGAGAGTTGAGAGCCGTGCATGTGGACTCGACACTCTTCTAGAAACCATAGGATTGGCCAATTAGACACACCGATTGGATATGAACTTCAAGGGAAAGCCAAAGGACATGTGTGCATAGGCAGAGGGAGGATAAGCAAGTGGAACATGGAAGTGGACAACACAAACATACAAACAACGCAGATGAGATAAATTGTGAGCACAACTACGAGATGAGAGGGAGAGGGGACGAGAAGAAGAGACAACAATGAAGATGATGAGGAGAGAGAAGTTGCTCACAGCCAACAGGAACACATCCATGGAACTGTTTCTTCGGCCTCATGACAAGCTGTGGCGTCGGTGCAGCCAATGCGCGTCCCCTAGTACCATTCTCATTTGGAGAGGAATGGGCAATGGAGAAAAAACAGGAGGAAGAGTTGGCTGCTGCTGTAAATGCTGCGACATGCAATTAACGGAGGGATGGTGCTGGGTAAGCGAGATGGAGTGAACTTATCTTGTCGCGTTAAAAATAAGCATCTCTTTGCCACACTATTCGCGAGATGGCTTCCCAGAAACCAATCCTCGTCGTCTTGCCACTTCTTTCTCTTCTTCAGCTGCCCATTTTTCATTCTTCTTTAGTATTCCTATCCCGTCTTTCTCTCCCCAACAGCCTACTTTACATTATGTGCGTTTGTTAATTCATTCGCGGTAACGATTTCCGTTTCTCATGAACTGAGCATAACACTGAAACCAAAACATACCAAAAAAAAACACATCAAGAAATTACCAGGCGAACATATTTTCTCTGAGCACCCTGCAGGAATAGACTGGTCCAGTGAAAACGGCTCTCATCTCTTTTGCCTTCGAGGGACCCCTCAACGGCGCCATCTTTCTTCAGTCCGTGGAATGGATTGGAAAATGGCATGGAAGACGATCTAATCCAGATATGGTAAACTGGGTGCAAACTTATATGGAAGGATGAAAGAGAGCACTGTTCTGTCCGTCCCTAAATCAAGGTTCTTTGGGCAGAATGAGCTCATTCGTGTCTTTTGTTGTTTGCTGTTAGACTAGACAGCCTCTATTACTTGGTACATTCCACCCCAAACCAACATTCGCCTCTTGTCTTCGGTATTGTGTGCTCTAGGTCATGGCTGTTTCATTTTGTTGACTCAAACGATTAATGATGATGATAGAAAAGACAAAAAAAATAGAGTTGAGAGACAATTTGTTGCTTGTTTTCCGTTTGTGTTTGGTCCATGTGCTTGTGTGCATTGTCGAGCGAAAGTAGCGAGAAGAAAGGAAGGGATTGGGGTGACTGAAAAGCTCATTGCTTCGCCTCCAGAAAGGTCCCTCCAATATCACTTTTTGTGCACACAGTAGAAGAAAAATAAGTGGTGGGGGGTCACCCCATCTCTAGATTTCAATTAACGGCTACATCGTGAAGGTACGATCACGGCGAAGTACCAATTGTTTATTTATCATCAAGAAAAGAGTGGGGAGAAGAAAGGGGAGAAAAAGGGATAGGGGAATAGGATGGGAGAAAAGAGAGAGCGTAAGGGGGGTATGGGAATCAGTAAAGAGTCTAATGAGAGACTTCAAAAGTACCAAGGTCAAAGACCTCATAATCGGCAGGGTAAGCGCCCTTGGTCAGTTTCTTCTGGTTCGCAACCACGAGTTTATAACTGCCAGGACCCAACTGGACAGGAGCAGTCGCATTAACAGTCCCCCAGACCTCTCCACGCCAATCGTACTGTCGAGCATCATGCTTGCCATTCGCGTCCAGGTCGGCGTTACGACCTGTGGGGCCAAAAGCGGCACCCCACCAAGCGGTGAAGACATATCCGAGGAACTTTTTAGTCTTGGCGTCAAAGACTCGAATGGAGCCGTCGGGGCTGTGGGAACCATAGCGAACAATGATGGTGGGTGCGGCGGTTTTGAAGTTGAAGACAAAGTTGGGTGTGGGGACCTCGATCACGGTACCATTGGCTTGGGTGACAGCTAAGGATGGGAATCCGAGATCTGTGTCCATGATGGGCATCTTGCGGACATCACCCTTGAGACCGATGTAGGGGACATGGACAGAGGGAGAGCCCTCGGTGGCAGGGGTGGCGACGACATATCCCGAGTAGAGGGGGAATTGAGCAGCGTTACCATTCTTGGGTTCCGTGAAGGTGACAGTGACCTTGACAGACTTGCCAGCAGGGATCTTGACCTTGTTGGCCGAGAACGAGACCGAGGCATAATCAGCCTCAATGGCGGGTCGAGCATGAGGGAAGACATTGCCCTTGGTGTACGAGTTCAGTGCGTCAGCAGGCGTGTGGGACAAGGCATAGGACTCAGTCTTCTTGCCAACGTTCTTGATGGTGATCTGCTGGGTCTTGCGGAGGTTGGCAGAGTCCAACAGGTCGATATGGTCAGGAGAAACATGGGCAGAGGTGGTCAGGGCGTTCCAGACGTTGATCAGACCAGCCCCTTGCTTGGCTGCAGAGGCATAGGTTTTGGAACCCCAGTTCTTGGAGATCGTGGCTGTGTTTTTGAAGACGCGGCGGACGTCGAGACCCGAGGGCTTAGACTTTGTCAGCTGGTAGTACAAGGCCTGGGCACCCGCATAGTAAGGAGTAGCCATTGAGGTACCGGACAACAGCGCATACGAACCCTTGGCGCGAGGGTAGGCAGAGTAGATGTTCCCGCCGGGCCCTCCAATATCGGGTTTGGAGCGGAGGTCGCCATCGATACCGTAGGAAGACATGTCAGCGGGAGCACCACCACCCTCGACCATGACCGTGGAAACGGTTTTGGACCAGTTGAGAACATTCTTGGGGTTCTTCTTATAGGCAGCAATGATGGCTTCACCACCGCGGGCCTCGAGTGACGCCATAGGCAGATCGGCAACACCAGAAAGGAGGGTCATGCCAAAGGGAGTGCTGACGGCGAGGACACCGGCGACACCGAGGCCCTTGGCAATGTCACCACGACCGATTGAACCGCAACGAGTCAAGTCACCAAAGAGTAGGACAACCTTGCCCTTGACATCAAAACCTGTGTAGGCAGCTACATCACATCCATCCTGGAGGACACCGGCCTTGTCGAAGAGAGGGAATATCACGGCCGTGGCAGGTAGATCGATGATTCTGGAGTTGCCCCAGGCCACGGAGGGGTTGTAGGGGTATTTGCCGCCGGCATATGAGACGGTGAAGTGGGAGCCGTAGGCGTTGTCGAAGGAAGCGACTGAGGTAGCAGAATCACCCAGGGCGGTATCGGCGACCATAGAGACTCCTTGGGCACCGTCGTTACCAGCGCAGCCGGCAATGTTCATACCGTGGGCGATCAGTTTCACGCCTAGGATGGCCATGGGGTTGTTTTTGAAGGCTGGCCCACCATACAGCGACATATTGATTATCTATGTCGAGGAGAGAGAATGGGAGAGAAAGAGAGAAGGTAGGAATAATAGAGGCGGCGTTAGTTTCTGTAGGCGACCATCCTTTTCTTTTGGTCAAATAAAAAAAAAAGGGCAAAAACTAAAAAACGACCTACATCCATGCCGTCATTGAAGGCCATCTCCATAGCAGCGAGGATGATGTCAGTACCAGTCCTGCCCTCACATCCAAAGATACGATAGGCACCAAAGGTCACCTCAGGGGCAACACCAATCCAAGGAATAATAGGCTTGGGACTCGTCTTGATGTTCATCTCATTTCCACCAACAATACCAGCAACATGGGTACCATGTCCATTGCAGTCCATAGGGTCGGCATCTGGAACAGGGGTGTTGAGAGACGTGTAGGCATCACCAACAAAGTCCCAGCCATACTTGACACGACAGTTCTTGCCATAGCGAGCAAAACATCCTTCAGTAGCACCGGGAGTAGCAAAGGCAGGATGCTTGTAGTCGATACCGGTGTCAATAATTCCGACCTTGACGCCTTTGCCGGTCAACTTGAGCTTCTTGTGGACAGCGTCAACACCAGTCATATGATGGACATTCATTGACTCAGTCGAGGTACCATTATGCTTGGCAGGCTTGACGTCAGGGTGAGAGTAGAGGTGAATAGGCCAGACATTCTTGACGCCGGGTACGGCAGCAAGGGCGGCGCCGCCGTGATTGGATTTGACAGAGATGGCGGCACCGTTGAAGATGCCGTACTCGCTGCGGACCTTGTAGTCGATGGCATGTTTCTTGAGGTTGGCGTGGGCGTTGGACCGGGAAACGTTGTCGTGGTACTCGATGATGTAGGCGTTTGGGAGGGTGTCGGATTGACCTTGGCCAGTAGTGGATAAGTGGAACTTGCCGGCGGAGACCAAGGTAGCCGCAGTGAGGGCAGAGAGGATTGCGGTAATTTTCATTTGCGTAAGGGGAGTTTGGGGCCTGTAGAAGACTGTGAGGGGGTATGAAGAGGGACGGAATGAGAGAGGGAAGGACGTGAAGGAGGAGAGAAGAAGTGGAGGTGGGCGGAGGGAGAGGGAGAAATGTATGGAGTTCGATTTGGCTAAAGAAAAAAAGAGGGGAATCCATTCAGGGTCGCAATAGGTATTTATGTCTCACCAGAAGTGAGAATGGTCGCGTTCACACGGAATACAGCCACGGGTATATGCAGGGTGTGAATTGGCTAGTTTGTCGTTCTGTGTGTACGATTTTACATTGGCGCCAAGGAGACAGTAGACATGTGTACGTGCGTGTGGGTACAAAATGTATATGCACCTTAGACGTTGACAACGGAAAAAGGGCTCCATTGCGATAGGATCATAGGGTGAGGGAGAGAAAGAGGCAGGGACTATCGTGGCAAGGGACACATCGATGAACCAATTGCTCTCGACTTTTTTTTTGATGAGAAAAAATAGGGATGGACATACTTCAAGCCAACTATGACTTCAGGTTGTTGAACACTCATGCATACTTTATACACACCCTCTCAGATTGCTCTGAAGGGACAAACAAACACATCCGCCCTTTTTGTCTTCTTTACGGTGAAACAGCCAGACGGGACACCGCGCCCTTAACATAAGAGTGAGATCGGCTCTTATGTTGAGTTTTCTATTCAGAAAAAAATACCAGGCATCTACGCCGTGTAAGAGAGAAAATCTCTAACTTTATTTCTATTTTGCACGGCCTCTATGACCATTTTGAATGTTCTATCTTACACAGCGTAGATGTCTGGGAATTTTTTCTCAAAATCAAAACACATTGAATTGAAAAGGATAGAAACTCAACATAAGAGCCGATCTCGCTCTTATCTTATGTCAAGGGCGCGGTGTACAGTAGAGTAGGTAAAGAGGAGTAATCTCGATTTGAAATGCATCAAGGCAATGAAGTGAGAAGGATGCGGTACATAAGAGGACAGGATGGGTTTGCGATTTCATTTGTGCAACCACCTACAATAAAATGAGCAACACTACATTACTAAAATGCTCAATGTTAGTTGGGTGCCATGCAATGCACAATGCCAGCCCTTTCTTTTTCTCACATCTACGCTCATCACACGCATCTCTACCTCTTTTAAGCCTATAAGATGGCTTCTCTCTTTTTCCTCCCTCTCGCTCTCGCTGCTTGATGACCCGCGATTGATAAACTATCGCCACTATCCTTCATTTTTCTTTGATGGCCTTGAGAGCTTCCTATTTTCTCTCATTCATTCCTAAATATGGAAAGCGTAGGTTGAAACAGCAGTTTGCCGAGTGAGGGAAACGTAGTGATGAAAGGGAGGAGTGTGAAAAGTAGGCAACAAGGGAGAGGAATGAAGTGAGTGAAGGAGAAAGTGAAGAGTCATGTATCGAGCCAACAGGAATTATTTTCGCAGATGCAATTCTTTTAATCTTGAGTGTGATACGCCCACTGTCTCTTGTGTACATTTCGATTAGTGCGTGGCCTCTATTCACCCCATTAACCATTCACGAAATGCAGAAAAAAATTGTCTCTCCTTCCCATCTCATTTCTGTCCGACCTAGTATTATGCATTTTTCTGTGGAATCAGGTACGCAGTGAAGAGGACGGTCTTTTTCTCGACGCCACAAAAATGCCACGGAGGGTAATTTAGTTGTTACCTTCGCCTTCATCCCTGTATGTTCCCCTTCCCTCTGCTGAAAGTCAAAATGCTTCATCATCTTTGTATCCCTCCCACAAACAGTTCTCCTCTGGGACCAAAATCACCATTGCTTCCTCATCTACATTGCAGCATCACTCGTATGGATATTTGACAAGTATTGAAGAAAGGACGATTCCCATCTTGGTGTGGTGTAGGGAGAATGATGTTTGTTCTAATAGCGTTGGTTAACATTTCATCTCTCTGCTATCGAAAAAGCGGGGTGAGCAGATAGGCAACACAATAGGGCTGATGAGAGAAAAATAAGCAGAGACTACTCAGGGGCAAGTCCAGGCATTCCGCTCTGTCGACAAGAGTATTCTGCCCAGCACCGTTCCTCTCGCCACTCCGGAAGAGGTAATCCACCTCGACACCCGGCTCGACCCCGAGACGCGGAAGGAAATCGTGCTCTGGGACGATATCCTCCAGGCGTTCAAGAATGCGGAGCTGGTTCGAGAAACATATTGATATCCTTCTCTTTTGACAATGACAAAAACTGCGTAGTCTTCAGACTCGCAGGATTGCTGCTGTGCCGAACATCATTTTAGATGCAATTATCGATACTCCATCAATCGACACGCAGGTAGCTCGCCTGCTCTTTTCATTTGTGAGTGTTATTTACCGCACAAGGCGAAGAGAGAACTAACAAAACAATGAAGTTTTTTCTACCCAGGACACCTCTTCTGAGGCCACCTCCGCTGTCCGACGGAAACCAGTCTACGGCCATGAAGAAACGGCAATGGACTACTACTCTAATATCGACAAGCCTCTCGCGTTTCCATCGGCTCGAGGACCACAAGCAGCCTTGGACGATCAAGCAGACTCGCCAATGATCTTCCCGTCCTTCCCCACCCAACAACGGCAACTACCCTCACCTGCGAGGACTCCAAAGCCCAATAATGGCTACAAAGAGGAACTAGGCTCAGCTTGGCATAAACGCCAACCAAGGCGACAAGGCCGCGCAAATCGCGCGCGGTGATATGTACAGGGACGGCAATGGCATCCCACGAAACGAAGAGGCAGCCTTGGACTAGTGCCTCCAAGGCACGGGGCAAGAGATCCTATCAGCCAGATCAGACTACCTGTAACAAAACGAGGACGGGCGAGAGTGAGAACGGGAGGAACGAGGAAACGAGGGAGCGACAAACGAGGGAAGGGGACGATTATGTAGTCATACTTTGTTTAATAAAGACTTGTATCAACTAAAGAACTAAGCTGCTATCGCTACAAGTATTTATCGGTACAAACGATCTCTGCGTCAGAGAGGCTTATAAAGTTCTTCAAAACTCCGGACGTTTGAGAGCAATCGACAGTGCACTGGAAACGAGGTACAGAGCCATGTGGTTGTTCCAGGTACATCTGTGATTGGCAAAATCCGCCTTCCTAGTGCACGGTATCCAAGACGCACCCCATCAAAGGACCACCGCTCTCAAAGCTTATCGACAACCTCAAGCAAGCAAGCTGGATTCCCCCTCCTGATGACCCTCGGCTTATCTTCGTCGTCCCTTGTTTTCACCAACAGGTAACGATCGTTTCCACAATATGGGGTATGTGTTTTATTATTTCTCTTTACGTTTACTTCAAATGCTCCTTCCTCTTTCAGTTTCTTTCTCCTCCTTCCTACAAGCCCACATCTACCAAAACTCGCACCTGTTGGCAGGGTTCATAGGTGCCACCCGCCTTTTTCTCACTCTGTGCGACATGCAATTGACGTTGCGTCCCATCCTTTTTTTTTTCTCTTCTTAACAATTAAGCGCAGTAGCAGGCGCGCACGGAGGGAAGAAGAGCTGGGTCTAGACAAGAACGACATCGTCGATTTTTGACAAAGAGGACTGCTATTCCATCCCTCTCACTCTCACACGACCTGATCTGTGGTCAAGTAAGCATGGCACTTTGACGTCTCTTGAAATAAAAAGAAGGTATCACTATGTTCGTACCCCCCCCCCCCCCACCCTTGTACCACCAAGAGACGACATATAGAAAATTTCCTTTTCGGTCGAGCTTTCCCTCTTTCTTGTCATGCCTCGACATGTTTACCGAGAAAACAAAAAGAGAGAGATGTTTTATGCCAAGGGTCGACAAAAAGTTGAAAGACAATGGCTTAGTTGAGGCAATAAGAGGAAGGAGTTTTATTGCTGTTCTCGATCATTGACTGTGGTGGCAACGACAAGGCTCAAGGCCCTACGCGCGTCCCAAGGTGGGCTGAGATTGAAAAATGAGGGAGACGACAGTGCCCAGTTGATTTGCATGCGGATGGGCTGTGAGGCTCAGTTAATTGCTTCCCTTTTTTCACCACAAACGACCTTCCGAGTGGCATCTGCCCGCTCCTCCACGGTGGCTAATGAGTGCTTTGCCTTGCTTCGCCTGTTCATAGGCGTTTTGTTCAAAAGTCGACAACATAACTCGCCAGCGAGCGTGCGAGGAGGCAAAGGCAGTCCCTTCGGCGGTGGAGCGCATAGGCCACTCTTCTCCCCATATTGGATCGCACAGATAAATAGACGGCCATCGCCCACTTAGCCTTTTATATCATCATCAACAGCTGCATTGCAAAGCAACAACCAAAAAAAAAGAACTAGAGCTAGTATCCTACATCGCAAAGACAAACAGTTACATCACATCACTTCACAGCACCCCTCCTCCACTCCTCACCATCCCTCCACCTCCCAGTCCTCAACCATGCCAGTGTGCAACGTGTTCACAAACCCCAAATTCTGGAAGACATTCTTCCTCGAGAACCAGTACTCTTACGACCAGATCCCGGACCTGACCGGAAAAATCGCCATCGTCACCGGCGCAACCGGCGGACTCGGCTACGCCACTGTCGTCGCCCTTGCCGCCCACGGTGCTCACGTCTTCCTTGCCTGTCGTTCCCGCGATCGTGCCGAGGCTGCAATCCAGCAGGCTCAGGCTGACATCCTGCAGCTCCAGTTCGATCATCCCAATGGGCACTACCCTTCTGCTTCCTCTGCTCCAGCGGCCGAGAAGGGGTTGACAGGCTCGGTAGGACATTCTCAGCCATACCCGTTCCAGTCGTCGACTTTCAATCCGAAACTCGAGTTCCTGGAACTGGAATTGGGTCAGATGGACAAGGCCCGTGCCGCAGCCGAGGCCTTCTTGACCAAGGGTCTCCCGCTCCATATTTTAGTCTGTAACGGCGGGATCAAGAACCGTCCCTTTGAGTTGACGCCTGACGGATACGAAAACCATTTCGGAATCAACCATCTGGGTCACTTTGTCTTCACGACTACACTTCTCGACCGAATTCGTCAATCAGGTCCGGCCAGAATTGTGATCCTCGCCTCATTCGCTCACGAGATGCCCTCCTCCTCCAACCCAATCTCATTCGACCTTCTCCGCAACCCGACCACCAACCAAGCGACCTTGATCCGCTACGGTCAATCGAAACTCGCTAACGTCCTGTTCGCAAAGGCTCTGACTCGCCGCTTGGCAGGTGACCAGGTCTGGGTCAACATTGCCCATCCAGGTTGTACGGATGCTCAGATCCATATGGCCGTCGATGAGATGAAGGACAATCGATCGTTCTATGCGTTCAGTCGGCTGTGGTTGAAGACCAGTTATCCTGTCAAAGAAGCCGCGTTGACACAGTTGTTTTGTGCGACGGCGGCGGAGGTGGAAGGGAAGGATTTGAGAGGGAGGTATTTTATCCCGGTCGCGAATGAGATGAGACCGAATCCGGTGTCGGAGAATGTTGCGTTGCAGGAGAAGTTGTGGACGTATTCGGAGCAGGCTGCTCGTGGTGAGCATGGTAGTAAGTTTTGAGGATAAAGGTGGGAGGTGACAGAGAGAGAGAGAGAGAGACGCGTGATGATGGGGATGGAGATAAAGACGCGTGATGATGGAGATGGAGAGAAAGACGCGTCCGTGATTGTGATGATCAGTCCAGGCCTTTTGTGGGATTTTTGTTCTTTTTCATAGCTTGACCGATTAAAGTCACTTCCATTACTTTTTCTTGCAGTGCATAGTTCACGCGCACTTTTCCTTTATTTCAATCACTGCAACCATTTCTCTCTCTCTCTCTCTCTCTCTCTTTCTCTCTCTCTCTCTCTCTCTCTCACACACACACTTTCTCTTTCTCTTCATCACTTTCCCTCTCTTGTCCCTCCTCATCCCCAGTTCTGAAAAAAGGACATACGCGCACATATTGTTTGGCCGAAAGATTAAATAAAGAAAACGTACAAATAAATAACAGAAAAAAACAAGACTAGCACATACTCACAAAAGAGAGCACCTGAAGAAAAAAAAAAGAAAAAAAAGAAAAAAAAGGGAGGACGATGGCATACATGCACAGACAGCCATCATCCCTGAGCGGACAGCAATATCACCTACATCGTCACACACAGCCTCAAAGGTCAGCCATCCTTTCGCCGCCTGTGAGTGACAGTAGTGGCAGTTGTAGTGGGGCTGAGAATGAAACGAGCCAGAACGAGGAACAGCAGCAACAGATCCTTACCAGCACTTGGAGACTCAAACTCCGTCAACAAGCAATGACCCAGACTCAGGCACGGACACAGCAGCAGCAGCAGCAGCAGCAGCAGCTGTCAAATGGCGATATGGCGCATGCGACCCCCAAACCAAATCACTTCCCGACGAATGAAAATAAAGGCCAGAACCAAAACCAAGTCGCCCATGAAAAAGAATGGAGTACTCCCCCCGCTGCAATGGCCCGCAACCTACTGAAGAGCTTTGGCCCACCATCAACATCATCATCCAACAACATAGGGAGAAGCAGCTCAATCACTACAACTACCCACACAACAAAAGAAGTGAAAAGATCTTTGGAAAGAGCTTTTGCGGCGTGTGAGTATAATGACCCAGTCAAATGGACGATCCAAACTCTGTTCGAGATTGGAACTCGTTGTGCACAACAGACAAAGACGATGGAACTGCATGAGGAAGATGAAAAGAGGGCCTCTCAGGCTGTGATTGACGTGTTCCATGCTTACAGGAACAGATGGATCTGGCACGATGCTATCTCGATTGGGAATGAGAATGGCATCAAAGACCATAACAATAATAGTGGAAGCAGCAACGATAATGGGCGAGCTTGTTCGATTGAACATACGTGTGGTGATGCGGACAAGAAGAAAATAGACAATGGTGATGGTGGTGACTTGATCTCGTTGGAGGAGAGTGATGAGGAAAAAGAGAAGGAGAACCTGAATGATTCCAAGCAGAAATCAGCGCAGAAGAGCGGACATGAATTACACCATAAAAAAGGACGTTTTCGCCCCATCACACAGACTCATCGTCAGATGTTCCTAGATGCAATCTTGGAGGGAAAGAGTGCCCTGCAGGTCTTCCTTTCCATAGACACCTTTGGGCTGAACGACTCCCTCTCCATGTTGCCTCCCATGAGAGGTATTAAAAACAACAATACATCAGGTGTAATTGAATACGAGAATGTTGAATCGAATGGAAATGGTGATCAAAATACGAATGGTAATGGACAACAGAGGGGCAGTGGCGCAGACTATGGATCGCTTCTCGTAATCAACTTGATCCAACACGAGTACTTGCATGCCGCCATCCAAATGACGTCTCGCCTCCGTGATCTCCAACATCACCGCCATCCCAACCAACAACAAAATGGAGACAGAGAGATAAAAGAAGGGCAAAATGACAAGGGAAAAAACAATGTGACATTGACATTTGCGCAAGAGCTACTGGCAAGCCGTTTGCTCGACAAGGGTCACCCAGACTTTATTCATCTGTTCGTCAACAGTGACCGCGAGCTTTGTCGCACAGTCCTACAAATGATTGATTCTCGATTCGCGGGTCTGATCTGGGCTTGGATCGAAGGGGAGGTTGTTGATTCGTCCCTGTTGGATCCATTCCTTGTCGTCCAATGCAGAGCCCAGGCCTCTCCATCGTCACCAGCATCCTTATCAACAGCACCATCTGCAATGTACCCATTGGAAATGTTGTGTGGCATGCTTGAGGTGGCAAACAGTTTGTGGATGTCCTTCGGGCTCGAAAACACGATGAAGAGGTTCGGAAGCATTCAGCTGATCCAAGAGTACTGCACCGTCATGTCTCTCCTTCTCACCAATAGCCGCAGCCCTTATCATCATAGCCATCGTCAAACCCATTACAAACAAAAGCTCCAGGCAACTCATGCATCAGAGAACGCGTTCAATCTCACGCCATGGATGTTCATCCCCTCAGCTCTCCCAGTCCTGAAGCAGAACCCCGCGTTACAAAGATTGGTGGTGTGGACGTTTGCGATGCGCGAGGATGGAGTTGCAACAGCCGAGTTCCTGGCTTCTGCATTCAAGCTGCGCGCGTTCTTTGCGCAGTGTGTTTGGCACACCAGCAAAGAAGACGATGATGATGAGCAATACCACGATGAAGAAAAGAGTGATCAAACGTGTCGTGATGGTGGTACAAAGAAGACAACACTTTTGCTTGAGCAGCCGCTGACTCGAGTTCAGGGACAGAGTGTTGACCAGAATTTCAACTACGAAGAGGGATCGCCAAAAGGAAAGGAGAAATACAGCTTGAATTATGAAAAAGAGTGGACTGTGTTGAATGGAGAGAACAAAAACAAGGACCATGAAGCATACCACCCATCAGAGTTCTACAAGTCAGCAGGTCCACTCCTCTCTGCGTCAATAGCTCAAGTGTCCGTGTCTGATGTCACCAAAAACCATTACAGGAACCACAACAACACACTTCTGCCATTCGCAGTTGACCTTGAAAACACATACACTCAAGCAACACTCTCACCTATACACACAAAGACATCCTTCGCTCAATCTTCGACACCAGCATTCACGAAGACCTCACCCTTCAAACAAAAGAAGCCCCTCCTCATCCACAGACCCCAAACCACCGCCTCCATCACTATCCCAAAGACGCAGCTGCTCTGTTCTCGCCACATGCAAATGCTTGACTACAAACCCTCCCCTGAGACAACCATCATCCTCCTCAACCAAATGTCCCAACTTCAACAACTCTACCACTCCCTCTTCAATTCTGATGTCGTCGGTATGTCCCTCATCCAGCCTCTTGCCAAACCTTGGGCCAATTTCAGGCACCACCCCGAGAAGGTTCAACAAATGCAGTTGTTACAACAGTACCAACAGCAGCTCTTGCGGCGGCAAGAGAGACAGCAAGGGGTGAGGAATATGAAGCGAGGCGGTACTGGTGCAGGTGAGAGAGAGTGCGCGTACCTACAGCTGGCATGCAGCAGCGACAAGCGCGTCTATGTGATCGATCTGGAAGTCTTCTTGGACGGGGAGACGGATCCGATGCACAAATTCCCTCAACTTCTTGGCGAGATCTTTTTCAACCCGTCCATCTGCAAGCTCGGTAAGTCATGCACAGACGAGAAAAAAAAAGCGTGTGGTTGTTCACTCTCTCTATGTCCTTTCTGCTCGTCTTTCTACGATTGTTGTTTTTCTAACACCATTTATTCTACTTACTTCATATAGCGTACAACTGGAAGGAGGAAAGTGCCTACCTAAGAACTCTCTTCCCGCTCCTCAAAGACCACCGACACCACATCGACAACCTCTTCGACCTCTACCACATCTGGATCGTCCCCAACCCTAACCCACAACTCTCAAATCAAAACTCCTCCAACACTTCCAACAAATGGATCACAGCCTGGTACTGCGGCGGCGGCCAGCCCATATTCCCGACAAGAATGTCCCAACCAAAGTTCAAAAACGTTTCCGGGCTATTGTTCAAGGTGGTGGGACGGTTCTTGAAGAGGACTTCCAAGCTTGGTTGGGATGCGTGGATAGTAAAGCCGCTTCCATTATGTCTGCAACAAGATCTTGGTACGTAATTTTTTTTTGGCTATTTTCTTTGAAAGAAAAAAAAAGAGAGGAAAGGAAGGGGGAAAAAACATGGTTGGTCCGCTAATGCATGCTTTTACTTTGTTGTTTTTGCCTACCCCTTCCCCCTTTTTTTTGTCTATAGCGATGAGCGCGCTGTGTCTGTTGGACATGTTTGCTGTTCTTGACGGGGACGGACAGAGAATGGAGCGAGAGGAGACCGCTCAATTCATGATCCACGCCGCCGCCAAGTGAATAATGAAAACTTCTTTTCCCTGATCTCCCTTCCCCCCCCCCCCCCCCCGTTCTTCCCTCACATAGAACACACATTCCAAGAAACAAATATATCATACGTAGCAGATCAACCATAGCAACAAAAAGAAATACTGGACGCAAACAAACAAAAAATAAAAGGGAAATCATAACGGCATTTATTCAAGGTTTCTTTCGTAACAATGCAGCAAGGACATCCTTATCTACTCCCACTTCCAACCGCACATCCGAACCCTTGTCAGAATCATCAGAATCAATGTCAGACGGCACAAGAGATGCGAACAAGGCCTGGTTCTGACTCAAATACCAATCGTCTTGCTCCTCTTCACCTTCCCCTCCATGGTCATCCTCCTCCGAAAGGTCGCGCCCACCAGCCTCTAACCAGACATCCTGGTTCCTCTCAATAATATCCTTCCCCTCCAACGACTTTGGCAACAGCCGGCTAGGAAAGAAGACCTCTCCTCTACCAATCTTCTTGTCAGAAGTCGCAGTCAATGAGGAGCAAGAGAAGGACCGTTTCTGGAATCTAGGGCGTATAATGGTGACAGTGCTCCTGCTCCCGAGACGGATTGCCCGAATCACATCCTTGGCGCCATCGCCGGTCCTGCTGTTGTTGGCATTTGGGTAGAAAAAATAAGGGTCTCCGTTCACATTCGTGCTGCGTGATGGCGTGTTCGCCCTTGAAAACGACGTTGCTGCAGTGGCGGACTTTGTCGATCGACCAGCTGTCGTAGTCGGAGAATGTACTGCTCTGGTTGTCCGCCAACTAGTAGTGACTTGACTAGATCTTCCAGTTTTGATTTTCGAGACCTTGGCGTAGCCCACTGATGACCGCTTCGCTCCAATGGAGTCACCTGCTGAAGCTGTTGTTGCCGTCTTATTTGTTCCTGTCTTTAGACCCGTCGGCGCTTGTTTGGGTTCAGGAACGATGATATCCTTGGCTGTTGCTGGGTTGTCTACACGTTCCTGCAATGACCCCCGGACCGTGACTACTGTGGTGCCTTGACTATGGACCGTCGCAAACGGGACCACATAATCTTGTTTTGGTCGCGCTTTCTGCAACTCCTTGATTTTCTCCGCCAGCTCATAGGTCACAAAGACATCGTTCGCGGCGTATGAGAGTTGGTTGGCTGACAGGTTCTTGCTCTCCCAGTTTCCCATCCTTGTCAATGGTACCTTCTCCACTGCGTGTTGTAACTGCAAGTTTGTACAATTTGAAGAACCAGTGGTTCGTTTCATTAATTAGCTGGCATATTACTTTACATTTGCAAATCGGTTGACGTTAGGCCAATGTATGTTGCACTTACAAGTTCCCTTGAAAGACGTTCCATACTGCGAATTTTCCGCTGAGTCGACAAATCATCCTGAACTTGAATGCTCAAAGCGCCCAACTCAACCAGACTAGCACATCCAACACCCCAGTCCTTGAACATCTTGGTGGCGTCATTCCTATTGACCCATGCACATGCAAGAAATCAATTTTCAGTTTAGTGCAAAAAATAATAATTGGATCCTTCGTCATATGTTGACATGATTAGACATGATGCACCCCTTTACCGAATGTTGATCCCGACCTTGAGGATAGACTTGTCTTGCAGGATCCTGGCCAACACCTTAGGGAATCTCTTCATATGGATGACATGGAAGAGGTAGACGGTCCTGTCATCCCCGAGCTGGATAAGCGCCATTTTGGCCTGTTTCCCGAACACTCCAAAAGCCTTCCATTCCGCATCCAGTGCCCACATTTTCGACCTGTCCACATAGAGAACAACGTTATTAGTTACAATGGACAATAAACGCATCCTTGATGAACGCTGACAATACTCCATATGGTTTAAATGCATGAAAGGTGATGTGAAACAGCAAGAGCCTTACGGGTTAGAGTTGAGCCATTGGTCGGCTTCGATGTCGCATTTGGTGTACATGACTTCGCGGGAGTCGTTAGTTCGAAAGTCCAGGAACGGTAATGGCTCCAGGTCCTGATTTCTGGTCTGAGTCGTCTTGGCGGGAGTAGCCTGGCGTGGTTTCGGGAAGTTGAAAGGGTCGTAGGGTGGAAACGCAGTGCTCCAAGTAGAAGATGCCGTCCATGAAGTTGATGGTGCTCCGGCGTGTTTTCCTCGAGATTTGTATCTGCCGTTATTAATGACGGTGGCGGTAATGGCGCCAGTAGTACTGATGTTGTTACAGCTGACAGCTGCCGATCCCGATGGCGCTGATACTGCCCCAGGCTGAAGCGCTGATTTTGTGACCCAATTGCGCAATACCTTTTTCCTGCGGACCGTGGTAATGACAGGAACGGTTGCTGCCCTTGTCGCTGTTGTGTTCGGAACTCTGGTACGGGTCATACTAGTGTTCGTCCCAGGTTGTCGCTGTAGTTGTAATTGTTCAGATGATTCTGGCGAGACAATATGCCGACTGGAACGTTTGGTCGTAGTAGCTCTAATGTTTGTAGTCGAAGCAGCGAGTAAAGAGGGAGTGGATTCGATTCCAGTTCTGGTGGTGGCTGTTGAGGTCAGGGTTGCGACTTTTCGGATTGATAGGGAGGCGACTCGCTGCGATATTGTCGCTATGTCCCTGAGGACGGTGGAACACGAGGCTCTCTTTGTCCGTGCCATTGAGAGCGATTGCCCTATATCCTTCGGAGAGGGGTGTTGCAAGCGATGTGCGGAGGTATGAATATTGGTACGGTGCGATGTAAAAGTAGTGAGAGTTGGCCTAGAATGAGACGTCGGCAGGGAGCGGAACGAGGATAGAAGGCAGCAGCGGGGGAGGAGGAAGGAGGGCGTTCGTGTGGCGAGTGCAATGCTAGTGATGGCAGAGTGGGTGGTGGAAGTAACCCTCATTGTGTTGATGTTGTTGTTGTAGAGGAGAAGAGGGATGAGTCTTGTGAATGCATTCAGTTGGTAAGGTAGGTGTGCCTGAATGGAGGAGGAGTAGGTTGTCTAGCCCCTGTTCGTGCTTGCTGCAGTTCCTGAATGGCGAAGAGTGCTTGTTGATTGGGTTGTGTAGAAAAGGGAGAGAAAGATGAAGAAAAGAAAAAAAAAAAAAAAAAAAAAAAGAGGGTCACCCACCACTCACCACTCACCAAAGTCGTGTCGTGTCGTGTCTTTTCTGTTCCCTAGCTTTTTTTTATTTTTTTATTTTTGTGAGAGAAAGAACGACATCTCCTACTTAGCAAAAGGTATCGATGGATGGATGGTATATGTCTATCTGATCCATGTCCTCCTCCTTGAAGCAACCAATGATGGCATAGGCAACGGAGGCTCCTCTATCTGCAATCCCAACTCAGACCACGCCTGATCCTCCTCCTCCTCCTCCGGACCATCAACACTTCCACCTGCAGCTGCACCGCCCGCAGTCATGGCAGAATTCCCATAAAGAAAGACCGCCGGCTCCAGTCGCCCACTGTCCGCTCCCTCAGTCTCACTTTCCATCACCTCGTCAAGCATAGCCAGCTGCTCCATGACCAATTGATACGATGTGCGGTTCTGTCGCCGGTTACTCCTATGACCTCCGATGCTCCTCTCCACCACCACCTCCTCCTCCAGCACTTCCACGTCCTCGAGTCCTGCTGGGAAGGATGTATGTTCATCTCTTTGCCAATTGGATCTATGACGATTGTTGTTGTTGCGATTAAAGCTGTTCCTCTCGGGTTGTGCAGGTGCAGGTGCAGGAGGGAGAGGGTCTTGGTTCCTGTCTATCACAGCAGCAGGTGCGATTGCATGAGAGGGAGGGGAGGAAAGGAAGCAGCCTGAAAAGGATGCTGGTCGTCTTCGGCGATGGTAGTAGTGTTGAGGGCTGATGATATGTGCGGGGAGGAGAGGGGATGACTTGTGGCAGGGTGACCAGATTGCACCTTCCGATCCTCCGGCTGCTAGTTGTGGAAGGGAAGAGTGCGATTGGGGGCGGAGGTTTGAGAGGAAAAACGTTGTTGGATGATTGAAAAACATGGTTAGATATTAGGGGGGTATGAGGAAGGTGAAGGGGGGTGTTGAAAACGTGGATGAAAGGGATGAAAGAAAGGTGGGAAGAGAGAAAACCAGAGGGGAGCAAAAGAAAACTATGAAGAAGAAAGCGAAGCGTGAGTGAAAGAGAAAAAGAAAAAGTAAAAGAAAAAGAAAAAGAGAGAAAAAGAAAGACAAAAAAGAAGAAAACGTCAAGAAGTGTAAACAACAAAAGGGACGAGGCGATAACAACAACGAAAAAAAAGAAGGGCGAGGAGGAGAAAGAGGGAAGAAATGGGTGAATGACGATGCACACTCACATCATCATGGGCCAAACCAGAGTTTTTGTGTTCAATCTGATTGCTTTTACTGCTTGTTATACGTCCTCTCCCATCTTGTTTTTTCTCTGCCTTCGCCGTCCTTCTTCCTACAGTATGTGCTTATGTGTTTGTTCATTTGTGCTTATGCTTTTCTTCGTTCTACTGTTGTCGACGCATGCCGCATGTCATCTCTTTTCCCTCCTTCATCCTCTTCCCTCTCCTCTCTCCTCTCTCGGCCCTATTCCTCTCTCTCCCTCGCTTACCCCTTCTCCCTCTCTCCCCGTCTTATTTTTTGTTGATCTCGAAGATGGAAAAGCACATTCACACTCGAGCAGTCGAACACAAAAGATACACAAACATACTCAAAAAAAAAAAAAAAAGACGCATTCCCAACCAACCCCTTCCTACCTTGTCCTGCCTTACCAAAAAACGCCTCTGATCTTGTTGTCTTCAGGTGCGCCCTTGTTTTCCTCTGTCCATGTTGCCATTATCAACACAAACGAGCAACAACAACAACAATGCAAACAAATATGCCAGAGTGCCGTGTATGTGTGTATGAGTACTGCTCTTTGCACAACCTCCCATACCACACCATTGTAATACCCCGAGAAGGGTCCACATTTATTAATCTCGTGGTTCCTGTGCTCTTTGCATTTGATTTCATTCGCTCCCTGCCCCTCATTTTCTTTTTCTTTTTGAGTGGGGCCCGAGTTGGCTTCAATAGAGAAAACAAACGTGAGAGAAATTTGGCCACTACACCGAAAAACAATTACAAACAACAAGGCAAACGAAAACCACACCTAATGGACACAAACATGAAAGATGGGGGCTATGCATGAATGTATGGCCATGAAGGTGCTCAGCTCACCCGCTCGTCCCATTCAATAACAAAAACAGCAGGGGACCAACCACGATCGCGATCTTTCCAGACACATAGGGGACGGCTAGATGTGCACCAACGCATACAGCAATGAAAATAGAAATAGGAGCATCTGCATATCTGATGGTCTCGGCAAAGTACTGTTGTTACTTTTGAAAGAGAGGGAGCATTCACCATCATTTTATGCCTTGTCTGGAGGGCTCTATGCTCTAACCATTTTCTCCTTTCCTCTTCGCCTCATTGTATTGTACGCTCCCTCCCTCCCTCCTTCCACTTTTCCTCTTTTCCTCATCCACCACTTTCCTCCATTCGCAACGATGCTACCTCGCCCTTTTTACTCCAAGTAGTTCTATCCAAGTAATGAGATAGCATCTCCCATCACTCGTTTCGTAAGTCCTCCTCAGTAGTAAAAAGTTGATCTACGCCAAGAAGACGTTTTTCCAGGGAGAATGTGATTTTTTTAGCTGCTATCCTATGTACGCGCGCGTAGATGTGCGTTAGTGCTTACTCTACCATACACGGTGATGATTCCTCTACTATTTTTTTTCCCTCTCCCTGCTTATTTTTTCTTCTTCTTGCCTCACTTTGCATACTTTGGCACCTTCCTTCTTTTCTCGACCCTTTTTTTGATCGAAGTGACATAGGCATTGGGGTTGAAAAAGTGACAAAAATAAAAAAGGGTGAAAAGACGCTTTTAACCCCCTCGTTTGTCGCTCATGCAGTTAGACGTATTGATCAGCCTTGGCAGCAATGCAAACGACATCGAAAAATAAGCGTAAGCTTCGTGTGCAGGTTTGATCTTGATACGAACACTAAAAGAAATTAGACTAAAAGATATTGTGGGAATGTTTTAGCCTAAGCAATATTTCCAACACACAGACGTCAACCGATTACATTATCCATAACATTTCTTTTGTTGCTGTTGTTTTTGTTGTTATTGTCGTTTTAAAGATATAAAAAAGAGAGAGTAAACCGCTCAGAATGTGCGACCGCCCTCATCATAGCCGCCTTGAAGGGCGACTAGACAAGATCATCAATAAGCAGGCACCCGACTCTTCAAAAGAAGAGTAAACAGGTGTGCTTCGCTTCCCTTTACGGGCAGCGCACTTCAACTCATCGTCGAGGGTAAACCGTGTGTCTATGTTGGGAAACAAAGACTGGAAATGTACTAGACAGAAATCCTGTAAGTACAGTCGATAGAGAACAAATTCTTTCGCGGTTGCTGATTTCTTTTATAGTCCGGGAAGGGTGGTTGTGACTATGGAAAATGGATAAGGGCAATGAAGAGGAGAACTTATCGGACTTTATAGGATTTCATATTCATGGGGGTCATTTCTTGGCTTATTTGAGCTTTCGACTCTAAATAATTACTATTAAGGGCTATCATTCCTGTACTTGCATGTTCAATTAGAAAGGGAATCTACCAGCTATTAGTTAACTGAGACTGAGCAGCGCGTCCTTTTCGCGACTCTTGCTTCTTCTTTCTTTTCCTCTTCACCTTCCAAGCCTTACTTCAACAGACCACTCTGCTCTACTCCCTATTACTTTTTTTATTTCTTTCTCCTCCATTCTCTTCCACTCTCTATTCACTCCACTCCCCACTTCTGATTCCACATCAACTACTCTTCTCCCAGCCATCACACTCATTCCCTTTCACCTGCACTTGTCTTTGCAATCCACAGACAGCAGCCTCCACAGAGACACTCATTCAGCTTATGTTCACCACAACTTAATCAACAAAGAATAGAAAAAAACACAACTCGCATCACCAAGAGCCTCATTCATCCATTTTTCCCACCATGGCTCCGTGTTCGTCAACGTATCTTGTTGCGACGAAAGGGTTAATGCCACACCCTTATCTGTTTGCATGAAAACTCATTCTTTTGCTTTTGATTCACGCGTATCCACGCACTACCAGAAAGACGTAAATAAACAAACACTCTTTAACAACCCTTGATAACATTAGGGGGGTTTCAAACTTTGACATGTCCACATTCAAATCGAACGTATTTCCTTGACGGTGCATTTGGTTGCACGCCGTCAAATGTCAAGGTTTGAAACCCCTATTGTCTTTGTGTGGCTATAGGACGACCGTGGATAACACGAACGAGAACAAGAACAAGGAGCACAAGCTGATGATCCCGGAGATCATGACGCTCATTGCGTCTTACCTCTTCGACACGAAAAATAAGAAGCATGCACCACTCTGGAACGCACTCCAGGGGCACGAGCATATCGAGAAGTTGGAGATCCACGACGCCGTTTTCCCTGTCAAGGAACTTCTCGGACCCAAGAAAATACTTTTCCTCGAGGTCGATGTATTTCGAAATGCGTTTCGACTTGAATGTGGACATGCAACATATTAGGTTTATCATTGCTGTCCAGTTAGTCACTCCTTGTCACTCTCTGTCATCTCTGACTCTGATGACACTACACCTAGAAACCTAGTTGGCGACTTTGTATATATATTTAGCTGTATCATAGTAATAACATCGATCATCACTGCTTCAACTCTCGTCCCCGTTCTATACTTCTCTGTCTCAGTCTTCGCCTGTTGCAGGACATGCCAAAGTTTGAAACCCCCTATCTGGGAGAGCTTAAGCTCTCAGGAACCTGTGAGCCGCTTGCATCCCTTCCTGATGATCTTTGTTGAGAAGCAAGTCCACCAGAAGTCCCTCGAGTTGACACAGTTCAAGTTTACAGCCTCGGACTGGAAGCGCAAGAACAACGAAAATAGCGGAGTTGGCTCCAAGAAGCGTAGATTGGCCGAGCTCGTCAAAACAAATCTGCCTGACGCCAGGAACATCGGCATTCTCTCGGTCACTCACCTTGTTCTCCAAAACAACCGTATTTACTCCCCTTTCATAAGGCCATCCTCGAGGCCTGTCCACACCTGGAGCGACTCGAGATCTCCTACTCACAGAAGGCAGACGGTGGCATAAGTTGCCACGCTGGCCCGAGATAACTGCCGCAAACTCCGTTGACTCACGCTGAAAAGAACCCGACAGCCATGGACTCTGGAGGTAATTGGCGTGATTGCTACACACGGTCGAGGAGCTGATTCTCCACGCTGAACAACTAAACCTCCAGGTAGCAGCTGCAGTCAAGACATGCGCGGACAAACTAACGAGACTGAAGCTCGATTTTGGACGAGGCACCAAAGGCAAGCGATGGTTGACTTGTATCCTGTCGATCCTTGAAGAATGTACTGAGCTCAGGGAATTCTCGTACAACAACGATGCAACCGACAGAATCTTCAAGGAGATGATGTTCAAGAAACCCTGGAACCTGCCCAACTTCCGCAAGCTACATATCCACGGCGTTTCCCCTCGACGCAAGTGTGCGTCATGCCACAAGTCCCTTCTCCCGAAGGATGGAGACAAGGGCCATTCAAGGAACCACATCATCTTTCCAAAGTCATCGCCACCGAGGTGAAATACCGCAGGAAGCTCTATTAGAGTGCAGTCAGGAGGGTACATTGGCCTCGTCTCGGTCATCGACCTCTTTTCCTTTATTATGTTTTTCTTTTGACATCTTTCCACTTTTTTTTTCGTAACTTGCTCTCGACCATGACGTTGACTTTTCATTCCCAAAAGTTTTCTCCCTTGCATTTGCTTCTTTTTCTATATTGTACAATCAACATTCATTATACTTGCATATTATTGTACATCGCTTTCCGTTTTACTTGATACTTTGGTTATCCTCCCAAATAAAAACTGAAAATGGGCATGGGGCCTACTAAAAATGTACACCTTGCTGAGATGGGAATGTGTTTGGTACCGGCTGCCTACTGATCAACCACACGCCTTTTGTTAGACTTTTTGGCTGCTACTGCATCCGCCCTCATTCTCCCTCCTTCCCTCCCTGCTTATTCAAGGCAGCCATATATTCTGCTCATCATTTATGGTTGGTCCCCTGCGCAGACTCATGAGTTTCCGTTTCGTTTCTTTCTACTTTGCTCGGACATGTCTATCCATAAATGGGAACCGGCACTTCCTGTTATATCTTTTATTTTCTGGAGCGGTTACCACTGGGTTGCCCTCAGTCTGGAGAAGGTTAAAAAAGTGCCAAGAAATAGGAGAGCCTAGAAGGAAATGACGCTGTGGCGTTTGGTACGGGTTAGACGAGTTTGGGCAATTGGACAAGGCGATACTCTCTTCCCCCCCTCTCTCTCTTGTTGTCCCTGTTCACAACCCTACCCTTTTTTTTCTATCTGTTCCGACTCCGCTGGCAAAAAAGCATAATCAGTCCGCAGTTGTCCCAAAATGGTGTTTTGCCGAAAGTAAAAAAGGGGAATCAAGAGCGCTTGGACTTGATTTTCGAATTTCCGTCCATCCGTCCATCCGTCCATCCGTCCGTCCTTCCGTCCGTCCTTCCGTCCTTCCCTGTAGAGCACGTTCTCTCTGTTGGAGAGTGGGGAGGGGGAGGGGGAGGGGGAGGGGGAGGGGGAGGGGGAGGGGGAAGAGATAAGTGCATTCATGTCCTTCCGGGACGAATTGCACATTCGAGAGATAGTTGCGCCAACAACAGAAATGACATCAGTTTTTTTTCGAAGGAGGAAGTGGGGATAGGTATAGCTTTTGACCATCCCATTCTGGTACTCACTTCCGATGATTGCGGCACCAGTCTCCGGGTTGTAGAAAGATTAAAGTTTAGTTTGTTTAATATTTCTTTTTTCTTTTTTTTTTTTTTTTCTCTGAAAATGGCGCAAGCGGAGGAGGGGAGGTGGGGTAGGATATGAAGATAAGATACAATGTAATAGCACGAGCAGGCAAGGAAAGGAAGAGAGGAGAGGGGAGAGGAAAGAGTAGAGAAAGTAGAGGAAGGATGACTTATTCCTTCTTCTTCTTGGCGATCTCAGCACCACCGGTAGCGCCGAAGGCAGCCTTGAGATCACCATAGATAGCAAACTGGAAGGCGGTCAAGGTACCGACCATGACAATACGAGGACCCATTCCCAAGAACAATCCACGAACACCCAGCTCACTAGCAAGACCGAAAAGACGAGAGGTAACCGATCCCGTACCCGAAGACTTGTTAATCTTCGACAACAAAGTATCTGCAGGCTGGGAAACAATGGCGGCAGCGATACCGGAGACAAGACCCGAACCCAAGTTGAGGGCCGTCATGGTGGCTCCCGAAATCTTCTCCCTGGGTCCTGCGGCGTCGAGGACGGATTCGAGGACACGTTCGTAGACGACAAACTTTGTGATGGTGTAAGGGACTTGCTTGAACAGGATGGGGCCGAATCCAGAGTAGAATCCACGGATGACACCATCCTCCCTCAAGATACGCGAGAACCCGCTCACAAGACCCGTCGCAAAGGAAGGCTGAGAGACCAAACGAATACGAGTCGCCTCAAGAGGGCACAACGCAACGTCCGCAAAGAACTCTGCAATACCCGCCGAAACACTGTAGATCAACGCCCGGTTGTTCTGAGCAGTCTCGGTGCCCAGGGTATCAATAAACGTCTTTCTCCAGAACTCATAACCTCCAAACTTGAAGGCCCCCTGGATGAAGTAGCCCGCAAAGGTGGGTCCGAACCCGGTGAGGAGGGCACCGGAGCCCTCGGCTTTGACGATTTGACGGAAGGCGGCGCCCATGCCACGGTTGTAGACGGTGGGGTCGAGTTGGATACGGGTCTTGACGACATCGACGGGGGTGAGGACACCGTGGGTGACACCGCATCCAATGGCCCCGGCAAGGGCATAGCGGGCGTAGAGGGATACTCCGGTGGGGGCGACGGTGGCTTGGGTCTGGATGGCGGACATTATGAGAGATGAGTGAAGGAATGAGTGAAGAGGAAGAGGGAGGTGAAGATGATCTCTCAAACGGAAAAACGGAAGCAGCGTTTTTATGTCCGTGAGAGCGTAAAAGGATGAAAGTGACTGTCTTCACAGCGCGTCGTTATTTTTGGTTCCTTTTCATTTGCCACCAACCTACTAAACGTTCTTTAATCTTTGAAACAATGCTCAAGTCTCCGCCCAAATCACCCAGCCACAGGCGACCTGTACTCCCAGCAACGCCTCAAAGTAAATGCTTCTTTCGGTGGGCAAAATGACTTAATTTCCGTTGTTTTTTTAAAAAAAGAGCTGCGATAAAGGAAGAATGCTAGTGATGGAAAATTGTTCAGTGGAGAAGGGATAAAGCAAATGCAAAGGGAGTAAGAACGATCATGAAAAAAGACTGTGAACTCTGTGCAAATCCAACCAGTGGATGGGGGATGAAGTATTTTTTTTTTGAAGGAGTAAAAAAAATACAACCGAAGGGAGGAGGAGGAGCGTGCCGCAGGGGTGTTGAGGTCGAATAGCCAGGTGTGCTCTACTCGAGCTTTTTGTGATATGCGGTTTCAGTGACAGCAACCTTCGAGGGGCTACGGAGGTCCTTTAGATGGTTCAACAGAGCTGCATCGAAAGCGATGGTTTGTGACCGGATTCTATTCTCATAGGCCCTGTACTCTTGCCTTCGTTCGATGGGAACAGGAGCGTGAACGGTCTTTTGGCCATTGACTCGTGGCAACATATCAGACAGATGCAGCTTGCGCAGGCATGGCAGTCCCACTGCTCCCTGAACATCACTCCCTTAAACGTCCCATCATCTCCGTGATTGTGGTAGGTGAGCTCTCTTAGCTCGGAACACTCTCGGGGAATGGACATGGTGTCCACCAAGCATTGCTTGCACTTGAATGTTTGGCCGAAATCCAGCTCGACCTGTGTCAGTTTGCTCCTCCTGTTGTTGGTGAAACTCGCCATCACATGGCCCAGTTTACTGGTGTTCAGGAAGAGCTCCTCCACAGCATCTGGCATGCCCTTGATCATGGATTCAGTCCAAGGTTGCTGCGTGCCTGTCAAGGTCAGAAGGCGGAACTCAGAGCAAGTCGACCTCATAAGGCTCGCGAGCTCGGATCCGATTGACTTCTCCGAGAAGCAAACCTCCAGCTGATCTAGTTTCGGGAATGTCTCCAAGATCTGCTTTTGGAAAGGTTGGCGAAGCCTGTTGTTGAACAGAACCAAGTGCTTCGTGAGACGACCGCCGATGTCCTTAGGATCCTCCACCCTGTGTTTGCGCTTGCCTGTCATGACTCCATGGCCATGACTGGGGCTGGTTCTGTTGGTGTCAAGGTGCTGTTGGCGATGGTATTTGTAGTTCTGGTGCAAGCAACCGCATTGATTCCAACACCAGTAGTTGTGTTGCTCACGCTCGTCGCATTGGTAGTTGACACCAGATCCATGTTCATGGCCACGGCTTCATCTTCCGGTTCGTCCGTCTCGTAAGCCTTGTTATTCTTCCATTCCTTGTCCTCGAAAATGAAATGATTTCCAATCGCTATCTTACGGAGACTAGGCATGTTGGCCGGAATACGGTTCCAGTCAGACGTGGAGAAGATAATTCGGGTGACTTCCAAAGGCTTGAGATAGTAAAGCCGCTCGATAAGTCAAGGGGAGACGGAGTCAGCCGGTTCATGTGTCCGTGGTCTTTGAGCGCGTTCCAGAGTTTTGTCTGCTTTTTGTGGCCCGTGTCCATTGGGGATAAAAACCGGATGTGGCGCATGTTTCGAGTCAGAAACTTCATCGGAACGACCTTCTTCATGATTGAAAGGTCGTATGTTTGCCACAACACCGGAGTAAGGACTGTCCGCCACCATCTGACGGTAAAGTAGAGTGACGAAAGGTGATTGGAGGTAGGAGAGGTGCAAGGGACGTGAAGGGAGGAAAAGAGGGGCGCACAAGCGAGCTCAGAAAAATGACAACCTTTTCATTTCGTTGTTGCATCTGTTGAATATGCCCTCTCTTTCTTGCAGTAACGAACAACCTTTGATGCTCTTCAACCCTTGCACCAAGAGGTATACTGGGCCACTTGTTATTGAAAGAACCATGGCCGCGATGGTGCCTGTGATTAATTGGGCACATTACATCGTAGTTTATACGTCCACCTTTGAATGTGTTGAAGACTACACACGGGACAGTTTGAGTGCTCTGAAAGAAAAGGTGGGACTGAAGAATATACGCCTCACCATTTGCTGTTGTTTGAACGAATCGAGGCGTGGGAAACTACTCTGCGGCCTAGACCAATTAACCTCCTCTTCGTCTATTTTTGCCTTGCCTTGCCTTGCCTAGCCTTGCCTACTTCTTTCTGTTCTCTCGCTTTTCTTCTCTTTATCCCTTTTGTCCCTCTCGCCCTTCTCCTTTTCCATCCTTCAGCGCAGTCGCTCATCTCACAGCAACACTCCTTCATTCCTTCTTCCCTCCTTTATGCCAACTGCACTCCCTGCTCAATAGATAGATAGACAGCCGCTTCTTTTTTTTTATTTCTTTTTGCTTTTGCATTCATTCTTTTCATTACCACATCACATCACTCCCCACTCTTCTTCTACACCCTTTGTATCCCCACATGTCATCAACATCAGCTACACTTGTCTCCACTGGCACAACTAAGCCCATGGCACCAATGACCACCACCACGACATCAACGATTCAAAAGCCCTCGGCGGTGCTTGGTTTCATTGCTGGTGGCTTGGCAGCCTGTGGGGCAGTGACACTCACCAACCCCGCAGAGGTATGAGCAACTTGCTAGGCACATTGACACCATTCTTTCCTCTTTTGGTCCAATTGCATTCTGCGCACCCCAACAACTAAACATAGCTTTTCCTCGTAACAGGTCATCAAGACACGCCTGCAGCTCCAGGGCGAGCTAGCAAGGCAGGTCCCAGGAAGCCAACGAATCTACACCAACTTTGGACAAGCTATGGTTCACATTCTTCGCTACGAAGGCGTTCGCGGGATCCAGCGAGGACTAGGATGCGCCTACATGTATCAGCTCCTCATGAATGGAACTCGTCTCGGACTCTACGATCCTATCAAGCACCAAATCCACCATCTCCTCAAGACAGATCCAGCAAAGCCTAGCTACCCTGTCAACATTGTCGCAGGAGGAACAGGAGGCGTCCTGTCGGCCCTCTTAGCGTCGCCTCTGTTCTTGGTCAAGACTCGGCTACAGTCGTATACCAGCCATGAACCCTCCAGGGTGGGACACCAGCATTACTATCGACACACATTCCACGCTCTCGGATCTATTTACAAGTCTGAGGGATTCAGGGGTCTTTACCGAGGCGTGGATGCCTCTATGCTCAGGACTGGTATGGGATCATCCGTTCAGTTACCACTGTATGACTTTGTGAAACAGCAACTGATCCAGGTCGGCAAGTTGGAGAACGGATCACTATGTCACGGATTGAGTAGCTTGATCTCAGGGTTCTTTGTATGTACGGTCATGAACCCCTTTGATATTATTTCGACTCGAATGTTCAACCAGGCGACCGATCCAATTACAGGAAAGGGCAGTCTGTACAGGAACCCGCTTGATTGTTTCCTCAAAACTGTCAGGACCGAAGGTGTCACCGCCCTCTACAAAGGATTCACCGCGCACTACCTGCGCATCGGGTATGTTTGCTCTTTTTTTTTTTTTGGTCCATTACTGAGAGAGGTCCAAGATCTTAACAACTAACCACTTCACTTCTTCACAACCTTTTTTCTTTTCTCAACTACATCGCCAGACCTCACACTATTTTCACGTTTGTTTTCATGGAGCAGACCAAAAAGTGGGTGTACCAATGGGTTGATAGATTCTAAGCAAGTATCTCATTTATTCTCACTATTAAAGGCCTCGTTGCCAACTTTTTTTTTTTTTTTTTTTCTGACAAACAGCACAGAGAAGGCATTTGGAAGTAAAAGTGTATTACAAGCCAAAGTCCTCAGTGCACCATCCACCAGTTGCAGTCCGGTCCGGAACCTGGCTCTGCACAACAATTGTCGCTGCTCTTCACAGCTTAAACGGAAGAAAATAAAATTAGATACGAATGAATGGGATTCTTCCCATCCTCTCCTACAACCGCCCGTCAGCAGCGAGTGGGTCCTTGGTCGCTCCGGGGCACCTTCCTTCATCATGTGTGGCTAGCAAAGCGCCACAACGGCAGAAACCATCACGGGTGATATAGCCGTATGTTTGACTCCAGTCACCTCGGGGGCCTGTGTACTTGAATGTCTTGTCCCCTGGCAGAGATGCCCTGGGTCTGTTCCTAATCACCTCAGGGGCCTTTCCTTTTTTTTTTTTTTTTTTTTTTTTTTTTTTTTGCGATTACTGGTGCCATAATCACGTGGTAACACTGTCACGTGAATTATGAGATCTTCTGAATAAAATCATATTAAAACTTACGTTTACATCGATCACAAGTTTGTATGGTGTAGTTGGTTATCACGTCTGTCTAACACACAGACGGTCCTCGGTTCAAGTCCGAGTACAAACACTTTTGCCATCTGGCGGCTTTCTTTTTTTTGCTTGTGGGTACCAGGGACACTAGTGGGTACTCTTTCCGAGTCTTTCGTTCAGTCCACTCTTTTTTTTGAAATATCTAAACTTTGACCATTGTCATGGTTTATCGGTAATCGTTGTCTGTCATTGAAAATTAATCGTTGCCAGCGCCCGCGGAACCCATCGTGGTGACTCCAAAGGCTCGGCCTCGTTGCAAAAGGTTGAAGCCCCAAGCAGAAATTGCCAGCGAGAGATCCATCAAAGAAGTTCAAAGTTCTCGACTCGAAATTCAACGTCGAGTACTAACCATGAGCTGCTAGCACACGCGACCACATTCCTTTTTCTCACCTCGCTTGCTTCTCCATCACAATACGCAATTTGTTTCGCATGCTTCTTAACCTTTGCTACGATCCATATAGAACCATGCATCCGATCATGTGTCAAGCAAAGTACCATACAAGCCCCGTTGACAGTGTTGTCGCGGTCCGGGGCTGGCTGGGTGAGGGAGGGGTGGGCGACAGTAGAAGGCAACGCGTATATCAGCCCATGGCGATGCCCAAACTCTAATACTACGGGGCACCGTATAAGGCGCCAAAAATGGGTGGGCAATGTTTAGATATTTGTCTTTTTTTTTAAGGATGCAGACTTTGGTGTTTGAGCAGCGAGCTTTTGGTTGCCCAAGGCACTTTCATCGCGTTTTCTGTGCAGGTGCATGGATATTACATCTAGAAGTTCAATTATATCACATATTGCACGTAATTGTCATTGTTGTGCAGAGTGAACAGGGTGCCCATTGCTGACACGGTTCGTTTGCGATATTAACAGTTGTCGCTGCAGATTCTACAGCTACAACCGCGTTTTTTTCTTCTCTATGCCACAGAATTGAGCATCGTCGTGTTTTTAATTTTTATCCGATTGAAGCAGTATTCCATTCCAAGAATGAAGAGATAGCACGTTGAGTAAGTATCTGGAAGAGTTACAGTGCAGCTTGAAAACGGAATGGCTGCAGGTACTGTGTTTTTTATTTTCATATGTTTGTCAATGGATAATTGCGAAAAAAAAAGACTATGAATAAACGTCGCCTGTCGGAGAGAGAGAGAGAGAGAGGGAAATGTTGCTGAGAACCGAGCCTATTGGCGAAAAATAGTACGTTTGATAGTACGCGTACGTCCTATCGCCACCAATATGATTGGATCAAGTCCTAGCGACACAACGCGTTTTGAGATTCGAGCCAGAAAGTGGGTGAGGCTTGGTCACATTAAACGACCCACTCTTGTACAAAAAATCTTTTGTTCCTTCCTTGCTTTACGACTTCCCCTCTTCTCCCCCTCTCCCCCAACACACACACACACACACACACACACACACACACGCAGACAGCAAACACGCACCAACAGGACATACACAACGGCAGCATCAACATCTACAAAGGACACCTTCCATGACTGACATAGACCTCGGAGGTTCATCTCAAACCTTCTTCCAGGCATTCCGCGCCACAAGCGAAAGAGAACACATCCTCATCCCAGCCGTCCAGCATCCGATTACCAAAGACTTCTATGTCCTCTGGAGCGACATCACCGATTGTTTCCCAGGGATGATCAGGGTTCAGTACCATAATGTATATGTCCCCAAGCTGCGAGGCGATGATCTCTACAGGTATAAAATCGTTGACACACCTCTTGTCCTGCCTTGTAACGCATTGATAAAAAGAAAGTGGAAAGACGACAAATAGCCTAACAGTTTCACATATTGATGATCGCTGGGCGATATTATAGGATCAAACCGTTCGGGATCAGATACCATGCTGAGCTCGTGCTGGATATCGTCTACGGGAATAAGCCCTTGCCGCCGGTCAACAAGAAGAGCAACAATAGCAGGAGCACCACCGGCAAGCTTGAAGATCATCCTGCTTGGCCAAAGTCTAATCAGAATGTGCCTGTGGAGGCGACACCTAGCCAGGATGTGGTTGCGGCTACGAATGGAGATGCACGAGGAAAGACCGGCAAGGGAGGTGGAGGTGGTCCTACTGGAGGAGAGGTGCAGACAGGAGACGCGGAGCAGGAAATCAACCTTGAGGAGGCTGGGTATGAGTATTCCGATTTTACTGAGTATTCAGACAATTATTCGGATTATTCGGACGAGTTTGAGTCTGAGGAAGAAGAGGAAGAGGAGACACCAAAATCCATCCGAGAGTTGCCAGCCGATCATGCCCCTCGAGAGAAACCCCTGAGAGTGGAGTCCTTAGTGAGGCATCGCACTAGGGACATCTTCAAGGCCCGATATACCTGGACTGAGCTGCGGGGTCACTCGAGGCTGTTTTGTTTCCTCCCAATCCTGGAGGAAGACGTCCCCTCAGGGGAAAACGAGGCACCCCAGGCACCATTAACAACTAAGACCACAATGGAGATATACCAAAACACCGGGTTCGAGTTATATTTCCTCTGCGACTGTGGCGGCATTCCAGGAGCTAAGGAGCACGCTGGCCCTCACTGGATCGACAAAAACGGCAAACAGAAACACAGCATGCCGTCAGCCGAGGATCTCAGCCAACAACAAATCCGAAAAATTCTTCCTCTCGTGGGTGAATACGTGATGGGAGTCCTCGAGATGCTAAAGTATGGTGTCTTCCTCGACAAGATGCCCCTCTCCGGACATGAGCATCTCTCGCGGGCGATCAAGTACCTCGAGTCGAAGGGGTTTAGGTCGAGCGCGAGTCTCCTGGCCGATATGAACTCGAAATCCGATGGTGGCGTTGTGACTAGGGCAGTTCTGGATGAAGTGGAGCCAATCACGGTACTGGATGAGAAGGTCTTTGCTTCACTCCAGAGCGTGCTTGTTCGAGGACCCTACGACGACTATGCATCGCTGTACCCATTCAAGACCTCGGCGGGCGATGTTCGGTGGATGTGCGGGCGTCATTGGTACAATATGTGGCCGGACAAGGAGATGTATGCGAGCGCCTTCGCGTTCCGCAAGGACCCCATGTCCTCCGAGGGCTGGTACGATTCCCTCTTTGGAGTTTGGAGCTCACGGATCAAGAGTATGAATAGAGCGAGGGAGTACTTCAAGATGGCGGAGAAGATGGCCTGGAATCCCGTGTTCACAGTCTGGCTGGATTGGGATTTGTCGCTGGAGCAGGAGGAGGAACTTGCCCAGGCGGTCAGTCGACTCTCAGCGGCGGCGGTCCATATTATTGTTCGGCCCAGAGAAGGAACTCAGGAAGAAATCAACGCGGGATTCTCTTGCGGCTATTTGCGACTGGTGGCTGCAGCAGTACGGCAACTGGATATCGGGACATTCACCCTGACGAGACAGGAAGACAAGGCCGATTACGACTTTGAGAGCACCGATACGCCGTCCATGCTCAAGATGTACGGCCCCCTGTCCCGAGATTATATTGCATTGGTGGAGCGCGCAGTAAAAGGCGGCAAGATGAAGGCGACATTGATGCCATCTAGTGTGGACACTGCGATTCAAACCGTACGCCGACACGCCACAGGAATTCACCATTTTGCGGAGCTTCGTTTCGGACTCGCCTCACACCTCTTTGCAGACAATCTCACCATCAAGGTCGCAGAGTCCATTAAGGACGCAAGAGAAGGACGCAGCGCCGAGGAAGACACGGACTTTTTCAGTGGCGACGCGCAATCGCTATTCCACAAGCGGCGAGGATGGGACGAGTTTAGCATCGTGTCTGGAAGCCAATGCGACCGTGGAGACTTCTTTATGGGCTTCCTGAACGAGGCGCGTTTCGAGGTGTCCTTCGAGCGGGATAGGGAGTTCATCCGGAATCTGCTCACGGTCAATACGGGACTCAGGCTCCTCGTTTTGGGATCCAAGGAGTTTGATTATGACCCGAGTGAAGTCTTTGAGGCCTATAAGGAAGAATTGGCCGACCACCTCAACCTCGACATCCTTACGGTTCAACCAGGATTGTTCGTCGGCAGGAAGTCAACCTTTACATGGAGGAGTCTCCAGGAACCGGACACGTTGGGCATTGATATCGTTTGTGACCAAGCGGATCGTGCCGGCATGATGATCCAGCGGTATGGGTTTTTGATTGACAGACTCGAGTTGGAGGGACTCAGTTTGGAGGATGCCGCGGCTATGGATAAGGCGACGCGACGAAAGAAGAGGCCGCTTGCCCTCAGGTACCTTTCCATCAAGGATATCCATCTGATGGAACCTGCTGTCCGAATTATTCTTCGGGAGATGATTGCCAAGGGAGCCATTAAAGAAGTGGTGGTCCAAGGGTCGGTCTTCCACCAAGCGGCTCCATCACAGCCTGGAGATGGTGGTGGAAAGAAGGAGGTGCCGATCACCCCGGCCAAGTTGGAGGCGAACGTCAAGATCTGGTGCGACTTTTTGGTGGCGATCCGATCCAAAGTTACTGAGCTGTCTGTGCAGGACGACCCCCAGAGACGATTCCTCCGAGCGATGGAGTTGCAGCCGGTCTTATTACCCGAGATGCCACGGTTAGGAACTTTCCATCTCACCTGCGCAACACCTGCTGGTTCAAGCATTTTTGACAGACCTTGGTTGGAGACGTTGCTCGAGTTCAAGGGTCCAGTACCGAAGGATATCGACCTGCCTGACAAGGATCCCGCAAGAATACAAGCGACGGGGATCTTTACAGAGAGGAGCAAGATGACGGACTTCCGGGCGATCACCGATTTCAGTCTAAGCGAGGTCGTGATGGAGCCAGAGGATTGGAAAGGCCTGCTTCGTTATATGGACTTTTCGCAGATGGTTAAGTTTGAGGTCCGGCAGACGAACGCCTTGTCAAGAGAGACGTTGTTGGAGATTGCCGAGTCGGTGCCGAAGGATAGTGCGGTGTTGAAGCACTTTGTTGTGAGCGACGGCACCGTTGTTAACGACGAGACGGCGATTGCTCTGGAGGAGAAGGTTGGACCCAAGATTGTCCACACTGAAGGCGGCGCACTCATCAGCCTCAACGGTTTCAATGTCTAGTGGCGTTTTTTTTTTCCTCTCGTAACAACTTCGCCCTTTCATTTCTTTAATTGTGACGGGGCTTACAGTCGAAAAAAGTATAAAACGTGGTTATTCGACCTTGTTTTGTTTTATTATCCATCCATCCTTTCTTACTTTTGCATGCGTAGCCAGGCTTTAAAACAAACCATACCTGGTGACCAATCCTTCGCGTTAAAAAAATCAACGTGCACTTTTCCCTTTTTCACTCCTCTCACTCCTCCCACTCCACTCCTTATTTTCCCCTCTTCCTTTTACATCGCCCGCCTCTCTCCAACTCACAAAACCTCTCTCCCCCATGACATTCACAGACATCAACCCCCCTCCTTCCAAAACCTACTTTCAGGAATTCCGCGTCCCTGGCGAAAAAGAATACACCCTCATCCCAGCAGTCCAGCATCCAATCACCAACGACCTCTATGTCATTTGGTCGGACATCACCGACTGTTTCCCGGGGGTGACCAAGATCAAGCATACGAATGTTTATGTTCCCAAGCTGAGGGACGCCCGACTCTACAGGTATGCCTTGTGGAGGGTGTGAGCTTTTTTCATCTTATCTGTTTCAGGGACGAGTTTGTTTGATTGAACAAAAGCCTGGTAAATTGATTGATTGATTTTTTTTATTTCTTTCCTTCAGGGTCAAGCCGTGGGGGATTAAATATCATGCTGGGGTTGTCTTGGATGTCGCCTTTGGGAAGAGGGCCTCGTTCGTCAACGGTATCAGTAACAAGAACGAGAACAGCAGGAGCATTGGTATTCAGACTGTCTGCTTCAAGGAGGAGGAACATCGTGCTGTTGTTGTCGCTAATGGCGAGGGAGGAGAGGTTGTTGGCCAGGACATGGATGCGAGCGACAATGGCCAAGATGATGGTGGTGGTGGTGGCGCAGGCCGGGACGATAAGTACAACTCTGGAGATGAGAAGGATGAGTATGATGACGAGGACGACAAAGGCGGTGGTGACGAGGGCGATTATGTGGATAGAGAGCAAGAGTCAATGACCGAGGAGCAGGAGGACGGTGCACGGGACTTGGATAATATATCAGACATGAGCACCGAGCAGGCACCCGAGCACGCGGTCGAGCAGGCTGTCGAGGAGACTGTTGTCGCACCGACGACCGATTTTCTTCATATCACGGACGACGAGGACGATGACGAGCAGGAGGGGACGACCGAGCAGGACAAGGAAGACAAAATGAAAGAGAGGGAGATGGAGGAAGAGGAAGAGGAGGAAGAGGGGGGAGAAGAAGCTGAGGCGGAAGAGGAGGTAGTGGAGGTTGAGGAAGAAGAGGAGGAGGAAGAGGGGGGAGAAGAAGCTGAGGCGGAAGAGGGGGAAGAAGAAGCTGAGGCGGAAGAGGAGGTAGTGGAGGTTGAGGAAGAAGAGGAAGAGGAAATGGCGGAGGAAGAGGAGGCTGAAGAGGAAGAGGAAATGGCGGAGGAAGAGGAGGCAGAAGAGCAACGAGAGGAGGCGGAGGAAGGAGAGCAAGAAGAGGAAAGCTCAGTGGTACAGGAGGAATCATCGGCCGTACAGGAGTTGCCCGTCGTTGACGTCCACCGGGAAATACCGTTAACGATCGAGAACTTGGTCAAGCATCGCGTCAAGGACATCCTCAAGAGCCAGTATTCGTGGGATCAGCAATGCGGGCACTCGAGGTTTTTTGTCTTTCTTCCTGTCTTGGAACCCGCGACAACATACCTACGAATAACAACGACAGTAACAACAATATCAACACCAGCAACAACACCCGCAACAGGAGTTCACAAGAACACCAAGTTCCAGCTTTATTATCTCTGTGATTGTTACGAGATTCTAGGATCAGCGGGAGAGATCACCCCTCACTGGGTCAACAAGAACGGCATAGACGACATCAGCATTCCTTCGGCCGAGGATCTCTATCAGCAACAGCTTAGGACGCTCATTCCTCTGGTGGGCGACTACACGATGGGAGTCCTCGAGATGCTCAAGTACGGCGTCTACATCGACAAGGCGCCGCGAGAAGTATCTCAACGTGTCGACATGGCGATCAGTTACCTAGGGACCCGAGGTATTCGGTCGTGTGAGAGTTACATGGCCGAGATGACATCGGATCCCGCGAGTGCTGTGAGTGACGCGATGTTGGGCCGAGTGCCTACTATTGCAGTACTGGACGTGGAGACTTTGGAGGCATTCAAGAGCGGGATTGTTCGATCGCCCTACGAACGATACGGCGAGATGTTTCCTTACAGGACTTTGGAGGGTGACATACGGTGGCTGTGTGGGTATCATTGGATGGACACGTGGACGTACATGGGGTATTACTCGAGAGCACTCACCTTCAAAGACAACCCCATGTCATCTGAGAGCCGTTACGACCCCATCTACGGTATCGTGAGTTCGCGCGTCAAGAGTATGAAGAGAGCGCGAGAGTTTCTCGATATGGTGCAGCACATGGCGCGGAATCCGGTGTTCACAGTCTGGCTGGATTGCGACCTGACGTTGGACGATGAGGCGGAGCTTGCCAATATGGTCGGTCGACTCTCGGTGGCAGTGATCAATATCATCACGCGGGATAGAAAGGGGACTCAGGAAGAAATCGATACAGGAATGGAGTATGGGCAGTTGGAGATGACAGCGGCAGCGTTGCGGAATCCAGATATCGAGTTGTTCACTATATCAGAAGCCGAGCGGGGCAAGGAGTACGTCTACAACCAGTTGCCTAATATGTTGAACGTCCACCTGGCGTACGAACCCAAGTCCAAGGATCGGATTACAGCTGTCCAGCGCGGAGTGAGGGGCGGTAAGGTCAAGATGTTCTTGAGGGCGACCAATGCGGGTCGAGCGATCGCTGAGATGCGTCGCATTGCCGGAGGAATGCACCACTTTGCGGAACTGCGCTTTGGACCCAACCATCATCGATTTGCGATCACGCTCGCACTGGACACGGCAGGAGAATCGGGATGCGATGTCAGGGATACGGATCTCTGTCGAGAAGGGCTGGTGTCGTTTTTGGACAGGCGGCAATGGCGCGACGAGATCGTCTACTCATCATCCATACCCTACGGCACTAGGTATTTGTACCTGGGATACATAACCAAGGCTGACATAAAGATCTTGCTTGTGCGAGCTGGGTCAGAAGTGCGCGATCTGATCACCCACAACAAGCACCTCAGGTCCCTCACTGTCAATGTCGTCACGCTCGACTACGAGCCCAGTCGAATCTATGAGACCTACAAGGATCTCATCTCGGAACACCCCACCATCGAGGCGTTCGTGATTCAATTTCAACGTATCAAAGGAACTTCGTCCTCGTTTAGGTGGAGGAACTTGACAGATGCGGCCAACGTACGGGTGGATGTGAGCTGTGGTCGAGGTGACAATGTCGAGGCGATGTTCCAGCGCTACGCGCCTCTGATTGAGCGGCTCAGAGTCCACGACCTCAGTCCAAAGGATGCCGCCGCCTTGATCAAGTCGATGCGACGGAAGAAGAAACCACTTGCTCTCAAGTACCTCTCCATCAACGACATCCATCTAATGGACCCCGCCGTCCGTGAGGTCCTTCAAGAGGTCATTGTCAAGGGAGCCTTGAATGATGTCGTTATCCGTGGGTGCGTCATCCCTCTGCCGGTTCAGGCGGCTCAGGCGGGTAAGGCGACAAAGGCGATTCAACCGCGGCTTTCAGGGAAGAAGGAGGTTTCGACGCAGGCGGCCAAGCTGGAGGCGAACGTCAAGATCTGGGCCGACTTTATTGTCCCCATCCGTCACAAAGTGACAGAGTTGTATCTGCAGGACGACCCCGAGAGGCGCTTCCTCCAGGCGATGGAGTTGCAGCCAGTCATGTTGCCAGAGATGACGGGGTTGACAACATTCCATCTCACAAGCACAACACCGGCTGGGACGAGTCTTTTCGACAGGCCTTGGTTGGAGGTGTTGCTGGAGTTCAAGGGCCCAGTCCCGCATGACATCAATGTGCCAGATGAGGATCCGCTGGAGGTGCGCGTGAAGGAAATCTTTGCGCTGAGGAGCCATATGACAGACGTACGGGCGATCACGGATCTCTGCCTTCAAGAGGTGGCGATGGACCCCGAGGACTGGGACCCATTGCTTCGGTACATGGATTTTACGCAAGTGGTCAGCTTTGAGGTCCGGCAAACGAACGCGTTGTCGAAGGCGCTATTGCTGCACATTGCCGGGTTTGTTCCGATAGACAGCGCAGTGTTGAAACACTTTGTTGTGAGCGACGGCATTGGTATTGGAGACGAAACGGCCACAGCTCTGGGAGAGAAGCTTGGACCCAAGAGATTCAAAGGCACCCATATCAACCTTAACGGGTTCGTGGTCTAACTTCGTTGCCATTTGCAACCACGACCGCCAAAATACAGTTAATTTATCAATGGTTTCTTCTTCCTTCGACTCCTGGGTCCAGCGCGCGCGGATCAAATTGAATAGTAGTTGAAATGGCATGGTGTTGTTTGTATATAGAGTGCTTCGACCACTGTTGTCTTGTGGTTTGGAAGGCACAGGTCGCCGTGGGTAACATTGTATACATGAGCTCCAACTCTCAATGCTTGCCATCCATCCTACACGTGACACGTCTGTGCACAGCCACCACTACTTTTTTGTCCTTCGTCAAAACCAACAAACTCCATTCCTTGACCCCTAACACCTCACCATACCTCCAACACCAACTGGACACACCCACTATGACCACCGCAGACCTAGACACCGACGCAGACGCCCACTTGCAAGCATTCCGTGCTCCAGGCGAACAAGAACACATTCTGATTCCAGTCGTCCAACATCCGATTACCAATGACCTCTATGTCCTCTGGACTGACATCACCGACTGTTTCCCGGGGGTGACCAGGATCCAGTTCAGGAACATATTTGTCCCCATGCTCAGGAACGGGCGACTCTACAGGTACTTTTTTTCTAGGTTCATACTTGACGCGTGAGAATTGAAAAGTAAAGGGAAAAAAATAATAATAATATCACTAACGGTCGTGATTGGGCGTGTACCTGGATTGACGCTGAAATGATAGGATCAAGCCTCATGGGATCAGATACCACCCTGGAATCGTACTGGATGTCGTCTACAGAGAGAAGCTGTCGAATTTGGTCATTAGTAGGAACAGGAACAGAAGGAACCAGGATGTTAGTACAGAGACTACACGCCAAGCTGCTGGAGAGGCGCCTGACGGAGATATGGATGGCCGAGACGAGAGCGACGGCGATGATGAGGACAATTGCGAGGAACAAAAGGCGGGACGCTTGGCAGGAGCCGAGAATCAACAGCGGCAGAAGATCGAGGAGGTTGGACTTGGGAACGCAACTCCCAAGAATGCCAGCCAAACACTCGTAGCATCTGTTTCTGACCTGTGGCTTGCTGAGAACGAGAAGGGCCTGAGAACAGAACAGGAGGAAGAGGAGGAAGAGGACGAGGAGGATGAGGAGGATGATGATGGGAGAAACTTAAGCGAGCTGAGCTATGAGGAATTGGATAAACTGATAGAAAGGGTAATGGAGATGGAGAGAGAGGAACGGGAGCAGAGAGGAAGGGAGGAGGAGGAGGAGAGGGAAGAAGTTGATGGTGTGGTGTCGCCATCCAGTCAGGAACTCTCTTCGAAACTTGCGACAAATTCACGGCTCGGGTCGTCGCAGACTGTAGTGATGGTTGACAATGTCGGTCAGGAGAAGCTGTCTGAGATCAGGGACATGGTCAAGCATCGCGCTCAGGACATCCTCAAGAGTCGGGTCTCATTGACTGAGTGCACTCTTTCAAGGTTCTTTTTCTTCCTCCCCATTTTGGAAGACACAGCAACACTGACCGGACCAAAATCTTCAGCACCGTCTCAACCGACACCTACAGCGATCACAACTACCGGTGACATAGAGCTCCACGGCAACACCGATTTTCAGCTTTATTATCTCTGCGACTGTGGCGACATTCCTGGATTTGAGGATATCTGGTATCCTCACTGGCACACCAACGACGGCGAACATACACTCAGCCCTACCTCGGACGAGCGTTTCACCCAAGATGAGCTCCAAGAACTCATACCTCTAGTTGGCGAGTACACGATGGTGGTCTTGGAGATGCTCAAGTACGGCGTCTATGTCGAAGAGGCTCCCCAGTCGGCGGCACGGCGTGTCTCCTTAGCGATCGAGTATCTGCAGTCGATGGGAGTGCGTTCCTGCGAGGATATAATGGCTGAGTTGGCTTTGGTGACCGCGAGCGTTGGAAGCCAGGCGATGCTGGATCGACTGGAACCCATCACTCCACTGGATTGGAGATCAAAAACGGTTGTTGAAAACTGCATTTTCGGTATTCGTACAAGGAAACATCCAGAACTCTGTTTATTCAGAGCCTCGGAATACGACGTCCGGAGAGTGTGCCAAGACCACCTCTTCTCCATGTTACCGCGGAGCGCTCTGGAGGAAGCCCAGGGATTTTCGACGGATCCGTCGTCGAGCGCCAGCAAGTATGATTATCAACGAGGAGTCTTCAGTTCGGCGATCACAAGCATACAGCGAGCGCGCGAGTTCTTCCGACTGGCGGCGCAGATGCCATCGATCCCGGTGTTCCGAGTCTCGTTGGAGTGGGAGATATCACCGGAGGACGAACAGGAGGTCGCCGATGCGATTGGCGGACTTTCAGCAGCAGTCGTTCATCTCACTGTCCCAACCAGTACCGGAGCCCAGAAAGGTTCCGTATCAGGATATGCAGATGGATTCGAGCTCCTGATTGCCGCGGCAGTACAGAACCCCAAGGTCGGAGACTTTTTCATATTCCAACACCCGTTGTTCGCTAGCCACGCCCATTCCAATTTTTTGGGAAGGCGACACTACGCCCACTCGGTCTCAAAGTTGCCGTCAGAGACTGTGGCTGTAGTGTCGCGAAGGTTGAGGGATAGTAGAGCGAGGTTGGCATTGCGGGCGCGAGATGCAGGACAGGCGGCCAGATCCGTCCATCGTGCAGCGAGTGGTCTTGATCGTCTTTCCGAGTTGTACGTCCAGGTCCCGGACGTAGCGAGCCTCAAATTCAAGTTCGCAGGACCTGGTGCTGGGCTACCAGGCAGAGAAATCGAGGACACGGACACCATCAGCGACGACCTACGCACATTCTTTATGAAACGGCACTGGAGTGATGAGGTCAGTTGTTCATCGTCAAAAGTTTTGGATACCGCGGTCTTGCAGCTGGGATGTCTGACTGAGGTGAACATGGGGCTTTCACTTGAGCAGGATCGGGCCAAGGTACGAGATCTGATCAAGTTGAACGAGGGTCTCAAGTCGCTGGAGATGAAGTACCGATCCGACGAGGACCCGAGCAATATCTTCGAGGCATTCAAGGCGCTCCTGTTCAAGCATCCGCGGATCGAGTCATTCAAGGTTGTCAAGCATCAAGTCTGCCACCCTAGAGAGGACTCTGTTTTCCTCTGGAGGAACCTACGGGAGCCAGCCAAGATGCGGGTGGAGATCTCCTGCTATGGAGGAGACAACATCCATTCAATGTTCCAGCGGTACACTCCGTCGATTGAGCGTCTTCGGGTTGCGAAACTCCTGCCAAACGACGCGGTTGTCCTAGAGAAGTCGATGCGATCCAAGAAAGGACCCCTGGCTCTCAAGTATCTCTCCATTGTCAACGTCCACCTGGCAGAGCCTTCCGTGCGTGATAGCCTCCAAAAACTCGTCCTCCGACAAGATATCGAGGAAATCGTTGTTGACGGAACCCTCGATCCACCCAGCAACCACACCTGGGACGAGAATGACGACATAGGCGATGACTGGGATATTTACGATGACGATGGGGCGGGTCTCCGATATCTTCAGGAGCGAAAGGCTGCCTCAGTGGAAGCTTGGGCGGATTTCTTGTGCGCTATTCGTTCCAAGGTGACAACGCTGGTCATAACGGATGACCCCGAGAACCGAGTACTCAAGGCCTTGGAGTCACGGATGGACCATTCCTTGGACATGCCTCGGCTGAGGTCGCTATCACTCTTGAGTGAAATGGAGGAAAGCCTTTTCTCGGATCGCTGGCTGGAGTCGCTTCTTCGATGGAAGCAGGAGTCGGCCAAGGACAGAGCGTTACCCGAGAATGGCTCCACACTGACTTCGACGCCGGAAACAGCAGCAGCGAATTCGGTTAGGAGCGACTCAGTCAAAGAGATCACGACGCCTACCCCGACAGATAACAACAGGGCTTCACAGGCGATCACAGAGCTCTACTTGCATGGGGTTACAATCTCTCATGACGAGTGGGCGCGGTTACTAGGCTATCTGGATTTCTCCCAAATGGTCACGTTTGATGTGTTGCCGATTAGCAACTGTTCGTCGGCGACACTTCTCCTGTTGACTGATGTATACCTGGAGTGTGGCACGAATTTGAAAAAGTTCTTTGTGAGGGGTGGTCAGGACATCGATTGGTCAACGAGAGCGCTCATAGCGGAGAAGCTTCGGTCGAAGATAGTCGGTCCCGAGACAGAGGTCGACATCGATGGGCACTTCAAGATACACAGTTCATCGCCCTAAATGCATGTGGGCTGACCGTATGAGTAGACTTTCCATTGAGGTTCTCTCATTAAATGGATTTTTTTTTTTTTTGGTACAGAGCGTCGCGGACTCTATTGCATCGCTGTTTAATATTGTCTTGATGAGTGTCCTATTATGCTTTTCGCGTAACACATGAATAGTACCGCTTCATCCTACACTCATGACAAGATCTGTTTTCGATTGGTTAAAGTTACGGGATCCAGCCAAGATGCGGGTAGAGATTCCCTGTTACGGGAGGGGACAGTATTCCTTCGGTATTACAACGGTACATGTCGTCGATCGAGCGTCTTCAAATTTCGGTATGGGACAGCCTCCAAAGGGTTACCTTCGAGCGAAATATCGAGGAGGTCATTGTCAAAGGACGGCATTACCCGGACGAGAATTGTTGGGGACTTGAGAACCGACTGGAACTGTAATGGCGGCACGGTGCATTAAGTCTACGAGGCCACAGCAGCAGCGGAGATATGGACAAATTCCCTGATTGTTGTTCGATCCAAGGTCACGGAGCTGATCGTGCAGAATGACCCCCGTAACATAGTTCTCAAGGCGGAGTCGCGGATGAAAGGATCACTGGACATGCCACGACTGAGGTCGTTGAGATACAAGCGCGACATGAGCTTGGAGATGCCTCTTATTTCGGGAGGCTGTCTTGAAACGCTCCTCCAATCGAAGCAGGAGATGGCGATGCAGAGAGTGTCACCCGAGAGAGTGTCCAAACCGACATCAACCTCGGCATGACCGACAGCCACAGACATGGCCTGTACTGGTGCTGGCAAGGAGTCGACGACGACTATTCCAGCCCAATGTTTTAGGGACTTCGCAACCTATCGCTGGGATTTATTTGAAAGAGGCCACTATTATTGATGGCGGCTGGGTGTGGCTCCTCAGTTATCTGGATTTCCCACAGATGGTCGAGTTTGAGGTTCACCATGACAGTGAGACCTCACAGGAAACGCTACTCTTCCTCGCCGATGCATTTCTAGAATTCGGTGAAGCATTGCGGCGCTTCATTGCGAGGAGTGGCTTGACGTCAAAGGACGAGAAAACGAAGGAGGTATTGGAAGAGAAGTTGTGGTCAGCAAAGGTTGGCGGAGACATGGAGGTCAACCTCAATCAATTATTTAAACTTCGGTCAGTTTATTTGCGGTATTTAATCCTCGGATAGTGCTTTTCTTCGTGTTGGTCGGTTGTCAGTAGAATAAACAGCGATCCTTTTCCAGATAAGACGCATAACACCATAGCATTCTACCCGATCCCGTTGGGTTTGCCGCGCGGAATAAATTGTTTGTTAATGAGGGGAACGCGCAAAGTCGTATGCACCCATCCTAAGCTCGTTTTTTTTTTTCATTTGACTAACGCAGCATTCGCCCATACACGTGACGACTAGTAATTTATACATGATTTTTCTAAAGCATCATTCACTCAACATTCTTCCCGATCCGCACATTTCACGTTCCCATGGTCGACGATCAACTCACCTCCGACACCTTTTTTCAAACCTTTCGCGTCCCCGACGAACGAGAACCCATTCAAATACCCGTCGTCATACACCCGACTCTAAATGAGCTCTATGTTCTCTGGTCCGACATCACAGATTGTTTCCCCAGAGCAACGCGGATCCAGTTCAAGGATATCTACGTGCCAAAGCTAAGAGATGCCCGTCTCTACAGGTATTTTTTTTTTGAGGTTCTAGATTCGCGTTTTTTTTCTTCCTCCCACCCTTTAATAGCGTTGTATTATATATATGAATGAATATATAATGTTGGTATATAAGCGACTAACGCATGAGTTGAACATTTGCCTTGTTTTTGTACTGAAATAATAGGGTCAGACCACATGGGATCAGATTCCACCCTGGGATGGTGTTGGATATCATCTATGGGAAGAAGCCAGTCAGTAGGAAGAACACGAGCTGTAGGAGCCGGGACGCCAATGCTGAGATTGCACACAAAGCCATCGGAGAGGCGTCGGATCAGGACGTGAATGGCCGAGACGAGCACGATAACACGGACGGCAGCAACTTCGGGGAGGAAGAACAGAGAACACGATCCAAGGAGCAGCAACAGCGGCGGGAGGAGGAGCTTGTAGCGGTTGAATCCGAGAGCTCACTCCTTGAGGATACCAGCTGGGAAATCGGCACAGCAGCCCCCGACATACCGTTGGCGGATGATGAGAGGGACTTGCAGACGGAAGAGGGGGAGGATGAGGATGAAGATGAGGAGGAAGACGAGGGAGAGAAGGTAGATGAGGATGAAGAAGTAGAAGAGGTCAGTGAGGAGGAACTGTGGCCGCCCACGCGCCAGCTCTCTTCAGGATTTACGGCCGATTTACAGCCCGTGTCTTCACTGTCAGGAGTGGCGAAAGACCCGGAGGCACCGCTGGATATCAGAGTCTTGGTCAAGCATCGCGTTCGGGACATCATTAAGGATCGGGTGTCGTTGTCACATTGCAGTATGTCTAAGTACTTTTTCTTCCTTCCTATTTTGGAAGACGCAACTACGTTACCCGGACCAACATCCTCATCACCTTCTCAACCGACGCACACCGCGATCACTCCAGTCGGCAGCAAAGGGTTCCACGGCAACACCAGATTTCAGCTTTATTATCTCTGCGACTGTGGCGACATTCCCGGGTTCGTGGGCACCTGGCGTCCTCATTGGCATTCCAGCGATGGCAAACAGCCGCTCAGTTCTACCTCCGACGAAAGCTTCTCTCACGATCAACTCGTGGAGCTCATACCTCCAGTCGGCGAATATATGATGGCGGTCTTGGAGATGCTCAAGTACGGTGTCTATGTCGAAGAGGTTCCCCAGTCGGCGGCACGGCGTGTCTCCTTAGCGATCGGGTACCTTGAGTCTGAAGGAGTTCGCTCCTGCGAGAAGCTCATGGACGAGATGTCTCTGGAGACCGCGAGCGTTGGAAGCCAGGCGATTCTGGACCAAATGAAACCCACCGCTCCACTGGATTCGGGATCAAAAACGGATGTGGAGAACTGCATTTTCCGTCTTCGTACAAGAAAGCATCCCAGACTCTATCCCTTCAGAGCCTCGATGGGCGATGTTCGAAGAGTGTGCCAGGGCCACTTACTCTCCATGCTACCGCGGAGCGCTCTGGAGGAAGCGCAGGGATTTTCGGCGGACCCATCGTCAAGTGCCAGCAAGTATGATTACCGGCGGGGAGTCTTCAGTTCGAGGATCACGAACATGCAGCGAGCGCGTGAGTTCTTCCGGCTGGCGGCGCAAATGCCATCGATTCCGGTGTTCCGAATCTCGTTGGAGTGGGTGCTATCAGTGGAGGACGAACAGGAGATCGGCGACGCGATTGGTGGACTCTCAGCAGCAGTCGTTCATCTCACTGTCCCAACCGGCACCGGAGCCCAGAAGGGTGCTGTTTCAGGATGTGCAGACGGATTCGAGCCCTTGATTTTTGCAGCACTACAGAACTCTAAGGTCGAGATCTTTAGCATATTCAAACGCCCGTTGGACGCCGGACACGACTATCCCGAGTTCTTGGAAAGGCGACAGTACTACCACTCATCCTCAAAGTTGCCGTCAGATACATTGGCATCAGTGTCGCGAGGATCGGGGGACAATAGAGTGTCGGTAGCTCTGCGAGCGCGCAATGCAAGGCAGGCTATCGCGTCAGTCCGTCGTGCAGCAAGAGGTCTCCATCATCTTTCCGAGTTGTGCCTCCAGGTGATGGATGTAGCGGATATCACCATCGACCTGACGGAAAGTCGCATTGAAGATACCGACTTCACCAGTGGCGAACTGCTTTCGTTCTTCACGAAGCGGCATTGGAGTGATGGGCTCAGTTGTTTGTCGTCAAAAGTTTTGGATACCGCGGTCTCGCAGCTAGGATGTCTGACTGAGGTGAGGATGGGACTTTCGCTTGAGCAGGATCGGGCCAAGGTACGAGATCTGATCAAGTTGAACGAGGGTCTCAAGTCGCTGGAGATGAAGTACCGATCCGACGAGGACCCGAGCAATATCTTCGAGGCATTCAAGGCGCTCCTATTCAAGCATCCGCGGATCGAGTCATTCAAGGTCGTCAAGCATCAGATCTTCTATCCTAGAGAGGACTCTGTTTTCCTCTGGAGGAACCTACGGGAGCCAGCCAAGATGCGGGTGGAGATTTCTTGCTATGGAGGAGACAACATATATTCAATGTTCCAGCGGTACACTAAGTCAATCGAGCGTCTCCGGGTTGCAGAGCTGCGGCTGGACGAGGCAGCTGTCCTAGAGAAGTCGATGCGGTCCAAGAAAGGACCCCTGGCTCTCAAGCGCATCTCCATCGTCGACGTCCACTTGATGGAGCCCTCCGTGCGTAATATTCTCCAAAAGATCATTCTCCAGCGAGACATCGAGGAGGTTGTCGTGGAGGGAAAACTCAAGCCAGATACTGACGAGTACGATGATGATCAAGCTAGCGATGACTGGGACACTCTTGGTGAGGATGGCGCCGCGACTCTCCAGTATATTCGGGTTCAAAAGACCGCTGCTGTGGAGGCATGGATGGAATTATTGTGCGCTATTCGTTCCAAGGTCACGGAGTTGGATATAAAAAATTATCCCAGGAATCGAGTCCTCAAGGCGTTGGAGTCGCGGTTGGAGGATTCCTTGGATATGCCTCGGTTGAGGTCGCTATCTCTGTCGAACGATATGGATACAAGCGTATTCTCAGATCGCTGGCTTGAGACGCTTCTTCGGTCGAAGGTCGTGCAGAGAGAGCTTCCCGGGAATGGCTCCACACCCACATCACCACCGACAACAACAGTCACTAATTCGGTCAAGATCGACCCAGCCAAGGATATTATGGCGCCTGTCCCGACAAATGGCAACAATGCTTCGCAGGCGATCACAGAGCTCTGCATGCACGGAGTGAAGCTCTCTGATGAGGAATGGGAGAGGTTGCTCGGCTACCTTGATTTTTCCCAAGTGGTCAAGTTTGAAGTTTTTCAGAGGAATCCCATGTCATCCGCGACTCTTCTTCTGTTGACGGATGTCTTTCTGCAGAGCGGCACGAGTTTAAGAAAGTTCGTTGCGAGAGGTCGCCAGGCGATTGACAAGGCGACGAGAGCGGTCGTAGAAGAGAAGCTTCGCTCGAAATCGATCGACGGAGGTTTGGAGGTCGATCTCAACATGTGCTTTATGCGCAACACAGGGAGTGCCCGGTTGGTTCTCAGTTGCCCATATGAATAGCCCTTTTCTTTTTTCCTTTCATTTATTTTTGCTCATTAAATGATCCTTCACAATGGTAGTGCTTCCAGGACCGTAGAGATAACGTTGCGGATCAAAATGTTGCGCACGGATAGGGCACTTGAAGACCGAAGACAGTTCGGCCAGGGGTTGGCATTCGCCCAACACGTGACCGTCGCCATCCTGACATAAGATTGTTGTCTTGGTTCATTAGTTCGACATCTTTCCTAATTCCAAACGTCCCCCATGGTCGACAATCAGCCCACCTCGGAGACCTACTACCAGGCCTTTCGCGTCCCAGACGAAAGAGAACCCGTCCAGATTCCTGCTGTCCTTCACCCGACTCTGAAGGAACTCTATGTCCTCTGGTCTGATATCTCCAACTGTTTTCCGCAGGCAACGCGAGTCCAATTCAAGAATGTTTACGTGCCCATGCTGAAAGATGCTCGTCTCTGCAGGTAATTGATGGTCCTTGCTCTTCATTTTTTTTTCACGCGCTCCGGTGGCGTGTAGCAGACCGTCGAAGTTATCATGAAAACGATTCCCGAGTAAATAGATAAAGCCTAACGAGTTGCTCTGTATTTGATTTTTTTGTAACGAAATCTTAGGGCCAAGCCGCATGGGATCAGATACCACCCCGAGATCGTGCTGGATATCACCTACGGAGAGCAGGGTTCCAAGAAAACCAACAAACGCAGGAGCAGCAGTGCCATATAGGATAATGTAGCTTACAACCGCTTCCACTTGCAGCAATAGCAGGAATAGCAGCAACAGGTGCTAGATGATCTGACTCAGTTACCCTCCTGGCCATTTTCATCAAGAGATCAATCCAGGTTCATCCTCATCCTAGCTGTATGTCGTCGTCCTCCCCCTGTGCTCTAAACCAGCACACAGGCACCCTCCCGAGTCGAGCCTCGGGTCAAAGTCTTCTTGTGATAGGTTATCTCTATGGGTACCCTTACCCCTACAGCCCTGCGTTAACATCGAGCATCACAATTTATGGACCCATTACGCAAGCCCATGGATCGGCCCCAGCTTTCATCCCAGCAGCAGCAGCAGCTGCTGCAACAGCACCAGTCAATATTTTCGCACTCTACATCGACCACTTTCCTCAGACCATGTCACTTTTACCGTTTTTCTTGGCGTAAACATACCATGCGGGTGGCTGTAGCAATGATGATCGATGAAATAGTAAAAACAATAACAACATAACAACAACAAGAAAGAGTAGACGACAAACGGTGATAAACGGGTGCGTGTGTGTTGCCATTTGTGAGTATGTGTACGAGTCGTCTCGCGGACCCTACGGCCCGCCCACCTGGCGAAGTCAGGTGTGCACAAAGGATGTAGGAGTTTAACAGGAAAAAAAAAAGGCCTCCACGACACGCAGTGTTCCTTTGATGATCACCAAAAAAAAAAAAAATCATGTGCACATGTCCTTAAGTTGTTAATATATTAAACCTCCCCGCCAACGACTACCAAGGCTTCACCACTGACGAGCGGGCGAAAAATGTCGGCTCCTTTCGGTCCACACCATCCAGCATGATTACATTGGTATCAAGACAGACGGGAGATGACAACAGGAATAAAACGACGCCGAGAATCACACGTGTGGCTAAGGCGGTCAAGTCGGTCCGCGGGGTGGCTCAAGGATTCCACAATTTCTCCAGCGCTTTCTTGACGAACGAGATCAAGATGCAGACGTTGTTCAAACTGGTGGGTGCCATCCAGGTAGATTGTAGGCGGAGAACCAAGTTGACTGTTTCGGACCGTCGGTTCTTTGACTAAGGAATCCGGGTTACTCTGTTGGTGAAGTTCAACTTCAAAAATGATAAGCAGCACAACTCGAGCCTACAATTCTATTAAAAAATCGATCGCGACCCGAATTGACGCGTTTTTTTTCGTTGTTGGTCTATCATGTGACCCAGCGCCTTATTGTTTTTTATGTATCTGTATGTGTGTGCCATCCAACATTCACTTTCGCACCCTCCAACCCTCATTCATGGTCGAGACGAATCACGACACCGACACCGTCTTCCAGGCATTTCGCTCAGAGACCGACCGGAGAGAGGTTCTCATCCCCGCCGTCCGGCATCCTACCCTGGGCGAACTTTACGTGATCTGGACCGACATTACTGACTGTTTCCCTCGTGCATCGCGAATCCAACACGACGACGAATTTATTCCCTTCCTGCGAGACGACAACCTCGTACGGTAAATACCTCTTATTAAAAGGGGGGGGAAACTTGAGGCTATGGGATAGAAGCGAATGTATTCACATTTCTAATTCATGATTTCGCACGTTCCTTCTTGTTCAAATAATAGGGTCAAGCCCTTTGGGGTTCCATGTCATCCAGGAGTAGTTCTCGATGTTATCCTTGGAGAGACCCCATTCATTGTGTCAAAGAGACGCGCCAATGGAAGACCCCGCAACAGCAGCAACAGGAACCATCATGCCAGCAATATCACCACCAACAGCATGGCTCACTCTGCAGAACGCTCTGGTCTGACCAACGGAGACAGCGGTGTGATAAAACAGCAAGGCAAATCCTCGGACAGACTCACAGTCAAGAGCAAGGATGAGAGCGGCGGCAAGGTCGAAATGCACCCCACGGTCAAGACACAGGAAGGATCTCAAGCCGGCAGTGGTGGTCTCTCCAATACCTCAATCCCACAACAAGCGGCGTCCAAAAATCAGGCGCCAAACAGTAAGGAGCAACCACCGAGGGCTTCACCAACAGGATCTTCAGCAACCCAAACATCTGCCACACCTGTCGCGACCAACAATACCACCGCCGTCACCACTACCGCTGTTACCACCACCGAGGACGGGGCACTGGCTGGACAGAAGGCTGTATGGAATGCGATTGCCGGGGCGTACAACTCTACCCTGCCCTACAAACGCCCTCCACATTCCGAGCCTACGGATCTCAAGGCTCTTGTGGAACTACGCGTGAAGACCATCCTCAAGGACTATCTTTCGTGGACTCAGAGCTGCCATCCTCGATTCTTTTGCTTCCTTCCTATTGTGCCAGATCCCGGTCCGAACGCAGAGGCAGACGGAGAGCCAAACCTCAACGAGGTGATTCAGAGCGACACCAAGTTCCAACTCTACTACTTTTGCGACTGCGGCGATGTTCCAGGATTTGAAGGTCGCTGGTACGGACACTGGACCATCAAAGAGGGCGAGCATTACCTCAACAATGCTACCGGAGAGAGCACGACGCAGGCGCAGCTGGATGATATTATTCCGCTGGTGGGTACATCTATGATGGCATATATGGAAGCGCTCAAGTATGGAGCGTATGTCAACGATGAGCTCATTGTCCCGCCTCAGACTCACCCTGATGCCCAACGACGAATCTCTTTGGCCATCCGGTACTTCGAGTCCAAGGGCGTCCGATCCTCTGAAGGGTACTGGAGAGATCGCCTTGCTGGAGTCCGTTCAGAGGATATCAAGCCTGTCACCTCGCCATTACACAAGCACCGGGTCGAGTTCTGGAGGATAGTCGAGAAGAACCGCTGGGTGCGGTTGAGCGAGTTGATCCCTTTCAAGACGACGGGAGGTGATGTGAGGTGGGTCTGTCAGTCCCATTGGCACGCCCTGACGAATCTGGCAGATGTCCAACGAGCCACGGATTTCTCAAAGAACCCGCAGTCGACCAAGAGCGAGTACAGGATGACCCAGGGAGCGTTCATCACCGAGATCCTCAGCATGCAGAGGGCGAGGGAGTTTTTCCAGCTGGCTGAGAGGATGACATCCACCGTTGTGCTCCGAGTGTCGTTGGACTGGGACTTGACGTCTGGAGACGAAGACGAGCTGAACCTGTTAATTGGACGGCTTTCGGCAACGGCACTACATCTCACCGTTCGACGCAAGACTCGGTGCGCCTCGGGAGCTCTCGTAGGATTTGCGTCAGGATATGTGCAGCTGACATTGGCGGCAATCTGGAACCCGAGCATTGAGATCTTTATGTTGTTGTTTCGCCCTCCAGCGGATGAGCCCGACTACTCTACTTACTACGAGCGCCACTACATGCTCAGCTCCTGCGACTCCTTGTGTTCGGACACGATTGCGACGCTCATGAAGTTAAAGAAGGGTGCGCCGGCCAGAGCCATCCTTCAAGCCTCCGACATTGACCTTGCTGCGGCCTCGTTCCGTAAGCTTGCTAAAGGATTCCATTACTTTTCCGAGCTGCAGCTGACAAAGGAATCTATCCAAGTGAACGCGATGATCAAGTTCAAGAACAAGTTTGGCGACTCTGAGCCCATTCCCAAGGACACGGACTACAACAACGGCGACTTGTTCAAGTATTTCGAGCAGCGGGAGTGGATCGATGATGTCGAGTGCGATTGTTCTGAGGCCACCTTCAGTCAGCTTCTTTTGTTGCACAACTTGACCAAGGTGGTTACTTGGTTCTCGCTCAAGCAGGACCGAGTCAAATTCCGGGAGCTGATCAGGTTCAACAAGAAACTCAAGGAGCTGACGTTGCACGATACCGAGAGGGATGACCCGAGCCAGATCTTTGAGACGTACAAGGCGCTGTTGGCGAATCACCCGGTGATTGAGCTGTTTGAGGTCCGTCAACACCATATCGACTCTGCGGATTCAACATTTGCCTGGAAGAACCCCAAGGAGTCGACCAAGATGCGAGTGGCGATCACGTGCTATGCCGGGGACAAGGTCCAGTCGATGCTTCAAAAGTACGCGCCTTTGATTGACAGACTCACAATTGAGCACCTCAAGGCGAGCGACGCTTCAGTGTTGGAGAAGTCGACGCGACCCAAGAAGGGACCTTTGTCGTTGAGATGGCTCGGGATCCACAATGTCCATCTGTTGGAGGCGGCTGTGTTGGATGATCTGAAGAAGGTCATTTTGAGGAGCGATATTGATCAGGTCATGGTGACTGGTTCGACGTTCAAGGCGTCGATTCTTCTGGACGATGCGACGACATTGGCGCGACATGATGGCAGCAATACTTCTCGAAGGACGGTCGCGAAGGGTGGCGCTGTCAAGAAGCGGGACGACTTTGCGGAGGAGAAGGCCAATGTGGGTGTTTGGGCCGAGTTTATAATGGGTATCCGGACCAAGCTGACGGACATGTCCATCTCGACCAAGGATCCGGCGAATATTTTGGCAGCACTGGAGGCGCAGGTGGTTCCAGGAGAGCAGCCTGATATGATTCGTCTGCAGGGGTTCACAATGACGGGAGTCTGGACACAGAGTATTCTGTCGTACCCCTGGATGGAGAGACTCTTGCTGTCGACGGGTCATGGCGCGACGGCAACCTATCTGGAGGACGGCCGACGGAAGCAGATCCTGACCAAGGTTACCCTGACGGGGTCGCAGATCCTGGAGGAGGATTGGAAGCGGATCCTCAAGAGTTGGGACCTGTTCCAGATGGTTCGTCTTCATATCCGACAAAAGTCCAGGCTGTCGGTCGAGACGCTGTTGGCGATGATTGAGGCTATCCCGATGAACAGTCCGTCGTTGCGGCAGTTCCTCGTGGATGATAGTCAGCCCATTAGTCCTGAAGTCTCAAGAGCCTTTGAGGCCAAGATGAGGACCAAGAGCGAGAAGTTTCATACCACCGTCATTCTCCAGAGCCTTCACATGGCTTAATTTCCTATTTATTTATTTTTTTCTTTCTTATGACTTAAAAAAAAATGCATGTTATGATACACTTGCTATGGTGTGCTTTGATGGCGCTTTCATCGAAGAATGTTGGCCTTTGTCGGCGTGAAAGAAGCTGTTTACAGATCAAAAGGGCGTGTTTCTATGAACGCGAAGCAGATCGAATCAACTAAAGGGGGAAAAAAAAAAAAAAAAAAAACAAGGCTCTCCGTGGGTACCTTGATGAAAGTGCTCACAGTCCGAAGAAAGGCGTCGGAGGCAGGAGCTCTCCCCTTGGTCCGTGGCCACATTTTAGAAGTCCCCTTTCATATCTTGACAAACTCCCTTCACATTAATTACAACTGTTGCGTATGTCCAGCACTGACCAAAAAAGCAACAAGTAAAGGCAAACCAAAGGGATAGCTTTTCTCATAAGAAAAAGTATTTATTTGTCGAAAAAACACAGAAACCCAAAAAAAAATAGTACACACACCCCCAAACTCCAAGAAGTAAGGGAGGGGGAACCAGAAAGTGTTGAGCCCCTTTGTCCTTTTTCCATGTTTTTTCCCTGCTTTTATTTTGTCCTCCTTTCCTGGGCACTGAACTTGGTCTGATGATGGGGTGTAAGAAATCCAGAGAAGAGGGAAAAAAAAAGTTCCGGCAGAAGCTTTTGAAAGATGAAGGGCGAATGATTTACTTCAGCTTCTTCTTGATGCGGAGCTGGTTGGAGTGACCGCACTTCTTCTTGCGGCAGTTGGTGGCGCGAGGAGGGAGACGGGCGTAGCACTTGCGGCAGATCATCTTGTCGCAGTTGAACTTGGAGGCCAAGGCCTTGAGCGAAGGCTCAATGATACCACCACGGAGACGGAGGACCAAGTGGAGGGTCGACTCCTTCTGGATGTTGTAGTCCGAAAGGGTGCGGCCATCCTCGAGCTGCTTGCCGGCGAAGATCAAACGCTGCTGGTCTGGGGGAATACCTGTAGGATCGAGGAATGATATACATAGAAGAGGGAGATATCAGTATTTGATGTTCAGAGTGTAGTGTGAGACAATGTCAAGGATATGGTCCTCTGTAAGGCACAAGTTTGAGTCGAAAGTCGGTCTGTCCTGCGTCCTGGTTGCTGCGATTTGACAAGTCAAAGGCTGCTGGCACACTCCTGCAGAGTAAAGTGCAAGACCGCGATCCGTGTCATGTCGATAGCCTTTACTTTCTCACAGTCGGCCAAAAACGATCGTTGAGGGCTTGTTGATAGCAAAACAAGTTCAATTGCTGCGGTCGTCTGTAAGGGCGACCAATTTCCTGTTTCATCGACTCCTGAGTCTTCTTGCAGAGTATGACCAAGCGAGTTTGTTGTGTTGAGTGGTACAGGGCAAGGGAAGAAAAGAAAGAAAAAGTAACGCACCCTCCTTGTCCTGGATCTTCTGCTTGACGTTGTCAATGGTGTCGGAGGACTCCACCTCGAGGGTGATGGTCTTTCCGGTAAGGGTCTTAACGAAAATCTGCATTTTCCTAAAAGACAGAGCAAGGCAAGACGCATGGAAGAGATGAGTACTTGGAATCGCAATTGTTGAAAGGCGGGGGGAGAAAGTCGGGTTTTGGAGGGGGGGTGATGATAGATCTGCGCGCCAAGGATTGGGTATGGACGATGTCTGTTGTTGCTGCGGTTGTAGTGTTGGTGATCTCTAGTTCCTGTACTCTTGCTGTAAAGATGGGTCCAGCAGACAAGGCTGGAAAAGCGAGATTTCGTCTCGCCATATTGACGACAAAGTCTCCCGACAAAGTAGCGCTCTTTCCCGTACTCTGATTCTGCAACAGCCGCGTTGACTACCGCTCCTTCATCGAGTTCTGTAAGCTGGCGTTTGCCGATGTATCCCATGACCCTCCCCTGTCGCCTTGAAAGAAAAAGTTCTCCCTCATCGGGTCCAAGTGATGTAAGTTCTGGTGACAAGTCGAAGTAGTCGAAAGTTGGGGACGGCGAAGATGGGTGAAGATGGCGGGATGGCGATGGGTGATATGTAGGGTGTAGGGGTGTAGAGAGCGTGTCGATAGATCGATGGATGGTATCGGCCCCATGGTTGAGTGTTTGTCGGATGGATGTCCTGCTGTGGTCTGACAGCGAGTGTGCACCTTTTTTGGGTTGAGAAAGAGAAGGACCAACGGACCCCGCCTGGATCACACATTAAATCGATTCACCGCACTCGAAATCATGAGTCACGTGCACCTCTATTCAAGCTAGTCTGGCCATTTCCCTTTCTTTCTCGCGCAAGAACCCCACTTCGTCTTCTTCATTCTTGACAGCCTTGGCTTATTCTACCGTTAGAAACGATAATAAGCACGAACACGAAAACTACACATACAAAAACGGGAGTCAAAGAGAGCGTTGGTGGTATTATTGTTTTCAAGCCGTTTTTTATTCAAAATCGGGGGGACGAATCAAGAAGAAAAAGTGCTGGATTTAGTTCTTGTTGGCACGGACACCCTTGGAAGCCTTCTTGGGGGCAGCCTTGACGGGCTTCTGGGTGGCGAGGACAGCGGCAACGCGGGCAAGAGCGGCCTGTTCGAAACAATAAGATCAAGTGAGAGATGACACAGTTAGTTTCAGTCATTCAATCATAGACACTGTTGCAAAGGGGAAAAGTGGAATAAAAACGCGTAGTGGACACGTTTCAATGGTAAGGAGAGTCAAAGGTTGGGAAGATGAAGTAACAACAAGGAAGAGGTGGAGAAAAGAAATAGGATGAGATGTTCCCAAGTTACAGTCGCAAAACTTTGAATAAAGAAAATTCATTGTTTGATAGGTTGCAGAACATTGGCCAGGTCCTCGCCCTTTCTTGAAAGAGCAGAGGAGATTTGTAATCTTGCAAATAATGTACGCCCAGCTTTCATGTTAAATGGAATCTGCTGGGTTCTAGCACTTTGCTGATGAGATGAAGGGCATTGGAAAGAAAAGGAAAATGTTCCTGAGGGTGTTGTTCTTACCTGGCGGAGGTCAGCACGGTAACCGGCGCGGGTAAGACCAGCGACGGAGCGGGCAGACTTGCGGATACCCTTGGTGAGGGTGACCTTGTTCTTGGGGGTGGAGACAACAACACCACGGCCGGAGGCAGCGGCGGCAATGTCGATGGTCTAACGTAGTCGAAAAAGTTGATTGGGAGAAAAGAAACGCTTGGGGGTCAATGCCTGAACCATATCGAGCCAACTTTGAGTCATGAACCACCTTCTCGCCACCAAACAGTCCCCTGTCTAAACGTCCGTCAATCAGTGACATGTCACGAGCAAGGGCTGTTGTACAGCTTCTCGGTCCAGTATTACGACGCCCAGAAAATCAATTGATTAATCGTCCGTGAACTCATAGACGAGCAAGGTCCTAGAAGGCCATAATGATCTCCCTGTATCCATGCTCCCTTCCTCCTTGCCAGAGTTCCAATATTGCTTGTGCGTTCCCAATGTACCTTCTTGTTGGCGATTCCAGAGAACTTGAACGAGTTCTTGTTCAACAAGTTGCCAGCCTCCGAGGAGAACTGAACGCCGGAGCGCTTGACCAAGAAGGAGTTGTTGTTCTTGATGAGGAGCCTGTGAAAAGTAACGATATCCAGTCAAAAAGAGAGGGGGGGTTGAGGTCAATATCAACTGTCTGGTCTGTCCATGTGTCCTTTTGAAGGCAGGTGAGCATAGTTCTTAGTTTAAGCACACAAGTGCGGCTCGTTTTTTTCTTACCAGGTAAGATCAGCCGACATTTTGAACTAGAAAAGGTGCCAGAATCGAGAAAAACAAAAAGATCAATTAGATGATGGTTTCCCCATGAATTCTGGTTGGTAGCCCCTCTGTGATCATGAACATCCCGATATGATGACTGGATCCAGTTTTTAGTGACATCCTGATCAGCGATTTGGAAAGATGGGGGACAAGAAAGGGATGCTGAATCAGAGTTTCGGCATGACTTTTTGCTGTTTGAAAATATTTTTTTTGGGTCCGTTGTTCTTTGCTGAGGATAGTGTGATGTTGATCCTGCAGTACATGTGGTTGGTGGTGGAAGTTGGTTCCTGGCTATCCCTCGTTCAGTGCCATTCCCTGCAGTTGCCCCTTGGCACACACGCTCCCGAGTTGATCAAGCCAAGTGCAGCACTGTACATAATCCCAAATGATGTGAAGAGAAGGAATTCAACACAGTCTCGAATCAACCACAAATAAAAAACCAGTTCGCAGAGACAAAAAAATGATTGGGCGGCCTCAGATAAATTTGTACGGTGACGTCACTATTTTTCGTAGATGGGCAGTGCGGTGCTGCGATTATCGTTCGCATTTAGTTGCCGTTTATTGCTGGCTTCTGAAAACCGTTAAGCTTACCATTCGCCAGACCTGCTGACGCGTTGGTAATAAGCGGGCTATCGCTTCCCGCTGCAGAGTTGAAAGCAGCGATAGAATTGGGAGGCTGGGCCCCCGTCGATCCGACCGCCGATCCAAGTCCATACAGGTATCCACTATTGATAGAGAGAACGTTGTGCTATTAGACTAATGAAGTAAAGGTATATGCTCGTCGCCATCTTCGTTGACGCTAAGACCAAAATGCGACCTACAGGTACTTGCTGTCGTCGATAGTGTCATCGAAAAAGATCTGTCTCATCTTGAAAAACGCTGAACAAGTTAAAAGACTATCACTTCCTGCCTGATGCTGTGCGCCGATCCGTACAACCTAGTCAAGACATATAGTGGGAAGAAATGGTCGTCAGACGCTGAGTAATATCAATTGAAGCACGTTTGACAGGTAAAGGTAGGCCAGTCATGTTACCTGCAAGTCATTGGCGAGATCCTGCAAGCCACCCTTCAGGTTCTTGCAGCTCTTCATCAGATACTTAATGTCGTAGATGCAAGGAAAATATGTCCTTAACAACTCGAAAAAATCGTGCTCCTCTCCAGGCAATGCGCTGCAAGTCAACACCTTGAGAAGGTAACCAAAGTCATATCCACTATAATGCCACACAGCGAGAAAGATATCGTTAATTTCTAGCTCATGCATCCCTTCAACAACTTTGAACCAAACATTGTTGGATAGTTTTGTTTACCTGTGAAAGGAGATCCATTTGACATCATCCAGCAGGACAAATCCTGAGCTGATCAGAAGCTCTCCAAACCGGTGGATGTCGATACCAAAGTCTTCGTGTTTTTGAAAGTTGATACCAGACTTGATCAATAGGTCAATGGAATCCTGCGCATACATGTCATCGCTATTTGGAGTTGAGGAGAATAGTATGATCCGGTTAGTATTCTGAGTCAAATCTATTTGTGTCGCAATAGCCTGTCGCTCACGGGATCCTTACTTGAGGTTGAATTTGAAGTTGAACTGCCATGTGCATGCATCCTTGGGCACATTGCCATTTTCGTCCGCAAAGGTAACGCCGAGCTGGATCATCTTGAGCAGATCCACGTTGCATCGAAGTGTCTGGTAGTGGTAGTCAGCCGATGTCCGAAAATTGCCTATATATAATAAAACAACAATCAATTATTAGCCTCTTGACAATAGACTCAACGTCGCCTGGCGTGCAACGAGCGCATTTCGATAGAGGATGAGAAATACCATACCAATGGGCCGTGCAACGACGCCTGGGAACTCTGTGTCCTGTCAAACGATGGGCGTTGATGGACATGAATCGGTCAGTTTTCTGGGTTGAGTTGCTGCCGTCTCGTTCATTACTTTGTCACCTCCTTGGCCTGAAAGCTCAGTGCGCCTAGTCATATATCAGGGGCATACCATCGCAAGATACGGATAGTGATCGACCAGTTCCCGCAAAAGCGCCATTTCTTGATCCAGGTTTTCTGCCCAGACCTCGCGGATAATAGAACGCTCGGGGCTCGGCATGGCTATTGTAGGATGTATGAATGAGGAGGAGCTACTTGACTGATGTCAGTAAGAACGGCGTCCGCGCAAACAGGGCGGTCAGTCTAGGCATCGCTTGGCGGGTGGGTGTGAGAAAGCTTATTTAGGACTGCGGGTGTGTTGAAGCGAGGCCTACCTGTCTGTGAAGAGTAAAGAGAGGTAGGCTGATGTCGAGTCAGGAGGGAAAGGATGAAGAGAACGACAGGAATGAAAGAAAGGATGCTGATGTCATTCGCCTCACTCTTGAACACTCAAATAAAAAAAGGGAGGGAACACGGTCCAATCCAAACACCCCGTAAGCGGAATCTCCTTGGAGAAATCGAGAAAGAAAATCTTCCTCTTTGTGTCTGCTGCCCTTTTGTTGTCAATTGGTCCTCATTGGTTGATCAACTTTGAATCAGTCACCTTTCCTTTCCATTGCTAAACTACCCTCGACATCAGGATCAACCTTTTGCATTGCACATTCAACACACTCACTCAAACTGGTACTCTCCCTCTCACCCTCTCACCCTCTCACCCTCTCTCTCTCCTCCTTAATATCCACCATACACTTCTGACTATCCACATCATGAGCAAAGGAACAAACGACTTGGTCGACATTTTGGTGGCAAAGCTCAAGCGCCGCCAGCTAGTTGGCTCCTCAGCAGTCGCCCAGGCAACTCTGAAGCTGCTCATTGTTGTCATCTCCAAGAACAACTGGTCCAAGGCCAATGACCTGCTGAACCTCGTTCGATCCGTCGGCCAGAGGCTGATCGAGGCCAACCCCACAGAGCTTGCTATCGGTAATATTGTCCGTCGTGTGCTGCATGTCATTCGAGAGGAGTTCAGGGATGCTGAGGCGAGCTCAAAGTCAGACGACAACTCTGAGTTCCAATCAGCTCCCCTGACAACATCATCGTCCATGTACAACCTCTTGAGCGAGACGGGCTCGGATGACAAGGGGTTCACCCACGCCTCCAGCAACCTTCGAAGCGATATTATCCAGGAAGTGCGGGATATTCGTATTGAACTGGACACCATCTACGAGAACATTAAGAACCAGGCCACCAACCACATCCATTCAAAGTATGGCTTGAATGAACAGCATTTTATCTTTTGCATTTCAGTTTGAATCGCTCCGTCAATTGACGCTAACTTTCGTCAATGTTTTTTTGTGCTGCGATTGTGTGTCACAGCGAGATCATTATGACTATTGGTCGGTCAAGGACCGTCGAGGAATTTTTGAAGATGGCATCTAGCAAGCGCAAGTTCCATGTCTTGGTCGCCGAGACCGCCCCCTCGTAAGGAGAAAACACAACAGCACACGGACAGAAAACTGTGGCATATGAACCAGCGTATTTTCGTACATCAGACAAACTTTGTATATCATTTCATTTCTGAACACTCTCATAGATATCTCGGACAGGAGATGGCGTTAGAGCTCTCGAAGGCAGGAATCGAGGCCACAATCATTCCAGACTCGGCCGTGTTTGCAGTCATGTCGCGTGTCAACAAGGTTATCCTCGGAACCCATGCAGGTTAGTGTCAGAGTCTTGCTCGTAGCTCTTGCAAAGAAAGGAGTGACATAAAAAGCACGCTAGTCATCTTGCCCTTCCTTCATATCTAACCCCTGCTTGCTCTGAATTGATCTTATTTCCTGTGGTTTTTTTTTGGCGTAGTATTGGCAAACGGAGGTCTTGTCGCCATCTCTGGCACACATATGATGGCAGCAGCAGCCAAGCACCACTCAATTCCAGTTGTGGTGTGCACAGGGCTGTACAAGCTGTCGCCATTGTACCCCCACGATGAGGACAGTTTTAACGTCGTGACGAACCCCGATGCAGTTCTTGGATTCGAGGATGGCGACCTGATGGAGAAGGTGACAGTGACGAACCCGTACTACGATTATGTGTCGCCCGAGTTTGTAAACCTGTTCATCACCAATCAGGGCGGCCATCCTCCATCTTACCTCTACCGTCTCATGTAAGCGTTTGTTTTATTAGCATGCGATCGAATGTTATGTGTGCAATGTTATGTGGCAATGCTAATAATTTTGTGATTGGACTGGCACGCGTTTGTCAACCAACAGACACTAATGCCTATTTTTTTTGTTGCTGTTTTGCCTGCTAGTGTGGAGAACTACGACCCTAACGATCATACCTTTGACCCATTGGCATGAGGGTCCTATCAATCAATGTACACTTTTTTTTATCCGCCTCTCGTTGTACTTTTAATTGGCCATCATATCCATTTTTTTTATTCCAGACTTTATTCAAAGACTATAAATCTACGAATTGTCTGCATTCCTGTCATATTCATGTTGCATTTGTTCTTTCCGATTGCTCCCAGGTGTCAGCCAGCCAGGCAGAGAAGGGAAGGGATCGAAATTGGACCTGGTATTACATTTCTTGAACTGTTCTATTGTGTAGCGTGAGAGTGAAGACATGTTGATGTGCCCATGGACAACAACCATCCATTTGAGAACAAGGTTCAATCATGATGAGAGCCCTCTTTGTTTTTTTACTTGACCATGAAGCATGAAGCGAGCGGGATGAATCTGTCGTACCTGACCTTGTTACAGGCGGAAGTGGTGGGGGGAGAGGAGAATGCATTCAGAGACCCCCTGTGAGAGAAAAAACATTCTACAGTGGGCGCCTGTCAATGTACTAACAGGGATACATACCCGCCAGAGCCATCCAGGAACGCTCATCGCCGCTGTTACTTTGTTCGTTCTTACCCTGGCAACTCAATTACACTTGCCATTGTAGGCCAGGGCCAGGGAGCGACGAAGAAGCAAGGAATAAGAGAGAGAAGAGACATGGTGGTTGTCGTTGTCGTTGTCGTTGTGATTGTCATTTGTCGTTTACTGTCCGCTGTTTACTGCTGCACCTTGTCGTCGCTTGATTCCTTTTCTCTTTATTAATAGCCTACGAACAGCCAGCGTGGAACCCAGCCGGAACCCCATTCAGAGATCCCTTCTATTCAATCCTTTCCCTTTGTCTCTCTCTCTCCCTCTCCCTCTCTCTTTTGCTCTCTCTCTTCCTTCCCTCGTACCATACCTTGACGTCTTCACCCTTTCTCTTTGCTCCTCGCCCCTTTTCCTCCTTCGACATATACACCTTTTTTGTCTGTTGACAATCATCCTCACTCCCTCCGCTCGATCCCATCTGACTCCTCTTCTCCCATCACCTCCTTACTTTTTTCATCGCCTTCATCCTCTCACCTAATCCATCTCTTTCATCTTGGCCCCAGTTTTCGTCTGATTCGACACACTCACACACTACCAACAGCCATGCCGAGGGACACCCTCCCTTCGCACCGGCTCCTGGACCATAGCAAAGCACCAGCTATGGTCGTAGTACTCTTATCACTCTTATCGACCCTGGCAACTGTCCCTCCAGCCTTGGCAGCGATCACCCCTCTCGCAGATGCTAACCCACCCTGGCGAGCCTTTCATGGAGCAACCATTATCGAGACCTCAATGGTCATCTTTGGCGGCACAACAGACCCGACAACCGACCCCTACGGTGCCCTTGTCCCTGGATCGAATGATCTCTGGGTCTGGAGCACCACCCTGCGGCAGTGGTCTCGACCGCAGACCCAGTTCCAGTCACCGACGACCAACGCCACTAGCACTAATGCGCCCTCTCCACAAAAGTTTCTCGCCTCCTTCCCCGCCACGTCTCAGGGCAGGATGATGGCCTTTGTCAGCAACTCAACCACCCCGTCTCCCGCCTCGTCCACCTCCGAAGATCTTCTAGTCCTCGACACCACGTTCTGGACCTGGTCCGTCCCTACTTCACGTAATATATCTACAACAAGGGCACTCACTCGATCTCGACAATTGTTCTTGCAAATTGCATTCATATTCGACATCGACAAATAACAATTGAGCGATCTACACATACTCCATCTCTTTCTTCTCTCTCTCTCTCTCTCCACACTTTTGCCACTCTCTCACAATCCATCTCATTGAAAGTACTTCATTGTCCTCGACGACCACTACAACACTTCTGACACTACCTTTTCATATCTCATTCCCTCGTTTCATGTATCACCCCATCCTTTTCCCCTGTCTCTCAAATAGCAAATCCTGCCTTCACACCTTCCACACGGCTGGGCGCAGCGGTCGGCATTTCGAATAATCATGTCTACATCCATGGCGGAGCACCTACCTCGAACGGTTATGCCTCCTCAGGGGTTTACAGCGACTTTACAAAGATGGTAAACGACTCAAATGATAGCACACGCACCCTTCCCTCCAAAAAACGACAGTGGATAGATCCTTCAGATAACTTAATCTTTTATTTTGTTGATGCAACGAACGACTGATAGGACGACAGCACATTCGAGTATTCACAGCTCGCCGGCGGACCCTCATTGATGTACCACTCCATGTGCAAGCTGTCTGGACTCAACACAATGATCATCTTTGGAGGCACTGACGGCACCTCAAGCGCCTTCAACAGCGTATACACCTTCGACCTCGACATGGAGGTTTGGGACGTCCAGCGCGTCGTCAACCCTGGAGTTGGAGGCGGCGTTCCCGCTGCCAAAAAGGGCCACACCGCGGTGTGCCTGAACAACACCATGGTGGTTTATGGTAAGATGCACTGCAAATGCACAAACATCCCGACACCTCCTTCCCAACATCTCCCTACTACTTTCCCTTACTACACTTTGGCACTGCTCGCATGCATCCTTTTTTTTTTTTCTTTTTTTTTCGAACCACTCTCTCTCTCCCTAATTCTAACGTTGCACAAGCGGGACATGAACAACTAAACAAACAATTGAAGACACCCATACAAACTCAGACACACACAAACACTCAGGCGAGCGAACGTCAAAAGAAAATAGCCTTGGCACTGACCATGACCACTCGTCTTCCGTGTGATCTTTATATAGGGGGTGGAGCAGACCAACCGCTGGACGACGACGTATGGGTCATGGACGCCTCAGTTACGCCCTGGGTGTGGAACAGGATGACAACAAACAAAAAAGTAGGACCTGGACCAAGAACAGGACATTCCGCCTTATTAAACGGGACAAACATGCTGGTCTGGGGAGGCTATGGCGCAGCCATGGGCAGCGACGTCAATGTCTATATTCTCGACACTACGTCCTGGACATGGACCTCGTCTAAGGACGGCGCCTTGGGATCGGCTGGTCCTAACAGGCAGCCCAGCAGTCCTGGCGAACCCAATGATGTCTCCAACAAATCTAACATGCCAATGATCATCGGTATCGTCTGTGGCAGTCTGGCGTTGATTGCTGCGTTTGTCGGGTTCCTTGTCATGAGAAGGAGAGGATCCAGGAAGGTCCAGAAAGTGACAAAACATTCACAGGATAATGCCAGTTACATCTCAGACGCTGAGCAGCATTTGGCTGGGGATCTGAGTTTGGACGACAAACCCAGCTACTATCATCATCATGCAGGACGGGACTCGGGATCATCACTTGGAGGTTGGCCCAATACAACTGCTCGCCGATCCATCCCTCCGCCGGCTCAGGGGATTCCGATGCGGCCCTTGGCCACACTGGTACCGCCAATCCCTACAGTCACTCTAGAGACAGAAGAGGACATTACAGACCAGGCCTGCTCAAGCCGATCCTTAGAGCTTCAGTCTGCTCAACATCAGCAACCCAACAGCCAGCGAACATCTCTACGGGACATTGATCAAGCATCACAACGTTCAAGCGCAAGGGTTGGCTCGATCGGATCAGATCCATACTACCCAGCTCATCTGGCAGAGAATGACGAGGAGGACGCCGATAGGTGGACTTTTGCCTCCTCGCTATCTTTTGACAAACGCGAGAAGACTGGACAAGTGCTTCCATTGAGATATATCCCTTCGCGAAGCTCAGGTGTCTCGGGCTTGAATCGATCTATGGCACAGTCTACAGGAAGTCTCACGCCAAGTTTCCCAGCAAATAGGAGTGTACGCAGAGATGGCAGTGCCCCATCGATCCTATCTCGCAAGGGATCGGCGTTGGATTCAGCCTCGATCGCCATGGCAGGAACACCGACTATTACGCGGGAAGGGTCCATCAGCCCTCGCGACACCTGCACGCTGTTCAACTCTGTCAGCCCTCTGGACAGAGTGAGTCTGATGTGTTCAGGACTTGAGATTGAGCCCGAGCCCGTGGTGGAGGATGAAGCGGCATCGACCAGATCTTCTGCATTCCTCGACCCAAGGAGCAGTATTGTCATTCCTCATTGGCGTAGCTCTGGCAGCCTACATCGGGATAGCCTCTTGGAGCAAACTATCAACGAGAGGGACGAGATTGAGGCAACAACTACCACTCCAACAACTCAGCCTCATAAACCAGCGTCGGTCTCAACATCTTACACCTCTACTGGAGCCACTACTCTGGACCACCCTGCAATGATTACCTTGACTCAAAATCTACCAGCCCGGTACAAGGTCTCCAAATCTCCCAACCCTATCCACGGCCGATACAACGACATTCTCTACGCCGTCGACACAGATACCCAACAACCCATTGTCATCAAGTCATTTGGACGGCGCGAGACCTGGGAGAGAGAATGCAGGACGTTGCGGCGGTTGCGTGGACCTTGTGTGGTGGAGCTGAAGCACGTCGCTACATTGGTGCTTTCAGAGCAGGACGAACCAAACTCACCGGCCAAGATCCGCCTCACGGTTCTCGAGAGGTTGGACGAGACCCTTGCAGAGATGCTTCAGAATGCCAAGGCGGCCAAGAAGGTTGCTCTTCGCGAGAACGCGCAGGAGGATGAGTTGGAAAAGGACCTTGACCTGGAGGGTGCTGGATTCTACAGGACAAAACCTGCGCTGGACGAGGGTTATATCAAGGACATTGCGAAGGGCGTCCTGCGGTGTCTGACGTGGTGTCATTCCAAGAAGATTGTGTACTGTGATCTGAAGCCGACCAACATTATGCGGAATCGGGATGATACGCGACAGCAGTGGAAGTTGATCGACTTGGAGGCTTCGAGAGTTGCGGACGAGGAATGTACGAGCGTGGGCACGGTCAGGTATTGCCCGCCAGAAGTGGCGACTGGAGTTGAAGCCCCGATGTTTGGATCTACACAACCCACCGCTAATGTCACGGCACGGTACAGCATGGATCTCTGGGCATTCGGATGCCTCCTCTATGTAAGTTTCAAATTGAACCTTTCAGCTGCTGCCTTGTTGACCATGTTCTTACTTGAGATTAGATCGGTAACTGACCTTTGGATATGCATCATCTTCTTCATACTTCCAACAACAGGAACTGCACGCGACAAGATCGCTGATCCCAATTTCGTCCACAAACGAGGCGGTACTCCACTTTTTGGCACACCCATCCCCAGACACACCTGCACTAGCAAACGGCCTCCGATGGGCCAATTCTCAAGAACTCGACATCCCTCACTTTGAACAGGCGGTGCCCAACAGCCATGCCCGACAATTGATCCGTATTCTTCTTCACCCCGACCCTCTCCGTCGTGCCACCATGACCCAAGTATTGGTACGTCTTCACTTTTGCACGGTCTCGCTTGGTTGTTAGTTTATGTGTGCGTGTGTTTACCCCCCCTCCCCCATAGCGCTAACTTGTATTTGTTCTCTTTTCCTTTTTTTTTCCAACGATGATAGAACTCGGACTTTCTCAACAAAACCTCTTCCTTCTCCTAATTTAATTGTATACCATTTTACCTACACTGCATCTCGTAATAAAATTCAAAAGGAAAAGACATTTCGCATCATCATCCCCAACAGATCCAGGTCGTGGGACAAATAATCTGGAACGGTTTTTGTTCCAGAATCAATATTGGGATCAACTCTTGTCAATTTCCGATCACGAACACAGAATAAATAACTAACACGCGCTTCCCCAATCATCTTAAAAAAAAAACGTCCAACGGCAAGAAAGCCCCCCCCCCCCCTCCACCCCCAACCTCCTCCCACTTTTTCTTTTCACTACACCCAACTAGGTCCCACTCAAAGGCACACATAGAAATGATACAAGTTGTCCTTTTTCTTTTATTCATGGAAGTCACGAACGAAAAAAAACAAAAAAAAAGGAGGAGACGTCTACGATATGATGGAGGGGTGAGAGATATGCGATTATCATGAGGGGAAAAAAAAATATGTTAGATTACCCTTGCTTGCTTGCTTGCTTGTTTTTTGCTTGCTTGGACGACTTCTTCCCCCCGACAACGACACTTGAAGAAGGACCATTTACACGCTGTCATTTTTGCTCACTTCAATTGCAAGTTGAAGTTGTGCAGGCCAAGAACTATTAGACATTGTGCACAAAAAAAAAAGAACAAAAAACGATGACCCAAAAAAAAAACATGTCAGCAAATCCGCACATACAAAAACTACCAACAAGGGAGGGCACAGAACACAGAACAAAAACAAAAAAAACAAAAAAAAAACAAGAGCGCCAATGGAGCATTGTTACCCTCGGGACTCTGGAGGTCCTCAGCCGATTTCTTGTCATCCGCTCTCAAGTTCTCCAAATGCTTCAAGTAGGCAGCATCGACACGGCCAGTGACATATTTTCCGTCAAACACCGCTGCATCCCATGACTTGATATTTGGGTTGAACTTGCTGCACGACGCAATTAACCCATCCAATTCCTACAATTTAGAGAACAAAAAAAAAAGTGACCTAGTTGTAAGTTGCCTTGCGCATTTTGTAGCTTGGGGGGGGAGGTTTCCTATCCACAAAAACACACAAGCGTTGTATCTCACCTGGAAGAAGACGCGGTCTGCGCCAAGGGCCACGGCAATCTCTTCCTCGGTCTTGTTGAAAGCGACCAGCTCATGGGGAGAGGGCATGTCGATACCATAGACGTTAGGGTAACGGATTGCAGGTGCGCACGAGGCAAGGTACACCTTCTTGGCACCAGCCTCGCGAGCCATCTGGACGATTTCCTTTGACGTCGTTCCGCGAACAATCGAGTCTATTACCATACATCGTCAGTGGCAAAGTAGTGTTAGTTACGTGTGAGACAGGAGTGAGTACTCATTCCGCAGAGATAAATTAATGTTTGACAAACACGAGCAAAAAAAAAAAAAAAAAAAAAAAAAGGCTGTAAAGAGGAAACATACCATCGACGATCAAGACGTTCTTGCCCGCAAATTCGAGGGACATGGCGTTGAACTTGCGACGGACAGTCTTCTTGCGCAAGGCCTGGCCAGGCATGATGAAGGTGCGTCCAATATACCGATTCTTGATGAATCCCTCGCGGTATGTGATGTCCAGCTTGTATGCCGTCTGAAGTGCAGCCACACGACTCGTATCAGGGACCTAAAACAATACCAAGTGTAAATGTATGTCCATATATACGTGAGCGAGCATGTCCCCAAATGTACTCATAAAACCAATTCGACAAAAAGAACGGCCTCTTAAAACTTACAGGAATGATGACATCAATATCCATATCAGCTCCCAACTTGCGCGCAACCTCATCCGCAAGAGCTTCGCCCATCGCCAAGCGGCACTTGTAAACTGAGATTCCATCAATGATAGAATCTGGACGAGAAAAGTAAACGTATTCAAAGATACAGGGGGTAAAGTTGGCGTTGGGGACCAGCTCCCGACGAGTCACCGTCCTGTTCTTGTTGACAATCACAGCCTCACCGGGCTTGAGATCCTCGAAATCCGAAAAACTGCATCCATCACAAACAACACTCTCTGATGCAAACATGTAATCTGTTCCGCAACCGGGGCTCTGCGATTCACGCTTTGCGAATCCGATAGGGCGAATGCCGTTGGGATCGCGGAATCCAATGATACCGAATCCTAGCAATAACAAAAAAAAACATGATTTCTTACGTTACTTTATCATGTCCTCATAGCCCGACCTATACAAAGAAAGCATTGAGTTCATCTGGGTAACATACCGGCAATCATGGCAACGCAGGCATAACCACCATGGCAGGTGTCAAAGATACCCTTGATGGCAGTGAAGATGTCCTCCTCGTTGATACGGGACTTGCCCGTCTTTTCGAGGTTGTTGGCGAAAATGTTTAGCAGCAACTCCGAATCCGAGTCCGTGTTGATGTGTCGATGAGCATCCTTGTCTAAAAATTCGCGCAGCTCATCTGCGTTGACAAGGTTGCCGTTCTATTTTGATGTGAGGGAAGGTTTTGAAGAGACGAAGTGGGGTTGATGGTAAGTGTGTGAGTTTTTTTTTGTGTGGGTACAATGGCGCCATAGTCCTGGGACAACCAACAACAAATAAAATATAAAGATCCGATAATTGACGGCGATCTCATGAAAATTGCACATCATTCGATCTGCATTGAATTCAATCCTGATAACCATGCGAGAAAAAAAAAAGAAAGATCAAGGCTTACATGGGCAAAGGTGATGCCATAGGGGCTGTTGACATAGAATGGCTGAGCCTCGGACGAGGACGAGGTTCCAGCAGTAGGATAGCGGACTATGTAGTCATAGTCATTCAAGGCAGAAGAGAACAAGTTGTCGGAGTATGAGTACAGGTGCGAGTTGGCGTAAAAGAAAAAAAATATGCAAGACGCAGGGGTGAACAATGACTGCAGGATGGACTAGCGCGAGAGAAGGAGAGACAGAGAGGGTTGATAGTCCTGTTTATCCCCCTTTTCTCCTTTTTCCAAAGTTGTTACGCCGTGTCTCTTCAGTTGTCTGGTCGGTTCAAACTCGGCGCCGATTGAATCGGATGAAGACCTTCATCTCTTATGAGCAATAATTCAAATCAAGTGGTGGGAAAAACACATAATGAAAAAGATGCATTACCGTGGCCGACTCCCATGTTGCCAACAAGCTGCTCAAGCTTGGGCTGGTCAAAGACATCGCGCACCATGCCACTGCCCTTGATCTGGTACAGGCGTCCCTTGTTTCCACAGGTGATAATACCAGCAGCATCCTAAATGGTTTTTATTGTGTCAGGATGTGTGGGGTGCCGGAGTAATAAAAGAGGCAATCAAAAGTCGTCGATTAGATAGATGGTCCCTGAACAAAGAGTTGAAGCATTGTCGTTTGTCCTGTTTGCTACTGAAGTTGAATTCGTTGCTGTTGTCCTTGGACAATATAATTGTCGAAAGTAAAAGAAGAAGGGGAGAACTTGCCTGGCCACGGTGCTGAAGCATACCGAGGCCCTCAAAGAGCTCAGGGCTGGCCATCTGATTCTGATCAGCGAGGAGTAATGCAGTGATTCCACACATGGCAGGTTTTTTTAGAGGGATGAGTGAGGAGAGAGGGAGTGAGGGGAGGAAGGGGACTCGGAGGAGAGAGTGAACAAGAAGAAGGGAGAAGAGAGAGAGAGAGGAAGAGGAAAGAAAGAAAGACGAAAAGGATGACTCTCTTTCTCTCTCTTTCCCCGCAAATTGGGACCTTCCTTTTTGGGACATGCTACGAACGTTGTGGCCCGAAAACACTGCAAGAGAAAGAAAAAAAACGAGTCAGTCAGTCGGTACCTGAAGAAGAGTACTATCCTTCAGGACTCTGGACTCTGGACTCTAACTTCTGTGCCCTAATCTCGACCCTTATCGCTTTTTCGTAGCTCTTTCTACCTTTTCACTCAACAACAACAACATCGAAGCAAGACAAACGAACACTTGATGCTTGCTAGTTATCGTTCAATGAGGACCCGCTTGGATCCGTCTTCGTCGTCGTCGTCGTCCTCGCAAAGACAAAGAAAAAGCGATCAATCGATCAGTCAAAGCATGTTAACCTCGTCAAATCCATCCCACATTTCTTGACCTTCTACAAAACTTTTCTCTACAGACGACACGCGCACACACACACACACCCTCAGCCTTCTTTCAAAGCACACGACCACCGCCCTCCCGATCCCTTGGCTCCGTGTCTTTCTGGAAAAAGAAAAAAAAATGTCGAACCAGTCACATGTCACGTGCCATTGTTGTTTCTTTGGTCGTTTTTTTTTTTCTGTTTGTTGTTTGGCGACTAAAGGCTCAAAGGCATAGTCCAGTCCATCTCCCCCAACTTCATCGCCTCCCCCCCCCTAATTACTCAGTCATGGTCAAGAAGTCAGCAGGAAAGGCACCAGCAAGCAAGACAGCAACCAAGGCAGCCACCAAGCCTACCAAGAAGGCAGCCAAGTCCGCACCTATCGCCAAACCATCAATAACCGCGAAAGAGGATAGCAGCGATAGCAGTGCCGCCGAGGACGACGACCAAGAGGAGGAGGAGGAGGATAGCGATGCTGAGGATCTGGAGGACAGGGATGCAGGATCTGGTCGTACCATGGAAGAGAAGCTCCAGGACATGAACTCAAAGTCAAAATCATCAACATCTACGACATCACAATCTACCACATCATCTACAGCAGCAGCAGCACCAGTATCTTCAAGGACAACAACAACAACAGAACCAACAACATCTACCACACCCTCAAACAAGTACACGACACCTAAAGCCAACGACTTGCAACAAACCTTCCTCCAGGCCTTGCACACCTCCGACGCCGACCTCCTCGACGCCTGCCTCCACTTTTCCCAGCCCGTCACAGTCCTCCGGAATACCATCCGCAGAGTCGCCACCACCTCTGTCCTCCCTCTCCTCACAACCCTCCTCAACCGGTACCAACAAAAACCCAACCAAAACATTCATCTCCTCGAATGGATCAAGTCTATCCTCTTGATTCACTCGAGCTCCTTGATGACAAACCAGGACCTCGTCATGAGACTTTCCGGCTTTTATGACGCTATTGAGGCTAGGGTGCCCGTTTATCAGAAGGTGATGAACTTGAACGGAAGACTGGATCTGATCATGAACCAGATCGAGATGAGGAAGCAGTATGAGCAGAGTGGAGCTGAGGAGGAGGTTGTTTATGTAGAGGATGAGGAACAGGTCGAGGAGGAGGATCTGGATCACGCTGGAGCTATGGATGATGACGATGATGATGATGATCTCGTTGGAGAGACCGATGCCTTTGATGATGAGGAGGTAAGATATATGCATTTATCGCATTTTTTTTCCCGATCCCCTCGTTCCATTTTTCTCTTCTTGGCGATGATCAAGATAACTAATTATATGATCCTTTTCTCTTCATTTCATGAAAACAACTATAGAACGGAGATACTGACGAGGAGGAGCTCGAGTCCGATATGTCAGAAGATGAGGACGATGTTTCTGACGACGACGAGTAAATCCAGTCGCTCGCGTTCTGTCCACACAGACTAACAATCCCACATCAAAGCCATTCCAACTCATCCCATTTCATCCAATCATTTTTAGACACTAAAATATCATAAAGCATGCAGCATATCAAAAACACGAGAAAAGAACGGTTGTTTATTTTGGTCTAAAGTACACAAGATGATATTTACAAGGCGGGAGAAAAGGTTCAGTTGCTGCTAGGGCTAGAGGCCGTCGAGATAGCAACGGTGCCTGCGACATCGCGCCGTCTGCGTGCTGTCAATGAACTAGGTGGCGTTACCGTCGACGAACTGACGACCAAGCCCAGAGGGACCTCTTCAGTAGTCAAACCATCTGCCAAAAGCACAGTTGACTCCTTCGCAACTGGCGATGATGCTGGCGAAGAAGGCTCAAGAGCAAACTCGACCGACTTTCTCAACACAGGGCTCACAGTGCGCGTCACGATCGTGGGTGTGCTGCTGCTCCCTGTTGGATCACTCCGGGAGGTGTCAAATGGCGAAGGCGCGGGCTCGGTGTCTCCTACGGTGACCTGTGTGGCCATCATCTCGTCAACTCCATCCAACGGTCCACAGCCAAAGCGAGCAGGGTGAGGGATCTCTGGCAGTGTGGGTGACATGGCCCAATCGTACTTTATCTTGTTCATCATCACAGCCGGTGTACTGCTTCGGTTTCCTGCTTGAGGCAGAGGTGAGGGTGCAGGAGAGCTGGACAGAGGATGGGTTCCCTTGGAGCCTGCATACACCGAGGAAGACTCGTTCATACCGGATGCGGGTATATGTCCAGTGCCAGATGATGCTTGCTCATGCGGGACAGAGTACCCATCGCCATACACCTGTTGGGTGTTCATGACCTGGCCTCCGACCTGCAAACTGGCCAATCTTTTCTGTCGGAAAGATCCTCCGTGAGAAACACCGGCATCACCCTTGTACTTGGGAGCGCGGTGCTTGAGGTCAGAGACAGATCGGTCGCGGGTCAACTCAGGCCTGGATGTCGTGGTGGGAGTAGTCGATGGAGGTGGCAGTGGTGGCAAAGGGGAGGCAATGGACTCGCTGCGACTATGAACGCTAAAGGCAAGAGCCGTGTCCTTTTCGTTCAGAGATGCCTGCCGCTTTAAAACCGAAAACGAGGCATCATATCCAGGCGAAGTCCTGCCAAGCACTTGACTAGATGACCTTGTAGTCAAGACGTGGAGATTCTGAAGACTTGTCGACAGCGATCTGCCAGATAAAGAACGCTTGATTCGTCTGAGCGCATGTCCAGGAGATGCTTCTGTGTTGGTAGAGTGTCGGAGTCGGCGATGGTGTGTGGTGCGCTGAGGAGGTGCATCATCCAGTATCAAAACACCAGCCGCCACTGTTGTGTTGAATATAAGATCAATAGAATGGGCTGGTTAGCAGTTTGTTCTTGAGACATGGTCAAGGATGGGTCATGAATCGAAAGAAAGCGACAAGAGTGACAAAGTTGCTTACCAGAAACACGACGGCCGGGAGGTAAATGCGAGAGCAAGGGCGAGCTAGGACGTCGGGCCAAACTGGGTTCCTCGAGCGGGTCAACAGCCAAATAAGGATCGTAGCCAAACTGTTGGTTGGATTTTTGGAGCTCTACCCACTGCACACGGTTGTCGGCGAGTGTCGTCATAAGAGGCGACGCATCGGGTAGGAGCTCGACAAAGGCTTCAAAGTATGGCTGGACAACAAAGTCGCTGAAGCCGAGCGAGATCTGTGGCTGATTGTGTTGGTCCCGATCCATGTTGGGCGAGACGGGCAAATGCTGAGCCTTCTCGATATCGCCCTGACGGAAAAACTCTTGGACCACAAGATCAGACCACCTCTTGCAGATAGTCCAGGGTTTGACGGCGTTTGAGACGTCGGCGGCGTGCAGCAGGCAGTTGCATAGACTCTGTCTCTGCTCGGGGGTAAGATCCTGGGCGGTATATCCATCCAGGCTGCGACGTGAAGATGACGATCCTGAGCTAGAGGAGCCGCTAGAAGACGAAGAGCCACTAGAGGATGATCGTTTGCGTTGACCATTTCCGTCCTGCTGCTCTTCTGTTGGCGATGGTGGCAAGGGTCCTGTTGATATGCTGAGTGGGGATGCCATCGATACAGTCTTTGTCTTAAACTGCCGTGTTTTCTCGTCTACTCCTGTAAACTGAAGAGAAGGTCGGGTTGCGGTCAGGGCAAGGGCAAGTCTCTTGGGTTGAACTTCGTTTTCAGACTCTGACTCCGATTCCGAGGCTTCTGAGCCGCTGGACGACATGGGAGGTGAGGTCGCTTCGATGAGGTTGTTGAGGTTGTTGAGCATATCGTAATGGAAAGACATGTCAGTGGCGAGAATGGCCTTGACCATGGCTTCCCTCATCCCGCATTCTGTTGCGTGGTGACCCTCTGGGAGGATGGCGGTAGCTGACCGAGAGATGTTGCGGAAGAGGGTATGTTTGGTGACAAGGTCCATGGCAAGCGAGCAAGAGTACTTTTCCAGAACGGACTCTTCTCCGTGCTTCTTGTAGAGGTCCGTCTTGGCGTTGACCTGGAACAAGTTGTTGAGTCCTGGCTATCAAGGTGAAACACGGGGGTCAATTGAGTCAGCTGTTTGGTATTTTGGGTTGGAGTATTGGTGGCAAACCACTTGTTGATTATTTATAAAAATGATAAAAAAGCAAGCAACAAGGGAACTTACGTGACCGATATCGTGACAGAGACCAGCGAGGAGTAAGGCAGCCATGTCGGGTTTGGACAGGTATTGCGAAGCCTGCATATCCTGGAGCATATGGTAGAGAACCGAAGTGACATCTGCGGCGTGGTAGAAGGAGTGGTAGAAGGTGGCGAGATATCCGCGATCGACATCAATGATAAAGTCGAGCAACTCATTCTGTGTGACGCCAAGGCATTCGACCAGCCCGAGCTTGACAAACATGCCGAGGATATAGCCATAGATCTCGGGCATCGTATAGTCCCAGACATTGAAATCTAGGTTCACAGGTTTAGATCGACCCGAAACGAACCTAAGCAGTGCCTACGAGAGCGCGGGAAACGAGGTTGCGTAGAGATAGGGAAAGAAGGAGTGTTTGTTTGTGAGCGAACGGACGACAGTGAGCACGAAATGAAAGAGAGTGAGATTAAGAGGCCAAGTGGGGAAAAGGAAAAAGATGAGGGGTCACCGCCCCCCCGTTCTTTCTATCAGCCAGGAGGGACGGGCTATTAACAAGGCAATGCGACCCAAGGCGGGACATTGGTTCGCACCGACGGAGCACGGAAGGGGGGTGGTTATATGAAGAGGTTCGCGATTGGTTCTCCTGTCGTCGTAGTCCAACGGCAATCATGAGTTACGGGCGTATTTTAATTGTTTTTTTTGTCCTTGTTCTTTCCTTCCAACGGACGTGTGTGTTGTCACTTGGTCGTAGTCGTTGTTGTTGTTGTTGTTTCTATCCTGTTTTGTTCTGATGAGTTTGTGAAAAAGAAGAGACTTACTCGTTCACAGGTGATGAGGTCCTGGGAGCTCAGTTGGCAGTGGCGAAGGAAAATCATAGTGTGTTGTGAGTGTGTGGAGGTGGAGGTGGTGTGTGTGTTGACGACGGAGGAGGAGCTTCAACCTTGGGGCGTAACAAGAGCAAAAAAAAGATAAAGTAAAATAAGAATCCCGGCCAAGGAACAGGGGCAGAGAAGGAGAGGAGTGGGTGGAGTGCTGTTATGCAAAGAAGAGGAAGAAAGAGGTCTACTGTCTTTGAAGAATGAAGGCGGAGGAGGAGGAATGAGGAAAAGGGAATGAAAGAAGGACGAGGAGTGGGGGGTATGGGTGGTTCGGGAAGGAAGGAGAAGGGGGAGAAGGGGGAGAAGGGAAGGAAGGGAGAGAGAGGAAAGAAAGAATGAAGAGAGGGGTGAAAGGTAAAAAGGTAAAAAGAGAAAAAGAGAAAAAGAAAAGTTAGTTGTGCTTTCGTATTTGACTTTAGAAAGAGTGGACGTTCGGATGAAGGAGGAGGAGTGGAGGAGAGGATGAGCGAAAAAGTGTGACAAAAGGGACAAGAGGCGTGAAGCGGGTGGGAAGATGTGAGCCTCATTGGTTTCTGTTCTCTTTGTTTGTGCGTTTGGTTGTCTGTCAAAAAGAACACACACACATACACAAACCCTCAATCTTCACATTTCTTGTCCAAAGCCAAACTCCCCCTGCACCTTGTTCTCATTCATGTCGTATTACCAAACCCCTCTCTGCCCACACCATCCCTTCTCCCACACCCCCTTTCAAAATCCCTCCTCTCGTCCTCTCCTCCTCCACACCAATTGTTTATACAGAACAAAAATGAAAGCCCTTTTGCCCATGAAATTGGCTGTTTCCCCGTCGCTTCATTATGATGGTTGTCCTTTTGTGAGTGATCGAGCTATCTCTCGATCATCTCTTCAAAATAATAGGACTGCACCAGGCCGTATTTTTGTCGTTGTGCCTCCCCCCCTTCTCTCTTTCTTTCTTTCGGCAGTCGGTATCGAAATCCTGTTATTGTTGTTATTGTTGTTATTGTTGTTGCTGTTGATGGCGAAGAATGAACAAGTGACAAGCTGATAACGACAGGAAGCGTCCGTCCGTCCGTCCCTCCGTGTTTGCTCACGTAAGAGTTAAGACAAAAAAAGCCAAAAGAAAATACCGACCCACAAGTACCACACACACACATGCACACATCCTCTCTGCACCACTAGGATCTCTCCACACACAACACAAAAGCAAGAGAAACACAACGGGATACAAAACGATGGAGGGAATGCACATGAGAGCGATGCGCTCGGGTTTTCTTTGTTGATTATTGATTGTGGACACGGTACGAAAGGAAATAATGCAATTGAGAAGAGAGAGCGATGCAAAAAAAAAAAAAAAAAAAAAAAAAAAAGAGGAAATCAAGGGTGCTCAACACCTACAGATGATAATGAGATAGAGTTGATTTGGGCTGAAGGCCGGGAGAAGTAGGTGGGCGTGAGAGTAGGTGTGAGGGCTGAAGGTGAGATATGAAGGGGTCGAGGTGTGTGGAAAATGGTGGCGTCGAGAAAGGGTATAAGAATGTTAATGAGGAAGGTGAGGAAAGAGAAGAAAGGAGGAGAAAGGAGGAGAAAGGAGAAGAAAGGAGAAGAAAGAGCAGAAAGGAGATGAAAGGAGATGAAAAGAGATGAAAGGAAATAAAAAGAGCAAAAAAAACCTGCAGGACAAATAAAATGGCAACAAACCGGGACAGAAAAAAAAAAATGTTTCGCACTCGTCCCAATCCAAGATCTGTGCCTGGTGTTGCTGCTGTGGCTGCCATTGCATTGTTGTTATTGCTTTCGCGTTGAAGTTGCTTTTGCCGTTGGTTGTGGTTTCTCTCTTTTCTATTTCCCAACCCGCTCATTCACTCCAGCCTGCAATGGATCATGTTCTCGGCCTCGTGTGTCGTCTTTCACCCATGCACCCTTACTCATCCTACTCCTTTTTTATTTTCTCTTTCAATTGCCTCTTCTTCTTTCATCCCAATACATCCCATGTCGACATGACAACAACAACCCAACCAAACAAACAAACAAACAAAAAATAGACGCCTTTCATCACACCACATCACTTCATACAACCAAACAAACAACCAAACAACCCAACAGGAAAAATAGCGCGTCAGTGTGGTTTCCATTTTTTTTCGCGTGCTCTCTTTGTTTCCCATGACTAGCCTCTTTTTTACCCTTTTCATCCCCCAACCACTGCAACCCTGTTGATATGCCCGAGCGCCTTTTTCCCGTCCACATTTGCTCACAGACACGCACTCACATGCAGAGACACAGACAAAGTCGCTCTGTATGCACTGTCACCATTCATACAACCAATCCTATCGTCCCCAATCTATCCCCCCCATTCATCACTGCTTTTTTTTCTTGCTCAAAAACATGAAGACCACCCACTGGTCGACGGCCCTTCTTCTTTCCCCTTCTTTCGTTTCCATTTCTCATTGACCGGGGATATAGTTCAGCCTTGTTGTCTTGCCTTCACTCCTTTGTCTTCACTTTACCTTGTGATGCTTTTTGCTTTTTGCTGTGCTGATCAAAAGAAAGTTTTTTTTGAGCCAAAAAAAAAAAAAAAAAAAAAAGAAAAAGGGTGGTTTAGTGGTTGGTCATGTTTTTGGTGATCAATTGATTCAATTCGCCCAGATGGGTGGATCGGTTTGTGTAGAGTGTCCAATGACAAAACGGTGAGGATAGAACGTTGAAAGGGGGGTGTGAGAACGAACTCGACAACTCTTATCACAGGAGCATGTCAACATTTCTTTACTGGTACACAAAATAAAACTGGACAATAAACAAAAGCCTTTGGGGAGCAGCGATGGATTGGGATGAGAGAATATTGTCAAACTGACGTGGAAAAGAGTCGAGGAACATACCTTCTTAATGAAGTGAGACAATAAAAAACTTTTGATGAGGAATAAGGAGGAGTTCTTTGCTTGTTTTTTTGGTGTTTTGAGTGGAGCAGAAAGTGAAAGGGCTTGTAAGGAAAGAAAGAAGAAGTGAAGAAGAGAACAAAGGAAAAGAAAACAAAAGTGAAGAAAAAAAACGTGGCGGGAGAATAAAGAGGAGTCAACTGACCAGGGGTAAAGAAGGAAAGGAAAGGAGTCAGGGACCAGGTTTTGCTGAGTTTTTAAGATGTTGAGGCTATGACGACGCTAGAAAAAGAGAAAACAGGGGGGGCGAATCGACGACCCTTTTTATATACAGTGTCCATTGCGGCGAGATATTATTTTCGATCCAGCGAGACAAGAAAAAAGTCCGCTTGCCACGAGGTCGCCACAGAGTCAGGGGCAGAAGGAAAGAAGCGAGAACAAAAAAGATACGAAGATGTGTTTACCGATGAAGGAGTACTTTTGAACGAGGCTGACGACCCGATGTGCGGGAGACTGACTGATTGGAGAGAGAGCAAAGGGAGAGAGAGATGACGAGGGAAGACAGGGGGACAAAGAGCGATTACATAACAGGTGGCGAGAAATGAACTGAAAGTAGCCAAAAAAAGGGGGGGGGGGGTGAGCCATAAACAACAACGAAGATAGCAACAACAACAACAACAAAAAACAGTGAGCATCGACTCACGAACCTTGACGTTGACCTCTAGGAAGGACTCAGGGGGTGAGAACGGGAGTTGTATGAACGGGAAGAATCTTCTCCTCCAAAGGAAAATGACAGGGGATCAACAAAGAGGAGGACTGATCGTTTGTTTACGCCATACATGCATCTCTTTCATCTCTGCTTGTTGTCTGTCGTTGTTGTCTGTTGCCTTGCATGCATGTGTGCTTTGTCCTCGTGAATTGGACAACGGGAAGAATGAAAGAAATGAAAGAAGTGAACGAATGCCAAGTGACACCATCACAACCCACCAACAGACGGGAAAATCATAGACCAGTTGTGCCTCAAATCGGCCAGTCGAGGCCAAGAGGAGTGAATAGAGTCATGGTTGGAGTGAATAGAGTCATGGTTTTCCCCTTGGGTGGACAGGACCTGTGGAGGAGACAGAAGGTTGAGTCCAGTCAACGGCGACATGACCCCTTGACAATGTCGACATTTTTGTAACCCGCAACCTTGTTTCTCTTACCTTGAGGAAGGGTGAAGTGAACGCCCAGGAAAAAGAAGACGAAAGAATGAAAAGGAACTTCATTGAATGGCCAGGGCCACCAGTAAAATGAAAACCACGCGAGATGTTTTGGGTTGACGCCCCTTTTCCGTCCGTTGTGTATGCCTGTGGGCTGTGTCTACTTCTCTCTCTCCATCTCTCTCCCTCTGCGTCTGTGTTGCAACTTCCCTTTCCTTTCGCTGCTCACCACCCAACCTTGTTTTCTTCGCCCTTGGGTTGTATGAAAACAATACGTTCCCTTTCTACACAGTTCTGCGGCTGCCCCTGACCAAACAACAGTAGATCAGCCGCACATCGTGCTCTCCGTTCCCTGTTCATTTCTCGCCTCTTTTTTTTTTTGCCATCTCTCCTTGCCTTTTTTTCCATTTTCTTGGTCGCCTCTCCCATCCAATGCTGTTTGCTTCTGGCAAACGGGTGGATGGATCCATGGATAACGATTCGTTCTGCAACCAACCAAAAAAAGGAGATCATCCATCGTCCTCCCATATGAACCTTCCTGCCTTTGATCTTTGCAAGGGTCACCCTCTTTTCTTTGACTCAATTGCTTCGACTTTCATACATCCTTACTCATACCCATTCCACGCCTCCATGCTCCAACAAAGCTCTCTTGCTCAATTGCCATTCAATTGAAAACGACATCTGTTTGGACCCATTGGCATCCTCTTTCATTCTAGACCCCCACCACTCGCCCATTCCCCTGGCACCATGTGCTCTTGTTTTTGTTGTCGACCATCTGACCATTCTTCCCGCTCGACCAAGACGGGAGATGTTGAGTTTTCATTCTCCATCTCTTGGCCTTTGGTCTATAGTTTGCATTTCTCAATTGATATTAGAGAATAAACGATAGCCTCATCGAGGCCTTTAGCATTGAGAAAAATGTGAGAAATGAAGCAAGCTCTAGAGTCGAGTCCAATGGTCAGATGGGTGCCCCAGACCATAGCTTCCTTCTTACTCGACGCGTCGTCTTTTTTCCATCACCCCTATCTCTAGTCCAAGTGATCTGATCAAATCACTGTGGGAGGAGCGAGAATCAACAGTGTGTTGCTCAAAGTGGCTTTGGGGATGTGATCAGCCTCTTACATTTGCGATCAAATTTCCTTCCCTCCTTGCCACCCGGATACTTTCTGAAAGGAGATCTCCTCGAAACTCTTTTTTTGTTGCCTTACTTACATCACCAACAACCAGCGACCATGGCATTCATTCTCAGGAAGGCACTTCTCAGGACAGTCGTCACAGCTGGCTCCAGGATCGCCCCCCGCCTGCAGCAGACTTCTAGAACCGCAGTCGCCATCAGCTCATGGCGCTCATTCACCTCAAAGTCTGACTCAACAACCCCTCCTACCCCCGTGTTGGACCACGACGATGCCCGCGATATGGACCCAGACGGTTTCCAAACCCCCTACACCAACCTGCCCCCACTCCCACGCGACCCTAACGAGTCTCTCCAGACGATCCGCGCCCGCCTGACTTACCAATCCCGCAAGCGTGGTATTCTCGAGACCGATCTGATCCTTTCGACTTTTGCCAAGGAGTTCCTCAACAAGTTGTCGTTGGAGGATTGCAGGAGACTGGACAAGTTCATGGACGAACCTGATTGGGATATTTATTATTGGGTGACGGGAAAGAAGGAGGTTCCTGAGAAGTGGAAGGGGGATCCGGTGTTTGACATGATTGTTAAGCATGCCAAGAATGAAGGTCGTGTCGTCCGATCCATGCCTGCTCTCTAAAGACGGAAAAGCGTTTTATACAGTGGGACGTGGGAGACGCGGTGGGCAGCGCAATTGTACATGTTATTAAATATTCGCTCATTAGAACATTAGAACATTAGAACAATAGCATTACAATGGATGGTGTATTATGAATGTGAAAAGGTGCATGCCCTATGCTGGTGTACGATGTGAAAAATGTGAAGTACTATGAAAAAGAAACGAAACCTTTCTATGCTTTGGGTCCCATACCCATGGCTTCAAGAACCTGTTCTCTCCCAGTCACTCCAGGATCTCTTTCAATAATGGCCAAGATCTCCTCTGAAAACTCGACAAACTGCTGGTTGTCTGTTCTAGCCTTGTCCAAAAGGTACTCTGGGTTCTCACTGCTGTCGATCAACTTTATCAATCGCCTCAAACTTTCGTTCTTCAACATGTCCTTAATGGCTCCTGACTGTGAGATCCTGTCCAGTTGTTCTTGTTTCAGGAGTGCGACTGATTCTTCTTTGAGGTAGTCGGGCACTGGTTCTACTGGTGGCACAGTGATTTCTGCAAGCACATTTTGGGCCATATAAATAATGAACAGTTTGTTAGTACCGACTCTTTCTTTGCAAATGGATAGAAGGTCATGTTAAAGGCGTAAGTAGATGGGTTGTACCTGGCTCTGGGATGGGTGCTGGCTTCTCACAAGGTATTTCTACATAGACGAGGATACGAATGTGGAGGTAAACAAAAAATGAGTGAGGTTTCCCCGAAAAAAATATTCTGTTGGGCGAAATGAAAATTTGCTTGGCCACAAAGGTCGAGTAGCATGTATGGTACCTTTATGCTTCTTGTAACATACGAGTGAACAGCTAAAAGGAACCAGTAAAGAGGCAGGTATTTAGTATTTATTCAGAGAATCGTCTTTGCTATGTTCGGAGACTGAGAGGTTTATGACCGAGGGTGGAATGTGCGCCATGAAGAGCACAGCGTGGTTCGTAGAAGTCTCGGATCAGTTTGTCGTTCGTTTTTTTTTCTTCATTCCTGATTCTGGAGGAAGGTGGTTTTTGTCACTCACTAGGGTTGTGTGCAAGTCGGACATTTGTATTTGGATTCGTTTGTGTTGCATATGAAGCAGATCTTTTTTGTCTTGTCCATGGCGTTTGCTGTGAGTCTTTCGTTTTGGTGGCGAATAGGTGAATGAGAGTGAGCAAGAGTGTAAAGTATGAAAAAAAAAAAAAAGGAAAAAAAAAAGCATGCATACAGTTCTGTTCTAAAGACAGTGTTCGAGTCACGTGGAGTTGAACAATCTCCTTGCACTCCAACGAACCTCTTTTTTTTGGTTTTTTGCATTCGTTTCTTTCTTTCTACATTCCTTTTCTCGTCAACCTTCTTTTTCTCTTATCCTGCTGGCAACCCTTTGCACTTCCTGCCTCTTTCCCCACATACCCTTTTCCATCGGGCTCCAGCAGAATACAACACAGCAGCATTCCTACCATACCCTCCACGCCAGACTTCTACTCCTTCTTTCCTTCCTCTCTCCAACTCACGACCGTCGCCATCAACAGCCAGTACTACCGTCAACAAACATCCATCATGTCTGAATGGATGGTCACCACCTCCAGCGCCGTCGTGCTGGACGAGTCTATTCTCCAGCTGTGGCTCCTGGGACACAATGGTATCTCCATTTCTACAACCAACCCCACCCTTCTTCTACTCATTCAACAAAACTCTTGGAACGCAAGAAGCACGCTTAAAAAGGCACAACGTCCAGCCAGCTTTCTTCAACACCCTCCTTTTTTTGACTCCTTGGTCGCCAAAAAGTAGCGTTACCGAACAAACAGGTGCACTTTTGTACTATGAAACTAACACGAATTAATTTCGTTTTTCATTCCTTAGTGGACCAAGCTACCATATTACGCATGCCCGCCATTCAACCGCCCGTGCCCTCGCGTGTCCTCAAAAGCTACATCACGTCGCAGTACAGAACTTATGAAATGATGCACCACTATCTCCATCACCCCAGGCACTTTGCTGGCCAATTCATGTTTCCTCTCTCCCAGAGTGCCAAACAGCATCTCATCGAGAGGTATGCCAGCCTACTCTACACGCTTCACTACTCTGTTCATTCTTTCCAATATAATGTTGTGCTAACAAAGAAACTCAACAATCCTATCACCTTCACACTCCCCTTCTTAGGTACTACAGCTTTGACGAGGCAGTGATCAGAGAGATCCTGGGCAAGAAGCTCAGCTCTAGAACCAGAAAAGATTTAGACGAAGTGCATGAAAAAACAGGAATCAAGCTAACAAGTTGTCGTCGTCAGGTAATATGATCTCCCTTCAGGCTTTTCGTACACCGTTTCGCTAATACGATCTATCGCTAGGCGGCAATACCCATGCCATACTCATCAAATGTACTCTCCTACGTCTCAACCCAATAGTTTGACAACTTGAAACGAGTTATGAAGAAGGTGGAAGATGCAGAAGGCAGGACGCTGATTCAGGATATTGAGCACCAGTTCTTGTTACCACACCATCTTGCCAGGTGAGTAACTCGCCTATGATGACCCGCTTGGATATGTTTTGCGGCGTAATTGCTTGTGGATACGGAGCTTGGATCGAAAGAAGGCAAATGCACGACATTCTTACATATTTCTTCTTCTTCCAATAGACAATACGCGCACATCCTGTTCATAGCGGACAACAAACTGGATACCTTCCGGAAACGACTGTCGTGCTACCAATTCACTGATTTCGAGTACTGTGGCGCTGTCTTTATGCAATACTGGACTGCTTCGACCATGGACACACTTCCTGAATTTGATCCGCACCTCGCACAGGATGTCCGTGACCTAAAATCGTTGATCCTTAACGACCGTGGAGTTCTTGACGAGTTTCGGAATCGTGTCTCCAACAACCTCGCGCAATCGGCCCACCCTCCAGTCCTCGAACGGATACAGAGCAATTTCAAGGTGGTGCTTCGTAATATGTTAACGGTCGGTTGTATGATCAATCAACAGAAGGACGTCCGCAACATCTTTGTCGAGATTACGGACAAGTTGGTCGATGCCTTCTTGCAGGTCGGCTGGTCCCCCGTCGACATGGAGCTGTTCTACAATGGTCTGATAGCAGAATTCCACAACACCACCAGTCTGACGAGTCGATACCGCGAGCGGTACGGGACCAGTTGGATACGACTTGTCACAGGGATAAAGCTTGCATCTATACGACTTTACAGGCAGCCCACGACCCAATCTCTCCTCACCCGCAGCTTTACCCGATAGTTTTCCCTTCCATGCTTTCTTGCCTATCCTTCAATTTCCCCCTCTCCCCCTCCCATATGTTCCTCTTTTCTTGGTTTCTTCTTGCGCCGCTGCGCACACTTTTATTTCTCTTCTTCCTTGGCTCTGTTGCTGCTTATTGCGCAGAGCACTCCAGGGTCCTCTTTTTTTTCGTGTTGCTTTCAGGCACCTTTGGCGTTTGGCTAAGGATTCTTTGCTATTAGAGACTATATCCTCAAAATCATATGAATACACAGCTTGGCAACCCAGCTATATTGTTCGATTCATCGATACGATGCGCATATGCAATGGAGACGGCAAGATATTACATTTATTCCGAGTCAGAGTCAGAGTCAGACCCATAGGATCCAACGAGTGACATCAACGACGCGGGTTTGGCCACTGGTTTTGAAGCTGAAGACGAAGAAGTCGATGCCGCTGCAGACGAAGAAGGCGTTGCTTTGGATGTAGACGTTGACGGTATTGGTGCTGCTGCTGTTGTGCTCTTGACCAATCCCAATGATCCACCTTGCTTGCGCTTCTTGGCCAAGGGCGTGCTAAAGTCCGGGAGGGTCAGAGGCTGCGAGAACTTTGCCATTGCAATTTTGGCAGCATCGGGCTCGTCATCCAACCCTTCGAGATCATCGCGCAGTCTCTTGACGGTCTCCCCATCCGCATCCTTGAAAAAGGCCTTGGCTAACCGGTCATCCTCCTCGTCCTCGAGTTGTTGTTGTTTGAGCGCAATATCTTCCTCAGTTCCCACGATCCGGTTCAAGAGCGTATCGGCATCAACTCGTTCATTCACCGCATTCCGAGTCCTGATCTCGTCCAATGCGTCCATGATCTCCATCTCACGCTTGGAATCCTGAGTCCTGTTCTCAAGCGCCTTCATTGGATTATTCTCTTCCTCCTCTTCCTTTTCCACGCTCGCAGAATCATCCCCTCTCCAGGGCTCAAAGTTGCGTTGAGCACCAATTTCGGCCACATAGTCCGAGTTGGCGGGGTCGGTCTTGAATGTGATCTCGGCTGCACAGCGGTTACAACGGATATAGAAGCGAAAGATCTTGATGCTGTGGTAGGTCTCCTCGGTGGTCTCCTTGCGGGCGTTGAATTTCTTGCCCTTGTAGATGTATTCACCGCAGGTGTTGCATCGCATGGAGAATGGGGTCATGAGACGGACTTTGTGTTGGAGATCTTTGGGTTGCTTGCGGCGCGGGATGAGGGCCGGGTCGAAGTCTGGGGGGAAGTACTTGTTGAGGACTTTACGTTCAGCCATGGTGAATCGAGTATACGGGTGGTTGTAGGGTAGATGAGAAGGTGTGTGGGGTGGTTTGGTTTGAAAGAAGGAAGGCAGTGAAAGCAGGCGAAGCAGTAAGCGACTTTGAGAAAAAAAAAAGAAGCTCAAATGATATGTGTGGCTTTGCTCAAAGTGACGTCCCTTTGTCTGGCCTGTGGATCTCCTACTCTCTCTCTCTCTCTCTCGGACACCGCGCCTTGTTCGTTCGTTTCCCTTCTTACTTTTTGCTCTGTTTTTGTTGATCCCCCGTCTTGCTTCTTCTTTCCTTCTCTTCCCTTCCACCAACCTCTCCTCTTTTCTCTCCTTCCACTCCTTTTGCTCTACCACGCTTCCAACTGGGATCCAACACACACATCTACATTCCAGACTAGTTGACCCCTGGAATCTTACACCTTCCTTTTTCTTTCTTTCCTCACTTCCAGCACACCCACACACACACAAATGGCAACCGTTCCACCAGAGTTCCAGGAGACAATAAACGCCCTCAACGCCCTCTACAACGCCCCTTCAAACTCGGCAAAGAAGGAGGCCAACCGCTGGCTCGAGGACTTTCAGGCCAAGGTACACACACACACACACACACACACACACACCTTTTCTTCAACCACTGTTGGCATGACCATGGTCACGCCACCATATTCGAAAAACACCGCAAACAATCAACCTAACTATCGTATTAATCTAACGATGTCATGGACGACTCTTGTATTAGCCAGAGGCATGGCAGATTGCCGTCATGATCCTGTCGACCGAGGCCGTCGGACTCGAGGCACAAGTCTTTGGCGCCCAGACTCTGAGACGCAAGGTAAATGGGATCTCCTAGAAAGAAACCAGAAAAACGAGAATAATTACCCAGCACACGCGCCTCTTTACGAAGGAAGAAAATAGCCGTTATGTCCTTGCAGCACTGACACTTTTATATAACCCTGTTTCTCAATGACGGATCTAGATTGTCGATGACTTTCAGGATCTGGATGGAGCATCAAGGGAGCAATTGCAATCCTCTCTCCTGAACATCTCAGTCCAACACAGGTCCTCGCCAAAGGTCGTCAGGACTCAGCTTTGCTTGTCTCTGGCCGCCCTGGCTTTGCGTATGCTCGAGTGGGAGCAGCCTGTTCGCCATATGATCAACCTTTACGGATCTAACGCGACAGATCTTCCTTATCTCTTGGAGTTTCTCACAGTCCTGCCCGAGGACGTGAACGACAGTCGATGCCCAAACTTGACGGTAGGCGCTTCAACATCCCCCTTTTATCGCTTCGTTCAACTCATCACCACCAACATCACCAACACCGTGCCGCAATTTTCAGTTTCCCCAAAAAAAACATGACATGGACGGATTATTACAACAGCATTTCTGAGTTGAGCCAGTGTCTTCGATGGTCCAGTTTGCAGTGGCGTCTTTACTTGTTGGAGAAACAAATTACAAAAGAAGACATGAACCGTCGTCAATGGCACCGCAATTGGAGTCACAATGTCAACTTCGCACTGAACTGATCAGGATACAATACCCTGCGAACCTCCTTCTCTCCATTGCCCTTCCCCTCCACTCCGCTGAACGTTGTTGGACGGTGCAGGATGAAGAATATAGAAACCGCGCGGACGAGCTGTTGACTCGGAATGCGAACGAGATTCTCAAGATGCTCGTTCTGTTTATGGAAGGCTCTGGTAAGCAACTTTAACTGACAAATCGTGGCTATATCGAATGGCTGGTTGTGCCGCTTATTTGAAAGACATCCAATGGAAGCTAATTCTGATCATAATTATGTAATTCAATGGTAGGTGGCGACACAAAACTTCAAGAGGCGGTTTTCAAATGTTTCCTCTCATGGTTGCGCTCAGGAGACATTGCGACCAGCAGCTTATCCAAGAACCCCCTCTTGGCCTTCTCATTCAAAGCTCTTCAAATGCCCGAGCTCTTCGACACTGCTGTGGATGTTGTCTGTGAGCTGATCTACCAGACCAAGGATATTGAGGAGTCCATGCCCGTCATCGAGGAGATCTACCCCAACTTGCTGCCCCTGCGCCAGGAGATTGTCCAGAGTTTGGAGGACGACAATGAGGAAAACATTCGCGGATACTGCAAGATCTTTGTGGAGGCTGGAGAGTGTTACTTGTCGTTGGTGGTCAGGCATACGGACCACTTCAGAGGCATTGTTGAGGGAATCGCAGAGTGCACATCCTTTCATGATCTGGATGTTGTCCCCATGACCTTCCGTTTCTGGTATCAGTTGGCTGATGAGCTGCGCAAGAACGAGGAAGCCCGACTCAAGTACCAGGATGTCTACGAGAAGTTGGTCGATGTTATGATCAAGCATCTGCACTACCCCGATGACATGGATTCGTGGAGCGCAAAGCAGAGGGATGACTTTAAGGATTTCAGACACGTCATGGGCGATGTTCTCAAGGACTGCTGCCTTATTCTCGGGTCCAGGGTTCCTTTGGGCAAGGCATACATGAAGATCACCGAGGCCGCCCAGAAGTCACCCCCCAAGTGGCAGGAAGTTGAGGCTCCTTTGATGGCCTTGCGATCGATGGGAGCCCAGGTCGAGCCGGAGGAGAACGAGGTGTTGCCTGAAATCATGAAGCTGCTCTCGCAACTGCCTGACCACCCCAAGATCAAGTACGCTGCGACCCTAGTGATTGCCCGGTACGGAAACTGGACGGACAAGCATCCCGAGTTCATCGAGTACCAGCTGAAATTTATCTCGTCTGGATTCGAGAACGAGGATGTCGTCGCTGCCTCTGCTCTCGCCTTGAAGCTGCTCTGCAAAGAGTGCAGCACTGTAAGTGATCCCATGAAAAAAATGTGCTGTTGCGATTATTCCTATGATGTCACAGTCTAACGAACGTTTGACATACGGCACTATATTTTATTCTCCGCCCTCTAGCATCTTCTGAACTATTTAAACCAGCTTCACGGGTTCTTTATGAACGTCACCCAAAAGTTGAAGGGATTGGATCTTTGGGAGGTCACGGAGGCTGTTGCTCACGTTATTGCAGCTGTTCCCAACGCTGAGCTGGCCCAGGTCTTCCGCATGTTCTGCGCACCCATTGCTCAGCAGCTTGCCATCTTGGCTTCCAAGACTGTTGCCACTCAAGAGGAAGACATTCCTTTCATCATCGGTAAGAGAGCTTCACAATATCTTTGTTATTTACTGGGAAGATGCAGATTGTTACCCAACGTTTGGTCCTAATTGTCGCACTTACTTCTTCACCTAGATAACATCACCCAGCTCAAGATCTTTTTTGAGACTGTCAACCCCCAGGTGGCACCTGCAGATGCGCACCCTTGCATCCCTATTGTTCAGGAACTCTGGCCAGTCATGGACAGCTTGGCAGACAGGATCGGAGCTGTAGACGAGGCTTCGAGACCATTGGCGGGATGCTGGCGCTCGATTGTCATCAGCTACAGGACTCACTATGCACCCCTCTTGCCCGTGACGATGGCTCGTTTGATCAAGAGTTTCGAGCAGACAGGTTTGGGACAGTACCTCTGGGTCAGCTCCAGAGTTGTGCGTGAGTTTGGTGAGCAGAACCCTGGCGCTGCCCTTCAGTTCGTCAATGGTCTCAGTGCTTCAATGTGGCAGATCTTGCAAAAATATGCTGGCCAATTTGACGAGATTCCCGATGGTAAGTCATTCCTTCTTGTGCTCCGTTTGGAGTTATTGTCACCCAGTGAATTAAGTCGTTGAAATGATTTGTTTCTAACTGTTGTCGTTGACTGTTTCGATCATTCTACTCTTCACTAGTTGTCGAGGATTACTTCAACTTGGTGTCGGATACGATGGTGGCGTGCCCGCGGGAGTACCTTCACAGCACTCTGTTCCCAACGGTGTTTGAAGCGATGGATGCTTCGCTGACGCTCAAGGAGCAATACTCACTCATCGCAGTCCTTAGACATGGCAGGATTATACTGGACCATTTAAACGACCTTCAGCATCCTCGGGATTCACCTTCACAGAGCCCTAGCCTTACGGCCAGCGAGGCGGCGATTGTGAAGGGTCAGTTTGAGGCACACGACGCGTTTGTAGCCAAGCTCGTACAGGGAGTGATCTTTCACTTCCCGCCTGAGGTGCACGGTGATGCTATTGGACTGATCAAGGCTTTGGCCATGTTCGCTCCTCAGGAGTCTGTTGTCTGGTACGGCAAGGCTGTTTCGGCGCTGGAACATGCCACCCCCAACGAGATGCAGAAGACCGTCTCTGACTTTTCAGCGTAAGTAGCCCTCTCTTTGCTGTACTTTGCTGTGTAGAAATTGGAAGTGGCTCATTCGGTTTTTCCATGAACTGATTTTACTAACAAATCGTCCTCTTTTTTTTTTTTTTTGTTGAAATAGTGCTGCAGCAGAAGCCAACTGGAACAAGGTCCGATCTGCTGTTCATGACTTCACGACGGTGTACAGGCGCAAGAATGTCCTCCCTCGCAGCCGGAGCAGCAAGAAGTAAAAAAAAATCTCGGCTCACTTCCTTCTTAATCTGCCTGCTACCTCTGATCAGTTAGCTCAAAAACCTCACAAAACAAACATTCCATACATCCGCCTGATAGATGACGAATGATGAATTAAAAAAAAAAGACAACAAAAATAATAGTATGATCAACTTTGTTGGCATAGAAAAAAGTGTTTTTACTCTGAAAAAAGCCTCTAACGGGGGGGGGGGAGGAGGGAGGGGAGCGGTGTTTCCATTCAGTGCGCCGCTTTTGATGATGCAGTTGTTGTTTTTGGGTGTTCTACGGATTTGTTGCTGTGGCTGTTGCTGGCTTGATCTGAGAGGTATTGGCGGATAAATGTAGAACTGATCTTGAGGCTGACTTCGTCCACTTGAGTCTCTGTTGGTGAAATGACATTGATGACCTCGATCGTCAATGGTGGCAAATTCCTCTTCCCACGCTCTTCGTTCACTATTTTGTGCAAGGTAAAAGAGAAGTGATGGAGAGTATAAGTAAAACTGTAGAGTGCGAATTGGGATAGGGAGACAAGTTTGAGTGAGAGAGAGTTGATCGGAACACCTACCCATTCCACCTCCTTTGAGGGTCTCTTTGGAGACCATGAGAGCCTCCAGTTTGTCATCCGTGATTGTTGGTCCGTACATATCGCTGATCGGGACCACCTATCAATTTTTTTGTCACGAAAAAAAAAAAAAAAAAAAAAAAAAAAAAAGTTAATATCAACAGCTACATAAACATTCAACCAGATCGATCGTCTCCTATGCTCCAGCGTGTTACTATATACCTCGTAGACGAGACCGCGCTTAAAGATTCTAAGAAACCGTTCTACATCGTCGATTCTCTTGTCCAATGGCTCCATGAACTCTTTGAACTTTTTCGTCTTCAACATCGAGTCGTCTAACATGAAAAGATATTAGGTTAGGTTTTCCTTTTCGTCACTTGTCCGACGGGGATAAAGTGTTCTCCCACAGTTTTCCCCCCCACCACCCCATAAAAATAAAAATATAAAGTGTACCACTCTTAACCCCGTCTCGAAACCCTTCATATATCAAGCATTCCTGTTAATATCACTCACCAGTAACGCCACAGACGACACGATGGCTAGAAATCCAAGCCGTCATGGACAACAGGATCTTATGGCCCGCATGGAGGTGATCGAACGTGCCTCCCAAGGCTACATCGCCATATTGCCCCTCTTGGACTTTGGCATATGGCAAGACCGAATCGATTGCGTCTACAAGTGAGGTATGAGTCTCGCCTGTCGCGTGGGCTTTTGCCTCATCCAATGTCCGGATCGTGAGTCCCTTTGCCCCATTCTGGAGGCGTCTCTCGTTCAGCTTTTCCAGTTCCTTGATCGCTAATTTTCATGGATCAGGAGGGGAGGGAATGGAATCAGTTTACTAGTACGTATGAGCGGATAGGAAAAGAATACCAGGCCAGTGCATGGTCACTAATTGGCCATAGGACACAAACAAAACAAGCATATCTAAACAACAACATTTACCTGGAGGCAAGCCCAAGAAGACATTAAATGGGATCTCATCTCCAACACCCCCCGCACCAACATCATACCCACAACTCTCCCGGATCACAATATCCAATTCTGCAAGCGGACGCCCCAACGCCATGGCCTGCTTCGTGAAACTAACATACAGTGCTGAGAGAACCTTCTGGACACTGTGGAACGACGCTCCTGCTGTCGCACTGCCGTTGGTAGTGGTGTTGCTGTTGTTGCTGTTGTTGGGAGTGGGAGTGAGGGCTGGGTTTTGGACAGAGACGACGATAGTTAGGCGGTCGACAAGTCCGAGGGCTTGATTGATGGAACTGCAGGTGTCGCCGAGGGGGGCTTCAAAGTTTGGGATGACGATGAGCAGCAGTCCATGCTGTGAGGATGATGCCAATGATGTTTTATGGCCGTGGGTGTTGTTGTTGTTGGATTCCATTGTCATGTCTTGTCCTTGTGAATGGATGCGTGTGTATGTTGAGTGAAGAAAGAGAGAAAAAAAGAAAGGAGGAAAAGAAGATAGTGAAAGGGTCCGGAATAAAGAGCACAGGTTGTGCCGTCGTCCGTCGTCGTCGGGGTCAATTATCGCGTCAGTTTGGACGCATGGCACGTCGAATTTTTCATCTTTTTTTATCCTTCGGTTCGGACAAACAGAACAAAATGCGTTTTGTCTGCTGAGGTACTTTAGCATGGCCATATGTCATTTTATTATCATTCGCGTGCAGCTGCAACCATCTCCACGTCTAGATGGCAGGTTCTACTGTTGTCCACGACTATCATACCATACCATCGTTTCCATGCTTCAAAAGTACACACAAAACACACTCGGTCATGACACTAAACAAGTGATCGCATCGACTCAGGGATACCTTGATCTCAAGAACACAGCGCTCACTTCTCCAACGGGTGTCGTAGTGAAGAAGAATCATTGTTAGCTTTATTAACGCGCATGCGTCATATCCCTCAGCTTACACCTCTTCTTGTTGGTCTTCCAAGGTCCCACATGCAAACAAAATGGAAGATAAAGAGAAAAGCGTTAATGTGCACCATAGCCCATATAAAACTCTTGAGCAAAAAAAACAGTTGCTACTCCCCTGAGTCCCGTGTTTCAACAATCCGTCGGCTGTGTGGAAGTAGGAAGCTGCGCTAAAAGCACCACATATTGAATAGGAACAACGAATGTCAATTGTATTTGTGCATAGCGCGCGTAATAATGTGTTGTAGTTTTGTTTCTGTAAAGGATGATGGGTTATTTGATTTGTGTGTTTGTGTGTTTGTGTTTGTTTTCGTCGCGAGTCGGTTATTTTGGCAAATGAAGGTACTCAACGAAAACAAAAGGACGAAGCGTCGGTACATCACGCGGATGCCTCAGGCTGAGGTGGAGGAGGCTGGGAATCCGACGAGGAAGGGGCGCCAGGAGGTGGTGGAGGTGGATCCGATGCTGACTCTCCTCCTGCTGTTCCTGGTGCTGCTGGTGCTGCTGGTGCAACAGCTCCTGTCGCCTCTGAACCTGGAGGTGCTGTAGCGGCGTATGCATAACCATAGTATGCCAAGGCCGGGTCAGTGGAGACTGGTGCCGTCGCTGAAGATCCTGCTGCGCCCTGCTGTCCCTGCTCCGCTCCAGGTTGTGCGTACGCCTGCTGGTAGTACTGTCCGTATTGCTGATAGTACTGCTGTTGCTGCTGGTAGTAGTACTGGTTGTAAGCCTCGTATTGGTCGTAGGTGTAGCCCTGGGCCGCGGCAGGGGCTCCAGCTGCAGACGCCGAGGTAGCAGCTTCCGATGTTACGACAGCGCCTGCCTCGGATGATGTGGTAGCAGCTACTGCTCCAGAAGTAGGAGGAGCAGGAGCCATGGGATCTGCTGGAGGCGCTGGTCCGGACGGAAGAGGTGGTGGGGGTCCTGATGGCAATGGTGGGTTCACAGGAGCTGCCATGCCATGAGGCGGTGGTGGTCCCGAGTGATATTGCTGGTTGTATCCATATTGGTGATGAGGCTGGGTTGCCAAGTGCTGCTGTTGCCGATGGTGATCATAGGGCTGGCGATCGTACGAATGACGATCATAGGGCTGGCGATCATAAGGCGGGCGGTCGTATGGCTGACGTGGGTGGCGCCCATCGTCGTACCGACGATCCCGATCGTAGCTATCACGATGTCTGTTATAGCTGTCCCCGTTGCCGTGGTAGCTCTATTCAACAGGTATGATATCGCGTTAGTATGTCAGCTCAAAGCTTTGTCAAAATAACAATCGAGACGAGAAACACTTACAGGGCGGCCGCCAAAATCCCTCCTGCCACGGTCTCCATAGGGCTCATAAGGCGCGGGAGGTCTACTCTTCATCCGTTCGTATTCTGCCCTAACGGTCTCAACAAGATCCTTGCAAAGTCGCTCAGCTTCGTCCACTTCTTCTTGAGTGTTTCCACTATTTGGAAGATATAGCATACGTTTGGTTAGTAACGCGCGCTGAATAACTAAAGTGCGTCTTGAGACAACTTCTCGTTCAAATATCAAAGACTTCTTGACTTACAGAATGCTGATGTAAAGGGGCTCCTCTGCCTCTCGGCCACTCTCAACTTCCAAGAACCCTGAACCCTGTCCTTTCAGCTTGACACGCGTCCTCGTTTCGTTTTGGACATGCTTGACATACTGGCCTCCAGGTCCAACAATCTTGGCCCTGACATTGAACGTCCTCTCCGAGTCCATGTTAATCTCAACCCGAGTCTGGAAAGGGAAAGGCTGGTGGTGCCTCTGCAAACGAAAAAGAAAAAAAGTAAAGTTGAGTATCATTAGCATTCTTTGCAATCTCGCCAAATCACAAAAATGCTTCGACAACAACTTACAGGTGGTGGTCCTCCTGGCATCCTGGATGGTGGGGCAAACGAATCCCGCTGAGGCGGCATGGGAGCTGGGTTCTCTGCCTCGTTAATGAGCTCGTCGATCTTTTGGAGAGCCAAATCCAAAGCCTCCTGTGTCATTGCAGTTACATGCAAGTAAAGTGGTGGGTCCTTCTCTGTCGCTATGCTCCGATCGGGGTAGTACTTTCCGCGCGTTGTCACATCCGCAGTTGTATCCCGTTGAATCTGATTAAACAGTAAACGTCAAGATCAGAGGTATGCTATCGTTAGTGTTCTGGTAGACATGGCATTGGTTTGACAATTGCAGCAGAAATGAAGACTTCTATCGAACGAAACAAGTGGGTATCGGGCAAATACCTGGGTCTGGACAGATCCCTTGGTGAGGATATAGCGGTGTTTGACATCATTAATATCAATGTCCTTGAAGAACTCGTCTCTTTCTCTGTTAGCACCGGGGGTTGGGCGACCAGCAGCAGATAACTCGTCAGATCCAGCAGCAGACGGGGTCACAGGAGCAGGTGCTCCACTATTGTTGATTTCAGGGGTCGTGGAGGCGGGTGCTTGACCTTTTGCTACCAACATGGCATTAAGCTTTGCAGCGGCGATCGCTGCAGCAGCTGCAGCTGCGTCTGCAGGCGACTGATCTGCGCCAGCAACAGCGGTATCCTGTGCTCCTGAAGGGCTCTCTGTACCATTGCTCTGAACGCCCTCTTCGATCAATGCCCTCTTGGCATCCACTGCTGCTGCGTCATTTTCCTCGCCTTGAGTGTCCCACTTGCGCTTCCTTCTGTAGAGAATCAAAACATAAGGAAAAGATATTAGGATTTAAACGAGATTTTTTGTCAAGTAACCATGGCATTTTTTTTTCCTCACTGAAAGTGATCCGTTGGCACATGATGAATCTCGCACTGTACCTTGGCTCGTCCGACATGGCGATGTATGTTAAAGTGTGAAGGGGATGGAGAAGGTGTGCCTTTTGCCAATGATTCCACAACCTGAAGGGCAAAGTAGATCAGCCCTCAATGTAGCATATGCGATGTTTCAATTCTAATACGACATTGCAAGAAAAAATCGCGCTTTTATTATTGTACACTTCAAGTTACTAGAACTTGGCTTTGGAGTAAGGGTAATCTACAGGTCATAGGGAAAGTGATAGAAGACAGATGGTTAACGAAATATCAATGAAAAATAAGTCTCGAGTCTCAGTAATGGTATAGGTTACTCACCGAAATCACCCTGGTCCTTGCGCTTCCAAAGCTTCTTCTTTCTCTTTGTCACGGCATGCTCTACAAACATCTCCTCGCAGTATTGTTTCTTGAACTTGCGAATGAAACCAGGGTCCCTATTATTTCACCAAGCAAAAGTAGTTAGCTCCCTGCAAACTTTGAGATAGCAACGAGACTACGTGAAGCGGATCAAATTCAATCATCAAAGTGATGATGGAACGAGAAGGATAGATATGACATACCAAAGTTCTGAGGCAATTCCGAGATCCTTGCAGCAACGCATCAAGGCGTTAGATTTACATCCCTCAGAGGCAGTTGCAAGGTTGTCAGCATCAAAATAGGCTTGCTCACCACGGGCAGTACTCACGAATCGGCCTTTGCAGACCAATGCATATTCACGCGAGATGTTCTTGGGCGAAATAGAATGCTCGCTTCTCGGCGCCAATCCCCATCCTGTTTGTTTTTTTGTCGTTGACGTATGGTTGTTGCATGCAAGTGTAGTTCCAAAGTGCCCACGCAGAGAGAGTAGAGAGCAATCAACGGTTAGTGTGCGAACAAAGTAATGTGTCTACAGTGACAATTATATCCAACCCTATGTCAGTATATCCAACTGCCACTTGCCTCCTGGGCCGAATGCCTTGTTCAGAATTCGGCGGTACTTGATCTCAGGAAGGTAGAGCAAACCGTCTAAAACGACGAAACAATCGCTCTGTTAGTTATCGTACACCTCATCAATACCTGCAGCAACCTTTCAGAACAGCAACACACATGAGGAAGTCTCGCGTTACCTGGCTTGATCTCGATGTCGTCAGCGTCAAGAGGCTTCATCAGGATCTCGGCAACCTCCTTCTCAAAAGGTTCGATAGCCATACCAGAGAATGAGCGGGTCCAGTCCTCGCCCTCTTCCAAAGAACGATCTCCAATAATAGCATCCCTCAATCCTGTAGCGCCATTGGGGAAGGGCATAGAGCCATCGATCGATTGACCGTTGTCGCCACCAACTCGAGGCAACGTAGCAGCTTTGACAGGCTCCGAATCGTCTCCATAGGGCGAATACGATGGCGAGGATGTAGCTGGAGCAGCAGAGACAGGCGAGGCCGAAAAGCTCTTGGAGCCTCCAACTGATGCGACGGAAGAAGAGTTGCTAGCAGGGTTGGTCGAGAAGTCGCTCTTGTAGGACCGTGTGGTGGTCGCCTGGACGGTTGTGGCACGAGTTTTAGCAGCAACACCTGTGGTGGCCTTGGAGTAGTATGAGGAGGTGGCTGAGGCTGCCTTGGTGGCTGCTCCGATATCCTTGGCCTTGATGGTATAGGTCTTTGTGGCCATGGTCCTCATGTTGAGGAAGGGCTAGTAATGAATGAAGCACACACACAAACAGAGTTAGTTGTAGTCCAAGCTGTGGGAGTTGAGTTCATTCACAACGAACATACAAGCGATTGTCATGGTACCATTTAGCTATTGTTGTTGCTGTTGACTATGCTATTTACCTGAGCGAGCAGCATTGTCCTGTTTGCAGTCATTGAAGGCAGCATGGTCGGGATTCCTCTGTTGACGGGGAAGGGGTAAGAGAGATAAAGAATAACAAAATGACAGGGTCGCGTTTGACAACACGAGGTCCGCAAAAATATTTACTTTTTTGTTCCCAAGGGACTGCTTCTAACCCTCGGCTGCGCTCGAGCCCAGGGCTAAAGAATCAAACGCAAAATGTAAAACAAGGAAGTTTATTTAGGTTTTTCTCATTTGCTTCTTGTTCTTGGCCACAACGTTTAGTATCCCTTCATGTGAGAGTCGCAGGTGCCATAGTAGCAGGAGATACGCTTGACAACCACTTGTTCCCGTCCTGTTGATGGTGAGTGAATGGCAACTGGAGCTGACTGGACCAGGGGAGAGACCTGAAGGACCAAGATAACAGCGATAGCGGCAAAGTAGAAGACACTTGGGGCGAAGAGACGACGTCCGATCATTATAAAGGTATGGGTTTGGTTGATGTGGTTGTGTGCGGGAACAGGAAGATTGATGTGCCTTTTTGGAGTAATTTGAAAGTGGGGTCGCTGTGTTGCAATGGTTGGGTTGACTGAAAGACGGGAGGATGGGTAGGTCGCTGTAAAACTTTGGAAACGAGGTTGTGATTCAAGGTGAGATATAAAAATGAGAGGAAGAAAAGAGTGTGTTGGAAGAAAATGGGCTTCTCTTTATATAAACTGACAAGAAGGGGGCTGTTTATGTTTGAGAGCTTTAAATATAATAGAGTCAGAGCCACACAAGATGAGATGAGGATAGGAGGAGAATAATGAAAGGAACCAACAAAATAAATAGAAACAGAACAGGCACCGATCCGACTCCTTTTTTGCAAGGAGGCTGACTCCAGGACTATCGACATCGACCGATTGGAGAGGGCCAGACCCGGACACAATAAAAAGCCGGTGTGAACGTGAAAGAAGGACAAATTGCGCTCGCACAAAAAAAAATTAGGAGGCATCGAAACTGAAGCAGGATGCTATCAAGATCCCAGCGACATCTCGTCCACTTCACGCAGGCAAGCAGGTTTATTCATGATGCAGGTCATGTACGCAAACAACAAAAAAGAAGCGTGTCTCCTCTTCCTCTCTACTTTCATTTTTTTTCGTCTTGTTCTTCTGGGGTGTCCTACATACCAAAGCATACGTCTACAGAAAGGGTCCCATGCAACCTTGTTCTCTCTTATCCTTGTGGCGAAGTCTTCCTGCACTGAATCGATGAATCATACATTCATCTCATTTTCACTTGCAATCATCTTGTTTTGTGGTTTTTTGTTCATACCTCCTGTATTTAGTCCAGGCCCACACCAATGGGTCTATACAAGTTGTCTGACTTCTCAATAAACCTTTTTTTTTTTTTCTTCTGGAGTTCTTGGTGCACTCTTCAGTATTTTCTAATACCTTCATCGTAACAAGTCCTTGCATTTGTTGTGCAAGACAGATATAAGGATTCAAGGAGGTATGGCATAAAAAAACAACAACAACAATAGCAGATGCTCTTTTGTACTCGAGTGCATTGAACCCGCAGGGATTAAATATGTGAGGAACAAAAAAGAGCATTAAGGAGGAGGCCTTATTCTTGAAGCGAAGGAGCAATGCTGTTGAGATCGTAAGCCCATACATATCTCTCTTACGCTTTCTTAATATGAGGCGACAAAAGAATAAAATATTCATTAAGCGCGCGCGTATTCCAACGTCCTTCACTGGGCGTCAAAACGAAGAAAACGCTTAACCTGAAGAAGAGCAAAAATAGTGACAACAGTGGGATTTGAACCCACGCCCTTTCGGACCAGATCCTGATTCTGGCGCCTTAGACCAACTCGGCCATATTGCCTTCTATATGTTTCAGGTGAAACATATGTGGCCTATGATCTGAGCGTATGACGTCGCACGTGACAAATACCTTGGCGCCACCAAAAAAAAAAAAAAAAAAAAAAAAAAAAAGCACTCCGTCAACAACACCGAACAAACTCATCTCTTTCTTTCCCAATTCCCATTTTTCGTCTCCAAGAACAGTCACGCCTTCCTCCATCCACACGTCGGGGCTATCCATCCATCCAACCATTAAACCGACAAGGCCCTTGAGCAGGACCACCGTTGGCGTCAGTGTTGCCAAGGCGCCTACCACCCCGGGTCAGCGACATGCAAGGAGAGCTTGGAAGTTTCAAGGCGGGTGTTATGAGGTCGGCAGGTCGGTCCCTGGAGCGAGATGAGAGAGAGATGGTCCCCCATCGCCGCACGGAATGTCAGTCGAATGGAGTTGGTCGTCTGCCTTTCCATCCTCTTTGCGAGAGGTCCTTGGTCCCACCCACAAGGAGATACGCTACGGATTTGACGGATTCAAGACCCGGCCCCCCTGTCCAGGTCGGTGCGAGGGTTGACTTCCCTTGCGAAGCACGGAAGTGCATGGATGGATCTTTGCTCATGAGGTGCCATGTTGGAACTACTTGGTGATATGAGTATTCGCGCAGTCTCTATGAGTTCTGCCTTAAGCGTCTTAGAGCACCGCTGTCAGTCCCTCACAGTATAAAAAGAACCCCAGGCCTGGATGGCTAACGTTCCAACCTTTCTGCCTTGAAGGTGTGTGGGAAACGAGGAGCGAAACTTTTGTTTTTTTCCCACACAAGTGCGCAAGCACAATGGCAACCCCCCCTCTTTTCGCGCTAGTCTCCCCTGTCCAGGAGGCGCGTGACAACCATTTTTATTTTTTTGGGTTGTTGCGTTGCACGCATGTGCATGGATGGAGGTGACGTCGAACACTTGAAAAACGGCACTGGGAAGAAAGTACTTTTGCTATCTCCTGGTTGTTCAGATGAAGGTGTTTTAGTTGAGAGTAATAACTGGATAGATCGCTTTTGTATTTTCTTCCGTTTTTGTCGTGAAGAGCGACAACGATTGTTGCGCAGAGCCAGCGTTATTAGAACCGGACTGTGACTAGGGGATGGTGTACTGGGAAGGGGTCCTCACAAATAGCCCTTTTATTTTTGGATTACCTACATGAATTGTTCTTTAGAGAAATAAAATCGTGGACAAAAAAAAAAAAAAAAAAAAAAAAAACACCGAACAAACTCGCCCAGATCTGGCAGTCCAACCTCGGCTACCCTATGGTTAACAGGGCTGACCTGCAGGCGTTCCACAAGATCCCAACGTTCGACTCACTGCATCCTGACACCCCGCTCCGCATTGCCTGCCTTGCCTTCATGGACGACACGGACTGGATAGCACCGTCTAAGGCTAAGCTACAAGAGATCACAAACAAAGCGATGAGTTTCTTTCAATTACATGGTATTGAGATTAACCCAAAAAAATCAGAACTAATCGTGGTCAATTCTACCTCTGCTGATTCCTCTATTAGACTCGGTGCGGATACGGTGACCGCTCTACCTCCTGGCACTGCTGCCAGGGTCCTGGGTGTGTGGTTCTCTGCTGACGGAAAGGGAGCCCATACACGCCGGCTAGTGAAGGAGGAGGTGTCAACGATGTGTCAGATACTCTCGCGGAAGGCTATCACCGACAAGCAGTGCATTTACATCTTCAATAATGTTCTACTGCCACGGATACTTTACCGGTTGTCAGTGACAATCCTTAGCCCTCGCGAGACAAAGACCATTGTCAGCCAGTACACCAACGTCGTTCGCCAGAAGGTGGGGCTGCCCCTCGGCTCGCCGGCCAGCATCCTGTTCCATCGTCGACTGTACGGTCTCCGAGACCTTGAAGATGCCATGATCGAGGAGCAAGTTTCAACTGCACATCTGCGGCTAAACGACCAGGAGCTGCTGGGCATGGTGATGGCGTCTCGAGCAACAGCCCATCAAGCAGAGTGCCGCCTTACGATATCCCCCTTTGACGTACCAACCATTGGAGCTCAATTCCTTCGCAACAATTTCTTCGGACACGTTTGCCGCCTCATGGTCGAGAGGGGTATCACCTTCCAGTCGCCAGGGATCCCTGTCAACGTTTCTCGATACATCGGCCTCCTTATGCCCCCAGGCGGATACCCAAAAATCGCCCACCGACTCTTTGTGGACGGAGTTGTCACTCTGGATGATGTGTCGACAGACGATGGCCAATCTCTGGCTCCATGGCAGGATATCCGAGCACAGTACAATTTGAAAGGTCCTGTCCGCCGTTGGTTCAAGGAACTGGTGAAAGTCGTCACCTTGTCTATGCCAGCTGCTGCCTCCGTCGACGCCCCGGCGTCTTCCCTTATCGTCGAGGAGGGCCATTCTATTACGCCTGCAAGTCCAGAGGTGTTGTACGAAGACGGCGACTCCTCCGAGGAAGAGCCATTGATCAATCGGGCCATCGAACGCCGACGAGGGCAACAAAGAGGCGTGGAGATCGTTTCTCCAGCTCGTGCCTTTGCGTTTAACAGAACCACCGCAACGACAGTACTAGACCTTGGTACGTCTGTCGACCCCATACAGGTATGCCTCCAACCTTTGGCGACTGCAGCTCCATCAGTTTTTGCTGAAGGTGGTGGTGGTGCTGATGTTGGCGAGGGTCGCGGTAAGAAAAGCCATGGAGGTGATGAGGTGAGACTTGAGGGTGTGTATAAAGAAAACACAAAAAGAAAAAAGGTCCAGCGCGATAACAGGGGGTTATTATACCCGGACACATCCTTGAGGGACAAAAAGAAAAAAGGACAAGAAATTTTTTTATCGACCAAGACAAAAACGACACGCGCAATTGAACGCATAGATGAGCGTGGGAATGGGTTTGTTATTGGCAAGGCAGGTTTTGTTAACGATAAGAGGGCGTGGGGTAAGGAGTGTTGCCTGCAAGGGTCATGCTCTGGTTCTTCTTCATCTTCTTTTCTTTCTTCTCTGTCCTTTTATGATTCCTTTTACGCGTCCTCTTCCTCTTCTTTTTCCTTTCCCGCTGCCGCAGAGTCGGATGTTTGTCCTGCCTTGCCTTGTGAGCCACTTGTTACTTTTTCCTCCTCTTCTTCTTCCTCTTCTTCTTCTTTCTCTTCCAATCCTTTGTTATCTTCTCTTTTGTCGTCTGTGCCCCACTTGGGTGTACCTTTCTCTTCCGATACCTCTCTTATTTTTGACGTTTCTTCTTTTATTGTCAATCAATCGTCTTCCCTCTTTATATCTTCTTCTCCTCCTATATTTCCTCCTCTTCTTTCTACTTCTTTTTCCCTTGCCCCTCTTTCTTTGCTTCCCCTCTCTTCGTTCTCCAATTTCAACCCTCTTGATCTTTTCTCTGCGCCAATCTCTTCTATTCTCTTTGATCCTTCTCTCTCTTCTCTCTCTCCTCTCTCTTCTCTCTCTCCTCTCTCTTCTCTCTCTTCTCTCTCTTCTCTTCCTTCTCTCCTCTCTCTCCCCCAGTCAATCTTTCCTCAGTCACCTTCTCCTCAGTCACCTTCTCCTTTACTCTCATCCACTCCTCCTTCGCTATTATCGTCTCCAGTCCTTTCGCAGGTCGTCGTTCCTGCTCCAGTCTCGAGTCCCGTCTCATCGCCGGCTCTTTCGCCTGTCACTGTTCCAACTCCAGTTTTGAGTCCCGGCCCTTCTCTGACAGGTACTCCACCACCCAACACTCCTAACACTCCAACATGTCCCCCTACTCCAACATTCTCCCCCACTCCAGCAACTCTCACCACCCCCACTCCAGCAACTCTCACCACCCCCTCACCTCTCCCGCCTGATACAACCGATCTTGTCTTTGAGCGAGCAGTCGACACACTGGACGACGCTTGCAGAGAGCGTCTCCTCCGTCCCGCGGCCGAATACGATGCCGAGATCCTTCGCATCAACAGCGACACCAGGAAAAAACAGTCGGCAGACAACACAAAGTATGATGGACTCAGAAGCCGATACCGGAGTCAACTTGCCAGGAAACCACAAGAACTGGCTGCCATTCTTTTGATGACCAATACTCAGGCCGACAACGCAGCCGCCCGCATCAAGTCAATTTCTAGTCGTCGCAAGACCGTCGCCCTTGGGATACGTCGCCGGGCCACCGAGGCCGTCAACGAATACCGTGCTCATCGCCTTGTCTCTCTTCGCTCGGATTTGGAGATCAGGCAGACCAGGAAAGCAGAGGACTATCGATTGAGGGTGCAACAGCTGGAATCCTCCCAAGCCAGGAAACTGCAACAGCAGAAAGAAACAGAGGCACTCCATCAACAACACCAAGCCAGGAGACTGCAGCAGAAAGAGGAAAAGGAAGCACTCCGTCAACAACACCAAGCCAGGAGACTGCAGCAGAAAAAGGACAAGGAAGCACTCCGTCAACAACACCGCTTGGTCGTCGCTCGCCTAAAAGAGATCCTATCCAGCCTCAAGGAAACGAAACCACGATACAGACCAGCCTTTGACACAGATGCTAGCTTTCCTTTGCAAGAACGCCATCAAGTCCAACCACCGCCTGTACCAGGACCCCCGACCACACAGATCGGCCCCCTTTGCCTGTCTCCAGTAGAGGCGGCGTCCATGCGCGTAGTTCAGGACACACACGTCGACAACTCCACCCCTCGCGTCCTGTACTCTGACGGATCTCTTCTGAACTCGGGAACGCTAGAAGTATCCCAGGCCTTTGGAGTGGTGGATCTCACTCAGGACAACCCTCTGACAGTACAAGGACGAACGGACGGTCACGCATCCTCGGCTAAGGCCGAGCTCATGGGCTTATTAGCCGCAGTCCTGTCAGCACCACCGGAACAGGACATTGTGGTCAAGCTGGACAATCAGTCAGTGGTGGATCAGTATAGTCGCCTGGTGAAGAATCGTCGGGACACCTTACCGAGGAAGCGATTCAGGAGTACATATGCGGGTATCTGGGCGGTGCTTTGTCAGGTTGTGGAATCTCGGCCAGGCGGGGTTGAGGTGGTGTGGATCAAAGGTCACAGCAACATCCACGGAAACGAACTTGCGGATCAGGCGGCGAAGGTGGCAGCACAGAGTGGTTCAGTGCCCTGGATGGTGGATCTCACTCAACAGACGGATATCACGACCTTTGCACATTGTTACGGCGGGATTGTTGAAATCGATCTACGTCAGCTCCTCAAACAACAATCGACAATCCGTCACCATCAGGCCTGGACGTCACAGAGGCGGGTCAAGAGGGCGATCCCTGACATCGAGGACGTGGAATGGAACTCGACCTTGGCTTATGTCCACGACAGGCACGCAGTCTTCACCTTTTACAGCAACAGCAAGGACTCCCATCAAAGAACACATCACATCAAAAAGCTGCATGGAATGCTGCCCACTCTGAACTCCATGCAGGCTCGCAAGCCCAACCTGTACCCAACATGCGTGTGCCGACGATGCGAGCTCGAGAAGGAGGATAACGATCACGTCTGGAAATGCCCTTCGGCAGCTGAGACCACCACTGAGATCTGGAAGGAGGCCATGGGCAAGATTAATGAGTGGGGTGTGCAGGCGACAAACAGCTACAACGCAGCCAGGAAGCGGGAATACAAACGCGCGGTGGACAGAGGTCGTCAGGTACCGAGGCCAGTACCCATACACTGGTGGCCCCCTTCGGATGCAGATCATGTACGAGGATTTTCCTCCATCGGTGGAGCTCGAGCCGTGCACAGCGGTAGTCCAGCTCTCGATCGAGACGAGAAACCGATGTGGAATGTGTCGGATCTCCTCCGCGGCATCACCCCCTTGAGCATGTTGACTGAATGGTCCGCGGTCTTCCGGACCCCAATGTCCATCGCCAAGACAGTCCTTCACAAGTTTGTTGGCTACCTGGAGGCGCAGGCCTCGGAGCTGATCTGGAAACCTCGGTGCTCCGCGACGATCGCGTGGGAGCAGACCCAGGGCATCTCTGCCAAGGACAAGACATCCAAGTACACAGGCCCCCGAGGTGACTGGAGTCAAGGATACGGTTACATCACGCATGATGGTTTCTGTCCGTGTGGCGCTTCGCTAGCCACACATTGTGAAGGAAGGTGCCCTGGGGCGACCAAGGACCCACGCGCTGCTGACGAGCGTTTGTTGGAGAGTTTGTTAGGAAGGAGGAGGTTGTCAATGATGGAGAGGATGGGAAGAATCCCCTTCATTCGTATCTAGTTTTATTTTCTTCCGTTTAAGCTGTGAAGAGCAGCGACAATTGTTGCGCAGAGCCAGGTTCTGGACCGGACTGCGACTGGTGGATGGTGCACTGAAGAGTTTGGTCTGTAGTTCCCTTTTACTTCCAAATAACTTCTCTATGCTGTTTGTCAGAGAAATAAAATTGTGTACGAAAAAAAAAAAAAAAGAAAAAAAAAAAAAAGTCACGGTCTTCCCGTGGAATACCAAGCCAGGAGACTGCAGCAGAATGAGGAAAAGGAAGCACTCCGTCAACAACACCAAGCCAGGAGACTGCAGCAGAAAAAAGAAAAGGAAGCACTCCGTCAACAACACCAAGCCAGGAGACTGCAGCAGAAAAAGGAAAAGGAAGCACTCCGTCAACAACACCGCTTGGTCGTCGCTCGCCTAAAAGAGATCCTATCCAGCCTCAAGGAAACGAAACCACGATACAGACCAGCCTTTGACACAGATGCTAGCTTTCCTTTGCAAGAACGCCATCAAGTCCAACCACCGCCTGTACCAGGACCCCCGACCACACAGATCGGCCCACTTTGCCTGTCTCCAGGAGAGGCGGCGTCAATGCGCGTAATTCAGGACACACACGTCGACAACTCTACCCCTCGCGTCCTGTACTCTGACGGATCTCTTCTGAACTCGGGAACGCTAGAAGTATCCCAGGCCTTTGGAGTGGTGGATCTCACTCAGGACAACCCTCTGACAGTACAAGGACGAACGGACGGTCACGCATCCTCGGCTAAGGCCGAGCTCATGGGCTTATTAGCCGCAGTCTTGTCAGCACCACCGGAACAGGACATTGTGGTCAAGCTGGACAATCAGTCAGTGGTGGAACAGTATAGTCGCCTGGTGAAGAATCGTCGGGACACTTTACCGAGGAAGCGATTCAGGAGTACATATGCGGGTATCTGGGCGGTGCTTTGGCAGGCTGTGGAATCTCGGCCAGGCAGGGTCGAAGTGGTGTGGATCAAAGGTCACAGCAACATCCACGGAAACGAACTTGCGGATCAGGCGGCGAAGGTGGCAGCACAGAGTGGTTCAGTGCCCTGGATGGTGGATCTCACTCAACAGACGGATATCACGACCTTTGCACATTGTTACGGCGGGATTGTTGAAATCGATCTACGTCAGCTCCTCAAACAACAATCGACAATCCGTCACCATCAGGCCTGGACGTCACAGAGGCGGGTCAAGAGGGCGATCCCTGACATCGATGACGTGGAATGGAACTCGACCTTGGCTTATGTCCACGACAGGCACGCAGTCTTCACCTTTTACAGCAACAGTAAGGACTCTCACCAACGCACACATCATATCAAAAAGCTGCATGGAATGCTGCCCACTCTGAACTCCATGCAGGCTCGCAAGCCCAACCTGTACCCAACATGCGTGTGCCGACGATGCGAACTCGAGGAGGATAACGATCACGTCTGGAAATGCCCTTCGGCATCTGAGATCACCACTGAGATCTGGAAGGAGGCCATGGGCAAGATTAATGAGTGGGGTGTGCAGGCGACAAACAGCTACAACGCAGCCAGGAAGCGAGAATACAAACGCGCGGTGGACAGAGGTCGTCAGGTACCGAGGCCAGTACCCATACACTGGTGGCCCCCTTCGGATGCAGATCATGTACGAGGATTTTCCCCCATCGGTGGAGCTCGAGCCGTGCACAGCGGTAGTCCAGCTCTCGATCGAGACGAGAAACCGATGTGGAATGTGTCGGATCTCCTCCGCGGCACCACCCCCTTGAGCATGTTGACTGAATGGTCCGCGGTCTTCCGGACCCCAATGTTCATCGCCAAGACAGTCCTTCACAAGTTTGTTGGCTACCTGGAGGCGCAGGCCTCGGAGCTGATCTGGAAACCTCGGTGCTCCGCGACGATCGCGTGGGAGCAGACCCAGGGTATCTCTGCCAAGAACAAGACATCCAAGTACACAGGCCCCGAGGTGACTGGAGGCAAGGATACGGTTACATCACCCACGATGGTTTCTGCCCGTGTGGCGCTTTGTTAGCCACACATGATGAAGGAAGGCGCCCTGGAGCGACCAAGGACCCACACGCTGCTGACGGGCGGTCGTTGGGAAGTTTGTTAGGAAGGAGGAGGTTGTTAATGATGGAGAGGATGGGAAGAATCCCCTTTATTCGTATCTAGTTTTATTTTCTTCCGTTTAAGCTGTGAAGAGCAGCGACAATTGTTATGCAGAGCTAAGTTCCGGACCGGACTGCAACTGGTGGATGGTGCACTGAAGAGTTTAATTTGTAATCCCTTTTTACTTCCAAATGCCTTCTTTGTGCTGATTTTCAGAAAGTAAAAATAAAAAAAATGGATGTTTCGCGCATAGCTTGTCGCTTCTTCTTAACCTTTTTCCTTGACAGAAAGTAGAGAGGATTGGTTACCTATTCGATATGCATTCCCACCGAAAAAAAAGCGTCGACACCTACTTTGCATGTTTCCTTCAAAAAATGAAGATTCAGAATACGATCACTCATTACTATCTTCGCTTACAAGGTGTGTGTTCATATCTACCAGATTTAATCCCGATCCACAATAGAAAAGTAGTATGCAGTGTAGCGATTGTAGGTGAATAAAAGGCAGTATCATGATGTCAGTCGCTAAAATGTACCACCTGTCATTCGTTTTGTTACTTCATCTCACACTTGTCAGATCCTCTGGAACGGACATTTTCCTTTCGCAAACGATCGCAAAAGAAGAAGCAACAGGGGGTAGTGAAAGAATCGACACTCTAGAATCTGTGCCCCCCATCTCTCCTCACTTTTTTTTTCTCTGGACCCTTTTTTTTCCTCTGATCCAGTACCTCTCGAATGAGAATGAAATGATCAACGTTACAATACCACCAAAAAACAATAGTGGCACGCGAGCTTGCAGACTAGGTTAGGCTCAAGCGAGTGCAAAGGAGCTTCTTGTTTTTGTAGCACCACTCTACTAGTAAGTTGTTTTCTATGAGTACAAGAAGTAAAAACGTGTTAGCTTGGGAGTGAAGATTAGATAGATGCTTATGTTTACTTCAAAAAGAAAGAGTCTAGAGTCAAAGTGACAACTTTGGGTGGCATTGCATACAGTTTTTTCTTCGTCTCTTTCAAGATCCTCTCATCTCCCTTCCTTTGTGACCCCCGAGAAGAGTGCCGTGTCTGTTTGTTTATTTACAATGAAAAATGTCATCGTTACTCTGCCGTCTCCGAAATGCAAAACCTTACCCCTACGCTCGAATCCTTGCCTGGCGGAGGTACTACCCTAGCGCTGTTCGCGACTTTCCTGCTTCTCTCTTGAATTACATCATATCTTTTTCTACGATAGACAAACCTCACCTTCTTGTAGTTTGTATTCATAGAAAGAAACGAACGAACCATGTGGATGTGACAAAAAAAAAGGTCTCACATGAACTCTTGTCGGCTCTTACCTTCGGCTTACAACCTTACAATGGTCAAACTCATTCGTCGAACAAGATAACCTTTTCATGTGGAGGTGAAAAAAAGTTGGAGGAGTAGAGAGAAGACCCACTTGTGGACAGATCGCAGCACACATGGGATCATTCATTGGAGACAAAAAATCCCTCCAAAGGAGTAAACCATGAACAAAAGAAACCAGCTTGGGCTTAGGCCATCTATTACATGGTAACAAAAAAGTATAATAGTGAGAGGCGAAAGAATTAAAATCTGAAAGAGGATGTATTGACGAGGAAAGGCGGACACAAAGTGAAAAATAGCGCCTGCCTTCCTCGTGAATCCAGCCTGCATAGCGTAATGTGTGCGTGTACGCTTGCTGCATATTTTTTTTATGTGGGTATTAAGCATTGGTTGTTCGTCCAAAGGCCTCAAAAGAAGCTTTGGAAAAGTCCGGGCTCGGAATTCTGGGAAAATGTCGAACGGACTCTTCCCCTTTTTTTTAGGTGGTGCTCTTTTCGTGCATTGTAACACAACTTTCCACGTTGGACGTTCACCAGTGGATGTGTCCACGTTCCCATCGACATTTCCTCTTCTATGGGTGCATGTTACCAGTATAAGGTAGTGGAGGAAGGTAGAGTGGCGGTATAAGGGTTGTTCATGTAGAGAGAAGGAGAAAGAGAAAGCGAGGGAGGCGAGACTGAGAGAGAAGGGGTGCAACGAGGGAAAGATGAAAAGAACGAAAGGAGGGAAGAGGGGGTCTGGTGAGTCCATGGGCTCAGTCTATCAGGGCAGTCCCCGAGACAAGTCCATCAGTGGTATCGGGCAACCAAGGGGTGTTTAGGTTCACTCAATGTACAAACAGCGATGCCTAGACCGCAGCACCAGTTTCCCAGAGGACCAATTCTCCTAAAATGAGACGAAGCACGGTGCATGAATGTAAAGGAGGAAGATGGATTTCAGGGCCATGTGCCTTTGTTTCCCTTGTCCTAGGGTATGTTGGCTGAGCGTGCCTGAATGGTTGGCCAATAATCAATTCTGCCAACAAAATCGTTCTCTCTTGAGCACTCCACTCGCTCTGTTGCAAACAAAAAAAGAGCAAGGCAAGTAATCTCCCTTTGGGCGCGACTAGACAGCCGACCATTAAAGCCTAATTTGCACTATCCCCGGTAAACCTGCATTATGTCGAAACCCTGGTAAACACACCCAAAGAAAAAAACACAGCGGCGTGAAAAAAAATGCGCGACCTTTTTTGGTCATGGTCGATAAATAACGGTCGCTGTTGCTGCTGCTGTTGCTGCTGCGGGTGAGGCCTTTTTTTGGGTTTGCTGACTCGAGGACAAATCCAGGTAATCGTCGAGGATGTTCAACGTGTGAGAGAAGGTTTTTGTCCATTCCGTTTCCTTCCTTTTGTTCTATAATTCCTCCTTAGCATCCCATTATCCTCTTCATTCACGCCATTTGGTGCCTTGTCTTGGCTTTTAGTATTGTTTTCCTTATTGTTTTATTCATGGATTTGTAACCATGATAACAATAACACTTCGATCATTCTCTCCATCTTAAACTCAGTCTCTCCCAAAGAACCATGCTTTGTTTCCATCCTTCCCTCGCTTCTGACACTTCTTCTTTCTCCAGGGACTGGGCAGAACTCTATAACAAAAAAGATGCTTTCAGCGAATGATAACGATTCGTTGGTCCTCCACCTATCCTTTGCCCGTCAATCCACGATCCTTCTCCTGCAAGCCAATCATCCTTCGTCCCCGAGCCAGGAGCTCGTTCATACGTCTATAACTCATCTCCCACCTTCACATCTATTTTTTACTCGTTGCTCCACTTCAACCACGCGCAAGCAACAACAAAAAACAAGTGCTCTCACGTTCTCATAGGGGGAGTTTGGGGTTCATTAACACTCACCTTGTCCCCCCTGAGTATAAAAGGGTCCTTTTACCCGCGCTTGTTTTTGTTCCTCAGTCTTTTCAACTCACTCCTCTTCTACCTCCTTCCTCTCTCTCTTCCTCTTCTCTTCCTCCCCCTCTCTTCTTTCAACAATGGGTAACCCACTCTCAGACTTTTCTGCTACGGAAAAGCGCAATGTCATGATCTACATGGCCGGTATTATGCTCTACAAGTTCGGTCTCGTAAGTTGACCTTCTTCGCAGTCGTTATTTAGGTTCCTCTTTATCATCCTTCTTTCAGTTACGGCTTTTCAACGTTACGGACTAGCTGACTGACTCATTACCTCTTCTTTGTATTGCTCTTCTTCCCTCTTCCTCTCCTTCGTAATCATCCTCCATCCACCTCACTCGAATAATTATAACACCTTCTCCCACCATATGACCAACCACTGTTAATAGGAGGCGTTCACTGGTTCCATCACCTTGCTCGCCACCGACCGCTTCAAGGCAGCCAACGTATTCTCCAACTTGGCCATTCTTCAGGGTCTCAACCAGGCCTTTCAGTGTGTCGGCTCCATCGCCATCGCCCCCCTCATCAGACGCTTCCCCACCCGCAGTGTCCTCTCCGCCTCCATCTTCTTCTTTGGTCTCCTCTCAGCCCTCATCATCATCATTGACGTCTCGACCGGAGGCAAGGTCCCCGAGAACGGCGTCAAGCGTTACGGCCAATGGGACTATGTCATCCTCTTCCCCATCTACTCAATCATCGGTATCTGCCACGGCATGGTCGAGCTCATCCGTCGTGTCATTCCCCGTGATATCGTCGGAGGTGATGTTATCAAGCTGAAGAAAATGGATGGCCTCGTCCACGTCTTCTACGAGATTGCCGGTACCGCTGGAGCCTTCTTCTCGACCTTCTTGGTCCTCAAGCTCGGAAACGCTATTGCCCCTGCCATGACTCCTTTCCTCTTTATCCTCGCCTCCGGTGCCTGGTCCTTCATTGGTCTCTTGGATGCCGACCACGAGAACCGCAGACGCCTCGAGACCCTCGAGGAGCACTCGCTCCTGAGCCAAATCGGCCATGGTTTCGCCCACTTTGGTCAATCGGTCGTCCTCGGTGTCAAGATCATCTTCTCCAGCCGCAAGTTCATCTGGTTGATCCCCGGTTACTCCATCCCCCTCTTCACCCACCGTTACCTCGAGTCCCAGCTCTCGCCCGCCTTTGCAAAGTACGTCCTCCTCGAGAGTGCCTACGCCCAGATCATGGTCGGAGGCTCCAACTTTGGTGAGCTCCTCGGTGCCCTCTTCGTCCTCTTCTTTGCCAAGACCATCAAGACCCCTATCCCCTGGTTGCGTCTCGATGCTTTCGGTCTTCTGATCATCTGGGTCCTCCCTTACGCCTACCCCGAGCAGGTCAATTCCCTCACCTTCGCCTGGACCTTGGCCGCTATCTGGATCCCCGTCTCCTTCGGTTGGGCTGCCGGTGATGTCTCCCTCGCTGCCTACATCCAGTCGGCCCTCTCAAAGATGGAGAACCCTAACGACAAGGTCTCGCCCCTCGGTGCCGTTATGGCCTTCCTGTACTCGTTCTACATCGTCCTCTACGCCGCCCTCGGTCCCATCCTCGGAAAGGTTATTGATTACTACTACAACAACAACAACGGGGACATCCATCCGGCCTTGTTCCGAGTGGGTGGTATCATGTACTCTGTCGTCTGTGGCATCCTCTTCCTCGCCACCTTCATCCCTAAGGGTTCCTTTGCCCTCAACCCCAGCCTGATCGACGATACCCAGATCGAGGACGAGGAGGAAGAGTATCGCAAGCAGCAGGCCCTCCAGCACGATGAGATTAAGGAGATCAAGACCCAGCAACTCGAAATCAAGGCCTAAACAACTTAGCTAGCATTCCCTCACTCCCACTTTCCTTCCTTCTCACAGTACCCATATACACCATGTATTAATTAATTAAATCCCCTCAAGTTGCAAACAATTTTTCACCCCCATAAGGTACATTTGCGGCTACAGTTGATATCAAAAAAAAAAGATAATCTTGTGGGCAGACAGGACCCACATGAAAAGATTTTGATCAATTCACAGGAGCAGGATTGTAGGACAAGTGATCAAAGAGCAAGGCACACTGTCACCGCAGAATAACGGACAGCACAGAGAAGTTTCGACAATACTGCCTAATTTAAACCTACTCAGGAGGAAGGAGCCTTACATTCCTGGTTTGGCACAACAAGCAACAACAACATGTATATGAGACTAGTTGGTTTATTTTCTATGTGTTGTTTGTCTGTAAGCACTGTGAAAAAAAAAAGCTGGAATTGGCAAATTCTGTCCCAAACGACTACTATCTCCGGTCATGACCGCCCGCACCAGGACCTCCTGTCACAATATGCGTCGTATCCATAGTCGACCCAGCACCGCCGCCAAACGCATCCCCAGACGAGGATGATGATGAAGGAATATTCTCCTGCTGCTGCTGTTGCCGAGGATCATGGTATCGAGAGGAGGAATACCCATGCCGGCCAATGCCAGATCCAGTCTGGTCCGACGGCGCTCCGTTGCCATTGTTGTTATGTCCATATTGCTGCTGATCCATCAGGAAGTGCTGTAGCGCCGTCTTGACTCGATCGCGGACGTCGAGATCATGGTCCGCGTTCAAGGCCAGGAGCCGGTCTTCAACACCCATACTCCTCAACAATGTCACACACTCATGCACTGACTGGGAAACCTTGTCATCCGGCCATGTCAAATTGATTATGACCCAGATACTGGCCACCCGGATGGCTGCGGATTCATGGTTCATCGACCTCAGCACAGATCGAAGAATCCCTTGCCGCTTGAGAATGCTCTGCTTGTGGTATTCGCTTCCCGTCGCAATGTTCACCAGCACATACAAAGCCTATAGCCGTCAACATGAAAATTGATTGAAACATATCAATACACGAGCTAACAAAGTTCAATAGAGCGGGTGAGGCAATTTGATCCGCAAAGGTGACACTTACATGCTCCAATAACCGTGGGTCGTCCCAGGACAACTTTTCCTCAATAATACTGAGTAACTGCCCGTTTCCAAGACCTCTAAAGACCTGCTCAATATCGTGTTCTCTCTTGTGGGCCAGATTCCGTACAAGGTTGAGGGCCTGTTCCTGAACGGCGGGCTCGCTGTCGTTCAACAGCAGCACAAGGTTGTTATAGCCAAACTGACGCATGACGTTCTCCTTGACGTCCGATTCTGCCTCAAACACCAAGTTCTTGATGGCCCAAACTGTGTTGAGTCGGACGACGTTATCACCGTAGCTGATCATGCGGACAAACTTGGAGACGATTCCTCGTTCCATGATAGTCTTCTTCATCGGCGACACATCCAGAACAATGTTGCAAAGCGTTGCTGTCGCTGACCGGAGGACGCCAAGGTCTTCATCACTCAGGAGCTACCGATGACATCGTGGTCGTCGAAACAATAAAAGGTTAGCAAACGATCATCGCCGTTGCAATAGGGTGCCAGTTTTGCTTCGGATTAGTGGTGAGTGGACTGAATGCTCACCTGGAACAAGGGGTTTTCAATGCCTGCATCGACAAGACTCGTCCTGAGGTTCTTGACACTCCTGGACAAACTCCTTGTACATTGGCAAGCTGCTGCACGGACCCCGACCGAAGGATGAGACATGGCAGAGACGATGTGAGAAAGCACCTTAGCCTCAATCACTTGTTTCCTACAGTCCTCCTTCAGCTGACTGATTGCAGCAAGAGCCAACAGCGAGTTCTATAAAAAAAAATACAGTGGAGCATGAATGAGTCCGGTGCTCCTGACACGTTCAATGTGCCTGCACATGGTAACAATGACGATGGGGCTGTGTGATTCCTTGCTATTACCTCCTTTAGTTTGTCCTTTTGGCCAACAATGCCGTAGACGTTGTCCTCCTCGTCCATCTGACTGATAATGGACGCTAGCTTGGGGATAGCTTCCATGTCACAAACAGCCTTTTGCATATTTTCACTCTCCCAGATGAGATGTGCTAAAACGTAAAAAAAACAGTGCAGCATTGGTTAGGACCCGCCTTCAAGGAGAACAAATGTGATTAAAATTCGCAAGTGAGCAGAACATTGTTGACTTACCCAGTACTTGTGGGGCAGCTTCCTGGACAGCGCCAGTCAATTGAAGCATCTTGACGAGTATTGGCAGCACAGTCAGCATAATGTCGCTGTTATGTTCTGGGATAACGCCGGCTCTGTTCAAATAGGTCAAACTTAGTAATGAAATGGGAAGCAATGGAGTTGTTAATCTACAGAGACGAAAGTATGTTGGCAGTTCGGATCAAAAGTGAGAGAGTGAACACAATGTTATCCATTGATACGCACCAAGTTGCAGCGGCGAGTCGCATGGTCGGTGATTTGTCCCGAACAAGTCTCAAGATAAATGGTGCTGGTCGCTCGCCCTTCTCCACTATCGATTCGGAAACAGGAGAAGAGGTTTTAATAGGACTGCAAGATTATGGAGCATTTTGCATAGTTTGGCTCTTTTGGAGTGTCGGTCCCTGATAGTTAGGGGGTCGACGAAATTGAAGAACAGGGTCGACGTTTCACACCTCCCAGTACACTTACGTCGCATCTGTGCAATCACTTGTGCCAGCTCTGGATTGTCCTTGACCAATGCAGCCAATGCTCCAAGAGCGGCTTCTTGACTTTTAGAAATACCGCTGGCAAGAAGGCGCATCAACAATGGAATCGCTCCACTATCGGCGATTTGCATCTGTTGCTCAAGAGTTTCGCAACATCTGGCGAGGATCGATGCGACTAGCTCTGCAGTGTGGACCTGAACAATATCCTGCCCCGGCCGGTGCTTGCTGCTGAATGTGTCGAGAAGTTGAACTAGTATGTGCAGGTAGTTGGCCTATCAACATCAATCGAGAAGTAATTATTACAGTTATTAAGATTGTTTGTCGTTATCCTGTCAGTTTGCAAACTGCATATCGATTGACTGGCAAAGGATGGCGAAGACATGTGAGATCAATACCATGAAGAGCTGTTGTCGAGAGACTTTGGGCGAGGCATATATAGCATTGAGGGTCCTGGCAGCTGCCTCGATTAGCTTTGGATCAGCACTGGGGTTGAGGCAATTGAGAAGGGGTTCGACTACACCAGAGTTGGTGAGGGCGAGGATGTTGCTTTCGTTTCCTGTATGGCGAAAAGTGGTCCAAGCGAAGCAGCGATCATGTCGACCAGGAATAGCATGCAATGCAATAAAAAAAAGAAAAACAAGGGGACAAAGAGGACAAAAGGGTGAGGTCAGCAGGGAGTCCTTTTTTGCTTGCTGAAGCATTGCATTGATAGTGCTCATTCCAATCAACCGCAGAACAATTTTTGTCCCGTCGTTTGTATTTTACCAAATGCAAAACTCCCAAGGACAATAACTGCCTGGATCTTGAGCTGAGAATCCTTGTCGTCCTTGGTCGATATGATGTCCTGTAGCCTATTCGAACAGAACGACAGAAATGATGTGAGGAAGGAGCAAGTGGAGAACACAAAACAGGAGGCTTTTTTTGTTTCTTGCTCAGGGGGAGAATGAAAACGAGAGGGACAGATAGAAGTACAAGCCAATAGCTCTCTGCTTCTCACTTTGACTCTCCAGCAGAGCACGAGCCAAGTTTGCAAAGTCCCGCTGATCCCCCTTTTTTTGTTCAACTTCCATGGCATGGTTTCGGGTGTAACAAGTGGGTGGGATGGGAATGCCGCTCTGCATGACAAGCAATCGCTCCAGCAAAGGAGAGAGTCAAGTGTTCCGAAGGGGTTCATTAGTACTTTCCCGCCCCCCGCTTTCATTCTTTTGTTTTGCGTCTGATGTGTGTTTGTCAATCGGCTGCAGAGAACCAATAGCAACACACGCACTCCTTGTTGTGGTAAACATGAGCGCAGGAATGTACAAGTTGCGTGCGCGTAGTAGGGTTGACACTGGCGCTGTCATGACATGCGTTTTCGGTGTTCCTGTGGGTGTTACATGTCCGTATCCATGTGATTTTGCGCCTACTTTTCCCGGATGTCACAGAAAAAAAAGAAAAGGAAGGTTACCTAGAGACGATGCCGAGCTGGATGTAGAGGTCCTTTTTGGTCTTGTTGCCGATGATGTTGTTTTTGATGAAGCGAAGGGACTTTATGCGGTCGAGAGAGACGGTCTGGTCTGTGGCCAGCTGCGAGACTGCGACCTCGTGCGGTGTGAGGGTCATGGTGCAGAGAGGAGCGATTTAGTAGTGAGAGACGAGGCTGTAGGGGAAATGTGGGGAAAAGGAGTCGAGAGGTTGTTGAAGTGAGTAAAGTGAGTACGTAGGAGAGTGTGAATGGTAAGGGCTTAGAATGGAATGTCAGGTTGAAGGCGGGAGCGACAGGTAAGGGTGGTTTTTGAAGAGAGAGAGAGAGGAGAGAGAGAGAGAGAGAGAGAGAGAGAGAGAGCAGTGAGAGCAAAAGGGATATGTGAAGAGTGTTCTTTTTGGTGGCAAATGGGCAGGCGAAGAGGGAGTGAGAGGGTGGTGAGAGGGAGAGAGAGAGGGGAGGATGAGGGTGAAAGAAAGAGAGAGAGGTGTAAGTCTAAGAGAGATAAGGAGGAAGGAAGGGGGGAAAAGGGAACACAGAAAGATACAGGAGACAAAGGGGCAGACAAAACACAAGGGGCTGGCTAGGACAAGCTTCGTTGTTACTGTGACTTGGAAAGCGAGACAAGTGATCCGCTTCATGGACGAGTAAAAGGACGGCAATGGCGATGCATAAAGGGACCTGGCTGGGACGGATTCTTACTCCCACTGTTGCCATATCTTCCTTTTTTTTCTCTTTTACTTGGCTGTGATATCCGCCTAGAACAGAGACTGATCTCTGGGAAGGGTTCGTTTTTGGAGCAGGGCGAGGAAGGGTGACAGGGCGAGGAAGGGTGACAGATCGAGAAGGACAGGTGGCAAGGGGGACACCGGAAGAACCGATTTGCAACATTGGAGATGGAAAAACAAAGCAACCCAGGCATCTAGGCTGCACACGACCATGACGAAAACTCCATTGGATGCCAGGCACTCCCTTGCTCTAAACCATTTCCCTTCTATATGCCACACCAGTACTCTGCTCTTTCATTCTTACCAATCCATCCGATGTAATGCCTCTTCGTTGTGTCTTTTGCTTCCTTTGCTGCCATGTAGTTCATGCACAGTTTTGCTGACGATGTAAGACCCTTGCCATTAGTGGGAGAGTCTTTTTGATTCCGACCCTCGTGATCACAAGCCAATGATGGGTGAGACGTAAAAAGCAAGAAAGTAAAAATCAAGCCGCGTTGATCACAATCACTTGACGCGTCACTGAAAAATGAGCTTAAATGGACGCGTCTGAGCATGTACGGATGACGCGCATTACGTGATTGTCACAGAGAGTGGACATGAGCCATATCCATCTCTAAACGCACAGTCATCCATCATCAAGCCACACCTTTTTTTCCTGGTCCCATGCCTCTAATCTCACCTACGCGCCTTCGACACAGCCATGGCTCCCTCCTCCACTCCTCGTCTCTTTTAGTACCAAGTGCAGTACGCAAAGGGCGCTAAATACGCAGTCGGCTGAATTCCCCTTTAGAAGCAACACGACCTGGGTGGAGAATTCTAGCCTTAGTCCATGTGAATGTTTCTCACACGACAGGAAAAGGGACACATCTTTTCACGGAGGTGCTCAAAATGCTGTCCTACCACGTCAACATCACTATTTCCCTTGCCATTTATTTCGTCTTAAACAACAACAGCATGGTGTTGTTTCCTCTATGTTCGGTCAGGAGAGAATGGGAGACGAGGAGGAAAGAAGAAACAACACAGTCCATTTGCTTTTTGTTGTTCAAAAAGGAGACAGGAAAAAAATTGAACTTTGGGAATCATAGGCGCCTCCTGGGATGTCACGAAAACAATGGACACACGACCATTCTTTTTTGTGTTACCGGGACATATGCATGGATGGACAAATGCATGGATGGACAAAAAAAGATTCACTGGTAGGAAAAAGAAGGAGCGGTTATTACCTTTTTGGTGGGTAGGATGAAAGAAGGAAAGATGGACGACCAGCTGAGGAACCTTTATGGCTTTCTTTTCTATTATTGACCATACGATGTGGAAAGAAAAAGAGGGATCTTTTCTTTTTTTTTCTCTCCGTTTTCTTGATCTCCATTCCTTTGATTATTCCTTCTTTTCGACGTCTACATTCATCTTATTTCAATCTTGGATTTTCCTTCTACATGCATACACCTTCGAAATACACTTTAATATCTACTTCATCCTTTATTTTTTTCTTCCCCCTTCGACCTCTTGCTTTTTCTATTCCTTCAACCCACCCGGGGTTTCTCGTTTCTTTACATTTTCGCTTCATTTCTATCAATTGTCCTTTTGCATCCAAGTCGACTCTCCACCTTCTCTGAATATAAAAAAACTTCAAGGTTGTTTCACTTCGACTCACCTCGACGATAACAGCCACAAGGGGCCAAAAGAAACGAGTTGCAAAAATACTTTTTCTTCTTGCCATACCCACGCCAGCTCTCCATTTCGTCTCTGAAGCCGCCAGAGAGAACTAAAGAGAGGAGCAACGAAAACATGAATGTCGCGCGCCATATGGGAGACCTTGACACCTTATACCGGATACCCCTCACCACGGACGGACCATGGGTAAATAACACACCGACACCAACATCAACGCCATCACCAACGATGCCTTTTCATTGCATTTGTCTTTCCTTTCTATGTTTCTCTCTCTCTCTTTCACACACACTACGCAACACTTGACACGTTTCTTTCTTCACTTCCTTGATGCAGCTTCGTCTTCAGCAAATGCTGGGCCTGGATACATTGGCAATGAAGGGTCAAGAACCAAAAAAAAAAGAAACTAATTGTATGTTGTTTGTTCTTCGCCTTCCATCTCCTCCCTACCCCCTCTTTCCCTCCTCTCCTATTCACTATGACACCGTCTTCCTCCATCCCTTTCCTTGATCTTCCCCTTCAACTTTTTTTTTCTTCACGATCCCATTTGTCCTTCTATCCTTCACTCAAAATGCATTCCCTCCAAACAAAAAAAAATCTAGTTCTTCGCGCCTGTCCAGATCGGGACACCAGCCCAGACATTTCACCTCATGCTTGACACTGGATCAAGTCTCTCATGGATCCAAACAACAGACTGTCAAACAACCCCACAGCTGTGTAACCAAGCTCCTAAATTCAACACCTTCCTCTCATCCACCATCACCCATGAGCAGGAATTGATTGCCGTCCGGTACACTGAGGGTGTCATCCGGACCCAGCTCGCCTCAGATATCGTCACCCTTGGCACTGCTCCACCACCGACATATGTACCTTTGCTTTTTACTGCTGCTGCTGGTTTCGGGGTCAACAACTCTAGTGTTCTTTCGAATTCGAGTACTACGACTGCCGCTACTAATGTTCGCGCCCCATCTACACCGACAACAACAACGACCACATTAGTCAAATCTCATGGTCAAAAGACCACTTCTACAGCATCACCAGCTACTCCTGCAGGAACAAATGGATCACAGGAGACAGAGGAGGCAGCGGAGGAGCAACAAAATGAACTGGGATCTATTTATTTCTCGGAACGCTTTCGAGGACAGCGAACTTTTGGGTTGACGACCGATATCTCTGGAGACCCATTCTTGCTCGCCAAGGAGGTCAATGTGCCCGGATTCCTTGGAGCCAGCCAAAGACGCTTCGAATCCGACAGTGGTACGCTTTCTTTTTCTCTCTTTTTTTGTTTTGGAGCATAGCGAGCGAATTTAAGGTGAATGTGAAGCCATCGCAATCTCACACGCTTTATTATTCGTCCCGGTCATTTCTAGACTACCCGGTGCACACATTTTCAGAGATTGTCAACGAACTCCCAATCCCCGTTTTCTCACTTGCATTCACGGAAAGCTGGGGCACTCTAACACTCGGCGGACCGGACCCGATCTTCTACTCAAAACCTATCACATGGATCAACACCCTTAAAGGCGAAGCCGGCTGGGTCACACACCTCTCCTCTCACATCGACATTTACGCCAAAGGAACTGACTCGATAACCATCCCAGACTCTGAGACGGATTATGTCCGAACAAATCTGGACCGAGTCTGGTTCGACAGCGGGACGACATATATCTGGGGGGATGAACGAGCAGTGACACCACTGAACGACTGGATGGGCGCCCACCCCGTGACGGGACAAGTCAATTGTTCGACAATCCCTTCTCTAGGGACGATTGTCTTTTCGATTGGTGGGAATGAGGAGACACCGTTGTTAAGGTTGGAATTGAGTCCGGCAGAGTATATTATAGGAACGCCGACGTCACGTCAGTGTTTTACGGCGTTGAATGTCGCGGCGTCGAGTAAGAACCATTGGATCTTTGGATTGCATGTTATGAAGGCTTTCTATACCGTCTACCACTACGAGTATGGACTCATTGGCGTCGGTAAGTATTGTTGACGTCATTTCCTAATGTTATATGCAAGTGCGCTATTCATTGAGCTGTGGGACCAAGTCTAACATGTTTTGCATGGCTATTGGTATAACTAGCACCCTACAACATTACAGCAAACAATCCGGGGGGAAAAGCAATAGTCCCCGGGATTCATGAGATCCTCGACCAAGAAGTCAAAGAGTCGCTGCAGAAGATGCCATCCAGTGGTCAAAAATCTCTTACCTCACCTCCTCTATCCATGGCCACCTCTTTCCTCCTCTTCACCTTCCTCACTATCATCATATATTGTATATTCTAACATTCCTTATCGCTTTTCTATGTACATAACCTTTGTAATATATACGTCGTTCCCTCTTTTTGCTGCCTTCTTTTATTTAACATACTAATTATTGGACAGTGATGGGGGTGTTTCAGCGCGTATCAAATGATCGTGTCATATACCCCTCCCCAAAGGTGCGCACCTCCTCGTTGTTCTTCCTCTCGGTAGTCATTCACTGACCTCCTCGACCAATGGATCAATGGACAAGAATATGCATATTTCTAATACCCCGCTCGTTGGTTAAACTACAGCCAGTTTCTTACTTTATTTGTCAACCATGGAAAAATAGTATCGCAAACACATGTTTTTACCTTCTTCACAAGGTATCTCCCGCAATTCCATCCTACAACCTGTTAAACTCGCGTGGTGGTAAGCGGGGAAACAGTGCGTGTCCGTGGAAAAAAAACAAGCGTTTTTTGCGGGAACAGCCAACGCCACCAAATAATTTCTTATCGCCGCCGCATTCTATTTTTGAGCTTTTCCTTCCTCTCCATGGGAAAAAAATGGAGTCACCATGTAATTGATAGATGAAAGACGGGAGGGCTCACATAAGTAAACGGGGTTGATAGAAAATCAGCTATCGCCTTCCCTTTTTTTTTGTTTTTTTGTTGGTTGCCTCTTGTCCATTACCATGCTTGCCGTTTTTCTGAATGGGGATGATTCACAATTACTCATGACCAAAACGATGGGCGATAACAGGTTGTTCAAAAAATGCGGCGTTTTTAGTGGGCGTTGGCTGACTCGATATGAATGCATTGACCCCTTTATCTTTTCTTTGCCTTTGACCAACAACATAAAAGGCAGACATATCCGCCCTTTCCCTCCCTCAACTCGTTAACCCAGCAAACTCAAGCAACTCAACGTAACTAACCAACCTAGCAACCAAAAATAAAATAAAAATGAACGACATCCCAGCACCAATCCCGGCAACCTACAAGATCCGCCTGGCGACAGAACAAGACCTGCCCCAGATCAACGACATCGTCAACCATGAGATCGCAGTCTCCATCAACAACTTTAACTATGGACCCCGTTCAGAACAGGACGGTCTTGCCTGGTTCCGAGCTACCATTGCTGGCGGGTACCCCATCTTTGTCGCTACTACGACTAAGACTGTCGAGGGGGACGAGGAGGAAGAGGTTGTGGCGGGGTACTCGTCTCTGGGAAGTTTCCGTCAGAAGGACGGGTATCGCTAGTAAGCTTATCTCTTCTTTATGTTTTCGCGCCATGGTTAAGAGATGGGGGGGGGGGGGTGGTCAAATCAAAAACTACGCCCTTGAGACCCAAGGTACTAACATATCTGTTTCTTCTTCGTGGTACATGAATTTTGTTGTGTATGTGTGTATATAGTACGGCAGAGTACTCGGTGTACATCCATCATGAGCATCGCCAGCGCGGGCTCGGAAAACGACTCATCAAAGACCTTCTCATCGAAGCCAAGGTCCGCAATTTCCACTCCATCATCGGTAAGACTAAACCCTCCCCTCTTTCCCTCTCCTCTCCTTTCCTCCCTCTTCCTCTTTCACCCTCTTTTCCATCAAAAACATTCTAAAATCATATCTAAACTAAATACTACAATAGGGAGCATCAGTGAAGACAACGAGGCGAGTGTCCACCTCGCAAAGTCGTTCGGGTTCCGAATCGTCGGTACGATGAAGGAGAACGGGTACAAATTTGACCGCTGGATCGATAACACCTTCTTGGAACTGCTCATCTAAGCCGATACACACCCACAGCCCGCATGATTGCAAAGGAGGACTGAAGCACTTGAAGGAAGGAAGGGAGGGAAGAGGTGTTAGAAGAGAGATTTTTCGGAGGCTGACATGTGAACGCGATGAGCATTGAGAGGAGAGAGGGAGACGGAGTCAGAGAGGCGAAGGGCATTCGTTCATGGAGCATTAAAATATTTTTGTTGTTGTTATTGTTGAATGGATAATTAAAAAAAAATTGAGGGTGGAGAGAAAAAACAATAATTAGGAAGGAGAATATACACAAAAAAATTCGGACGAGGATCGATCGATCGAAGAGCAAAAAAAAACAAAAACAAAAGCAAAAAAACAAAAGTTTATATGTATAATGATTCTAATACTCCGCCTCAACTTTGACACTCTGGAGGGTAAGATACCCTGAACTCGTATCCTTATTGTTGCTATTGCTGTCGCCGCCGGTGTACGAGTTCAGGTCGTAGGCATCCTCGTACGTGTTGTTCATGGCGATCGATGGCAAGTAAGGATGGTGCTGATGGTGAAGTGTATTGCTGCTCTGCTGAACGCCAGTTGTCATCCCATTGCCGTTATTGTCGAGGTCCTGAAGAGTGTAGCCAAACGATGACGAAGCCGAGGAAGTCGTTGTGGTCGTCGCAGTAGGTGTAGCCATACCGTCTAAGCTTGAATGTCCAAAATGGCCACTACTAGTTGGTGGGTGCATGAAGACTGGAGCTGAAGAGGTTGCTGAGGTCGGTGTCTGAGAGTATGACAGATTCTCGTCTGGTTCTGACTTGATCAGAGAGAACTGACCCGTGCCTTCTCCAGTTTGTCCCGAGAACGCGCCACCCGCCTGCATCATCTGCTGCTGATACGCGACGGCCATTCCAGAGTAGCCGCCAGAGGTGTTATTGGTTCCTGCGGCAGAAGCGTACAAGGCGTGGCTACCAGTAATAGCGGCAGGAGATTCAAACGGCCCTTGCTGATGTCGCTGTTGTTGGTATCCAGTAGAGTCCTGTCCACTACCATCAGTTTCATAAGAGTTCTCCAATGTCGTCTCGAGTCGGCTATCGAACGAATGACCACCTGGACTCACTCCTGCCCCAGGTGTCCCCACCATCATCATACGAGGAATCGATCCAAAGCTCGAGGGGCGCTGAGCAAAGTACGAAGACTGGCTATGGTGATGATATCCGTTTTCCTGCGGGGAAGGCTGTTGGTGTCCACTATTGCCGTTCTGGTACTGCTGGAAAGCCGAGTAAGCCGTAGTCGGGGACGAGAATGCAGACCCGTCGTACGTCGAAGCAGGCGAGGACATGGACGAAGCGTCAGTCCAGCCTTGATGCGCCGTTGCTTGACTGGAATAAAACGACTGCGCCATGGCCACCGATCGTGCTGTTCCAGGGCTGTAGTCGGCGCCGAATCCCATTACAGGCCCACCAGGCGAGATGGGAGAAAGAGGTCCACCACTGCGACTGCCATCTGCCGCCGTCGAGAGGCCGAGGTTCAAGCTGCTCATTTCGACGCTCATAGCGGCGCCAGCGCCGATACTGTGGTTCCGACTCTGAGCTCCTAGGAAGTGACCCGTATTGTGGTATGGATGGTGCGGTGAGTGCGAACTGATGCTCGAATGGCGTCTCTCCCTAAAAACACCTGAGGTAGGAGACAAGATCATCTCTCCCTCCGGAATATCGGTGTAGTGTCCAGGACTCCGACCACGAACCACTAGAGCATCGGACTGTGACGCAGCGACGCGAATGATGCGACCGTCCTGAGTGTGGGCAAAGAGATCGACCATCAGGATATAAAACTGCTGGGCTGCTCGTCTCTTCCCATTGTTGGCGGTCGCTGTCTTGAACTGGACGCGCTCAAAAGTGGCAATCGACTGGTTGCTGGTCGTCGCTGGCATGGCGAAATTGCCCCCTCCACGGATATCGCGGCGGCTGGGGACAAATTGGGGTCCCTTGTCGCGTTTGGGGGTATGTTGAATCAGACCGATCTTGGTGCTGGTGCTCGCAATCTTGGAAGAGATGGAGATCGAAAAGTGTGTCACCAGTGCCAGACGAGTAGGTCCTGAGATTGGAGGCATAGACGAGTGTTGTTCCGTGACCGATGCGGTGGCAGCAGCAGCAGCCGTCATCCTGTTGTAGCTTCTTGTTGTGTCCAGTTCAGCGGCACCCATAGAGTGTTCTGCCATGAATCCGAGCGATTCCGATTCTTCGTCAGCCTCCTTCTTGATCCTGTACAGTTGTCGCTGCTCGTCCGCTGCTTGTGACATGGCAAAGTCCTGCTGTTGTCGGATTTCTTCGGAAAAGTCCGCGGGGAGAGGGTCGGGTAGCTCGATGAGACAGGGCACTTCAGAGAGCTGGGAGTGGTCAAAGCCAAAAATACAGAACGCCGTGCTGATCTGGAAGTAGTTCCGACGGTAACAAGTCCAAATGTCTCTCGTCATGAAGAATCCTTTTTCGATCCTAGCCATCACTTTGAGTTTGTACCTAATGGAAGGTAAACACAGAAAACAGAAAAATACGAAAGAAAAGATACCAAATGCAAAAAAGAAATGTTAGACATGTCACGCTGAGAACGTATACCTTTTAGAAAGGTAAAAAATAGGTATCCTGACAAGAGTAGAAAGCATATGCACATGTTGGAGCACTTACGATTCGGCTTGGTTGAAACTAAAGACATTGTAGAACTGTGTGGTGTTGGAAAAGTATGGGCCGTCTGAGGAAATGACAAGGGGACCTCCTTTCCGAATCCGTTGGATGGGACGAGGGACAGTAGAGCCGGCAATCGAGTTACGATGGTGGGCACCAGGGCCACAAAGGACCATGCTAAAATGAACAAAATAGAAAGTAGGTTCATTGGACGAAAGTACGTTTATGGTTAGGGTAGGCTGCGAGTTGGGCATAGGTTGTTTTGTTTTGCTCTGCCTTTTTCTTTCTACGTTGTCGCGATGGCCAAAGGGGACAAATGTGGAACCAGTCAACGTGTGAAAGTCGCATGCGAATTGTTATTGACATTGGATGGATTGGGGTCAGCCGAGCAAAATCAAACCTTTTTTTGTTGTAGCTGTGCGGGAAGAAGTCAGGGAGACTGGCGCGATGGTGGAGCATTCCGTTCACGTCGGGACTGTGATGGAAAATACTTAAAGGAAGAGCAAGAAATGAAAATACAATAGAGATTTTCCCGATGGATGGGATTGGTCAGTCTGAGTGGTCGTCGATAGGACGTGTCGATTGAGCCAAAAGCCTAAAAGTATCACTGATCGTTTTTTTTTCAGGCACCACCATGTCTTGACGAGTTCCATCATTCGTTGTTGCTGTTGCTTTGCTTACTTGGGAATTGGGTCTTGCCCAAGGCCATAGCAATCCTGCACTGGGTATGCGTCTTGTTGCTGTTGTTGTTGTTGTTGTTGTTGTTGTTGTTGTTGTTGTTGTTGTTGTTGTTGTTGTTGCTGCTGCTGGTATTCATTGGATGTTTGTTCCTCTCCATGACTTCTATGGAAATAACATCATGTAAATAAGAGCGCCATTAGAGATGGGACGAATGGGAAAAAAAGGAAGCGATGGTCAGGGAACAATACACGGGAACAGACATTTTCGCTCATGCCAGATATAGCGAGTAAGTGAGAACGGACTTTTTGCCACTGGCTAGTCCTTTTGTCTTTTTTGAGAGCGAAAAAAGTGAGCACTGGCCAACCGCAAAGTCCGCACACACATGTTCCAATAGGACTCTGATGATTCCACACAAGCACTGCACTCCACTCCTCCCCCTCCTCCTTTATCGGCTTACTCACTTACTTCTTTTCCATTTCCCTCTCCCATTCCATCGGCATTTCCGTTCTCATTTCATCGCATCGCATCGCATCAGATCACATCGCATCTTTTATGCCTCTTCTCTCTGTCTCTCTTTTGGGTTATTGCTCTCGGATATTCCGCTAGAAAGGGAGCCCCAGGGGCCGTATGTGCACTTACATTGGAGAAATAGTGGCTAATCCCGCCAAAGGCGGTTCTGATAGACTGGAAGTGGGCTGTAGTGGGTGCACAGGGGAGCTCGTGAGGGGGTGCATATGCGGCGGGTCCATTGGGTAAAACGTAGCAGCATTATGTAGGCTCGTCAACGTGTTGTTTGAAGCACTATTGATAGTGGTATCCTGACTGAACGGAGTTGTCGTCTCGGTACATACAGGCGGACCTGGCGGTAGCGGACAGAGTGCAGGATGCGAGAGCGGAGACATTGAGGCCGGAGTTATTGTCTCGACGGCGACAGGAGAAGATGGTGACGACAAAGAAACAACCATTATGGAAGTAATGAAAAAGGCACAGAAAAAAAAGGAAGGGAACGAGGTGGGTGAACGAATAGTGGGTTGATGGGAGAGGAGTGACAGGTGAACGAGAGTCTACAGAATAATTCAATGGAACAGATAAAAAATCTACAGCTGAGCAAAAAGCGAAGAGGACTCAATTGGCACAGACTACAAAGAAGATTAAAGGCGTTTATGAACAATGTGAAAGAATATGAGCAATTGGTGAACAGTCAAAAGGAAGAGAAAAAAATACAAGAAAGAGAGAGAAAGAAAGAGACAGAACTCAGAGGGTTTATATGTAAACAAAGCCGAGCTACGTGTAAGAACGCCAGGTTGGCAAAGGGGAGGGTCATACGTCTGTGAGAAGGAAAAAGGTCTTGGCAAACACAAAAAAAGATAGTATGACAACGCTTGAGTAGTTTTGACGAAAAAGATAAAAAGAAAAAGAGAAAAAAAGCGAGATCGCCTTTGAGTTTGATTTGTTTTGGAAAAAGGATGATGAACAGAAATGGAGGATGAGGAATGAGGGTGAATGGACGCAAAGTGATGATGACGGGTCGGAAGGGTGCAAGTAGGTTTCGTTGGCTGCGCGTGCACACAGCAGAAATGGGAAGAGAAAAAAGGGGCGGGTGACTGAAACGAAAATTGAGGGGGGATTTTGTCGGGTGTTGCTTTACGACTGGGAAGGAAGCGTGCGGGAGGGGGAAGGCGAGAAATGGGAAAAATGGAATGAGATGACAAGTGGTGAGAATGGAATGAGTATGAGTAAAGTCGATCAAGAATAAAGAACAACGGAAAAGAAAGAGGAGAGGGAGAGAGGGGAAGATGGGAAGTAAAGAAGGAAGAAGAGGGAAGAAGTAGAAAATAAAGAGAAGTTAGCAAAAAGGGCAAAAGAACAAAACCAATGTGAATTAAGAGGAAAGCGGAAATGTAGAGTGAGGGAGAGGAGAGAGAGTGAGAGTGGGGATTAGACAGTTTAAACCATTGGACAATCATCGAATGAGTGCGTCTTTTCTTCTCTTTCTTATTCAATCGAAAGTTTGTTTTTATTCAACGATACTTCTTCACTTCTGACTTCAGCTTCACGCCACCCTCTTTGCGTCACTCTATGCGTGCTCAAAGAGCACTAATTGCCAGCCATGGCTCGAATTCGCCGCGATGGGCACGGTATCGATATGAGAATGGGTCGAAGGCGGGCTGAACTGCATGATGTGAAAAAATAGAGGGCCAACAAAAAGGTCAAGGAAGCAAAAAAACGAGTGCCAGCGAATGAAAACAGGGCGCGAGCTCAACAATAACTTGTCATGCTCGATGACCATGATAAAAAAAAACCAACAACAACGACGGACTTGGTCTTCTTTTGTTTGTATGGTTCATGCAGCAAAAGCACTAATGCTTCAAATAAATATGAAAGCTGAGGAATCAATTGGTGTGCATGCGACAACATCAACAACGCACACTTCTCTTGTTTTTTTTTTCTCACTCATTGTGGCGACATGGCGTGAACGTGGTCTTGCATATCGCTCTCTTTTTTATTCTCTTTTATTCTTCTGTTGTTGGTGCTCTTGTTGGCGTGTGTACATGTTTGGTTCATGTACCTGAATATTGAGACAAAGAGACGACCCCTATCATCTGTTGTGTGTGCCAACAAACCAATTAATAACTGAAAGCACTTTTATACCTTCGCCCACACAAGTAATCAGCAGCGAGCTGTACCCAACACCCTTTCTCTCGTTTTTTTTACCCTTCGGTCTTTGCCCTTCGGCATTAATCCGACTGGGCGGGCGAAAAACAAGAGACACCTTAAAACGCATCGATATGCCTTAGTCCTCGTCGCTACATTGTCCCTATTTCCTGCTCTATTCGTTTCTACAATCTCATAGGGATCTTCCTTTCACTCTTGATTTTCTAACATTCACTTCTCCGTGTTCTCCAGTTCATAGCCCAACCGTTAATCATCAGCCCCATTTGACTACATTTTGCGTTTCTACTCTTCGCCTTTTCGCTTTCCTTGTTTTTTCCCTTACTGAATCTTATTCGAGTTACTCAACTCAAAACACGACTTTTCCATTGTTAATGTATGTACACTTCCTCCATTTTTACCTCAAAGCCTACATTGATAGATGCACCTGAGCATCTGTAACTCGCGCACGAGTGTGAAAAAGTCCGTCGCCTTTCCCTCGGCAGATTTCCCGCTCTTCCTCCAGTTTTTTTCCGTTGATTGCTCAACATGTCAAATATCAAATGCGAAGTGTAAAAGTCGCTCTGCAGACCAACAACTCGTCCGTTCTCATGGTTTATGACCTTATTCTATGCGTTGGTTGAGAAAACACAAGCAAAAATGCAAGAGAGAGAAGAAGAACGACAAGAAAATGACTTACTGGGAGGTCAGACCAGGCAACTAATACCCAAAAAAAAAACTTCCAAAACGGCTTTAAACAGCGAGCAAAGCAAACAAAAAAAACGCTTTCAACAAAGATGGGTCAACCCTTTCTGCAACTTAATACACTAGTAGGTCAGAAGTAGATGCATGCAATCGAGGTCATTTTGATATTTTCGCCCAACCTTACTTTTCCTACCCAACGTAGTTGTGGGTATAACGACGATGGCATTGATAGAGTTTTCTAGGAGTGCTCTCAAACAAGCGTTTGTTTTATATATTTCTTCCTTTCGAATTGTTTCATTCATTGTTGATTGTTCGGGGTTTAAGGTCAGGTCGATTGCTCGGTCGCTCTCTCCTCCACCACTCTCACATTTTTTTTTCTAGTCGTCGTCGTGGGCATTCCTATCAATTCTCTCAAATGCATGTTCGAGAGATTTCATCGATTTGAACCCACCCTTTTTTTCCTTCCCGCTTCTACGAGTTTTTTGACATTGGTATGTTCATCGTCACCCACTAACAAGATCGTTAATCTGAGGACTCGTCTCGAAATAGAAATCAACGAGAAAAACGCACGCGAGAGAGAGAGAGAGAGAGGGAGAGAGAGATTGAAGCATCTGAGATTTCTTTCCTTCGCTTGTAGCCCACGTGCACCGTCGCGCATTTTCCAAAATGTCTACATTGATGTTGGCGGAAGAAAGAATGGAGAATGAACCTACAGGTCATCGGATATAAGAACAACGGCGGCAGTAGCAGTAGCAGCAACAACAACAGACAACAACAGTTAGCGCACACCATCAAAGCTCGGGAAAAGAGAAAAAAATATCAAAGAAACAGGAAGAAGAATGAATATACTCAAATGCGTACAATGTGCATGCATTTCAAATGCAAGAATGAGGGTAAGAGAACAAGTGACCCAATGTCGAGAGGAAAGAGTTGGGCGTAGGAATTTTTTTCCTCCCTCATTCCTCCCTCTTTCTTCCTTTCTTCCTCCCTTCTTCCTCCTTCCTCCTTCCGAGGAGGTTTCTTATTGACCATCGTCTTCTCTCACTCGTTTTCTTCAATCCCCAATGCACTCATTCACTCACTTTCGTTATCCTGGTATCTCATGCAGGATCCTGTGCAACACACTTTTTTTTTTTTTTTTTTTTTTTTTTTGACCATTCCTATTTTTTTTCATTCATTTTGAAAGTTTGTTTCGAGGTGAATGACTTTCGCATTTCTTTTGAGTCGATGGAGTGCCAACGATGAGTAGTGGGTAGGATACATAAACAGGGGGTCAGACAGAGTTAACAACAATACGAATTGAAAACGAAACAACGAAGGAATGCAGATAGTACAGTAGGTTGCAAGGCAACAACATTTATCATCGACAATCAACAAAAGCAAAAAAAAAAATCGAACGTGTGAGCAATAGGCAGTTGGTTCCTTCGCGGTTCGTCCCCCTCCTCCCCGTCGAACAGTGCACGCAGGAAAAAAAACAACAGAGACCTACATTGGCACCGGTGACATTCCATTGGTTTAAGGGTAGGACAATCAAGCAGATAAAGGTAGCAATTTGAGATAAAGACGTTCTCAAAAGAACGATAAAAAGAAAAGTGCAAAATGAGAGGAGAGAGAGAGAGAGAGAATCCCAGGGAAACACAGCACGGATAATTCAGTCGTCCATTGAATCAATTAAATGAGAAGGATGGGAAAAGAAACCAGCGGGAAGAGAACGAGAAATGGAAACGACAAATGCAGGAAGGTGTACAACCAGGAGATACATCCTCACGGCCATCCTACCAACCATGAACAATAACAAAAACAAGATGGACGAAGACCTTCACTCCTTCTCCTCATCCCTTATCTGGATGAACCTTCGCAATTTACTTTCTTCTCATAAAGTTGCTTCAACCCACTTTTACAAAACTAAACCAAAAAAAAAAAAAAAAAACGCCCACTTGTTTTCATACTTGCATGCTAATACCCAGCAACTACAACAACAACAAACACCATAACTAATAATTGCACCGGGAGTGGGGATAGTTATGAGCAAGCATTGGCCTATTTAGTAGCACCCAAAATGCTGCAAATGAGCATCAGGTGAAAGTGGCTCCTCTTCTTTCTTTTACCTATCTCCCTCTCTCCTCACTTCTATTTCCTCCTCCTCCTGTCAATCCTCCTTCGGATGTTGACGCCTCCTCCTTGACCACCTTGTTATTTTTGTTTGGCACATCAAAGTAACAACGGCAGCAAACAACAACAAACAACAACAAACAACAACAAAAAAAATAAACAACAAACAACCAACAGATAATCGACAAGCAAATAAGGAAGCAACAACAGTAACAAAACGGCAACAACGAGGGGAGGGGAATAAAAGCGAAGGAGAGTGTATTCCTGAGAAGTTGAGAGCCTTTTTGTCTTTTCGAAAATGACAGCCTCTCCGTCCACAATAAATAACAGCAATCAACAATAGTAACAACAAAACTGTAACGGATGCATGAACATCAACAAAACATCCAACATGTGCACATCATGGAAGAAGGATGTACTAGCACCATCATCTCCCGTATTCCCTACCATCGCAAAGTCCTGCGAAAAAACCATGGAGTGTTGTATGTGGCATGTACATTGTAGAGTTTTCTTTCTCACTTTTATGAGTTTTATCACACTTCCCCTATCTCTCATCGCCTTTCTCAATCACTCTTTCTTCGCTTGCGGGCATCTCCATGAATCATTCTGAGTAAGTTTTTTTTTTTTCCTTTTTTACTTTCTAGCTGGTGAAAGACGCATATATTTTTCGACTAAAAAGCTCTTTGCTCCATTGATCGCATGTCATAAAACCTTCTTTTCCCTTTCCCAACCGACAACATAAACAAACATCTCGAGTTCCAACCTTGGGTATGTTTATTGCCATTTTTTTGTTCATCTTCGATACCCTTTCTGTTCATGGAGGGTTCTCTGCGTAGCGAACGAAGTAACACTAGGGCGCCACAAGAAGTGAAGTCAACCAGAGAAAGGGCAAACCTACAATAGAACAGAAACTAGTTGAACCAAAATAAAAGAAAACACACACCCAAAAAAATAAATTGAGAAAAACAATAACAACAAGGGCAATTGGACATAGTTAGTAGAGTCGATAACGCTCCAACCAGTTCTGTGTGTTTTTTTGTCCACTGAAGAATGGAATGATGTTCCTTTCTTTGCATGCAAGAGGGAAGAACCCAATGTTATGGGCTTGCATGTCCAAGAACTCAAGAGGTGTAAGGTCCCTTCCCTCCATTTCCATTGCCCTCACTAGCCCCGAAATCTCATCGCTCAACCTATTGTCACCCCCTCGGAGAGTGTTGATTCCTATTCCGCCTCGTGACGCGACTGAGACGAGCGCCAACCAATCCAGGGATTCATCGTGTTCCCTCAAAAAATCATTCTATGATCATTTCAATCTACAGGTCATGCTTCTACTGGACGCTCTGGTACCCCAACAAGGGTACAATGGAAATGGCGTCCATGCACCCATTTTTTCTGCTCACAAAGGAACCATTTTACTATTAGACGCCAATTCCCTATATACACGCGTTGATTGCCCCATTTCACTACCCAGCTCATGAGGGGAACAATGAATGACCTGCTAGGGTAATATCGCGTCATTCCGGGCTGTAGCAGGGGACGGAGGACGACGATGACGACAAAGAAGAGAACCATATGACGCGTTGTTTATTTTTGAGTGTTTCTTGAAAGTGGGGGGGGGGGGGAATAGATGTCTGTCGTGTCGTTTAAAAACCATGTTATTTCAGTCGAGATGGAGTACTGTGGAGGAGCGGAGGAATTGTCTCGCTCTGTTCTGCGCTGTGCTGCACACCACGCATGAAATGGCCACTAACAGTCTTCGTCACTACCCCTATTTGCCTCTCGGGAGGCTGCACAAGGACACCAATTTGCACTTGCCGAGTGTGTGGTAATGATCCCTCGTGGGAAAAGTAGCACAGGTGAGGATCGTTGAATACTCCAGATGTTTCTAAATATGGAAAAGATCTAACAGAATACAATTCGTTTGACAAACAAGTGTTCGTTTGATTTGACATATTTTTTATCGCTTTATTCACTACCGGCAGCCACCGCACTAAGACCCTTTACTTAGCAAAGTACGCTCTATCCCTGCGATCACGGTTTGCATTTACTGGAGTGTACACTTTCTCCATTTTGTGCACTTATTTCATGAAGTATTCTCTCCGTAATGACTAGTGCCTTGCTCTCGCTTGCCTCGAATGCCAAGGTTTTTGCGACTAGACTACCTCCAGCCCATGGACGCAGGACAATTTCCTTGGAAGCATGACAAGGAACTCAACCCCTGCCCTGAGAGATATGGTAGGAAGAGAGGCGTCAAGCGAAAGGCAGGTGCGAGGAAGCACAGTCAAGTCAATCGAACAAAGAGAGCTTTAGCATTGGTTTTCCTATTTTAGATATTCTCGATTCGCTCACGTCGGTGACGTAATTTATGCTCACAGAAGAGTATGCGAAGGAGGGTAGTGCCACTCGAACAAAAAGACGAGACACTGAAGACATCGTTCGCTCATTTTCGTAAACACAAGGAGGAAAGGTTCTGGACATAACGCGCCGTGGAGGTCCATACTGAGGTAGTTGCTAATCGCGCAGGTCTCGACAACTTTCATTCCTTGTTAAAGGTAGAGGTCGTCCATGCCTCCATGGGATTCAATAAAACAATAGAAACAAGCGTGGCACAGATCATACACGATCACCTAAATCGCTTGCATACACAATACAACATGCACGCATCACTTGTAAAAAAAGCGCACTACTGAAAAACAAACAATGCTAAGATAAAGGGCGAAATGCGATACCTGCGCGATAAATTTAGCAGTCACATTTCCTTCATTCTTGATTTAACCGTTATCCGATTTGCCTTTTAGCCACCAACAAACACAAGGCACTCATCGACAACCTCTTCTTCCACATACACTTCATAAAAATGGCGCTGACAATCAGAATCGGGCCAAGTCGACAGCAGGAGTCGCTCAAACCATACCCCATCAACAGGGACTCGGAACCTGCCTATATCTCCTCTGAACACTTTGAGGGCCTTATCACCGTCCGCATTCAACACCACCATCCACCTACTTCTTCATCACCAACAAACAGAAGTACCTCCACCTGTGCTTACTTTGACAACCACAGCAGAGTCTTTTCTTTGCAATGGCAGGGTATGTTTCTTTTTTACTCTGGTTTCGATTGTCTTCTTACTATTTTTCATTCTATCTTGTATTGTCCATGCTCACTCTATCCTCTATGTATCAACCCATCTTTTTTTCTCTCCATGAATTGATACGCATGTGTATTTCATCCAAAGGCAGATTCAAGGCAACGAACCCTTGGAGCAAGGACGGGCTGTGGGACGCAGACGAGGTCTTGTTTGTGGCCGAGGTCGATGACAAGATCCATGTGCCAATGGGAACCTCAATTGCGACTGCCTTTGCTCGGACCATCGATCCTTCGTTTATCGCCGACGGGATCTGGGATCTCAAACGGCCATGGGTCGGGAGTCCTCTTGTCAGTGGGATGAACGTCTTGCGTGTCTGGAAGGCTCCTCTATCGCCCACATCCGATTCGGCATCACCGACGACGGCTACAGCGATAACGATTTCGAAGGGGACAGGAGGTGGATTTGGAGATTACAGCAGCACGGAGAGTCAGGATCGAGGGGGACACGCAGATGGAGAAGAAAAGGGAAAAGGAGTTGGTCCCTGGATATACCATGGCACACACCGACTGAAAGAAGGACACGTGGATCTCTTGGCCGAGGCAGGAGCGCGACGAGAACAACTACAAGTCAACAATACAGTCACCACCGCCTCGGTGGATCCCATCGCCACACCCTCAACAACAACAGGGCAACGACAGCTGCAACGATTGACATCATACCAACGACGTCGGTATTATACAAAGACTGAGCATCGACAAGCGGCCGTTTTTGCACCAGACTTGGTGATTGCGGGAGATTTTTTCAACAATTTTACAAATTTTGAGACGAGGCGAGTGAGCATGGGGATCTCCATCCGGATGGATAGGGTGTTGCGGGATGACCAGCCCTTGCGGTTTGTTTGTAGGTCTCGTCGTCGTCTTTCACAGAAACAACAACAACAACAAGGAGAAGGGCATGGACAGAGGCAGTGGGGGTGGCCAATTAAGGGCAGGAATAAGAAGAGGAGGAGCAAACACGAGGTTGGGAGGATAGGTGGCGACGTAAAGGAGGAAGAGGAAGAGATGGATATTGCTATTGAGGATTCAAATCATGATGAGGATGTTGATGTTGATGGTGGCGAGGGAGATGGGTGGCAGGAGGAGATGGACGAGGAGGAGGAAGAGATTGTGTTTTTTGTGGTTGAGCTGCGGTGGGATCAACAAGGTGGTGCTCTAAATAGAGGGAGGATAGAAGATGATGAGTAAGGAAAAATAGTTTTTATTATTATATAATTGCATCGCAATGTTGGGAACTAAATAAAGAAGGAAAAAAGATCGACTTGAACTTGCGCTATGCTGGTTTAGCGTCATTGACAGTAGAAGACACCATCCATCGCTTTTCTCTTTTGATGTGTGTGATACGAGGAGAGGAGAATTTCATGCAACGGACTTTTAGGGGTTGTCTTTTTTTGTTTCCTTGGTTTGATGAATGATATTATCGTTTGCAGGTGGAAGACAGAAAGAGGGAGGGAGGAATAAAAAAGAGTAGGGACGGGGTATGAAGAAAAGGTGGGTAAGTTTGGGAGGAGTAGGCAGCGCCTTCTCTCTCTCTGATGCACTTTACCTTTGACTCTCTACTTTATTTGTTTTCCCGCCCACTTGCCCATCTGCCCATAGCCTTTCTTTGTCCAAAAGAACCAAGAGAGATGAAAAAGGTCATCCGTCCCATCTTTCTTCTGCGCACCCAAAACCAAGACCAACAAGAGAGAGCCACGAGGGATGAGAAAAGACAAGGGAGCAAACGAAAGAACAGCCAAGGAAGGAAATGAAAGACAACGTCAAAAGGTCAACAGGTCAAGACAATTGGTTCGATTCGAAGACCACAAGATGAAAAGGAGGGGTTGTTCTTTTCCTTGTTGATGATGGTCATTTCCTTTCTTACCCTTTGTCTGCATGGATTGGTCTGGGCAACAATACGGCGTAAATGATATCAACAAAAAGTGATCGCGGCAGGAAAGGCAACGGTCATTTTAAAAAGTCGATCAGTTATTAAGAAAGCATGGCGAGAGGAGTGGAGAGTGGCAACAGCAACTAGGGTGGGGCCATGTACAGTACTGCATGTACGATGTCGTGGTGGAGCTTACTTTGACTGTGCGGGACTTGAATGCTGAAGGACAGCAGCGGCAAAAGAGACGTCCAAAGTCAAAAGGCAAGGGAGAAGGGGAGGAAGGGAGAAGGGGAGAAGGGGACAGGGAGAAGAGGGAAAGAAGGGAGTGAAGGAGATGTCCTGTCGTCCCACTCTCTCTCTCTCCCTGTCTGGTGCGGTGGCTGTCTTTTCTCCTTTTCTCCACTCTCTTTGGCTCTGTGTCATCATCTCTTCTTTTTTTTTTTTTTTTGTCATCACGTTGTCTCTTTTATCTTCTTTTCTGTTCTCTCGTTTACATTGCTTTTCTGTTCTCTCTTTTTTCCATCATCTCTTGATCGATCTGATCATTCACCTCTTCGTTATACATACTCTCACTCTCTCGCTTTCTTACGTGCATCCACACTCACCCTCACCGTCACTTCGCCCATTCTCCTTTATTTTCTCTCCCTCATTCACGCACACACTCCTACTTCCTTTTTATCACTCTTATCAATCAACCATGGCCAAACAACCTAACCAGCTCATGCGCGAGTACAAGCTCGTCGTCGTCGGCGGAGGAGGTAACCCATCACCCACTCGCACTCCTCTTACACTTCAACACTTTTCAGTCCTCATATACTCCACACCATTATCAACCACTTCCACTGCTCGCCCCTCCCTACAACCACATATGATATTGTCCCATCCAGTCCGATACTACCCCTTTCCTTTGCTCTGCTCGCCATGTCCCTTCCTTCCTATCCCGCACAAGAATACAAACAAACAAAGCAACATACGCATACACCCTCTCGGTGCATACACAACAGCAGGAAGTCATACCGCCTTTTCAACTCGTACACAACTAGTAGTGCTTGTTCCTCAGACTGCTACAACACCAAGACACGAACGAACAACGCACATAACTGCAACGCTGTAAAAAAAAGTTGGCCATTCAAACAACAACAACAACAACAACAACAATAACAACTTCAACAGTAGCAGCAAGACCGTGGATATAGAACAGGAAACAAAGAAAAAAAATAGTGACACACGCACACATTCTTTGGCAAGGAACGGACATCGACTGGATTCTGACTTGCTCGATGAACAGACAGACCTCCTCAACATATCGCATACAGAGTACACATGGCACCAAGTAGTCGCTATGAAAAACAGGGACATGGGAGCAACAGCAGCGAAAGCCAAGGGCCTATTTGTCCCATAGCGTATGTGCGTGCGGTATGGCAGTGGCGGCAGGAATATATTCCATCATCCGATTCTTCCCTACTATCGCCTACCTGCCTGCCTTCCAGCCAACCTGCTTACCTTCTAGCCTGTCCAACTACGGACCCTGGTGTCCCTGACAAGAACCCTCCACGACACTTGCGAAAGCAACCAGCAACAGAATAGATATCTAACCCTTTTCGGTGCTCTTTTCTATCGTGCTTGCTTGTCGCTCATCTCTTGATGAATAGGCGTCGGAAAATCGGCATTGACTATCCAGTTCATTCAATCACATTTCGTGGACGAGTATGATCCTACCATCGAAGGTATGTCGGTCGCAAACTATCGGGATAAGGAAAACGCTACTAAGGATATATAAAGACACATGGATACCAAGCAAGGAGGAAGGGGGACGATCACACACCCGGTTCGACCAACGCAGACCAATCTGTTATTCCCGATACTCCATTGAAAGAAAGCAACAACAATGTGCATGGCTTAGTGTTTATCTCTCTTCGCTCTTTCTTTTCGCATTGGAACCATTGTTTGTGTGTATTCACCCGGTGTCTTCCTTTCGTCTCCCTTGGTCCTTGCTTTTATTTCTTCCCTGATACGGAATAGATTCGTACCGCAAGCAGTGCGTGATCGATGAGGAGGTCGCACTCCTCGATGTCCTCGATACCGCTGGCCAGGAAGAATACAGGTAAATGCCGCGCCGCGACTGACGACAGTGATGACTTAAAACCCTTGTATCCTTCAAGTGGTACCCTTGTTTTTTTTTTCTCTTGTATCTTTGTCATCCACTTGTTCCTGTTCGTGTGTTTATTGTGAGAACTGTGGGAGGTTAAAAAGAGTTAGGTAGGCGGCCGACATTCCTTCCAAACGGATATCTCCAAAAGAGATCACTCGACTAAGGCGACGGCCCAAAAAAAAAAGCTCTCGTTTTCTCCAATGGTCGTTTCTTCCCTGTCCTGTCTATTGGATGTCCTGTCTGTCTATTGGATGTCCTTTTAGTCCCTCGTTTGCGTGGGTGGTTGCTGCCTGTTTGTTTGATGTCGATTTTTGTTTTGAGATGGGCTCATTTGTTGGGAATATGCCAGGGATATCCTTGTCTTGGTCTGTTGTCGGCTTTGGCTTTGCCTCTGCGTTCATCAAACACACTGGCAAAGAAAGAAAAAGTAACCTATCGATGTCATTCAATAGCTATTGTTACTAAACGCAAACTTTTATTGTTTCACTCCTCGTTTAGTGCAATGCGCGAGCAATACATGCGCTCAGGCGAAGGCTTCTTGCTTGTCTACTCGATTACATCGCGCAACTCGTTTGAGGAAATCTCGACCTTTTACCAACAGATCCTCCGTGTCAAGGACAAGGACTTTTTCCCCATTATCCTCGTTGCCAACAAGTGCGATCTCGAGCATGAGCGCCAAGTTTCTACTCATGGTAAGTCTGCTTTTAAGTACACTTGTACTCAATTAATTAGCATACATGCATTGACGGTCAACAGCCGATCATCTTTCAAAACTGACCAATTCATAATAATTTATATTTGCTTATGAACGTACATATAGAGGGTCGCGAGCTTGCCAAGCAGTTCAATTCGCGTTTGATCGAGTCATCGGCCAAGCAGAGGATCAACGTGGACGAGTCATTCTACAACCTTGTGCGTGAAATTCGTCGCTTCAACAAGGAGGCACACAGCCAGCCTCAGAACGGCCAATACGGATACGCTCAACAGGGACAGGGCTATGGCAGCCAGGTGGATGACAAGGAGGATAAGGGATGCTGCTGTCTGATTATGTAAAATCTGCAACACATTCCTCTCCTCTGTTGTTTCCGACTTTTTTTCCCCTCACCCTTCCTTCCCCCCTGTCAACTTGTTACTATTTTCGCGTCTTTTTTCATTCCATAAATGCCCTTGTTTTTCTTCACCTCTACAGCAAAGTCCCTTTCCGTGCAAGCATTTTCTTTTTTCAACCGACCCCAGTCTTGACGAGGCATACCCTTGGACGTTCAAAAAAAAAGAAATACTCACACATAAAAAGAAAACCAGACAACAACCTCTTTCCGATAATAAAACTTCGTAATACCATTAGTTATCATTACTCATATTGTCCCTTCGGCTTCTTTTCTTGGTTTCTGCAATGGGTGGATTGGTACGAGGTCGAGACGTGAATAGAGTCGAATATAACCTTCCTCCCGTGGATATAAATATTTTGTAGGCACACAAAATGGGAATGGACGGACCCAGTGGCCTAGCCCTACCAGCCCAGTTGCCCCCCCCCCCCCCCCCCCCCACCACTTTGTTCTTTTTCAAACAGAATCGATCAACAGAATGCAGAGAGGGAATGGGCCTCGGTCATTATTTTTTGTGTGTCTGTGTGTTGTTTGGTTGTTGCTCTTATCGCTTTTTGCTTCTTGATCGCACACAGACCACCCGACCAGCTCATGCAACCCATCGGGGCTGCTCTCTGCCTTTCCATACATCCATCAGTCACCGCAGGTCTGTTCTGTTTTATGCCGCGTTTTTATTTTTAGTGAATGCAAAGATTTACGGATGCGATACCATGCGATTAAAAGTCAAGAGAGAGAGAGAGAGAGAGAAAACAGAGACAAGGAAGCAGCAAAAGAAACGTGCTGCAGGGTGAATGGGCGCATAAAGACAGAGTGCGGGGGGCGAAAAATAAGGCTGGCTAGAAGATGCAATGTAAAAATATAAGGACGAAAGGAAGGGGGTTAGAAGAGAAAAAGAGATGCAAGGGATTACATTAAGAAACCCCGTTTTCCGTTTGACATCTTATTAGTTTCGTACTTTTTTTTTTTGTTTTTTTTGGTCGTGTGGTGCATATGTGCTATATGACCTAGCCTCTCGTTTTTGATGCTTCACTGTTTTTTCTTAGGTGTGGTGATCTTTTGCATCAGAGAGTTAAGAAGACGCGAGACGCGAGATGTAAATAAGCTCGCTCAAGTACTAGACTCCCCCATGGCTGGCTGGAGCTTACCATGGTGTTTGAGCTGGGTGATCAAATGCACCTCAGCCTAAAATGGTGGCGTACCGGATTCACGGCGACGTCTTCATATGCTCTCGGGACCAAAAAAAAAAGCAGGCGTCGGCATTCCCATCAATCTGGGCCATCTTCCATAGGATTGAGAAGGGTTGTTGTAATGCATGGAGTCAAAATATCATTGTCTGTCTTGTCCCTGACCATCGTTGTCCTTTGCGATTCTCTTGTGCTTTGCGCGTACCTTCTGATCGACACCTCATGTCGTAGTACTAGCATGCGACCCTGGGCTAACTAACCCCAATGACTGCTAACCAGAATCAACGAAAAAGCCGGATTCTCTTCTTGTTCATTTGTTTGATTTGTTTGTAAGCTAGTTGCAGCGGAACTGGCTATGACGAGAGGACTGGGAAGCGTGTCCAGAACGGACTCAAAAGAATGAGGGAAGTGAAAAAAGGGAGATTCCTCATTCGAAATTCCTCTCGTCCGTTTTTTGTTCATGCTCATTCCAATTGTCCCTGACATTCTGACTCTTACCTGGCAAAAAATAATAATATAATCGGTTGTGCGTGTGTACAAGTATAGTCATGGATACTCTTTCTTCCCGTCACCTGTGGGCTTGTTGCCTGGTTGCGCTGTGAACAGGTGCTAGGGTTGGCCAGTATATAGGTTTACTGCACCTTAACTGAAAAATGTTGGCTGGGTCTGGTGAGTGAGTGCATTGACCACTTATTATTTCTAGTCCATGTGCCCTTCCAACGGATTTGGTTACGAGAGTCCGTCCACTACAAAATGAAGGAATGAGTATGTGAATGAAGAAGAGATGTCCTCATCGAGGCTGATTTGTTCCAGTTGAAGCCAAAAGAATTAGAAGAGAAGAGAAGAGAAGGTCCTTCCTTCGACTGAGACTGATTCAGTTGCGAAAAGTGAGATGGCGTCCGGAATCAGACCTTTTTTTTCTTTACATACGAGTATGAGTATGGTACGTGCTGTGTGTGAATGTCCATGGGGTTCTCCTTAGTTTTCCCCTTTTACTACTTTTACTACGGTCGCAGTTGGCAACCTTCTAATCGGTTAATTGTCGTTTCTCCTTCTTTCTTCTCTTTCTCTTCCCTTCTCTCTTCTCTCCTCTTCTCCTATTTCGCACCTCTCTTCCTCCATCCTTGTTCCTCTATTCGTATTTCTTACTTTCTTACTCTCTCTATCTTTCTTTCCTTCACTGATTTTCTTAACGCCTATCCTCTCTTCCACCTCCTTTTCCTCCTCCTTTTCCTCCTCCTCTTCCTCTTCCTCTTCCTCTTCCTCTTCCTCCACTTTCACGTCCCGTCTTCTCCTATATATCAACTACGGGACCACGACCTTCCCATTACTTGTATGCACAGCTTTCCCTTTCAGTTAATTATTGCTGGTGGCCGTTAATTAAGACGAACCATGTTGAGCCCAATCACACTCATACACTCTGACCATTTCACTCGCCCTCTTCACCTTCTTCGTCCCACCACCCAGTCTCTCTCCCAACACGGACCCTCTATTCCCTTATCCGTCCACACGCGACGCACGACTCTAACCACACCTACCTTTCTTACCTTCACTCCTCCACCAATTGTAACGACTCTGGATAACCCTAATAGAATAACATCTCAACCTCACTTGCATTACCAAAGGCAGTAGCACCAAGCACAAACAACACATATAAAAAAGATGTCGTCAGCGCCGGATCTCAAGTTTGCGTTCGGCAACTTCAACTACATATGCTCAACAGTCTCATTGACGCTGTGCCCGCTGGTCGGGGACTCAGACGGCATCGAGCCCATCTGCTACTCCCGTAACGTGAGGCTAGTCGATACCCTCATCTTCCAGCCCTGTAAGTCTCTCTTCAGTCGTCTATGGTCTGAAACATAATTGTTGTAAAACAAACAAGTTGCCATTCTCATTGACCCTAGATACTCATACAACCAATCTCTTTCTCTTTTTCTGTTGTGGTTGTAGCAACGTTGATTGTGCACTTTGTTGCCTTGGTCATGACGGCCATCATGATCTATCATATCCGGTCCAAGTACACCGCCGTCGGTAAGTAGCCTCGATACGCTCCAACCAGCATTCAAGGATGGATCTCTTTCTCTCTTTCATCGTCAGTCAGTTTTCGAATTGGGTATTATTATCATGGAAAAATCACTTTCCCTCATTACTCTCTCAACTAACAGTAACGCGATTATCTCCAATTGATACTTTAGGCCGGAAAGAGATTATCATGTTCTTCTATTTGTACATGCTGGTAACCATCATGGACCTCCTCCTCATCTCTGGCATCATCCCTACCTCTAGCGAACTTTACCCTGTAAGTCTACTTCTTCCTCGTCGAACCGTACCTGTGTTCAGCGGTTTGCTCCTACTGTCGTGAGCAGGATTTTTTTGTCTTCGAGATATGAAAGGGGGGAAAGGGCATACTTTAGCGATATTGTATTCAGGAGACACACACCACCTCAAATGAAGCATAGGAAGGAGGAAGGAGAAAAGGGGGTTGGCAACAGGACAGGCAAGCGACAAATATATTTAAACAGGATTATGTGCTTGGACGATATGCCCTCTCAATTGTATTTTTGGGCGGAGCAATTTTTCTCATTTCCAATGGGTTCAATTCAATCTGTGACCAGTTGGCTCACCTTCTGTGCCTTGTCGCTTTTCCTCACACCATTGATTTGTTTTTTTTTCTAGTACCTTACGGGAGTTCATCTTGGACTGATATCGGCGACATTCTGGTGTCTTCTTCTTAACGGATTCGTCGGCTTCCAGTTTGCCGAGGATGGCACTCCATTGTCTCTCTGGGTAAGTTTTCACTTATATGTCCTCTTTTGCACGCGAAAAAAAAACTCGATAGACAAAAAAGCTAACATCTGGATTCTGTAACCTATTAATCCACCGTTGGACAATAACAAAATAGTCGATCCGGATTTCGTCATTTGTGGTGTTCCTGGCAGTAGCCTTCCTCTCCATCGCAACCTTCCAAAAGATTGGCCCCTTCGACCCCTTCCACCCAGTAGCCCTCTGGGTCGTCTTCTTCATCTTCAATGGCGCCGCCCTCTCGATCTACGTCATCCTCCAAATCGTCCTCGTCGTCAACACCCTCGACGACCGTTGGCCCCTCGGCGACATTGTTTTCGGAATTGGCTTCTTTGCAGTCGGTCAGGTCATCCTCTACGTGTTCTCGTTGGATATCTGTAATTTCGCGAAACACTATATTGATGGACTGTTCTTTGGAACGATTTCGACTCTGCTGAGTGTGATGATGGTTTACAAGTATTGGGATTCGATTACCAAGGAGGATTTGGAGTTTTCTGTAGGGTCCAAGCAGAATGTTTGGGAGGTGAAGGAGTTGCTTGGGGAGGATGAGATGGCGAATGGGGGGTTATATGGCCATCATCAGGGGCATCAGCAGGGGTATGGAGGATATGGTGGTGGTGCATCGCCTGCTTCTGGTGCTTATGGACAGGCACATTTTTATGACGAGCGGTACTAGTTGGTTTGGACAGGATTGGAACTAGGGGAGAGGAAGAGCTGTTAGAGGTCAAGGGGAGTGGGGGAGATGATGTTGGGACAAGGTCAACGCAAAAACAAACTAATATATCAAAATAAATAATTCTCCTATCTCATAACACCTTTTGATAATGAATGCAGTAAGATGTATTTTTGAGAAAATGGCGCCTAAGTGGGGGGGGGGGGGGGGGGTTGTAAAAGTAAAAAGAATAAAAGCGATTCTATGCTTTTACTCCTCGTGGATGCCAAAGGGCTTGACGAGGGCCTCGACCTTCTCGGTATCATAGACCTGTCCCAAGATCTTGCGGGCATCCTCGACCTTGCCAAAGTTGTTCCACATCAGGAGTCCAACAATCTTCTTGTCCTTCAAGTAGAGCACAAGACCCTTGTTGTACTTCTCCTTGTCTTCTACCTTGACGGCCTCGGCGGGCAAAGGGGTCGCAGTAGCTCTCTCGCGCTTGCCCTCGTCCTTCTTATCAGCAGCAGCAGACTCCTCCTTGGTACCCTCCTCGGTGGCGGCGGCAGCATCGGCAGCGGCGACGGTAGGCTTCTTGGTCCAGATAGAAACAGTCGAGAGCTTCGAGTCCAAGATACCAACGGCCTCATATCCAATATGAGGACCCAAGTCGGACCAGAACATCGACTGGTGCTTATAAGGCTTGTGCAACGTATCAGACGCCATGTTCTGACCAGCAACACGGCCTCCAAGGATAGCATTATCATAATGCTCCACACGACGACGGCCCAAAGTGACATCGTGGAAGGAAGTCATGTCACCAGCGCAGTAGACGTTACGACGGGCCTGAAGCTCTGCATTGACAACAACACCTCCACGGTGCTCATCCAACTCCAATCCAGCTTTCTTGGCAAGCTCGACGTTGGCCTCGATACCGACGGCGACAACGACGTGGTCGGCAAGGACCTTCTCGCCGCTCTCGAGGGTCAACTCGACCTGCTCGCCGACGGCCTTGGACGATGCGATGCGGGAGTTGGGCTTGACGCTGACACCCTCCTGCTCAACCTGGGAGGTGGTCCACTTGGAAAGGTAGCTGGGGAAGACGAGACCCATGTTGCCGTCCTCGGGGAAGATCTGCGTAACCTTCACATTCTTCTCCTTTCCTATTGTCAGGTTAACCGCGTTAGTTCATGAGTCTTTTCCCAAGAAAAATAAGAACAATAATAAAGTCGCATAACGAAGAAAATACGTACCGAAGTGGGAGACAGCAACGGCCAACTCACTACCCAAGAAACCGCCTCCGACAATGACAATCTTCTTGTCAGCAGACTTGACGAGCGAGTGCAACTTCTTGAAATCCTCAACAGAGCGGAAGGTCGTGACTTTGCCCTCGCCTGCACCCTTGAGAACAGGAAGGGTCTTGGGGATACCACCGGTCGCCAAGAGGACCTTGCCGTATTTGAGGACCTTGCCGTTGTTGAGGGTGAGCGACTGCTCGGTAATGTTGAGGTCCTCGACGGTGGCGCCAGTCAACAACTTGACGCCGCTCTCGGCAGACTCGATCTTGTTCAATGCCTCCTGATCAATCGACTGGATGGTCTCCTTTCCGTGGAGGACAATGCTATTGCAATTGTGAAAAAATACGTAGCGAGGGTGTGAGGATTCGGGTTGTCTTTGATATGTAACAAAAAGATCCAACTGGCATCGTCAAAATCCTGAGCCTGGTATGAACCATCTGCTTACTTGCGCTCCTTGCCCTGCCAGTCCTTGAAGGACAAGTTCTTGGTGGTCTCATCCTCCTTGTTGAACCACATTTCCTTGGAAAGAGGAGGGCGCATGTAAGGTCCAATATCCTCGTTACCAATGATCAAAATCTAAAACAGTGTATACCGATGTTTGTGGTCAGCTAAAGGTGTAATCAATCCAGGCCCCATTTCAAAGCGATGAAACAAGTCCTGAATGTAAGAGTCGAGGTTGTTGTTTTCCTTACGGCAGCAGAGGGGTCCTTCTCACGGATAGCCTCCATAGCAGCGAAGGAAGCAGTACCAGCACCTATTGAGTTAGACAGCGAGTATGTGTTGGGCAAGTAAGTAAGTTGATCCGATACACCCGAATGGACCAGATCGCGTCATAACGCAAGAAATACGAGAGCATTTTTTTTCTCTCACCGATCAGGATGTAGGGGTAGTAGTCCTTCTCGTGCTTGGCGGCAACGGGGGCAGCAGCAGCAGCGGCAGTCTCCTTCTCCTCCTCTTCCTCAACAACTTCCTCGACAGCTTCCTCCTTGTGGTGGTGAGCGCTCTCGCCAGCATTCTTCTTTGGTGGGGGAGCAGTCAGCTTGTAGATCTATTGTTAATGCATTGTTTCAGGTATCCAAAAAAAACATTGAAAGAAACAAAGTGAGAACGACGTTGAAGAGGGTATCTTCTTCACGGTAACGAAACGACAAACAAATGGAGCCCTTTGTTGATAAACGCGTGTATTCATACCAGGGGTCCAAAGACGAGCAAAGAACCGATCTAAAAACAACAGCAACAAAATAAAATACAGACGTGTTTAATAAAGCATAGCGTAGAAGCGTATTCTTCCGATAGTTGGTCAATTAAACGTTGGATGACGATCGTTACCACCCAGATGGCGTCAGAATCGGTGTGGTGGGCGGCAGGGGTGGTGTGAGGGGCATGGGAAGCATAGGAACGGGCAGTCTGGCGGAGCGAGAACAGGGCCTGGCGAGGGGCGACAGAGGACGAAGAGGCGAGCAAGTTGCGCTGAGGGGCGAAACGGGCGGTTGACCGAAGGGCGGCCCTGAATGCTTGAGAGGACATTCTGAATGTATGTGATTAGAGGGGTGAGAGGGTGGAGTGTGAATGAAAAAGAGAATGAAAGGAAGAAAAAAGAAAGAAAGGGTGAATAATCAATCGGATCAGAGAAACACCCGGTCGAGGGAACGACAGACAGACAGACAGGGTTTGGACTTCTCGCTCTTGAGGTAATGCAATCGCCAATTAGAGATCTCACACCAGCGAACCCTTTTTATTTGCAATACTCAAAATAGGGATTCCTCCCTTCATCAAAGTTGAAAAGCCACTCACTCATTCATACAGAACCAATGCAGAACACACCAACATTTCTTTTCATTCGACTGACATCAACCACACCTGCACGGGATCGCCTCATCAACAACCACCCAGAACCAGGACACAGCAACGATACAAAGAAAGGATACTTTCTGTCAGGAAAACTCACTTCACACAGCCAAGAACAAGAGCAAGTCGAATATGTCGCTGTACGGGGACCTCCCGCCACCAAGCAAGGAAGGGGACACGCCCGTCAAGAAACCCACCGCCGAGGGTGCAGCTGGCTCCAGTTCTTCCAGTTCCGCCAAATCAACCCTCCCTGGTACTTGAACTTTATCACGACTCACTTTCCTCCTCAACAACCAAAACGACCACACTCTCTCCTCTCGGTTTCTTTGTCACGATTGAAGCCGGCAAACGAAAAAAAAACAAACCTTGAATTCGCACAAACATTTCGTCTTACCCTTCAGAGCACGCTAATAACAAGAATCCACACCTAAACACCTCCCCCCCGCATACTCTCAGCTGGTTGGTCCTCTGTGACTCGTTTCAAGCCGATCAACAGGAAGCCTGTGCCGCCAAAACAGAAGCCTGCCATGAGGAGCATCCCTGCTGGATTCGTATCGCAGTCGATCACTTCGACAACGGCAACAACAGCTTCTACAACGGCCGCAATCACAACAAAAGAGTCTCAGAGCGGAGTCACGACGGTTTACAGAGCACCAACTACAGTTGTGTCATCTGCGGTCACCAACACTGCTCAAGCGCCGCAGGTCCAGGCAAAGACCGTCGATGAGAACAGCTGGTTACGAGCACGGATTGCCCAGGTTCAACGTCAGGACAATGATGTAGGAAACTCTTTTCTTTCTCGCGTGATGCGCCACACTGATCGTTTTAGCGTGGTGATGTTTACAAGAATTTTTAAACCCTTCCTTGATTTATCACATTACGTAGACTCAGGGCTGGAGACAACCAAAGCGACCGCCTGTCAAAGCACAGCAAGGAGGACCCATGTCACTCAATGACGAGTACGAGGTCGCCAGACCCAACGAATATGAAGAGTTCAAGGACTTATTCGAGAATGATCGGAGGCAATCCGAGGAGGAGAAGCGTAATTTCGGACGGCATGGAGGAGCAGGGTCAGGATATCAACGTCACTCTCGCTCTCGTTCGCGTTCGAGATCCTCGTCTCGTCACCGGCTAAGATCCAAGGATCGTCGGTCCCGCTCGCGGTCTTATTCTCGATCGCGATCAAGGAGCCGTTCACGATCAAGGTCGCGATCGCCCATGAGGCGAAGGAGGAGCACATCCAATGAGAGGTCTCATCGGGATCGCTCTCGTTCACAGTCTCGTTCTCGCAGTCCCTCCCGCAGTCGCAGTCTCCTACCGTCATTCGGTCGCAGACAGGATCCGCTTGATCGACCAATCGGCTTTATCCCCCCAGGACAAATCTCTGACTCTATCGCAGCTGGACCGTTGTCCGACCTCTCTATGGCAGGACCAGCATCAGAGCACGACCAACCAGGGCAACACAGAAACAGGAGTAGGAGTAAGAGTCGAAGCTGGGACAGGAGAAGGAGTCGTAGCAGAAGCCCGCATAGCCGACGGACGGGTCGGTCATGCTCCAGGTCAAGATCGCGTTCACCACCTTACGGGTCCAGACGGTCCCCCAGTCCATCTCACAAACGGAGCCGACAACTTTCGCCACCTTCTCAACAGCAACAACAGCCTGCTAGGGCATACAAGGCATTTGCCCCGCCGCCGAGTCAGACCAACATTCTTTCTCAAGCTCGGCCTGTGGAAAGAGAGCCAGTCGTCTCTTCAGCCCCGCCCCCAACATCGGGTTCGCCCGTGCAGAGCAAGCCTGCGTTTGTCATGAATGACACTTCAGGAGAGGAAGCTTTCAACCGCCGAGCAATGTTGAGTCAGCAGCGCTCTCAGCCAGCCCCTCAGCAACATCAAGCACTTCCGCAGTTCCAGCAGCATCAACAACGTCAGCAACAACCGCAACAGCAGCAGCATAAACCTGCATTTGTACCAGCAGCTCAAGCCAGCCCCTTCAAAGGTTCGAGCCTTCGCATTGACTTTTCCTTTTGCTATTTTCCCTCTTGATATTAACCGTCATATTTTCTCGTGGACAATGGTGTATAGGAGTACCATCGACAGTGATCCTGCTGACAAACATGGTCGGCCCAGGCGAAGTCGACGACGCGCTGCAAGAAGAAACAGCAGCCGAGTGCGAGAAATTCGGAGCTGTCGTTCGGTGTCTCATCTTTGAGATCAAGAACAGAAACGTCTCTCCTGAAGAGGCGGTACGGATATTTGTCAAGTTTGGAGCCAAGGAGTCTGCAGAACGCGCGTTGAGGGACTTGCATGGTCGATTCTTTGGCGGGCGGCAGGTTCGTGGCCAGTTCTTTGATGAGGCCCGGTTTGATGCTCTTCAACTCGCTCCGTAATGGCATGATAGGTTTGGAAGTAAAATACTCCATTGCCCATTCATAATGAACTGAAGATAAAGCCATAAATGTGATTGAAACAATTGAATGTGATTTCGTACCTTTGACATGAGAGGAGGGAATTACTAAAGTATATAGACATCGGTTGTTGTTCATCTTCACTGCCTCGTCGTCATATTGTTCAAACGTTCCTATTCCCAGTCGTCTCCTGTTACCCAGCCTCTCTAAGACAGCCCCTCTCACTGTGCCGCGTATTCGCCACAAAGAACAACCACCGCCCTTGGGTTCCTGATGACTGTTGTAATGAAATGAAATGCAAGTATTTATGTTTTGACTCTTATTCCGACGATGGCGATGACGAAGATGCTGCCTTCTGTCGACGATGGACCTCCTGGACAATAGCATCAACCTGACCCTCAATCGTTAAATGCGAAGTATCAAGTTCCACCGCATCATCGGCCTTCCTGAGCGGCGACGCCTCACGCGTTCGATCCAATTCATCCCGTCTTTCCAAATCCTTCTGGACCGTTTCTACATCCGACCCCTCCTCTTTACTCCCACTCTTGGCCAACTCCTGTAATCTCCTCTCTGCACGAACTCTGCTATCCGCCACCAAAAAGATCTTCAAATCTGCGTTCGGCAGGACAACAGTACCGATATCGCGACCGTCCATCACCAATCCTGCTCTTCCAGAGTTGCCTTCATGGGAGGTGGAGGTGGCGCCCATGTCACGGACCTTTTGGAGGACGGCTTCACGGACGGGTCCGATGGCCGCGACGGCCGAGACGTGTTTTGAGACGGTTCCGGTACGGATTTCGGAGGAAACGTCCTTTTTGTCGAGGAAGACTCTTGTCGTTGGTAGTGAGGAGGGGGAGGAAGAAAAGACGGTATTCAAGCCAATGTGGGAGGATTGTGCAAGGTTGGAGATTTGTGAGGCCTGGGTTTGGTTGGAGGGGTCGATTCCTTTTGAGAGTGCTGCCAGTGTGACCTGTTTGTTTTAAATTCGTTGTGAATGTGAGTGAGGATCAGAAAAAGAAGGGTTGATTGTCATAGTCCAATTGATACGAAAAATGGTGGAGGAAAGCTCTTACACAACGGTAGAATGCTCCCGTGTCGATGTAGTCGAACCCCAAGCGCTGCGCGACCATCTTTGCAGTCGTACCTAGTAGCCAACAAAAAAGTAAAGACACAATGTCAACACTCATGCATATACATGGGCTGTCATAATAGGAACCTATTTTTTTTTTGGTGTTGGAGGGAACAGAAAAAAGAAAGGAATGTACTTTTGCCGGATGCGGCTGGTCCGTCGATGGCGACCTGGAATGGCCGGGTGCCCTTTTGGGTCACCTTGGGCGATGAGGAGAAGGCTCGTGTGATGAGGCGTGTTGCAATGTTCCTGCCGGCCATGATTCTGATTTACTTTTGGCTGGAGTTTGTGAAGGTGGATGCCGTAAAAGATCAAAAGAACGCGGAAGCAGTTAACAAAAGCGTGACTCGTTGTGAAGATTGTGCCACCAATTATCATTTTTTAATTTTTCAGTGGACAGTATGCAAACAAGCAAGAAAGCAAGGAGGGGGAGATAGTCGGAGTATGTACAAGGAAAGAAGCAACGGTGAAAGCAACGAAGGAAAACGGAAAGTGAAATGATAGGAGCTGACCTATCCCTGCAGTCGACGGTGATGTCGGTCAATTTTGGAGGCATCTACAGTCATCGCTTGTAGACATTCTCTGTGAGGACGACCTCGGAGAGACTCGGCAGTTTCTGAACATGACAGAGAAGCACGGCTTCAAAAGGTGCGTGTCGCCCTTTCATCAATGCCATGGCCTCTCCTCGCTTCTGTATATAACAGGTGTCGCAGTACGGCTCTCCCATATTACGTCTCCAACCGAGAGGGACCGTGTTTGGAGTCTGAGGGCCAACGTCTTTACAGGCAAGAGCGTCTAAAACGTAGATGCAGTCAGGATGCAAACCGTGCAGCCGAAGGGCCTTGAGATGGGGGAGATTCCACTTGTCCTTCAACAACTTGGTGGTGACAAAATGGTCATGGATGTGGTGGTGGTAGACAAACTCTTGGAGCTCTGAACATCCTCGCAGGATCTCCCCAATCCTAGAAAGATGACGGTCATCCCAGTCTATGAAATCTTCAGCAAAATCCAGCTCCAAACGGGTAAGTGATGCTCCTCGTTCGGCGATGGTCCCTGCAACGTCCAAAAGATAATGCTTAAGATGCAAGACCAACTCTCGAATAGACTGTGGCATCTTCTTGACCATCTCTTGGGTCCAGGTCATATGTTTGCTGTGGACCGCAAGTACCTCCAGCTCTTGACAGTGATCCCGGATCAGTTCGGCATAGTTCTGATTTCTTTCCACCTTTAGAAGAGAAGTCTCCAGTTGCTTCAGGCCTGGAGATGCGCAAATGGAGATCTCTCGCAAGGCAAAGCTGAAAACTCTGTCGTTGATGACCAAGTGAGTGATGGGGAGGGTGCCGATATCCGCCGCGTCTTCCATCACAATGTCTTCTCCTCGAGGGGGTTCCTCGGTCGGTCTAATACCCGAGAATATTTCGCTTAAGACACACCGCTCCAAAACAACCAGCTTCGGAGATGAGGCTTTCCTGTGACCAGCCTCTTCCAGTCCGTGGGTGTAAACTTGTACTGGGCCAGCTCCAAGCACTTCAGATTGTGCGAGCTCTCAACAAATACCATCATGGCCACACCCATTCGTAAGCCATATCCAGTGAGTTTGAGCTCGGACAAGCTCTCCGCGTTGAGCTCAGACAGACTCTGGTGAAGAAAGATTTCCTCAGAGACCTCCAGGCAGCTGATATGTTGATAGCGGCTGAGTGCTTGCTGGAGAGGCGTGCGATCATAATAGGGCCACATGAGGTACTCATCCATCAGCGACAAGCGGCGGACGAGATGCATATTGCGGCCAAGGACCTTGGGAGAAACGTTGTCTACCATCAAGGCGTGATCGTAGGTGTGCCACAAGACGCCTGTCAACACACTGTGCCAGGCTCTGCAGACCGTGGCGGCATCGCGAAGGGTCTTGGGGCTCCAGATGATACCCTCGCGGCCCCAGCCTATCTCGAAGCGGTGGACAAAGAGGGGAAGGTACTGCCCCACCAGGGCGATGATCTCTGGCATCATGAGGGCGTTCGTCCTGTTGACGGGTCTATTTGAGTTTATGGGTGTTAACTATAAATTACGCGAAAAAAAAGACCATTGTGTATAGCCAAAACGAATAGCTAAAAAGAAGTTGTCCTTACTTGGTGGGCAGTGTTGATACCGCGTTGGTTGTGGTTGTTCAGGCATTTTTTTGATTCGGTTGTTAATGAAGTCAGCCTCGACGACAGACAACGAGGATTGAATTGCGGAGAAATGTGTGAATGGGTGAATGAATGAGGAAAACTGAGTGAGTGGTAATGGCTGTCTATTGTATTAGCTGAGTGAAGAGAAAGAAGAAGTAGAGAAGAGACAGGAGAAAGAAAAGAACGAAGGGAAAGAAGAGCATAGGGTTGAAAGAAGGCTTTTTGTCTGGACTTGTTGCCACCAAATGACTAGGGGAGACAACAAAGACAAAGGAACTATCATCTTTGCTACACGACGCTGTTGGCAGCAAGCAGTAAGCACGGGTGGCAGCCATTGATGCTAGCATTTGCACGTACAAATGCCAAGGAACAAAAGGAAATCCGTACAATCAAGCCTTCTAATAATTTCTTGCGGCAACTTGGGCCACACACGCTCAAAAAAAAAACGCCTTTTTGTAACCTTCTTCTTCCCTTTCGCATCCCTTCCCCTTATCGTCACCCACCACTTTCCTTCTTCAGTAGCCAGTAGCCAGTAGCCAACATCACATCAATCACCAGCCAGACAACTAGCCAGCAACAACAAACAAAACAATCACCAATCGCAATGGAGGCTCCCACAGGGTAAGTACAACCACCGCACTCAGTATGCTACAAAGGCCTATTTTGCATTCCGTTGTTCCGACGCGCCACCAGAGTTTTTTCCAGAAAGAAAAGGAACCCCATTACCACCAGCCCTTGACCAACCCTCGCTGTTCATTCTGGCCTTGACGCGTTAGTGTTCCTGTCGACAAGTTCTCCACCCATCCATTAATGATTCCCGAGATCTTAGCTCTTATTGGTTCATACCTCCCGCTCTTTTGGCGTCGTTATGATTCATACCAGTACCGCTTTGTGGACCTCTGGGATCCAACGCACATTCTCAGTGCAGCCGCAGTCTGCACCACCTGGTACAATGCCTTCACCCCCGTCTTGTGGCGGACATATGACCATGCCGTCATGGAGAAGAAAGTCCCTTTGGAAGTCCTGGCTCGGAATATCATGTTTGTCCGTCATCTCTCCCTGGTCGACAAGACGCACAAAAAACACGCGGACCTGTGGGACGTCCTGAAGAAACACGAACATATCGACCGTCTCGAGATCCACGACGCCGTCTTCCCCGTTAAGCGACTCATTGGGGCCAAGACTCACACCTTGGTGGAGCTCACGCTCTCTGGCAATTGCACAAGGATGCATCCCTTCCTCCTCATCTTTCTCGAGCGCCAAGTTTACCTCAAGTCGTTGGAGCTCACTCGCTTCAAGTTCACTGCGTCAGACTGGAAGAGAATCATCACCAACAAGCCTCATCTTCGCAAGCTTACTATCTCGCAGCAGTGCGAGTTTTTCGACTACAAGAGTGAGCAGGACGAGGACAAAGACGAGGATGAGAACAAGGACGACATCAACGAGGTCGAGGCCGAGGACATAATGTTGGAGGATTTTACGGAGACGAAAGTACATGCGGCCCTGGAGGCAGCTGGCAACAGCACTACGACCAACAACAGTGAATCTAAGAAACGCAAGACTGAAGACGATGAAGCAGGTAACAGAGGTTGCAACAAGAGACGCAGACGGACAGAACTCGTGAACGTCAAGCTGCCCGACGCCAAGAATATCGGTATCCTCCCCATCTCGCACCTTGTCTTGCGTGACAACCGCTTGCTGTTCCCCTTCCAGAAGGTAATACTCGAGGCCTGCCCGCACCTGGACCAGTTGGAGATCTGCTACTCACAAAAGGCGGATGGTGGAAAGGTTGCCACGTTGGTTCGAGAGAATTGCCACAAGCTCCGTCGGCTTTCACTGCGAAGCACCCGGCAGCCCTGGACCCTCGCGATGATCGAGGGAGCTCCCCAGTCGGTCGAGGAGCTGATTCTGCATACCGGTCAGCTAGACCTTCAGATGGCGGCCGCGATCAAGGACAGGAAGGAAAGCCTGAAGAGGCTAGATCTGGACTTCGGACAAGGAACCAAAGGCAAGCGGCGATTGGCGTGCATCCATTCGATTCTCCGGGAATGCACTGAGCTGCGGGAGTTTACTTACCACAACCATGCGGACGACAAGGTCTTCAAGGCGATGATGCTCAAAAAGTCATGGAATCTCCCCAACCTCAAGAAACTGACCCTCCATGGAGTATCACCTCGAGCTAAGCATGGTGGCGTTCCACAGGTCCCCTCTCCCGAGGGATGGAGACAGCTGTATAGAGGTCGAAAGGCCCATTGTTGCAGTTGTCGGTCGTACGAGGAGATTCGCCAGCAGGGACATGAGGTGAAATCTCCGCTGTTCGATGTCGCTCTGCTGGAACACGTCAGAGACCTGCCCAACCTCTCGGAAGTTGTTATTACGGAGGCCTTGTACCGAAGGTTGCTGGACTAGAAGCACCTCAGAACCCGCATTGTCTTTACATACGCCGACCCACTGCCACGCGACCTTTTATTCGCACTCGTCATATATCCTTCATTTTTTATTTCAGAATTCCACTTTACACAACCTTCATTGCTCGTTCACCACTAATCACCACCATTGATCATTGTACATATCACTTCTTTCTCTACTCGCGTACTTGCAAACTTAACTTCTACCTCCATAGCCCCACCCCCAAATTGTATATTAACCTATTCTCTTGCGCAATAAAAAATAAGAAAAACAAAAAAAATGAAAGTAAGGGGGAGGAAGGGTTTATTATACCTGTCCATCGTGGTGAGTGGCGTTGCCGTCATGCCATTGACCATTGATAAAACGCGTTTGTCTTGGATGTTCGCGCGAAAGGGGTCAAAGCTGCCTCCCCTTGTTTCAATCTTAACGCGTCGCGCCCTGTCAATTAGTCGCGTAACATCGCATGCAGCCAAGTGTTTCTCATCCCTCATTAAACAACAGCAAAATCAACGCACACCACACAGACACATATTCCCAAGTACCAAAATCTATTGGAACATGAAATACAATATGTACACAACAGACAGAAGAAAAGAAGAAACGACATTATCTGTTTCATTTGCCAATTCTCCACGGAAGAACCACCCGATCCGTGCTCCGCTTGCTGGTCATACTCGAACGAATCTATGACCATTTATGTCATGCGCGCTTCACGATCGAAGCAGTCCAGATAATCATTGTTGCGTTCGTCGCTACCACCATCTTTCGTTGTTCCCTCGTCTTCGCCTTCCTCTCGTGTCTCTCTCTCCGAATAAAGTCGACTTCCAACCTCGCTACCATATCTTCTTGACGGGCCTTGTTCATCTTGATATCATTTGAAGAGAGTATTGATGGGGAAGATGAAGAACAAAAAGAAAAAAGTGGGAGGATGGATAGGCCTTCTTTTTATATTGTTCGAACATCTACCGTTTTCTTGATGAATGCTGCGCGAAAGCCCCCAACATTGTAAGCCTTCTGTCATTGAAGAGTAACGATACAGAACGCAAAGCAACACATAAACATGAGTGATGATATAAGTTGTATATGTATTATGGTCCTCAGCGAAGGCGACAGATTTGTTCCTCCTCTCTAAAAAGCCCTTCAACAAACGCAACAGCCTCCTTCCCGTAAACCTTCTCCAAATCCGCACCAACAGGCAACGCCATATGTCTCTCCATCTCCCTCTGCGTTAACACCACCACATTGGTCAGACTCAAAGGCTCCTCGCGCTTCCACCGACAGACTGCAATCCGATCCATACACTGTGAAAGCCCGCTCTTACCGCCTCTGAAAATCTCCTCGATAACATATCCAACATCCCGGCGGTCCAATGGGATATCTGTCGCCGTCTTTCCTTGTTTTGCAGCGAGTTCTTCTTCCTGGATCTTCAAATCACGGTGCAGTCTCTGGTACAGCTCGGTACGGTTTTTGTTAGGGAGAGGGTCCATTGGCCAGCCGGCGATCTTGCAGGTGATGAATGTTGCCATGGACATTCCAAACATCGCGGGCAGGGGTCCAAACACTGGCAGAGCTGATCCTGAAGGGAAGTTGGGGAGTGGGGAGTATCCGTTCTTCTCGTCGTCGCTGTGATGCTGTGATGTGCTGATGTTGCTGTTTGGTTGTGGTACGGCCTGGTAGGGCTTCTCGGACGAAAAGACAACATCGATTCCTGTATCAACTCCCAATTTCTTCAGTCTGCGACGCACCGCTCTCGCCAATGGGTCCTCTGTAAGGAAGGTAAAGGAAATGATTCATCATGAATTAGCACTCTGTTGGTTCAATCAGACACACAGAGGCGGACCAACCGACAAGGCAAAGTGATGGCTTACCAAATGTCTCTGAGATGTCGCAGATTTGCACTCTGGAGGGGTCAGCCTTGGCTCCAGCACCCATGGAACTCATGACGGGAATCTTGTTGTCGAAGCAGTACTTGAGCAAATCCAGCTTGCTCGAAAGGTCTCCAATGCAGTCCACCACATAGTCAGGGTTGCCTAATACATCGCCAATTAGCGGGAAGAGGTTGAGGTGAATGCCTTGTCCCAGTCCGCATAGTCCATGAGTACCTTACATTCCAATACTGACAGACATCCTCATCCCATACCTGAAAGAAGGAACGCGGCAGAGTCCCCCTGAAGACGCTCAACTTTGGCGTCGACATGGACCCAGGGTGCGATAGTTCTGAATGCTTGCTTCATCGCAATTGCCTTGGGTGTGCCGACATCGTTCCTGGTAGCTGTCGCGTGCTGGTTCAATCCTGGCAACGAAACCTGGTCATAGTCAATAATCCGGATCTTGCCGACTCCACTCTTGATCAGCATGCTCGCTGCCCAACTTCCTATGCCGCCTATTCTCAGTCAATACATTCAATGGTTAGGTCATTTGAACAGTAGATCGCCTGAATTAATGAGTATGTGAGATATAAGCACAATGATGAATGGTTACCTGCTCCGACGACGACAACAAAAGAGTTTCTGAGCTTCTGGACACCTTCTTCTCCTAGGAAGGCAATATTACGGGCCAATTGCTCCAGAACCAACTCTTCATCAAACTCGACCTTCTCGTCAATGTGAGGTGGAGCGGCTGCTGTTGCCTGGGCTTGTGATACCGATTGAGAGTTGGCCGCCTGAGCCTGGGCTTTGATATCAGCGGCAGTGGCGGATCGCTTGATATCGTCCTTAAGGCTCCTTGTACGCTGTTTGCGCTGTGATCCTTGGTATCCGAGGAGGATTGCGGCTGTGGCGACCGAGGCGGCAGCAGCCACGACGACCAGTTTTGTTGACTGTGATGCGTTGTTGAAAGCTGCCGACATTTATATGTTGGTAAGAGTTTTTTTTTTTTTGAGTGTTGTCGTTGTTGTTGTTCCTGGTTCCTGTTCCTTTAGTTCGACAGCTGATTCCTTTTGGACATGCGTCTTGTCCGGCGTGAGAGATGTCTGAAGAAAAGAATAAACGCGACGGAGGGAGTGAAAGGGTGGAGGAGTGTGCATGTGGCTTGCATCGATCCAGCCCAATTGCCAGTCACATCAACAAAAGTTGAAATAGGCACTTTCTATGCACAAGTTTCGAACAGATTGAAGGAAAGAAAAGGGCTCAGTCATCGATCGAAAGCTGCTTGCCATTGGAGCACCTTCTTATCTCAGAAAAACTATCCGCTTTGTCGAAGAAAAAGAAAGGGTAGGCACACCCTCTCTCTCTCCTTGTGTTTCCCTGAGCATTTGGCCTTGTCAACAAACAAAGTACAGTAGAGGAGATAGAGTAGTGATGGATGGCATCAGTCGCACAGCAGAAGGAAGGCAGGAGATAAGATCGACTGCTTGTAGAAGAGCACCAAAACCATGTTGACAAGCGGGCTAGACTCCCTCTCTCCTACTCTCTCCACACGCTAAGAAAGCAGTTGCAGCAGGCAGCATATGCTTATTGTGAGCAAGTTGCATTCTCTCCCTGCGTGACTCAAGCCAGCCCTCAATTCTCACATAAATACTTCCGTGACTCCATCCCTTTTCCATCTCTTCTTCAGTTCTCCATCTCACTCCTCCCTCCAACCCAACTCACCCACTTCCGCAATCTCACAGACAACCTTCGTATTTTCCGAAGTAAAGAAATGTCATTCGCCCCCTCTTCACCTCCTTCAGTCTCCCAGCAACAGCGTGCCCCTTCCACTCCTTCGACCGCAAGAGTTATGCCCACCAGCGTCATGAACACCCCTACTGCTCCTCAGGGTACCAGCGTAGCTGCTGCTCCTGCTGCTCCCAACACCACCTCCAATGCTCCCAATACCCCCGGAGCTGAGACCCGTGGCCGTGAGCGTCAGGGTTCCTTTGGAGGTTCTACCCGGGCAAAGATCCTCAAGCCCTTCAACACCGCCAACATCAAGATCCTCTTGCTTGAGAACGTCAACGAGACCGCCGTCCGCGCTCTCCAGGACCAAGGCTACCAGGTATCAATTCATGCTCACGTTTTGCTACTTGCTTTTCTCTTACAGGAAATCACTGTTTGCTAACTCCTCATTATATGGAATATCACAACAACGACCTTCACTCTCTTAGGTCGAGACACACGCCAAGGCATTGGCTGAGGATGTGTTGATTGAAAAGATCAAGGATGTCCACTGTGTGGGTATCCGCTCCAAGACCAAGCTGACCAAGAAGGTTCTGGATGCGGCTGAGAAGTTGGGCGTCATTGGATGTTTCTGCATCGGCACCAACCAGGTCGATCTCGAGCACGCTGCTTCCAAGGGTATCGCCGTCTTCAACTCGCCCTTCTCCAACTCGAGATCTGTCGCCGAGTTGGTCATTGCTGAGATTGTCCTCTTGTCTCGTCAGTTGGGTGATCGCAACAACGAGATGCACCAGGGTATCTGGTCTAAGGTCTCGGCTAACTGCTACGAGATCCGTGGCAAGACTCTCGGTAAGTTTTTTTTTATCTTTTGCCATCTAGAATAAGACATTTTGTTTTCGATGCCATGGATCCGGGAAGAGATAAAAAGGAAGGGCCAGACCCTTCTTTCGACGAATCGGCCAAAAGCTACCCTGATTGATGCCCGCACATCCAACTCGAACCAGATACTCAGTGAGGGTCCAGCCAACCATGGAGAAGAGAGGAGGAGTTAGTCACGACTCATCGTCGGAACCTGAAAAAGTTCTTTTTGTTGCAATTCGGCATCTTGCATTTCTTTCGACGTGGAAAAAGAAGAAGCAACAAACGCGAACGTCCGCCACAAGACGTAAGAAGGAGAGCGGGAACGAGAAAAAAAAAGGGGGGGCTACAATAAGTAAAGACGGACATGAGCAGTGTGGAAGTGAGCGGTCCTTATCACTCTTATCTCTTTCTTCATGTCTATGACCAACAAAGCAATGAAAACAAGATCGACATATGATGACACGGACAGTTCTGGAACGCATTATGCACAATAGCAGCATCTACCATCCCCCGTTCATCTCGCTTTCATATTTTTATGTGCCAAATGCTAAACAAAACAAAGGGAAAAAAAGCAACAGCACAATTAATATCTTTTTTCTTTCTGATAACCTTTGCACCAATAGGAATTATTGGCTATGGACACATCGGATCGCAGCTGTCAGTCCTCGCAGAGTCAATGGGCATGCGCGTCTTATTCCACGACGTCGTCCCCCTGATGCCCCTGGGCACCTCAAAGCAGGTCGGCTCCCTCGATGAGCTCCTTGAGAACTCGGACTTTGTCACCCTTCACGTCCCCGAGACCGAGGAAACAAAGAACATGATTGGCGAACACGAACTCTACAAGATGAAGCAGGGCTCCTTCCTCATCAACGCCTCCCGCGGAACTATCGTCCAGATCTCTGCCCTCGCAAAGGCCCTCCGTTCCGGACACATTGGCGGCGCCGCCGTCGATGTGTTCCCCAAGGAACCCGCCGCCAACGGAAAGTTTTTTGAGTCTGAACTCATCGGATGCCCCAACACCCTTCTCACCCCCCACATTGGAGGCTCGACCGAGGAGGCCCAGTCGATGATCGGTGTCGAGGTCTCCCAGGCCTTGATCAAGTTCATCAACAACGGTACCTCGATCGGCGCCGTCAACTTCCCCGAGGTCGACCTCCGTGCCATTCGTGACGAGGAGAACTCGATCCGTCTCTGCTACACCCACGCCAACGTCCCTGGAGTCTTGCTCAGGATCACAAACATTCTCGCGGACCACAACGTCGACAAGCAGTTCTCGGATTCCAAGGGTAAGATCGCTTACCTTATGGCCGATATCTCGGACGTCACCCCCGAGCAGATCCAGGATATCTACCGTCGTGTCAGTGAGACCCCCACCAACATTGTCACCCGCGTCTTGTACTAAGAACTCCTTTGTTCAAAGGGCGTCGATAACAACACTAAACCTCAATATTCAGCAGATCACATAACTATTTTTGTATCATAAACCTTTCATATCTACATATTTCAATGAAACAAGGTGGTTGGCGCATTGAGTGAAGATGGCTTTAAAACATCTGCAATATGTCAGAACTGATGAAACTAAATGAATGAATGGTATTATGGTACAAACAAGCAAGTACGAGAGACTCCGCAATGTCGCCAATATGTATGTCAATTGCTCCCGTCCTTCTCCAGACCCAAGTCTCGCTTGCCAGCCTGGGCGACACGTTCCTGACGCGTTACACCCCTTTTCCTGCTGACCAGCAACTAGCGACCGCGAAAGGCGGCGACAATTTCGAGACGCTCTAATCATCATTCTCCATCTCGGAATCCCCTTGAACGATCAGGGCGTCAATTTTAGCCAACAGACTGTCTGAGATTTTCTCAACGGGCTTAAAGATATCGTTGACAGGTTCTGATGGTGGACTGTCGATAAGTGGTGGGGAGAGTGAACGGTCTGATGGCTCTTCTGCTGCCATCTCACGTCTGTCGCGCGACGATGCCCTAGACGATGGACTCTTTCGCAACTGCTTGAACTTGTACACTGCCTTGAGCTACATTATTCATTACCAAGGGAGGGGATGTTGTGAGCAACTGGGCACAATGAACCCTCGGATACATGCACACATCAAGACGTATTAACTACACATATGACGCAGTGACCCTTACCACACGGAAGAGGCCATTGAGTTGTTGGACAGCTCCTCTCAAATCATCCTCAGTGACCTCCAGAACAGCATTCTGAGTGTTTTCGTCCTTGGAAATCAATGGTACGAGACCGTCATCGGTCAGCCACGGATCATTCTATGGTTCAAAGAAAATAGGGTGTAAAAAAATAGGAATGACATGGGTCAGCCTACAGCCCTCGGAACAAAAATTGACCGCGAATTAAATGCAAACATCCTTCTCTTACCCTCAACTCGTCAAGGGTGATACGCTTGGATGGATCCTTCTCCAGCAATTTAGTTATCGTTGTCCTGAACCGTGGATCCTGCTCATCACCCAAATCTGGTTCATTCTCGTTGATCATCTTTTGAAGCTCAAGACTCGTCCCGGACTTGAACGGCAATCGTCCGTAACGAATACAGAACAGCGTGATACCCATCGACCAAAGATCCGTGGGCTTGCCTGAGACTTCCCCGTGGCTGCGACAGAGCTCAGGTGCCATAAACGCTGGGGACCCGGCTGATTTTTTAATCGTATCGTCGCCCTTCTTGGTGAACATTTCCGAAACTCCAAAATCAACAATTTTCAAAGTTCCATCTGCTGAGCGCAAGAGATTATCCGGCTTGATATCTCTGTGAACAATATCGTGCTCATGAACTATGCATTATTTGGAGTCGGAGTGGAATAGAAAAGGTATGTTGTGAGAAAACTTGACCAAAAGAGCAGAAAGAGCAGTGGCGTTAAAAGGTGGCGCTCGTCAAAATGTCATTTAGGAATAATCAAACTTACGATACTCAATGCCTAGGACCATCTGCTGGAAGACATCTCGACACTCGCTGTCCGTGAATATCTTGCCCAGTTTGTCTCCGACAGTGACCTCCGTCAACGCGCCCAGTTCACAGAGCTCGAAAACTATATCGTCAACAAGAGGAATGGGAATTAGTATGGCGCAAGATATGGTGGCGAAACAATTATGTCGTTCAATTCTGTGAGCAAAACTCTCGTCGTCCAATAATCCAAAATGACGCCATGTTGACAGAACAGAACGTACCCATGTACATCGAGTCTTCGGCAGCGACATCCAGAACCTCGTACAGCTTGACAATGTTGATGTGGTTCAACTTTTTCAAGATGGCGATCTCCCCTCGAATCAAATCCAGGGGCGACCTCTCCTGCTCGGCTTGAACGGTGGGTCCACGTCGGCCGGGTCCTCTGCCACGGTGTCCGAGCCTGAAAAGGTTCTGACGGTCCTTTTTTCGAAGCTTTGCTTTACTAAACTCTTTGACAGCCTAGATCCATCGCAACACACGTAGAGTAAAGTGAAACCAATGACTGTATCAGAAACGTGGTTGTGAGCAGCTCCGAGTGGACCTTGACGCCATCTCAAGTTCTGATGAAAAAAAGAACACAAACAAACAAACAAGCTTACATATTTGATCCCCGTGTTGACATCGACACCTAGATTGACAATGCCAAAGGCTCCTTGTCCAATGATCCGTCTGAGTTCGTACTGCTTCACTTGAAGCATACCAGTTGGTGATACGGTGACACAGGCGTCCAGGGTTTCCTTAACAATAGGCGGTGGGCTGTGTACGGAGCTGTCCCTCGAGTGAGTGTGAGAGTGTGAGTGGGCGTGGTGGTGTCTTGGTTTATCTGTCGATGTCCTGCTATTTTCATCTTCTTCAGCTGTATCACTGCTATTTGAAGGGACTGAAGCTGTAATCATGGTCTCTTCACTGTGAAGGTCTCCTTTGCTGTCCTCCTTGCTGTCGCTCTCAGTAGTACTGGTCGTCGTCACGTCGTTGTTGCCGATAGTACTCCTGAGGTATTGCGACGACAACGAAAAAGAGGCGACCGAGTTCAGAGTGGTAGTAGCCGCAGTCAAGTTGGACGCGAGAAGGGAGGCCTCGAGCTGGGAGGCAAACGACCGTCTGTCTGTGAGGGGCAAGGATGACTGGAGGACCATGGAGAATGAGTTTGAGTAGAGGTCATCTTGCGACATTGTTGTTGTTGGACTTGTGGTGATGAATGAGGGGTTCTCGAGGGGGTCTCTCCAGACAGGGCCGTCTTGTTCAGAGGAAGTGTTGATGGTGGGAGCGGAAGTATCGGACTCTGCTTCTCCATCTGAGGGTGCCGGCGCGTTCTTTGTCCGCGGAGACTGTTTCGTGACGACGTGCATTGAGAAGCGGAGAAGGGGATGCAGAGGGTGAAGGAGTGAGATGCAATGGCAAGGAAAGAAAAAAAAAAAAAAAAAAAAGTATGAAAAAGGGAGGGAAAAAAAAAGAGCGTGAGAAGCGGAAGAATGAAGGAGAAAGAGAGAAAAGATGCACATTCGAGGTATTACTTATTGTTGTTGCTGTCATTGTTTTGAATGAACGCCCTGAGCACACACACACACAGAAAGATCATAATGAAAAGTGAGTGGTACACATGCATGCCACACTAGTAGAAAGAGTCCATCGCCACCCCTTTCTTACTTCTCTTACTTCCTCAGTTACTCTTTTAGCCTCTGTCCCTCTCCGATCGGACACTCTCATCCGCCCTGCTGCAGCCCGGTCTGTCGTCTTCCTCTCTCTCTCTCGCCAGTCCCTGGAAATAAAATAACGTTGGTACATGACTGTCTGTGCAAGAGAAACGCGTCCATGCACAGAATTCCTCCGCGGAGAAAAAAAATAATATATAGCAAGTGAAAAAGCCCATGAGCCATGCATGGCCTCCAGCCTCACTCGCCACGGTATTTCACCTTGCCTCTCTTCCCTAGGTATCCTTCCTAGTAAGATGGTAGTTAACCAAGTTCGTGTCTGGTTCGTTTGAGCTTATTTTCTAGTCATGAACAGAACATTGAGTCTATTCAATACGCGCCACCAAGATCCATCACTTGAAAAAGTTCACCCTGAAGCTCCTTTCTTGAAACGTCTCTTTCTTCATCTTCTCGTCTCTTTCTCTCTTTGTCCTCCAATATTAACACTACCTCCTCTGCAACAACAACAACAACAACTACACTTGTTGACAGAGTTCTCTTGCCTTTTGTTCTCTCACACCTCGTACACTCCGGACTCCGACCCTCTCTTTCTTACCTCCAACACCTACACTCTACACTCGCTCGCCCTCGTACAAAAACCACCAACACGTTCCCACTATGCCTTCACCACACACTAACTTGTCTTTGCCCGACCCCTCTCAGCCAACTCTGAAAATTGCCAGCTACCATGCTCTTGAGAACGGATCCTCCCAGACACAAGAAGAAGCGAAAGTCACGGATATGGATTCTATTGCTGGCTGGCTCGTCGATGCATCCACACTCGAAAGTATGGAGCAACCTCCATTTTGACTTACTCAATAGCTCATAAAGCGTACTCAGGCCCACACTTTTTTGCATCAAATACTGACCCAAAGCGTTCTGTTCTCTCTCGTTATCAACGCTCAATGCTCGATCAATAGCATGTCTGGTCATCCGCAAGGGCAAGGGTGTCACCATCGGCAGGCATCAGACTTGGTACTGTCGCTGTCACAATGAGAATAACGCTTTGCTTTCACAATGAGTATTACTTGTAAAGAAAGTTACTAAGAAGTTGTTGCTAACGCCCCATTTCAGCGATCTTGTTGTTCCCGAGGAGGTTGTGTCCAACCGCCACTGTGAATTTTCGACAGTAAGGCCCCGCATCTGCACGTTCTTCGATGTATGCATGTAGAAATTTGGTGGCGTAATTTGATCATCCTAACTTTTGTATACACTTCTGGTGCACTCACCCGACAGAACTCGGCGGGTTTTGTCTTGTGCAAGGTACGACGACATTATCCTAGGATACTATGGTCGATCCACAACATGGCTCCAGTCAAGAACAACCTTTCTGATCCTTTGCCCATTCTTACTTTTCTACTACCAGGACTTGAGCCTCAACGGCACCTACTGTACGTTCTCACTTCGATCAATCATGTCCATCTCGACCTCACAGTATTTTGATATCCAACAGAACAACACCTTTCACCACAACTAACTATGACGCTTTGAACAACAGGGAACGGAGCTGAGATTGGCAGAGGCGAGTCTGTGATCCTCTCGCATGGCGACAAAATCATTCTCAGGAACAGTAACCGTACGCTTCTTTTTCCACCACCGGATGAAATTAGCTTTCTTTGTAATTGCAACTCGGAGCCTACAAAACCCTAACCAATTCTCCTTTCCATGACGTTAATAGGCTATATGTTCCAGGACTTAGCCAAGGACATGCTCGATCACGTCGATCCAGACATCGGGGTAAGCCTATACTCTCTCTCTCTTTCGTGACAGCGTTTGCTCTGGAATGTGTGAGCTTGATTTTGTGTGAACAGCTGGACTGATTAAAGCCTCCTGAGCCACCGACATGCTTCCTAGATTGTCGAAAAGACATATCGCATCCTGCCTCGGACCCTGGGAAAGTAAGTTACGAAGAACAAGCTCTGATCTGATGAAGACAGGAAGCTTGGCAAGTGCTAACATAATGCTGTTCCCTTTCATCGTTTTACTTACTAGAGGAACCTTTGCGAGAGTGAACCTTGCGGTCCACCGCAAGTCCAACATGCAGCTCGCGGTCAAAATCATGGACAGGATCCGGTATGGTAAACCGGAATACTCTGGTGGGACTAACATCGAGAACGAAGTCGCTCTCTTACGTACCTTTCGTCATGTTAGTGATTCGACTTGTCTGTACGCGATATTCTCTGATTTGGAGGTGGCAGCACGCTCTATTTATGCTTCGCTAACGGTCACCACTTTTCTCTCTTCTAGGCAAACATCATCCCTGTGGTGGATGTCATAAAGACATCACGATACATCTACATCTTTATGCAACTGTAACGTCCACCCTCTGTCCCTTCATATTGTCGCTGTTACCTATCTCCTTTCATTTCGCACCTGACGAAAAGTCTAACACAAACTGATGACTCTTTCATACGGTCAAATAGGATGGGCGGCGGAGACTTGTTTGACAGGTTGGTCAGGAACGGACCTATTCCAGAGCTCGAAGCCAAATTCTTGGCCTACCAGGCCTTCATTGCCCTGCAGGTATGGTACTGTTTCTCAGATCTGAATTTTTCCCTTACCTCTCAGCTGTTTATGTGAAAATAGATGATGCCTTGGTCTTAATCTCGATTTTCATCTTTCCCTGTCCCTCATCCCTCTCTCCCACCTAGCATCTCCACAGCATGGGCATCTCTCACCGAGGTGAGACTAAAAAAAATATATTATTTTCGTCCAACCGACCACATGTGAAGCAAGAAGTGAACGACCGCAAGGATGCAATGTTTAATGTGAGCTGACACACCCCGAATCCTCCTTGTATTACCCTTTCCTATGCTAGATTTGAAGCCCGAGAACATACTGCTGACGGCCAATGCAGAGTACCCTCGCGTCTTGCTTAGCGACTTTGGCATGGCTTGCGAGTGCGGCGACAAGAATGTCATGGGTACCATGTGCGGCACGTTTGCCTACATGTAAATACCCCTTGCTTGTGGACTGTTAGTACTTTGCAATCAATCAACTATGTCACTATTAACAACTGTGCCTCCTCTGGTACCATTCACACATAGGGCACCAGAGGTGTTTGACGTGAAGCACTCTAATGGACCTGGGTATGGGTATGCAGCAGACTGCTGGAGTCTAGGGGTCACCTTCTATGTGATCCTGTCTGGCACCCATCCTTTCACTCCCAACTACGCCACTGAGGACGAAAAGAACATGCGACTCAAGATGCGCCGGTACGTACTATGGGCGTAATCCTTGCAGTGAGACAGTGCGCAATCTTAACTCTCCCTTAATTCTTTTCTACGATCCACAATCATGATCTAATCTTAACCCTTTGAACCCTTCATTTGTTGTCGCACATACTTATTTACAGTGAGGTCGAGTTTCCTCCAAAGTACTGGTCAGGGATCAGCGTGGAGGCCCGAGTCTTGATTCGATTCCTGTTGACCATCGACCCCAAGAAGCGATGGACTGCCGAAGATGTCCTCGAGTCCCAGTGGATTCAAAAGGATGTAGCCTGGCTCCGCACAAAGTACCGAGAGAACGTTTTGCAGCACTGGTTCAAGTCGTGCCAGGGCCTTGATAGAATTGTGCAACCCCGCCAGCAGGAGGCGGCAGTGTATTTGAACCCTGGTGTGAAGCGGTCGCAAGGCCAGGTTGAGCAGCAGGAGCAGACGGAGAGTGGTAAGTCTGTCTGTCAGTTCTGCATTTCAGAGTACTAGGTTGTATGATATTTTATGGTGACCCAGAATGCATGGTTACAAGAAGATACGATAATGAGAGTGATCACTTAAGAAGAAAATTCTCGTAACGTGGTTGTTGTGTCTTAATTATAGGCGGTTCGCGTGCCAAGAGAGCAGCGATGAAGAAGGTCGTGTCCCTCGAGAGTGACAAGAGTCTTTCTGACTCCCGTCGCGAGTCTTCGGCGACCAGCAACAACCATTGGTCAGCAGCCGTTCCTGATATCTCGAATAGCAAGAACGTCGAGGGGTCGTGGTAAGAAAATCAACGGTTGTAACCAACCCTTGATGCCTCTTTATCACACCTCTCTGTGTTTGAGGCATCTATCACCACTTCTTTCTGGTGCGATTCCATTCTTTTTAAGGGATTTTCTCCCTTCTGCGGATATCTTTTCAAGGGAACAAAGGTCATCTTTGCAACAAAAACTAGCGACAAAAAGTGACATGGTGGATAGGCCCCAACATCTAGGGCAAGTCCAAGTCACCAAAGGAACAAAAGACCCCCCATCCCCCTTCTTTTCTTCCCATATCTCATTTCCTATCCGTGTGAATAATGCCCCTTCTTTTATTTCGAACGACGATCTAGTCCATTACAAAAATAAGCAGAGAAACAAGACCGATGAAGATGTTTGATTGAATGACATGCGTGCCCGACGGGTGGGTGTGTGTACATGTACTGTACGTGCATCTGCCAAAACGTTCTTTCTTTGAACGGAACCCTGTTTCTTTTTCAAACGCGTGAAAATAGCAATTGTCAATTATATTATTATCGCTTTGTTTATTAAGGCCAGAAAAGTGAGGAAACTGAAAAGAATCTACAACATGTGCATTTGTTGGGTGTAGCCAAGTAGTAAATAAAAAGTGCAATGAGAAGAGAGAGATAACCCGAGCCCGACTCGGGAAGCGAAGTCTGTGCCAATTGCCTCTCATCACCCCGTCTCTGTGCCTGTCTCTGTTCCCCACCAAAGTGTACAGGCTGAACCCTAATCGAATGGCAAGAGATTGAGATGACATGTGTTGGGTGTGTTTATGTGTTTTCGATTGCAAAGAACAAAACAGCACTAGAGAGAAAAGAGAGCATTGCATGGCAGGAGGGAAAGCGGAGCGGAATGCCAAATAAGGCGATTGACCCCGCCTTTTATTATTTGTCTGAATAACTCTGATTGTTTGCAACGAGCACAACAATAACAAAATAATAGTAACGACGCACATATGGATGAATTCAAGATCGACATGGAATGTTGAATGGTTAGGAGTAGTAGATCTCAGTCATCTCATTAACACCTGATCTCCATTGTTAAAGTGTAGCTGGTAAAGATTGATGTTCTTCGTCATCCCTCGAATCCTGTTTCACTATGATTCCTGATCTGATCAGCAAACAAACATACTTTCTCGTCTCAGTTAAAAGAGGAGGAGAGTTGCAAGCCTTCAATTTGTCCTGACTCCAATTGCTTGGCGGTTTTGCTCCTGTTTGTCCATTAATCCGGATATCCTTGTTGGTATGATCTCTTGGCAGATAGGGTTATTGGAGAGAAACAAACAGGGTGGGAGGAAAAGAGGAAGCAGAGGACAACAAAGTGGAAGGTCGATGCGCGATGTCTTGGACACTTCGAAGATGAATAAGATGAATGAAAAAGAGGAAGAGAAGAGAGAGAGAGAGAGAGAGAGAGCAGGGGTAAGGCAAATAGTGATTCGGGTAGCATCAATTGAGAGGTAGGTAGATAAAGCAACGAAAAAGAGGAAAGGAGGAGGATGGTCTTCGGCCCGCGTGATGATACGATGGGACCGATGCGGTGAGAAAGAGAGAGAGAGAGAGAGAGAGTGAGGATGATTGTGTACCGAGTTAAAGTGTGTATGTATGTGAGCGTGGGACATGGGCCAAGAGGAAAGAGGAAGGAAGGAGAGGATGTGTAAGATATGTAAGAGGAAATGCCGTCGCTCATTTGCTCTCAATGGTGGGAAGGGATACTTTGAACAGTGCTGTAGTACTCTGTGTTGTCGGCGAGTGTCGTTGTTGAAAGGAAATGATCGCAATGATCACATTGCATCGAATCCGATGTCACTCCGCCCGGGGTAAGCAGCAACTAAGACCGTGAGCGATTCTTCCACATAAATAATTTGTAGGGAGAGACATTTTTCCAACTTTTTTCTTCTTTCTTTTCTTCTTCTTCACACACCCCCACTCCCTCCCTTCACATCACACATCATCACACATAATGGCCTCCCTTCGCGCCACTTTCCGCCTCCCTGGCCTTGCCAAGGTACATACTTTCTCTCTTCCACTCTCTTACAACTCACTCCATTTCTTCACCATAGATCGTTGGTCTTCTTATCATCATCATCATCATCATCATCATCATCCTCACCACCATTCCCGTATCCAGAACAATAACGAAGACTAACAGATCGTTCGTACTCTTCTCTCAAACACATACGTTATAGGTCGCTACCCGCAACAACACCTTCGCTGCCTCTGCCATCCGCGCCTACTCCACCAAGCCTCAGGTGCGTACTTTTTTATTCCTTGTTTTATGGTTTTTTTATGGCGTGTTTTACATCTCGCATGTGGGGAGTTTCAGATCAGCGCCACCCCCAATAAGCGTTTTTTTCAGCCCAAAGCACCATCCTCAGCATATCTATCGACTGCGTTGTTCTTCGAGAAAGAGGACGATGTATGGCAGGATTCAAAGCAAAAGAATGAAATCAATCCAACAGGCGATCGGGAAAAGAAGGAAAGACCACATTATTGGACGCAGTGGAGCACAAACAAGCGCAACGCAGGAAAGGAATAGCAAAAGCAAGTGACAGAGAAGAAAAAGGGCTCAGGTTGATCCGGCAGTGCGTGTGGGTGTTTGTGCGCACATCAAAAGACCAAAAGAAGGAAAAAGAATTTCAGCGGCACATGCACGACTTATCGATGGCCACAGTCAATTAAAAAAGGGAATATGTCACCCCTGTCCCACAGTATTCTAACCATAACCTACTCTCCTCTGCTATTGCAAACAACAGGGCTTGAAGGATCGTCTTCGTGAGTTGATCCCCGAGAAGCGCGAGGAGGTCAAGCAGGTCAAGGCCGAGTTCGGTAGCAAGGTCTTGGGCGAGACCACCGTCGACATGGCTTACGGTGGTATGCGCGGCATCAAGGGTCTCATCTGGGAGGGTTCCGTCCTCGACGCTGAGGAGGGTATCCGTTTCCGCGGCAAGACCATCCCCGAGTGCCAGAAGGTCCTCCCCGCCGCCGTCGGTGGTACCGAGCCTCTCCCCGAGTCCCTTTTCTGGCTCCTCGTCACCGGTGAGGTCCCCACCGAGGAGCAGGTCCGTGGCTTGTCTGCCGAGTGGGCCGATCGTTCTGCCCTCCCCTCCTTCGTTGAGGATCTCCTCGATCGCTGCCCCACCACCCTCCACCCCATGTCCCAGTTCTCCTTGGCCGTCACCGCTCTCCAGCATGAGTCCCAGTTCGCCAAGGCCTACCAGGCTGGTGTTACCAAGACCGAGTACTGGGATACCACCTTTGAGGATTCCATGGATTTGATCGCCAAGTTGCCCAACATTGCCGGTCGCATCTACCAGAACGTCTTCAAGAAGGGCGGCAAGCTCCCTGCCATCAACCCCAACTTGGATTATGGTGCCAACCTCGCCAACTTGCTCGGATTCGGCGAGAACAAGGACTTTGTCGAGTTGATGCGCCTTTACCTCACCATCCACTCTGACCACGAGGGTGGTAACGTCTCTGCCCACACCACCCACTTGGTCGGCTCTGCCCTCTCTGACCCTTACCTCTCCTTCGCTGCCGGTTTGAACGGTCTCGCCGGTCCTCTTCACGGATTGGCCAACCAGGAGGTTCTCCGCTGGATCACCAAGATGCGTGAGGAGCTCGGCGGCAAGGATGTCTCGGACGAGACCATCAAGGATTACGTCTGGAAGACCTTGAAGTCTGGTCAGGTCGTCCCCGGTTACGGCCACGCCGTCCTCCGCAAGACCGATCCCCGCTACTCTTGCCAGCGTGAGTTTGCCCTCAAGCACATCCCCAACGATCCCCTCTTCAAGCTCGTTTCCCAGATCTACACCGTCGCCCCAGGAATCCTCCTCGAGCACGGCAAGACCAAGAACCCCTGGCCCAACGTCGATGCCCACTCTGGTGTCCTTCTCTCTGCCTACGGCTTGGTCGAGCAGGACTTCTACACCGTCTTGTTCGGTGTCTCCCGTGGTCTCGGAGTTCTTTCGCAGTTGATCTGGGACCGTGCCTTGGGCATGCCTCTTGAGCGCCCCAAGTCCTACTCCACTGCCGCCATCAAGGCCATGTACGCCAAGAAGTAAATTGAGCCGGGCTGGGTTCCCCTCTTTTTCTTGACGAACGAGTCATTGCGCTCTCCTCTTCCACCTTTCACCTTAGAAATCCCCCCACTCTTTTTGTCTTATTATCATCATGCTTGTAGTTTTCATTAGTTTTTTTTTCCTTTTTTTGGTTTCCTTCTCATACCATGACCATGAACTTTCCTCCCTTTGCACATAGTTTTTCAAATAAAAAAAACCTTGGATCCCAGAATATCTTTGTATCTTTATTGCATCGAGCGCAGGTGTTGAGGAGATAGAGATCGACATGAGGTGCTAGAAAGGGTTCAGAAAGGATCCCTCGATCCGCAAAATGGTTGGCTGTCGGAGCGAACGGCATCATTATTTGCATTTGGTGGTCAAGGTTGACGTGCACGTGCGAATCAACGTCACAGTTAAAAAAATGTGGACTGCCTTTGTCCTAAATGTCTAATTTTCAAAAAAGGTCCCCCCATGGTGACAATATTGATATCCACATTCGAATCATATACATTAAAATAAGCAGTCCATTTGCATTCAAGGGTATAAATAAGACGAGCACCCGGCGTTTTCTTTTTTCTTTATCGCACTCCAGTGGTTATAACTATTTCGAACAAACATCATGCCTTTTACCTGACGTTTTCGAGTTGCAGCCATACACAATGGAGTTGATCCTTATTTTTGGTCCCGCTTCTGGCGGGTTACATTTCTTATTTCTTTCAAATTCAAAAACTTCATTCTCAAATGCTTCTTGTTCCTTTTTGTGTGGACGTTGTGACGTGTTGAGGTACTTCTCTCTTTCAAGATGCGGCATCGTTTTCATCTGCATGCTTTGTTTAGTTGATGGTGTTGCAAAAGCACGGAAGACATAGCAGAGGGTGGCGAGAAGATTACGCAGAAACAACTGGTTTTATTTTTCATGTTTTGCAAAAGTGAAGAAGTTCCCACGAGTGGGTTGTTATGAAAGACTATGTACAAAATTGTGTATTGTTTTTTTTTGGTTTCTTGCCGTGCTGTGTGGTTTTGTCATTGTGTGTGTGTCAATGCGTAAGAAAGAGGGAAAAAAAGAGAAGTGGTCCACCAAGGAGGGACACGCCGCCCTCCTCCCTCTCTAGCCCTCAGTGGTGGAAGGCTCCTCGCGAGGGACAGAGTTCATCTCATCCCTAACCCTCGAAATTCGCTCATACACAATCTTTCTTGTCCGGTTAACACTTCCCAAAGGCCGATGATCCGGCAACGAATGCCAAGGGTTGAACGAAAGTCTTTCGCCCAACTTGTTCAACTCCTCCGAGTCCACGTCCTGAGGCGGGATGGTGATCGTGGCAACCTCTTGGAAAGGCGACTCGTTCTGGGACCACTCCTTCATCGAGTTCTCAACGTCCATATGGGAGCCTACACGCTGTTGGATCATGAACTTGAATTCGACGGGTTTTGCGGCAGTTGGGGAGAGGGTCCTTTTGACGGCTTGATGGAGATAGTCGTCTGCTGCGTGGGCGTGTGGGATGGGATCCTTTTCGTTGTCGGCGAGGACGGGTTTCGCAGAATACTTGACTGCAATGCGGTCGGGGCCCAGTCCAAGTTGGAAGGGAACTGCAGAGAAGTACTGGATCTGGAGTGGGTTTCCAATCTTACCCGACGCCAATTCGCCGGCGATGAGGGTGCCCTTGAGTCCCAACGTGAAGGGGATGGTCAGCTTCTGGAGGGTAGTGGCATCGGGGGCCGACTTGTTGATGAGGTCCAAGTAAGTCTTTGTATCATTCGAAAAGAAAATCGGATGATTAATCATTACAAAGTCTTGTGTCGTCGCATCCTTATCCGACTCGAGCAACTTCTGGCCCGGAACATCCAACAGCTTGATCGCAAACCCACGTCCATCCTGCCCTTTATCCGTCTGTGCAGCATTACCCGAAGCGTTCGACAGCCTCAAAACTGCATCATAAGTCTTGCCCGGGACAAAGACACCCTTGTTGGCGACGTGGGGAGGGAGGGTGTCATGGACTCGGAACTTGGCTTTGAGGACTCCCGTGGCGCGGGCGTGGACGTCTCGACGGGCTTCTCCAGGGTTGTAGCGGAGGTGGATGGAGCGCTCGATCGAGTTTGCGAGTTTGGTCGTGAACTCTGCTTCGTGGGGTTGGAGGTGTTCGCCGAGTTGCTCGTCGATGGTTGGGGGGAAGGGAACGTCTTGAACGGAGCCGTCTGTTGCCATATTGTTGTTGTTGTTGTTTTTGTTTGTGTGGGAGTGGTGTGTTGAGAGAGTATCTGTGCTTGTGGTGAAGAAAGAGTGTTGTTGGTGTTGTTGGTGGTGAAGACGAGAGAAGTAGGAAGAAGAGAAGAGAGTGGGTGTTGCTCTGAATGAGTTCCTGTTAAAGACAGAGGCGTGAATGCGTGGTAAGAACGTCATCTTGTCGTGTGTTTTGATATGTATCAGTTCGGAAAAGGAGTTGAAAAATCCGAAGGCGTGTGCCCAAAGAAAGAAAGAATCGTCCGAGGTGTGTGTGCGAAAGAAAGGGATGGGGGCTTGGCGCTGTTGTCAATTGCTTTCTTCTGGTTGGTCGTGGTTTCGTGTCATGCATACAAGGGGAAATGAGAGCAGGAGAGAGATCAAAGAGAGAGGAAAAGGGAAAATAGAAAGCGAGATAAAGGATAAAGGAGGACAACAAAAGGAATACCAGTGCTCAACACGACAACCGTGGTAGACATGACGTGATGGGCGTCAGTGGAAGTGGTCTTCATTGAGAAGAGCGAAGACCCTTCTAAAGGTAGCAAGGACCATGACCAAAGCAACCGTCATAATGGCCCTCCTTAGCTTGACCCAGCAACCCTGTTTTATAGCGTGTTTTTCAATTTGGCTGCAGAGTCGGGGCATCATCTCATTTTTTAAAGGCACCTCGACGTTCAAACAGCAACAACGTCCATTATTAGCCCCATCTCGATTGCCTCATCTATTCATGTGTACACGAACGTGCGGCTTCGATTACGATTCTTCTAACTAACTATGCAGGCGAGCTTCACAAAAGCGCATCCTCAAGTAAAAGCTGCCGAGATTGACAACACACAGTACCATACATACCATACAATCTCCATGCAAGTAAATAGAGAATAGAAAAGTATCTTGTTGACGTTATTTATGTTGAAAAAAAGGGAAAGGTGGTGGTGCTTTGTGCGTGAGTGTGGAGTGAAAGGTCGATAATTATGAATCTAAGTTGTTGGCGGTTTTCGGATCATAGCTTAGTGCTTCTTGGGTGCAGGGGGGCTAATTTGATACGTAAAGATAAGTTATCTGAGGTTAGCAATCTATAATCTTCTCTCCATCAACCGCTTCCTTTGACACTCATTTGAAAGAAATAGAGGAAACTTACTTGTACAAGATCTTGCGGGTCTTGAGACCGGCCCACTTGTGCCTCTTGAGGTAGACGGAAAGACCGGTCAAGATGGCGATCAAGGTCAAGGCCTTCATACCCATCTTCTTGCGCTCATCCATCTCGGGCTCAGCAGCCCAGCTGAGGAAGATGGTGACATCCTTGGCCATCTGCGAGGTGGTGGCGGGGGTACCGTCCTCGTACTCGACCAAACCGTCGTACAAGACACGGGCCATACCGATGGCACCGCCGGGGAAGTAGGGGTTGAAGTTAAGACCCTCACGGATCTCAACACCAGCTGGGGGATCCTGGTAACCGGTCAAGAGGGAGAAGACATAGTCCTATTCACACACAAAAGAAAAAGAACATGTCGCGTTAGAATCTCATTCCTTACAGAAGAGTATATCGACCGTGCATTAAGGTGCAGCAAACAAAAAAAAATACACGCGAGATGAGTAACACTTCAAACTTACAGCACCACCGTGACGGGCCTTGATCATCAAGGAGAGATCTGGGGGGTAAGCACCGGCGTTACCGGCTCTGGCCTGCTCCTCGTTGGCATAAGGCTGAGGCATGTAATCGGAGGGCTTTCCGGGGCGCTGGAACATATCTCCAACATCGTTGGGTCCATCGGTGTACTCGAATTCCTCAGCCAAGGCCTTGACCTCAGCCTCGGTGTGGGAAACGCCGATCAAGTTGCGCCAGGCAATACGATCGAGAGAGTGGCAGGCAGCGCAAACCTCCTTGTAAACCTGGTAACCACGGCGAATGCTATCAACAGAGAGCAAAAACAACGATGACTACAGTGTCAGCGGCGTGATTTTCTTGACCTTCTTGAGTGGTGTCCATGATACTGTCTATTGTCGATTCAATCCAGTCGAGTATACACAAAAGGCGGCGCGATATGTATCTCTCAACTCCTGTCTCAGGTAGTGTGTATGACATTCCATGCCAGCTTCCAGATATCTTAGGGGTTTGTCGCCGATATTGGAGTATCAATTGATGGCTGCCACGGCCAGAATGATTCCCACGTATGACTCCGTTGCTTCCGCTGTAGATGTTCTCTCCATGCTTTCCATGCAAAAACTTGGGGGGGTCCTGATATTCCACTGGGTATTGACACCATAACTGAGCTGGGCGGTTGATTGAAACGTGTGCTGCGATTCAATTGCCCCACCCTCTCGCCAGGAGGGTCAATTGATAAAAAGAAAAGAGACAAGGAATGAAGGGAATCCTTACGCAGCGTGGTCGAAGGTGGAAAGGTTCTTCTTGTGCTCCCAAGGGTAGGCGGGGGCGTGGAGGCCGTCAGCAGCCATGTTGGCATCGACGGTCTCCATGGACATATAGGCCAAGGCACCAACGGTGGCGACACCAGCAGCAGCCATAGAGACGTTCTTGGCGTTCTATTTATCATCATGAACAGTGGGCGGTATGTTTAGGAACGGGTTGGGTTTGTCGTCTACCGAAAATAAAATAAACACGATCTCGATTCCGATTAGTCCGAAAAGACGCGGTATTTACCATGCTGGTGGCAGCTGCAGAGCTGGTGGACTGGTGGCGGGCCTATCGGAAAGTATTTAAAATGGGTGAAGTGGGTAAAGGGCGGGGGTCATGGCGAGAGGTTAGGTGTGTGTATGTTTGTAGAAGGAAGGTGCAGGGGGTTGTTGTAGTAGGCGTCCATAGTTTCCGCGTCCAGGTTGGTTGTCCTGAAGGATCGCATCCCCTTCCGGCCAGGGACGGCCAAAAAAGTCCGAGGGTCGGATCTGTTCGGAGGGGATGTCGTCGATTTGCCGAAGGTGTAAATTCGCCGGGATTGTTGTTGAGTGGAAGAGGAGTGAGGAGAAGGAGGAGTGTGTACCTGGACAGCAAGACGCTGGACAGCCTTGCGAGTCGACTGAGCAGAGAGGCGGAACATTGTGTGAGGGGGGGAGGGAGGAAGGGAGAGGGATGATGCAAAAAAAGATGATCTTTCTCCGGTGTGTCCTTTTTTCGCTGCGACACAAACTCGGAGGGGAAAACAAAAAACGAATCTTGAAATGTAGCATAGGCGATCTCTCCGACCACCATAACGTAATTGGCAAGAAGAAAAGCGAGGAAATAACCATATGCGTGAAATAACGAATCCAATTCAAAGCCCTACAACTATCGACATTTTTTCTTTTTCTTTTTCTTTGTGATCAGCTTTGGTCAAGGCAACACTCTCATTACCACTCTACACCAATAACAAGGACCGGACTGTCAGGATGAGACTCAAGAGGACAAAGGACTACAAGCGGTACATGAACATGTACTGCCAGACATTTCATTTCCGCAAACCATACCAGGTCCTTGGTAATGCCTGCAGACTTCCGCTCTTATGCGCCTCCTTGTTGCTATGTCAACGTCGAATATGTTGGTTTATCGTACACTGACCTAATTGCCGGTATCCTTCTTCAATCTAGTCGACGCGGATTTCATTCAGACAGCATTGGATCAGCGCCTGGATCTCAGGACAAACATCCCCAAGGTTCTCTGTGACGCCTCCAAGCAGAGTAAGTCTCAATTCCAGAACGTTTTTCAAAGGACGAGGGATCATATTGGTCATTCAAACAAGCAAAGCCTAACTTTTCGCCGCCCCTCTCTATATCCCTAGTGGTGACACCATGCACGATGGCATTGCTCAAATCCCGTGGCGAGGACGCATCGGGAGCCTTCTTAGCCTCAAAGCGCTTCGAAAAGCGTCGCTGCAAACATCAGCAAGCCGTCGACGAAGACATCTGCCTCTCCCAAATCATCTCCAACTCCAACCCTCACAACTACGTCGTTGCCTCCCAATCCAAGAAGCTTCGTTCGAAATTCGCCCAAGTCCCCGGTGTGCCACTCCTTTACATCAACCGCTCCAACCTCATTCTTGAACCCCCATCGGAAGCCAGCATGAACAAGTGCAAACAGATCGAATCCGGAAAAACGCATGCCTCAACCAAGGAATTGGCGACTCTGAAGACCGTCAAGGTGACTGGACAAGGAAAGGTCACGCTCGACGTCAAGTTGGCCAAGAAGTTGGAGGAGAAGCAAGAGTCCAAGAAGCAGAAGCGGGAGGTCCAAAAGGCCAAGCTGTTGAAAAAGCGGATGGGTCCCAAGGAGCCCAACCCTCTCTCGGTCAAGAAGAAGAAGGTCGTGGCTACCCCTTCCGCAGCAGTAGCAGCAACGGAAAAGAAGAAGAGGGCTGAAGGCGAAGGCGTAGATGGAGCACCGGAAAAGAAGAAGAGGAAAAGAAGAAAATCAAAGACCGCAGGTGCCAACCAGGAAGAAGCTGTTGGCGACGAGTCATCATAGGCATATCACTTTTTCCTTTTTTTCATCACATTTGCATAAACCCCATTAAACCATTCTAATACGAACAACTTTTCCCGTTTGCGACCAATTCTTACGCGTCGCGTCTCGATAGTATGGTCTCTACATTTCATTCTTTTGTGTGTTTGAATCTTGGTTGCATTCTTGCAGCCAATGATCGCTACACAACCGGTGGTGGAGGACTTCAGTAGAGACTGCGCGAGAAAAACTGATCAAACGCGCATCATTTTCTTATTCTTCCTCCTCTTCTCTTTTTCTGCAAACATCTTTTCCTCTCTCTTTCTTGCCCTTCTCTTCTCGTCCCTCTCTGAAAGCCTTCTCCAAATCTCTCGTCAGTGCAACCCTGCCAAGACAACAATATCTGCTCCACCTACAACGAAAGGACAATAACGCCATGACAATCCAAGGTGTCTACCTCGAGCCTGTGCGCCTCCACACAAGCGAGTTCAAGGAGTTTGACCAGCGCTTCGGAAACAAGCTCGTCACCATGTACGAGATCCACTATGCCGAGGTCGTCAACGGGTACCTCAACAACGTTGACGAGTGGGATCACACGACCTACTACCATGGCACCTCACACTGTGGATGTCTTGACCGCCGAATCGTCAACCTCGAGAACAACCGCGTCCCAGTTTATGCGTGGTGCGAGAATGCTTGCTGCTGCACCAGGAACATTATCAATAGTGGTTTCCTCAAGGCCAAGAGTCCTCGAAGTAAGACTGGTATTGTTCCTCTCATATACTTAGAAAGTCGAGTTTCAGCGGCAAGACGAAGCTCCGGTTCCCACTGAAGTTTCATTTCCTATGGTGATGATTGTTGTTGTAGGCCACTTCTTCTCTCCTCAGGTCGAGGCCGCTCGAGCAATTGCAATCAGCAAGACTTTTGGGACAGCGCCGGAATCGCCCTTGCTGAGCATCTTTGTTTGTGTCACCAGGAACCCTCAAAACGCAGTTACCCATGACCTTGAGGACTACCATTCTGTCCAGAACGACAACGTAAGTTGATACATTTCGCGTTTGCTCCTACACATCGCAATGTCATGTTCAATCACCCTGAAAAACTCATCATCGTGTTTCTTGTCTCTCGGTATTCCTTCCGATGATAGGACATTTTGCCTGTCTACATCGCCATCGTGCACAAGTAGACATGAGGCAACGTTGCTCCTTGTCCTCTACACTAGGATGATCAAAGGATGCCTCCTCAATGCAATCTTTTTCTTGGATTGCACTCGTCACTCTTTCACATCTCTACCATCACTGATCATTTCGGCCAAGCATTTTTTTTTCTTTCTTGCACAAGAGTAGTGATGTCAAGTTGTTCAATAAAACACCATCGCATCGTCACCATAAGCAGTGCTGCGGCTGACAGTTCTCACAATGATGCCAAGGTCAAAAAAGTAGTGATAACCTCAAAAGGTCTGCTGTGAGCGCAGCTCCCAATGTGAGATCACCAGGGACTGGGGAATGAGTTCGAGAACAACACCCTTCACATATTTTTCCTCTTTTTCTTCTTTCTTTCCTTCTCCTTCTCTCCACCCCCGCCACCCCCAACTACCCCCAATGACCACTCTGAGGATCATGAATCTGAAAGTTCAGGTTGTTCGCGAGGTAGAATACGACTCAAGCCAAAGCATCTTCGACTTAAGTCGAAGAATCTTTCTCCCATCGGCCCCCATCGTCCCAGGCGCGCCGGCTGATGCCACCTCCCACGACCAATCATTAAAGGAGGTCCTGGCTTGTTCAACGCCTCCTCACGACTCCCCGACCACATACTCAACAACTTTCGCGAGTATTACGCCAGACGCAAGTAACGCCAGCGAGCTGCACGCATGGCTGCTCTGGCTACCCAGAATGCTTGAATAGACATATCAATAAAAATGATATAATCTTCCGTTAGATTGCTGCAAGTGTTCGCGTTCTTTATTCAAGTGTAACAAGAGGGAAGGGGGCTCAAAGAAAGGAAATGATCAAATGAAAAATGGTGATGATGGTAACAACAGAAGAAAAAATGAAGTAAAGCGGAGGTGGAGAAGAGGGAAGGCTGGCAATGAAGGGCTTCTTGGCTGTCCTTTGCAACCCCTAGACAAGTGGTCTTGGATGCTCGAAAGCTCAACGGCGCTATGAAATCCTTCATCGCCAGCGCCCTTCCCTATTCTCCACCTCCGCTTCAGTTATTATCATTAGGTAGAAAGCAAACAAACTTGGTAGCGATTCCATCATCACCCCTGAATTATTTACATGTGATGGATTCGAGACTATGTTACTCAGGGGAGAGGGTCGAAGGCCAGAGTTGTAGGACCGCTGTTAAGTCCTCAATTGGTACGGGGGGAGGGGGGAGGGGTTGTAGGTTGAGGGGGGGTTGATAGTCGGGGATAGTGATAATAGCGTCCTAAAGAATCACACGAAACGATACACTGCAGCGCGCCAGCGAAACTCTTGTTAATACTGCTCTCGTCTAAGAAGTGATGTGTAAAAGGACCTTCTATTCATACTATCAAAAAGGGGGTTGTTACCTGCAGCGCGCCAGCGAAACTCTGCTCTCGTCTAAGAAGTGACAAAGAGCAGACAAGACACTACTAATACTATGTCCACTATATGACTGCTAATCTAAGGCATCGCCACCACTGTAACAATTAGTGCAGAGAAATTACTACCCCTTAACTTTTGATTTCCGCTCTCCCTCACAGGCCTGTATCAAACCTTTTCTTCGGTTACAACAGTTTGCCTTCACACTTTTTTGACATCGCCTTCCTTAATCAACAACCTTACGGGACTATAGCGACATGGCGTTTTGGAAACCAGGCACAGTGGCACCAGGCAGGTTCATTTGCTCAGATCAATTCCATGGAGAAACCACGCCCCATTCAATGCTACGATGAGAAAGATTTACCACTGACAGCATGCTGACTTTGCTATTTGCTTTAGGAAGCCTGGTGGACAGGGAGGCTGAGAAGGACAGCGAGGCAGCCATTGTCACATTCTCGGATGCCAAGTACTCGACCATGGCTATGAGTGAGCAGCGCAAGCAACTTCCAGTTTATAAACATCGTAAGTAGAACACGCCCGTTTTAACTCATTTGGTACACAGGGTGTGTGAAATGATAGCTAACATACCAAACAATTGCGGTTGAAACCACAGGAACTGAGGTCTTGTACCTGCTGGAAAACTATCAAGTTGTGGTGCTTGTGGGGCAGACTGGATCAGGAAAAACTACTCGTAAGCGCCTTATTGCTCGATTGGACGAACTGCTTGCTTGAGGGCGCATATCGTATTGGTAACAATAGTTGACCACCTTTCGTTTTGTTTCTACGCGATTAGAGATCCCACAGTACCTACACGAGAGTGGATGGACTGCAAGTGGGAGAGTGGTCGCTTGTACACAACCACGTCGCGTCGCAGCAACTACTGTAGCACAGCGTGTGGCAGAGGAAATGCAGGTCAACCTTGGCATGGAAGTCGGCTATTCGATCCGATTTGAAGACTGCACGGACCCCGGCGGCAAGACGCGGATCAAGTACATGACTGACGGAATGTTATTCAGGGAGGCGCTCATGGACCCGCTTCTGTCGCAATACAGTGTAATCATGTTGGATGAAGCCCACGAGCGGACACTCTACACAGACATCCTCATGGGCGTCTTGAAAAAGTATGACACCGTACCAGTTTGGAGTATTTGCACATTATGTTCAACACCCAGGCCAACATATCCTAACCTTCGTGCTCACTTGACGCGTTTCACCAATAGGATTTTGAAAAAGCGGCCAGAACTCAGGATTATTATTTCGTCCGCGACACTGGATGCCGAGGCATTTGCTGCATTCTTTTCGACCAACCGTGATCCAAAGGACAAGTCAAAGGACAATACCGCGATTCTATCTGTGCAAGGACGAATGCACCCCGTCGATGTTCACTACTTGGCCGAACCCACTTCAAACTACATCGAAACAGCCATTCAAACTGTGTTTGATATTCACACTAAGGAGCCCGCTGGAGACATTCTCCTTTTTATGACTGGAAGGGATGAGATTGAGGAGGTCGTTTCTGAGATTCGGGAAAGAGCAACAACATTGCCGCCCAACAAGTACGCGGAGATCCTGGCACTACCCATCTACGCTGGACTACCAACCGAGGAGCAGATGCTTATCTTTGAGCCAGTCGAAAAAGGCACGAGGAAGGTCGTTGTGGCCACCAATATCGCCGAGGCCTCTGTCACAATTCCCAGTATTGGCTTCGTGATAGACTCTGGCTTTGTCAAGGTCCGAGCATACAACCCACAGACTGGCATGGAGTCACTCACGACCACGACAATATCTCAAGCATCGGCGGATCAGCGGTCTGGACGCGCAGGACGCATTCGGAACGGCAAAGCTTATCGGCTTTACACGAGAGAGAGTTTTGAACAGGAGATGCGCCCAGCCTCGGTTCCAGAGATCCAACGATCCAACTTGGCAGGTATGGTGCTCCAGTTGAAGGCACTGGGTATTGAGAACGTTTTGCGGTTTGACTTTATGACGAGTCCCCCGGCAGAGATGATGAGCAAGGCACTGGAGTTACTGTATTCACTGAAAGCCTTGGATAACTATGGACGGCTGACGATACCATTTGGGATGCGCTTGGCCGAGTTTCCGCTGGATCCAATGCTGGGCAAGATCTTGCTTGACTCTCAAGTATTTGATTGCAGTCAGGAGATGCTTACTATCGCCGCCATGGTTTCCGTTCAGGTAAGAATCAGAGTGAATCTCATATGGTATTGTGCTTGTCTTTGAGTGAGAGCTTGCATGTTCATATGTGTCTGTGTTTGTACGTTAATTAGAACATTTTTGTGAATGCCACGAGCCCTGCCGCAGAGGAACAGCATCGCAAGTTCGGAGTGCTCGAGGGCGACCATATAACCCTCCTGAATGGTACGGTATTATCTCTATAAAGTCGAAGGCACACGCATGATAGTCAAAGACCACAGCTTGTTCAAGGTATTAACAACATGATTCCTCTATTCATACATCGAACGTAGTCTACGCGGCCTTCATCACACGCGGAAAAAAGTCTTCAAAGTGGTGCGCAAACCACTTGATCAACTTCAAGGCCATGTCCAGAGCACTTTCAATTCGGTCACATTTGGAGCGATACCTCGTCAAGACACTTGGTCTGACTGGGCCAAGTCAACTGCCGTCATGCTTGGGGGTAGACGGACCAAGGGTCAGCGATCCCAACGAAGCGACCATCAAGATCCGCAAGTGCCTCGTGTCCGGGTACTTTGCGCAGGCAGCAAAGATTGCTCCGGACGGTACGCATTGGATTAGCGCGTTGGAGGCTAGGCCGAAGGGGGCGAGAGCTTTATCATACACTCCGACGAAGCTGTGGATGCACCCGACGTCGATCTTGTTCAAGCAGACGCCGCAGTGGGTGATCTTCCACGAGGTGGTTGAGACAGGCAAGGGCAAGGCGTATATGCGCGAAGTGACTGCAATAGAACCCGAGTGGCTCGGAGAACTCGCGCCTCATTTTTATGTCCTCAACAAGCAGCTCTAGAGTGCCTAGCCTCCCTTGTACAATATGATTTTTTTTAAGGTAAAGATGGCCGTCCGTGACCACACATCATTAAAAATGGAGCTGTCGAAGTGTTCCTCGTATGTGCACATAGTCTCACCCAGTAAAGTATCCTAAACCGTACAGCACATGAGTATTGTAGAGCCCGCCCTCGCCGGGCCAAGGACGACGCGTGTGAGTCCAGGCGACCCTTGTTGCTTTGTGGGGTGTGTTCATGAGATCTAGGTGTGCTCCTCCTCCAACTTCTTGATGGCCATGTTACCTCTCCTTCCATAATATCCATGCGCCTCTGGCCCAGCAGTGTGTCGATGACTGCTCAACCAGCCCACTCGATTATTGCTCTGTTCGACTGGGCACCGATGTTCTCTGTGTTCTGCTACGGCTCGTCCGCAAAGGCACTCGTCCTCTTGGGGTTTCCGCCCATAAATCTGTTGCCACCTGTGGGTCTGTGTCCACTGTGCCGTCTGCTCCGTGGTGGTGCGTGTGCGCTTCATGCTGTTGGTGATGCTGTGTTCCTCCTCTCACCTGATGGTCCTCTCGCAGCGTGACTTCCATAACTGCTCCCTGGCCTCCTTCTCGACATATGGCAAAAGAGACGGCTCGCGTGTTGGGTAATGCTCTCTGTTACGTCCTCGAGCACCTTTGCTGCACTACGTAGCTAGGGCTTTCGGCACTAGGTCTCGGTTGATGTGACTGACTGTCCACGCGCTCGGGCTTTGTTGTTCTGGTTCCTCCTCCTCCTCCTTCTCGCCTGGCCGCTTGATCGCCTGCCACAGCGCCTTGCGGAGCTTGCTGGTTCTTGATATCTTCCATATGGTCTCGGTGTGTGTGTGTGTGTGTGTGTGTGTGTGTGTGCCTGTTTTCCTGGCTTGGGCTGCTTCTGTCGCTGTTTGTTGAACTGTTCTGTGGCGATCTCTTCCTATCCGTCGACTCGATCTCCTCTGCCATCTCTTTCCTGCGTGCCTTGACCTGTTGTTTGAATTTCAGCTTGAGTGTGAGTGCTGCCTCTGCCGCCTCTTTTGCCTTCGCGCGCCGCTCTGCCTCCTCGAGCTTCTGGTCCAGCTTCTGCTGCCTCACCCTGGCCTCGCGGTCCTTGCGGTAGATAGTCAACTCGTCGGTGATTTTTGTTTTGGATTGCCGGTGGAGTTTCTTGTTGTGTTTTTCCAGTTGTTTGTTTCTTGTCTGCGAGGGAGTGTCTGGTTACTCCATGCGCTTGAAGGGTGATATTTCTGTTGCTGCTGCATCGATGCGTGCTGTTGTTGGTGTAGTTGGTGTAGTTGGTATTGTTGCTGCTGCTGCTGTTGTTGTTGTTGTTGAAATAGGGGATGAAGGAGAAGACGGAAAATGAGGAAGACGAAGAAGAAAAAGGAAAAATGAATGGGGGTGGGCGTGTGATCGGGGTGTGCTGACGGATTGCGTGTGGGAACTAAAAGAATTGGTGAGTTAGAAGATGACGCTGTGAAGGCCGCTGATGATACTTTTGTCGATGCGTCTTTGGTGTAGTGTATTGATGTGTTGTTCGGCCAGGGCGTCCTTGAGGTTTCGGAGCCCCTAGAATCTTGTGTAGTGCTGGATACTGTTGGGTGTGCTGCTGGGTAATACTAGTTTTTGACGGACGACCTTTCTGTACTGTGCTATGATCCGCTCGATTTCCAGCCATGCGATGAGGGTTGCTGACATCCGATACAGAAGTCGGGGGGATGAGGACTGCGTTGGTGATGAAGATACATTGTTCGTCTGTGACCTTCATCCTGCTCAGGATGTTGCATACTGTGCTTGTTTCCGTCCACGCCAACTCCTTTGTAGCCGTTACTTTGCCATCGCAGCCCCAAGATACTTGATGCCTTGATTTTGTCCTCAGACTTTTTTCGCAGGTAATGGTGCCGTTGTGTGCTGGGTTGATCGCCAGTAACCCTCTTCTTGCTGTTGGTCTCGATCCCGTATATCCTAAAGAACTCGCTCGACACATCAGTGATCTGTTCCAAGCTGGGCTGTGAGGGGGCGATGATGTTTGTATCGTCTACGAAAGCTGCATTGGAGACCATGGGAGGCTCCATGCCTAGTGCCGGCGGGTGTGGTCATGATATATCCGAGTTTTTGCCTATCGATGGCGACTAGGAGGGTGGCGTACGCGATACGCCAGAGGAGGGGGCACTCGACGCCGCCTTGGTCAAGCCCGCACGCTGGGCTGTACTTGACTGTTAGTCCGTAGCTGGCGATGGAAATTTTAGACCCTACATGGAAGATATCGTTAAAGCATGTTTTGTTACATTGGGGGGTCTGGCACGAATTCACACATTGTGATATTACTCTCTATTGAGAATGACTGCCTCCGCGCATCAAAGACCTTTAGGTTCCACTTCATGTCCTTAGTATGGAGCTGCTATTAATTTACCCGTAGGGAGCTTGTGGTATTTAAATAATCAGGTCGGTCTGCTAAACCCATGTAAAATTTTACATATAGATCATTCGCCACACTCTGCTTTGGACATACGAACAATGTGAGATGATCCGGGCCTTTCAAGTCCGATGATGAACCAATGTCGGTCCATGCAAAATGCAAAATGCGAAAAAAGTCAAGTTGTGATCAACGAGGTTACGAATCAGGAGAATGAACGACAGGAATCTAGGACCCGGTCGGTGCATTGATGAATGGGCATTTCCAAAAAAGAAAAAAAAAAAAAAAAAAAAAGGCCGAAATCAGTTTGGCATGCTGATTCCCTCTCTTTCTCTCCTTTTTTTTCTTCTTTCTAGCTCCCCTCACCTTGCACAAAAACAGGACAACCACCTTTCGCGTCTATTTCATGGATTTTGTATGTGCTATGCGCGTTGTTTCATGTTGCAGTTGTCTTTTGTTTGTTTGACTGGGACGCTCGTTGCCTTTCTTTTTCCTCTTTCTTGTATCTATCGTTCCCACGGTCGTCATACCATGTGCACTTTGTCTTATCCCTCCGCGTCTTGGCGTCCTTTCTTTCCTTCATTTTCCTTGAATAAACCAATGGCGTTATTTCTTTCCTTTCGTTTTCCTTGAATAAACCAATGACGTCCTTTCATCAGGATAAGGGAGTGCACACGATCAGCGTGCAGGCAAAAAGGACGGGAGCATATGAAAAAAGGGACTGGCTGTCATTTTTTCGGCAGACCATCAGTCTATTCTTTCTTATCTCCGTCCTTTCCTTTCCATCCTTCTTTCCTTTCTTTTTTCCTTCCCTTCTTCTCTCGTTCCCCTCACCTTCACCCCCACCTTCACCCTCACCTTCGCCCTCACCTTCGCCCTCACCTTCACTTCCGAAACGACGACGAACGGTAACCAAACAACGACCCCTTACACCCCTTCCCCTATCTCTCTTCCCTCAACCCTTCACTCTCCCCATTCCCTTTTTCACTTCTTTACCTTTCTTCCCTTCTTCCCTTCCCTCATTGTCAGCCCTTTCGACCGCCCTTGTCTCCTTTCTGCAACGTAATCGATTCGAAGCGTGTTGGCTGATGCTTTGTTTGCTGACCTTCTCTTCTTCTTCACCCATCCCAACCCTCTACTCCACAGCCACGGAACAAAAAGCAGGAACACACGCCTCCCACGACTTTTCCTCATCTCTGCCCCTTTCCACAAGTCTAACATTCAAAACAACAACACCCTGGTCGAACAACCAAAAAGCTGACAAAAAGATAAGTGCCAGTTTATTGATTTTTTTTAAGGGAGAAAAGAGGAGTGGAAAAGGCAGAAGAGGTCATAGACGAGGATATAAGACGGAGGGAGAGGAAGGTGCTCAACTGACACATTTGCGCTTGCAAGGTATGGTCCCTTCTCGGAACTTGCAAGGCCTGAGGCCTTCAGAGATAAACAAGTGCACATGCCTTGTTTACATTGAGACACTGCATGCTCTTTATTGCCGGCAGAAAAGGGGCGTATTTACGCGCCTGCGAATTGTCGCGAGCGAAAGACATTTCAACATGTCTAAGGCATCGGGCCGACCGAGTGCCAGTCTTCTGGACATATTTGGCCCTAATGTTGTTGCTGAGTATTCGTCGGAGTAGCATATAAGAAGTAGTATAAAGAGATGTAGTCTCACTACCCTCTGAAGGATGGGCGGTAGGCTCTGGGTTGGGGCCTCTATTTTGCGAGTTTACGGAGGCCAACCGGAGACAGATGTTGTTATTGCTCGCTTTTTTTTTCTTTCTTTCTTATTATGTTATATGGTCACTTTTTTTTTCACTTTTCTTTCCAATGGCACCTTAATATCGTTAGTATTTCTGGCTCTCATGTTAACTTTTTTCCCCACTCTTTCTCTCTCATATGTCCCTAGGATGTTAATCAGGATGCGGACCAGATTCGACAAGAATGGCGTGTTCGAGACGGACAAGACTGGAAACGAGGGGAACAAAAATCGACAAGGAGTGGTTGTGATCGTGGTGATGGCCACGGACGTGGATAGCATCGGTTTCATAGCACACAGAGTATTATTGGACATTAAACAATGACTGACAAGCAAACAATGACTGACAAGCAAACAATGACTGACCAGCAACAATGACTGACAAGCAAACAATGACTGACCAGCAAACAATGACTGACAAGCATGCAAACAGACATTTTTGGTTCTGAACAAGACATGTGTTTGAATTAAGAGACTTTCCACGAGCGCGTTTTCGTTTTGATCGCGGTACGCGTCAGTGGTAATTATTTATGATCGTGTGTCAAATGAGCATATCTCCTTTTTATTCCTACCTGTACTTTTTCTATCTGCGACCCTCCTACCCCAATAGCCTCCACTCTCGCCTCTCACCTCTCACGACCACTTGCAGATGGCCTTTGCAACCACACCACTCATGCACCAGAATCGATCCGACAAAGACAAGTTTAGTCCCTATTGCCTTTTTTCTTTAGGAGTCAAGGGAGTGTGAGGTCAGGTGGGATGTAGGTGAAGAGGTGAAAGACCAAGAGCACGACGATAAGAATAAAGAAAAAGAGGATGGTGCTCAACAGGCGTCCTGGATTACCAACCTTTCTAGGGGTTCTGTGGCGTTGGACGATACACCAAGAAAGAAAATAGAAGTCGACGCACTCATCATCCTCGTGATGATCGCAATCGCAGCCGTTCTTGCCGTTGTCAAACTCAACAAGTCCGAAGCCGACATCCACCACCCCCTCCTCCTCGACCAACAGGCCTCAATTACTCCCCTCGCGGGTGAGGGCTGCGTAGGTCATTCACCGTGCCAAATCTGTGCCTGTTGGGTCCTCGTTGGCAAAGGTTCCTCTTGAGAGAATCGGGACTCTGCACGATGTCTGGCAGAACGGTCTTACTGCCAGCTCAACCGGCCGCTGCTTTATGTACATACTCCAGTACCAGTTTTCTTATGTCGGGCTAAGTGTACTGTTTTTTTTCCCCAAGAGATGCCGATGTCTCCTCTGCGCACAGTGAGAGCTATACATTCAGCTTGTAGGAGAATTACTTTACGCCTTTGTTTTTTCTGGATCATTACAGTATTGTTATAGTCTAGAGGACTGTACCGGCCAGCAAGGTACTTCAGCAAAAACGAAGCCTGTCTCTCATTTCATCTTGTTCACTCTCTATCTCTATCTCTCTCTCTCTCTCTCGCTCTCTCTCTCTCTTTTCTCTGTGTGTGCGTGTGCTGTTTGTTGTTTGCCCTCTAATATGGATCAATTGAATAACAAGCACACTGACCTCATCTCATCCTCTCTTCATTGACTCTCCAATCCGTCCTATCTTAATAACATATGTCCGCCTTTTCCCTATTATTACTTCTACCCTTCCCATTTTTTTCACCCTGTTCTCTGTTTTGTGTTCTCTAGTTCTTCCTCTCTCACTCATCATAATAAGACCAGTTTGTGCCAGTGCCAGTCCACTGTCGCTTTCGCAATTCCTTCTCTATTCGATCCAACTACTACCGCTCCGCCTTTATTATGTACGATCTCGCCCACATCCACCCAGCATAATCAACGATGTCCTTTGTACACTCAAACAGCAAATAGACAAAACAAGCAAAACAAACAAACGACTAAACAATAACTGACAACCGACACCCTTGATTCCGAAAAAAGGATATGCATACCGCCATCACCGCAATCTCGTCACTGCTTTCATACGCTCCTCCTCTTCTTTCAACTCTTTTTCTTCGTTTTATCCTTCCTCGTTTTCTTCCTCTTTTTTCTTCTTCATTTTCTTCCTCTTCTTTCTTCTTCATTTTCTTCCTCTTCTTTCTTCTTCATTTTCTTTATCTTCTTCATCGCATCTGTTTTCCACCTAGTTCTCCCACCCCTCACCAGCAACAGCAGTAACAAGCGCAAAAAATCATTCCACTTCAGCCTCTCCCCGAACTGTAAACACCCACACCGGCATCACCACCTCCCATCTTCCACCCTGTCAACACCACCGCCACAACAAGAACAACACTCGCCAATGCTTACATCACTACACCTCCTACCAAATCCTTGCGCTACATACGATTTCATCTCTGGAACACACCAAACCCCAGTCAAGTCAATTCTGCAGCCATTCAAGGGGGTTCTAGAGTTAGCCTTTGGGACAGACTATCGTCTTTTGGGCTCTACTCGCGCGGTGGCTATAACAATTGCAGCAATTGCGTCCTCCTCGTTCAAGACCGCCAATGTCGGCAACCCGATCGACGACCCGGTCTTCGCTCAATTCAGGAGGCGGCTCTACCTCCGCTCTTTATACACTCACTTTCCTTCCCCCTCTCCTTCTTCCATCCCATCGCCTCGCCCTTGCACTCGTCACAACAACAACAACAACAACAACAACAACAGCTACAGCTACAACTACAACAACCAAAACGACAGCGGCAACGACAGGAGGTTTTATATAAGCGACTGCAAGGGCTCTCTCGACGCACCTGCCTGTTCTATTACCACTTCTTCATCTTCCATTGCTATCAATTATTCTTCTTCCTTCACCACGTTTTCAAACACCATCCTCACTCAAGCACAAACGTTTCATCCATATGTGTCCTGTTGTTAATTGCCGTCTGCTGTTCCGGGGTGATGTAACCCTATCAACAAGACCAAGTCCAACAAGGTAGGGTAAATATTTATCAAGTTTAAATTTGAGTGTTCTTTAACTTGCCACCAAACGAGAAGTAACCTTGCATTGTTTACTGCATTATTACCTTACGTGGCGCCGCTTCCTGCTCGTCGTCATCCAACCATCTCACCCCAAACAACGTCAGCAGCCCTGCGAATTGGAATTTCTATGCAGAAAAAAAGGCATGAATAAACCCCATGCGGTATTAGTCTCGGCTTTCAACTCGGTACCAGTTCCCGTGTTCATTGGACCTATAAACGCAAGCACAATATATGAATATACTTGGCTTTACCAATTCTTCACTGCAAGGGTACCAGTCACTGCGCTCCATGACATGTGTATCGAAGATAGTGGTCCGCCTTTTACCCTATTTTGAATAAAACAAACAAACAGCAAACAATAAGCGTCGTCAGAGACAAACCCACACCCTTGTGACTTTCGTTGTGAAATCTCTAATGTTCTCAAGCCTACTCCCATGGGGTATCATTCTGGTATATGGCTGGAAGGTGGATGACTTACTGGGCGCTCCACTCCATCCCGAATGAATATGAAGATATCCTGAACGTCTACCAAATTACGAGCAAAAGAAAAAACGATTGGAATCAAATGTCAGCAGTTCTCCTCGATCATCTTTCGATTGCGTCTTGCACATTTCATTAGCTTCATGGCGTGTCAGCAACTGCTTTAAGGTTCTTACTGATGTGCATGTGTACACGACAGACAAAGTTCTCTGTCAACCAGACGCCGCACACGTTGGGATCGCGCCCAACAGCGTTGATGCCTTTGTACAGGTAAAAAGTCCTGTCTGGCTGATTGTCGAGTCGGGAAGAAATCTTCAACTTGGCAACCGCCTTCTCGCCGCCGTCTGTATTCATGTGCGGGTGTTGGTGAGTGAGTGGGTGTGTGAGTGAGTGTGTGAGAGTGGGTGTGCAAGAGTGGGTGTGTGAGTGTGGGTGTGTGAGTGTGAGTGTGTGAGAGTGAATGATGGCAAAATGAAAGGGCAAGAAGGGTGTATTTATATGTCTCCGACATAGTCATTTTGACTCCCACATACAAAAGAAAAATCAATACGCGGTGATGGCTATACATTTAGCTTGCGGTGATGGCTATACATTTAGCTTGCGGTGATGGCTATACATTTAGCTTGCCGTGATGGCTATACATTTAGCTTGCGGTGATTGCTATACATTTAGCTTGCCGTGATGGCTATACATTTAATTAGCTTGCGGTGATGGCTATACATTTAGCTTGCCGTGATGGCTATACATTTAGCTTGCCGTGATGGCTATACATTTAGCTTGCCGTGATGGCTATACATTTAGCTTCGCTTAACGCCTTTTTTTTCTTCTGGATCATTGCAGTATTGTTATAGTCTATGAGACTCTCTCTCTCTCTGTGTGTGTGTGCTGTTGTTGTTTGTCCTCTTTTACACACTCCCCCTCAACCCCCTTTGTCTACCTATCTTCTAGCTGAACGTATGTATGCATGTTCATGGATGCTAACCCCTGAATTGCTGTCTGTCCTTTGCTACTACTGCTGCTGGCGTTGACCTGTTTGTTTGTCCGTCCTTTCTCGGAAGCAACAGAAATGTAACCAAACCGAGGGACAGTCGCCACTGCGGACACCCATATATCTGATCCAAGCTTTTGAATCCGATCAAGCCATGCCATTGGTCACTCGTCCTGCGCAGAGGGCTACTTCTGCAACCTTGGAGAATAGCGAAACTGGCTGCTGGTACTGCTATTGTTGTTGGTGTTGTTGGCCTGTGTTGGTTTAACTGTTGCTGTTGATGCGAACTGGTCGCTGTCGTAACCTTGTGCAACATGGACCGAGTTGGGCGTGTGGACAACCATGGGCTCAAGATCAAACAACAAGTCCTCCAAACCCCCAATCGTCAAACCCATCCTCCCCGACTTGGCTCACCACCGCCACGACCCCCTCTGTCCCTCTCACTCCTTGGAGGATCGTTGTTGGAAGGGATACATGCGAGCTCGGACTGAGGAGTAGTGGTGGCCGACGAGTCCAGCCTATTAACCTTCCCCGTCGTTAACCCTAGCCCTGCATCTAAATAAAGTGAAGTCGTCGAAAGGCAGCATAAGAAAATTGGATCCAATGGATCAATTTTCATGGTCATAATCCGGTGCTATAAGAAGCCTTGTTCTTGCCACATGGCTGAGTGAAACGGCGTTCTTTGGCTGCAGAAGCAGCATACGCCTTCTTGGTCAGCAGTTCTGTAGTTCTCCTGTCCTTGGAATTCGCCTTAGTTTGTTCAAAGTCGCGCAGCAGGGGCCGTGTTGCCGGCTTGGCTGAATGGGCGTTATCCAGGTCCTGGGGTGTGTAGATATGCTGCACCGGATTGTTGCTGAGAGTCTTCTATGCGGCTGTTATATCCTGGGTTATGTGGCGTTGTCGCTTTTTGGCAGTATGTGTTGACTGTGCGAGATGATTGGTCTGGGGTGCTGTAGTAGTAATCACAGTGGGAACGGCTACTGGCTCTTGTAGCTCTTGCGCAAGCTCGTATTGGAGGAGTAAAGCCCTTTCCGTGTCCTGTGTGTCGGCAAGGTCTATTTGTTTTTGAGCAGAATAAACCCATTTAGTATCCTAAATAATAATAGGCAGCTTCATATCGTTCTAAAGACACATTTGATCACCAACATAATACCGTGTGTTACCTTGTAGACGTTTAAGCGGCGCGACATATCCTTACCGAAATTCCCACCGTTTGCAGCATCTTGGCTATTTCTGGGTCCGTTGTTCCAAAGTAACATGATGTCTACCGCAAAAAACCGGGCCCCGACAAATCAATGCACGCAGTGAGATTTTTACACACGGGCCTTGTCCATGTTGGCTGTGAATGAACTCCCGAGCTGCTGCCCGATCTAAAAAAAAAAAAAAAAAAAAACATAGACTTGAAACAAGGACAATTGTAAGCTGTTGATAACATTTTCTTTCAAAAACTCACCTTCAACGACACCCTGCTCATCTTGCAGTAGAAAGTTACCATGTTGATCTTTCGCTTCAACTCTGCTGCGTAGCGCGTCAATCAGAGAATCACCCACTGGTGTCGTAGCAGAAGTCCTTCCCATAGCCTCCAACTGTTCCTCCAGGCCTGGCAACTGAACATGACGAATCTCAGGCTCTGACTCCGCCAGTCCTCGCAACGCATTGATGATGGTGTTCAATCTAACGGCCTTCATGTCTGATCCCGGTTGACGAAGACAACGGGCCAAATATGACTGTAGGCTTCGCAGACGTTTCCGCCAGTGTGGTGATGTATATGAGAAGCGCGCCGAGCCAACTGCTCGGTTCCGAAAATGGTGGTCACAAGCACGCCACCAAAATACCACTCAAAGGGCAGATCCTTTTCTCTTATTCTTTTTGATCCACTCTTTTGATTGTTATTCTGACCAGCAAGGACCACTCGACCACCTTTCGATAGGTATTGTCATGATGGCGTATCCTAGCCATGTTCCCGTTCCCTTCTCAGTCAGCATTGAAAGCAGGATCTCCCAGCCACCCCTGCGCATTGTCAACAATGAATACAATGCGCACTGGGTAGCACAAGGAAACCCACCACCGACCGGCTTGTCCATACTATCCTTGACACTATTTGCGCAACCCCTGATCTCAAAGAGGTCCACTTTTCGCCCTGCCCATGTTTCTGCCAGTTATCGATCCGACCGCCATCGTTGGTACTGTCCGACCTATCGTCTAACGGCGGACTACGGTGCAACTGTCAACCTATATTATGGAATAGCCGGTGCCCAGGGGTCTACTTTACTGTTAGCACTCGTTACATTTATTCTCCCTCTCTCCTTTTATTTTTGTTTTGTTTATTCTATCGATCCCACATATGTGAACTCCTTGGTTCCCTCCTTTTTCATCCTCACGGATATAGTCCTTGCTCCACAGCCCATTTGTTTAGACTAAGTCCCCCCGCAGATAGTCTTGTTTACATCATCGGACCAGCACTTTCGACTCTTGGCGGTCTTCATGGCCGACTCCTCCTTCCTGGCGTCCCGCTCCTGCTTTTGCTGAGCCTCGCGTTTTCTGCACTCCTCCTCCTCCTTTCTCGCCGTGAGATGCTGTCGTAAAACAATGTTGCAGAATGTGTGAAATATTTTGTCGAATAATGGACCATCCCAGATGTTGGTAAAATTAGACGAGATGTCGTTAAGCATGACCCTGGTGGTGCTTGAAAAGTTGGCAAGAGGGTGGATGTTTGTATCGACACTTGATGAAGGTGTTGGTGGTGACGAGGCGCGTATGCTGTCAGAGAGATCCTGCCAAAATGTGTGATCGACTTGTGAGGTGCTTCCATTCCCTGAGGTGTTGTCCTCGTCTGCGTGGACGCCAAGATGCCTTGCAGACAAAAACGACAGCGCTCATAAAGATAAAGTACTGCGGACATCCTTGCCTTGAGGTGTATCGTCCTTGGTCTCAATCAATCAATCTCTCGAACTCCGGATCCAGGGCTGCTACGGACATCCGTACAGTATCGAGATCGACATCGGGCAGACGAGACTAAAAGCCGGCCGGGAATATCTGGCTCAAAAGAAAGCCGTCATCAGTCCCACTCTTGAACTGCAGCCCGGCTTGATTACGATATGAAAACAACAACCACATATTAGTAAAAACGATCTCTTCCTTCCTTGTAAAACACTGCCTGCTGGAAATGCATGCATGCATGTATGCATTCAAAGCAACACAACAAAGCTAGTCCCTCCAAGTCCACCTTCCTTCGAGAAGGTTAACATTTGATGCGAAATCAGATGCAATATCCTGCTTTGCTTCCAGTATCTCTGCAATCTCGTCGTGCTGTTCGTGTAAAATCAGGCCTCAGAGACTGTAAAAGCGTCATAGTAAACGACTAGTACCCATTCCTAGGGTCTGCATCATCCTCATCAGTATCGGACTTGCTGTCGAGATCCACGACGTTACTCTCTCCTCCATCGTCGACATCCATGCACTTGTCCATACCCACACTTGCCTTGTCCATCATATCAGCTGAAGGCCTTGGAGTTGTTGTTGATGACGATCCAACTAGGGGCGCCACGGCCTTGCTCTCACTGCTTGCGATGTTGTTCCTTGCAGCAGATCCCATAGCCTTCTTGCCCTTGGGTTGGTAGTCAGACCCATGAAATACTCCATCGACTGTCTCCTTCCGCCGGACGGACCTCCATGTCACTACCCGTTGCCAAATCCTCACCGGTCTTTTTCTGACTTTGACTTTAGCCATTTTGCGGGTGATTTTGATGTTGCTGAGCTCCTTTTGTATCAACTCCATGTACTCCATGAAGACTCCGTCGGGGGTTTGAGGTTTTTTCATCGGACGTGCTCTGAGATCCTGCATAGTGGCGTTTCTGTTCTTGAGATTGGACTTGGGCGATAATTTCCGAACTTTGTCGGCCTCTGCAAGAATAAAATTGTCCAACCGGTGACGACTATAAGCATATTGAAAGAAAAAAAATTGCTTTAGAGGTCTGCAGTCTTTATCCATGGCGTTTCCATTGAGTGGCATTGCTTTCTTTTGGATAAAAGAGCAATAACTTGCCAAGCAGAGGCATAGACCTCAATCACCACACTATCGTCAAACTCAGTCAGTTCCTGAACCTGTTTGGTTCCTTTTCTCGCGCGTTTCTCATGACGAAGAATGGCGGAGTGTGGGTGTTGGGGATCGTAAAAAGGCGCAGGAGGAGAAGGCGTAGAGGAGGGAGGGGGCTCTGAATGACGAGCAGGACCCAGGACAAAGTACTTCACGAACGTTCCAATGCCATCACACGTCCTCAAAACCCCCATCGAGAAGCAGGGCGTCTTGCCGTCTCCAGGTGCGAATCGACCCGCTGTCCCAACGGAGGTAAACTTGTAGATGATGCAGTTGAAATGCCTCGCCAGGAACTCAACAAAAAAGGACCACGGTGGTCAAGAGGCAAAGACAACACGGTGGACGGTGGAGGGTCGGGGTCGACATCTTGGTGTGGATGACGCTCATTTGGACCCTTGATGTTTAGCGCAAAAAACCGTGAAGAAGCCCGCTCTGATCCTGACCACCTTGCATCCGGATTCCAGCGCTCAGCAAGGTTTCCGCCACATAGTGGGGGAAGGCTGTCAGAGGTGATGTTTATTAATGTTGCGCGCTCTGTCTAATAGAGTCTCAACAGTCAACAGCCTGTCCAGAAGTCGAGCCTTCACGTCGGCCACATCTCCGGTGAACTCCGTGTCCTTGAGAGCGTGAAACGCTTCATCTAGTTGATGCCGATGCGACATGTCGTCCATTAGAGTAGGCGCCCTTGCCAGCCATTCTTGGTCGTGAGAAATGTAGAGTATGTCGGTCTGTAATAACAAAACAAGACAACATGTGTCCTGTCCTTCCCAACCAATTGGAAAGTACAGTACTGTGCCCGATACTGCACATAAAAAAAAACTTTAATTTACAGAGTTTTTTGCAGGAAGGAGGGTAGCTCGCATTTGCTTCCTGCCATGGCTTCCTTGAATGCTGCTACAGACCATCGCTCTTCATTCATTCAAGATGGCCGTCCTTCTCGTGCCGGTAATCGCGGCACAGCTCGCTATGTTTTACGGCCTTGACGACTACGGGTTCGATCAGGACGACAAAGACGAGAACCCAGCTCTTCACCGTCCGTTTCTGCTTGATGCCTCATTTGACGTACGCGTATATTTCGACGAGTTCACCTGTGTCCAGCTGGAGGAGATCCTTGAGGTCCTCCAGGTTCCCCCAAGGACCAAAAGCCGTGACAGTGACAGGGACAACGTCGATTCGCTTATGGTACTTTGCATGACCATATACCGTTTGTCTTACCCAGCCCAGCTTGACGAGAAAGCAGAAGAGGGGGAAAGAAAGGAGTGAATGAACCAAAGGAGAAAAAAGAAAGGAAGGAAGGACGCGTCCTAACATGGGTCAAAAGTGGTTGGTTGATGGAACTTGATGGACCTTTCACTCTTCACTCTTCACTCTTTGCTCATTCTTCTTCTTCTCCTCCTCCTCCTCCTCTTCTTCCTTCCTCTCCCAACCAACGTCTCCTATTCACATTCAGTAATAACACCAGCAACAACCACAACAGCATGGCATCCACCTCCACCTCACACACTACTTCATTGTCTCCTCTCGACCTGCCAGAGATCCGCGCACACATTGCCCGATACCTCGACAGCAGCACACACGACCTATATGCTCATGCATCCTCGTCTCAAGGACATGGCGGTCCGACTTTATGACTCAGCTCTGGCACACCATTCACGTTGACAGCTCGCTCTATACTACCTCAGCCAACGCATCTTTCACCAGGACGAGCACCTAGGTCGAGAGTTGGTCATGCACGACCCAGTCTTCTTCCTAGAACGGTGGCCCGGGCCCTCTTGTCGATATATCAACCGCCTAGAATACCGTCCTTATATTGCTCAATGGCGATGGACCGCTCCCAACTATGCTTCTTCGGGAGAAGAAACCTCCTCTGACGAATCTTACCAAGGAGACTACGACGATGACGACCTGGACAGTACCTTTGACGATGACCTCAAGAACGACATCAACAACAGCACCAGCGACACCAAGAACAGCGCCAGCAACACTACAACAGCGCCAGCAACACCAACAACAGCACCAGCAACATCAACGACCCATCAAGCAGTCCGAGAAAGATGGGCAGCACATCGGTATCCATTCGAAGGTTCCCTCAACTTGGTCGACAGCAGACGCCCCTCTCGCACCTGAACGAGGATTGGGGTCTCCACTCCAAGGAGCACACGCTACGGTTTGCAAGGGGCTTCATCCGGTGTCAGCATCAGAGCCTTGTTTTACTGCATATCACCAAGTGGATAATCTCTGTCCCAAAGATGAACATGTTGATCAGGAACTGTTCTCGTCTGAAGCAGTTATTCCTGCGGTCCGTTGAGATTGTACCCGTGAATTCAGACTTTAACACTGCTGCGTTTCCTGACCTTCAAGACGAGGAGAGGGAGGAGGAGATGGAGACGGAACAGGTTGAGGAGGGGCAAGTGGATGAGGAATAGGTTGAGGCGGAACAGGTGGATGAGGAGGAACAGGTGGATGAGGAGGGGTAGGCAACCACGACAACAGACTCGACATCGGTACTGGACTTTCGTCAAATCAAGGGGATCCATATTGATCAGATTGTCCTCCACACCAACCGACTCTCGTTTCGTGGCCAGGGTCTGGAGTCGATTGGGTTTGGGGCCTACGCCTTCTTCACACGCTACGCCATCTTCAACAGCCTGCGGCCCCTCACCTGGAGTTTCCCAACACCAAGAGTCTGACCTATATTGGCAAAGGCCGCGATATTCACATACCGAGGTTGGCAATGCGACCCAGGACATCCTGACCTCTTGCTCTCCCGACCTGATACCATTGCGTCCACCGCGGCTGTCGCAGCAACAGCAACAGCGACAGTAACAGCGACAGCAACAGCAACGTCGGCTCTTGGCAGACGAGGCACTCCTCAAGTCACGGCAGCTCAAGGAGGTCACCATCAGTAACTGTTCCGTTTGCAGGTCACTCGTCTCGTCAATTGTCAGTACATTTGGGGAGGCTGGAGGTATTGGATCTGGTCGACTGTGGAGGTCTGTCGAGACTCAACGTTCACCAGATCTTGGTTCGATGTGAGAACTTGAGGTTGTTTCGAGGACCAGAGTCGTTTCTGTGAACGAGGGATATGGTGCTCTCTGAGCAACCCTGGTCGTCACGGCGCCTGAAGGAGCTTGTGGTCTTGATTGGAATTGGAATGTCGCTGGACAAGGATGCGACCAATCTTGCAGAGATGGCAGACACTACGAGTGTCAAGGCGGTGTTGGCCCCGAAGTCGACTCGGCGGTCGATTAATGTTATTCTTAACCAGATTGCGCAACTACAGGATCTCAAGGTTCTTAATCTGAGTGGCGACTTGGACTACCACCTGGCAGAGGACTGTCGCAAGGGGATCCCGTTGGTGCTTATTGTTGGTCTGGACAAGCTGAGAAGCCTGAGCAAGTTGAGGAGGGTGTATGTCTCTGGATGGGAGGATGAGATGAGCGCGAAGGAGGCAGAGTGGATGAGTATACACTGGCTACAGTTGGAATACATCCACAACCGAGAAGGTGGAGCCGGCTCTGTCTGGCGCGAGTTCTTGACTACGCTCAATCATCTCCTCCAGCACGCTTATTTCGCATCCAAGTAATTCTTTTTTTTTCCCCTCCGACAAAATTGTCATCCACACGCCACCATTTCTTCTCCCCTTCCCCTTGTCCGGCGATGGACTTCTTCCCAGATCCGAACCCAAGAACCACTTCTTCCAGCCCAGGAATATACGATCGCAACGGCGACGGGGACAAATACAAACTGGACTACATCCCTTTTGCAAAGTAAGGTACGTCTGTTTCTTCGTTTGTATGCTTTATGATCCTTTGCAGGTACGTACAGGAACAACCTGAAAATTAACTTTATACCCCTCTCTGCATGTGCTTGTCGTTTTTTGAGTCTAGGAGTTCCAGCACAATCGTGAAGCAGGCAGGGTTGTTCGACACGACCGGCGCCAACTCCTTAAAGATGTCGCAGCAGCAACCTATCGATGATCGATGGGGTCTTGGGTTCCCAGATGGTAATACATCGCAACATATAATCCTCTTTACCACATATCTACGTACACGTCGATAAGAAAGATCGCATTTTCATGAGCCCACTTGTACCTTTATGCTTGTAGATCCCAGGGTCCCTAGACTAAGTAGATCGGACCATGAGGATTCTCCTACGACCGACATGGCTAGAAATACTTTCTTGTCACAAGCTCAAGAAAACAATATGGATCCTGCCTTCGGCCTTGGTGTTGGCGCCACCAACAGTCTCGCCGGGGTCGGCATGCTTAGCAGTGGTGGCAGTGACATCTCTCCAGGCCTGTACCAGTCTCCAAGTCCACCTCTGTCTATGACTATCCCAATGTCTTCTCAGATGATCCAGCCACAAGTATCATTTTTTCAGGCGGTGGTCGAAATACCTGCGCCATTAACGAATCCAAGGATTAGGAAGGTAAGTCGGTCCTCGAGGTTGAATGACAAGTATGCTCGCATGAGGGTGCGAGTTTTGTTTTATTGCAATAATAGACGATGTTGATGGACACTGCGATATCCCTCGTGACGTCGGTCGGTCACCTCCGTGTCTCTCATAGCGTTGATCGGAGCATGTTTTCTTGGTGTCTGTCGATGAATAATGTAATAAACCCAAAGAAATCGATTCGAACGTTGTAGATTGAAATGGAGCTTGTTGCTCAGCTACCGTATTCATACCCTCGAGTTGAGCGACACCAGTACGACCAGCCGACTATCTCTGATTCATGGAGTGCTGTTGGTACGTCTAGTCAGCGACCACTTGGTCTTCCGCTTGCTGGCGTTCAATGTGCTCAAGTACTCCTCCTCTCAACGCGCACCGGCCCAACAGACCTATGGGCGAGGAAGAGGAGGTGCTGGTGGCGTTGCGTTTCCGACTCGGCACTTCAAGATGTCGTCACCGGCTGGGGCGACAGGCGCTTCAAGTCCGAGCTCACATGTGTTCCTTCCAATAACGATCCTCCAAGGAGCGAGAGGGACAGAGGAGGTCGTGACGGTGATGGGCCAAGTCGGGGAGGATGGGTTTGACGACTGGGTGTTTGGAGGACTTGTTGTTTGATCTTGAGCCCATGGTTGTCCACACGCCCAACTCGGTCCATGTTGCACAAGGTTACGACAGCGACCAGTTCGCATCAACAGCAACAGTTAAACCAACACAGGCCAACAACACCAACAACAGTAGCAGT